AAATGGCTTCCTCTGACTCGAACTTGATCGTCAAATATGCTGATGATACCACCATCATCAGTGATAATGATGAATCCTCTTACTGTCTGAAAGCCTATGCGACACTCATCTTGACGTCTGTACTTGAACGCCTCACCACGGGAGCGGCGCGCGTTCACAGCACAGACTGTGTGGTGCCATATTGACGCTGCTACGGAGGAGAGGACTTTGTTTATTGTTTGTGCGTTTTGTGACTCAAGAAGTAAGTTGCTGTAGGCCTACTGTTCCTCACATGAGTTCAGGAAGGAAGGTTTACTTATATAGTTCGTCCATATTTGTTACAGTGGTTTCCCTGATCTGTGTTGTTCCAGCTAAAGCCTGGTTCACACGGCAGGATATTTAGGCCGATTTAGACCCGATTTACCCCTTACGACAATCTTAAGAAACGCTCCAATTTCCGTAACAAAATCTTACAGATTATCCTGCCGTGTGTGGTGTGTTAAGACTGCACTCGTCGCTCGGAAGGACATCGGGACTGCTCCCGATCTCAAATCGGGGATATCCAACATGTTGGATTGTTTTGGCCCGATTTCTTGTCGTGTGTGGTGTCCTCCGAGGACAAGCGAGCGCGTTGCCATGACTACGGCGTGTAGCCAATAAGAAGACGAGGTGACAAGCCGGTGAGGAAACACCGGAAAAAAAACAAAACACAGCAGCATGGCATTGACCATTGCCTTTTCTTTGGATTACGTGTCTTCTCTGTTAACAACAAACTGCACACTATCGCCACTGCATCCTCTTCGTCCGCCATGACTGTTTACTCTGAAGTCACGCTTGATCTCGAGCGATTTTGTGAGATTTCCGTCTGACCTGGGAATGCTCGGGGGGGGGGGGGGTTCGGTTCGTGTGTGATGTTTGTGGCTTGCGTGATCTTGCCGTGTGGCTACGCACCACACACTGCACGACCAAAGTGGTTAGACGCAGGATTTTTAATCTCCCCGTGTGGGGTCTAACACGGAGAAAAATTGGCCGACAATTTTAAAATCGTCTCGTGTGAATCAGGTTTTAGTAATCTAAAGACGCTTCGCTATGCTAATATGACCCGTCATGTATACTTTCCTGCACCCTTGTATTAATAGTGCCATTTCAGTTACCTCTGTTCGTGTTTTACACCACTTAATTACATATTTATGTTAACCTCACATAGACCTTAAAGGGTACCTATGTTGTACTTTATGTTATCATTTTTCCTGATTTATTGTAGCTCCTATTAGTCCACATACATTGACTATTTATCGTTTATTATGTTACTCATTATATAATTATTATTAATACTGTTTTCCTTTCTGTTTCCATAGCCACATACACACACAATGTACAAATTGTGACAAATTGACAACCCTGCATTAAAGCTGAGTGAAGATTCTCTGACCGGAGTCTGTCTGTAGTGTCCCCAAACCAGAACGAAACCACTCCATTCTTTACACTTACAGAGCAGAGATCGAACATTTTTTTCAGTGGAGTAAAGTAAACAATCTCCAGCTGAACACAGTAAAAACATGTGAACTTGTTTTTGATTTCAGTCGCAACAATTCTCACACACCTGTTGCTATTGACAACTCTCAAGTGCAAATTGTAGAGTGCAAGTTTGTGGGTTTAACTCTGTCAAACGACATGAAATGGTACAAAAACACTAATCAGATTGTTAAGAAAGATTGTCAGCGGCTCTTATTTTTATGGAAACTTAGAGAATTTACCACTAATTCTAAGATTCTGCTTAACTTTTATCGCTGCACCATTGAGAGTTTACTTGTTGGTTCTGTGTCTGTGTGGTTTGGAAACATCACAGATAAAGAAAAGAGAGCTTTAAACAAGGTGCTCCGCTCTGCAAAGAGGACCGTGGGCTGTGAGCTTCCTGTTCTGGAGGTTCTTTATGAATCCAGACTTTTAAACCGAGCTCTTAAAATCATCAATGACTCTTCTGGCCACCCTGGTAAAGCCATGTTCCAGCTTCTTCCCTCAGGCAGAAGATATCGGTCGCTGAGATGCAGAACATCTCGCTATGCTAACAGCTTCTTTCCACAAGCTGCCTGAACAAAGCACATTGTTGTTTTCACCCCTTGTATCGGTTTTTGTCGTTCGGTGCCACAGTGTCAGCTGTTTCTATTTATGTTCAGTGTGTGTGTTTTATTTTATATTACATTGTATTGTGCTCTTTATTCTGCTGGTGCACACAGAGTACCTTTTTTTGCAAATGTATTCCAATGTGGTTTTTATACTGCACATGGCAAATAAAATAAATCTGAATCTGAATCTAAATACTGCGGTTAATCGGATGACCTCCAAAATGTACCGTAATCATGTTTCCCAGAAATGCAGTCCAAATCCTCCCACTACTTTAATGTAATCTGATTTTCTCTGTCTCAGTGTAACATGTGCTCAATGTCCCTTTATCGTTGTTGGTATATCGACTCTTACCATTGTTATTTTTGATTTGTGTTTTTTTGGTTCATTACCATTGTTGGTATTAATTGTTGTCACAATGTAAATTTCCTTGTTGCCCGTGGTAACGCCATCATGATATAACAATGTAAAATAATGCTTGAACAAAGTAACAGTGAAGTTGATAGTTTAATCACTGAATGGGATAAAGGGGTGGGATTAAATAAGTTTTTGTTTTTCCCACTCCTTTTCAGGCAGAATTATACGGCCATGTTTATACCGTACATTTATTGTTTATACATTTTTTGTTTATACTGTTTTTTGTTTATTGTGTGTTTTGTCTGTCTGTTTTTTGCATTATATGATTTATATTATTTAACTGCATTTAATTACCTTGTTACTCACCTGTGGCATTGCCTGAAATAAATGAAATGAAAAGATGACAGAAAAACAAACGTTGCCCTGGTTTTGGCGAATGCTTTTGGACAATGACTAATGGGATAAAATAATGTACAATGTCTCATTACACACTAATTGATTAATATCAAGCCGCCTTTATATTTTATGTTGATAATTGGCTCAGAACTTGTTCAGCCCCAAATAAAAGACAATTGGAATATTTGAAAATGGACTGCAAGCCATGATAATCAAAATTACACCAAACAGAGGCAATGAATGTAATATTTTTTTTTTCTCCTATACCTATTAGTTTCAAATGTTAAGTTACAGAAATGGATGATATGCTGATTTTCAAAGCTTCACCTGTATGTATTATTGGCCTAGTCCTTGAAATCACTGTCACATGCCACACTTTTTTTCAATATTTGCAGCTCTGATAGATGCTCTTCTTTTTGTAAGGCATGAATGATACTTTGTACAGCGACCATTCATGACTTTCATTTAGCATTCTTAGTCTTTCATGTCCTCATAATGATGATAGCCGGATGATGATAACTGCCATACACCATATAGATATATTCCAGGTAATTACAATGTGACTAATGAAGCCAATATTCTCATGCAGAAGGCAGAGAGAGAGCTGCAAAAAATAAGACGGAAACACAATCCATCCAGTGAATAGACTTTACTACTTAAGGGAGTACCTTTGGCCTTTGTAACACTTAGTGGAACATTTTAGACAAAAATCAATAAACTATCGTCACCACAACATTATGCAGTAGGAAGTCATGAACAAAAAATGACTAAAACATTCAGAGGAACTCAGTGAAAGACGTTTCATTCAATCAGCTTGTATTTATAGAGCACCTTTCATCCATTACATACACCTCAATTATAAGACAGGACCCTTGCATTAGTAAATGTCAAATGGGGAGGTAGACCTGTATGAAATATTTTCATTTTAAATTACACCTACATCTTTAATGTGTCCCCAGATAATAGGTTTAGTTTAGTTTAGTTTGTGCCTGTTTCATAAACAATAATGTACAAAAACCATTAGTCTTAGGTCATTATGTACACATCATACAAGGCCTTTTCTGAACAAAAGCGGACAAACAAACAAAACTGGAGTTATTCTGACAATGTCTACATTATTATTTAACTTTACAGTTTTGTCAAATATAACCCAATCAGAATGAGAGTGGGTTTGGAGTAGGTGAAATTTAGCTGGTTTTAGCACTAAACAAAAACATAACACCATGTTCCAATGAAACCAGATGGAAGAATAAGTAGCCTATAATGCAGAAAATGAAAATAAGACACATGGTGCTATGTTTTTGTTTATGAATTTTGTACATACACACAGTTGCTACTGTTACAAGCAAACCCTTGGCGGGTGGTTTGCATTCGTAGTCAGTGTTTTGGAGCGGCAAGTGTCATAGGCCAGAGGAGTCTGGCAACAAAAATTGGATCATAATCGTAATGTAAAAAAAGTTATTTTGCTGTGCTCCCACCAGAGGCAAACAGGTTTCTCCAGTGCAGCGTTTTTTTGCAGACGATGAACGCTCAACTTTTTGGCCAAATGGACGTGCTACAACCAATCAGAGAAGCACAGAGGTCCTGGGGACACAGCCGGAAAAAAACACTCGAAAACAGCCAAAACAAAACCATGATTAAAACAGGACGGAGTGCTGGTAGACATTCACCCTGAGCTCACCTTTTGCCGTGACTTTATAGAGATATGATTGCGCCAAGAAGGGAGTACTGGTGGAACACCGTCAGCAAATGGTGGTACTCCTGTAATCTGACCACTGGAGGACCTCGTTACCCAGACAGCGCCTCGATGTGGCGGCCGTGTAATGCAGCTTTAGACCACTAAAGCTACATACATACATACGGTCCCTTTAAATTTGCATCAAATATAATTTTAAGAGGGTCCCAGTTACTTTTTGGAATTATGAAGACAGAATCTATTCTTGAAATGTTTGATTGGCAGTAATTGAAGTTACTGTGGCAGTGATGCCACCACCACAACAGACACACACGCACACACACGTAGGCCAACAACAGGTGCTCGGAAATATGTATTTGAACTTAAAGACTTACGTTCAAAGCTACTGCCGTTACCTACTGATGAGACTAATGAAACAACAGCAACAACAAAGATTGAAACTACTGACCTAACCCAACTCCAACGATGAGCCTTCCCGCCAGAAGCACCTCTTTACCGGGCGCGGCGCTGAGCACCACGCCCCCCACGGTGAAGAAGGAGCTGGCCACCAGGATGCACACCCTTCGCCCGAACAGCCCGTTGAGGAATCCGCCCAAGAGCGCGCACACAGCCGCCGCCGCCACCGTGGAGGAGATGAGCACCTCCTGCCACAGCGCGCTCAGAGCCAGCTCCCGTTTGAGCAGAAGCATGGCCCCGGAAATCACCCCAGTATCATACCCGAACATAAACCCCCCCAGGGCGGAAAACACGGCCAGCATGTACACGAATCCCGGCGTGACATCTTGGGTGAACTGTTTACGCGCGGCTCTCTCCAAGTCCCCGGTGTTGGTGGCTGGAGCCGGTGCAGAAGCAGACGTTCCAGGGGCTGATGCACTGCTGACACTAGGCGCGGAAGCCTCCTTGATCAAACTCCGCTCCCCGCCATCGTTGACTTTCCTCCAGCGCTCGCCCATCAGGTGGCTCATACTCCGCAGGCTGTAGTCATGGTGGTCGGCTTGCTTGCGCGACATATGGATGAGACGGGGAAGGACAACGTGGAGGGGTTTGCGTCGCTCGAACTTGACAGAAATCAGTCCCTCGCACAGAAGCAGCTGTAGTGAGGATGGCGCTGCGTAAAAATGAATATAGCTCCCCTAAACGCGCGCTGTCTTTAATGTGGCGATGGAAGTTGTTGTGGTTCCACGTCTTGTTTGGCACATCCACGCGGGCAGTATGATGGGGAGTTGGTGTGTGCGTGTTGGAGAGGGAGGCTGAATGTAGTGGAGTGGAGTAGATCGTCACCAACAACGTAATCGTGACGCAAAGAAATGTTTTGAAGCAAGAGGCTGGAGTGGTGAAGCGAAGCAGCGAATGTAGCAAAATCCCACAATAAAACAGGAATTATTGATGAAGATAGAAAAAAAATCATCACAATATATTGTCTTGTGTTTTAATGTTGCACTTAAAAGTACTAGTTGAGGATGAATCTTTGACAATAGTATGTATACATATATGATTTAAACGTATAGGCATTCAATTTGTATGAAAACCTGAAACATACAATACTGTAATATTTGTTTTTACTCTAATCAAAAGGAATCACTGAAACCCTTAAATAACGTCTGTCTGGATGCAGGTTGTTTTTTTTTTTTTTACTGCGCTCCAGGTCTGCGGTCTACGAATGATTCCTCTAGTGTTATATCGTTCAAAAAAGACTTGACATTAGACTCAAGATAAATTGAATAATCATAATTTATTATGTGTTTTAGGCATCTACCTTTACCAACAAATCAAATAAAGGATCATCTGGTATCAGCTCCACATTGTTGTTTTTCAAATGTGATTGAATATTATTTTTCACTGCGTGTTTGAACTTCTTTATTATTGATTTAGCCTTATGTGACCAGATACAATTTTGTTCCAACATGCTTGAGCAAACTCGTTCTAACTTTGTCAGTGAAATGAATTACTCATATAGGTATGAGCTCTAGGAACAGCAATACACCTATAGTTTGGCATGTGACATCACAACATTCCCAATAGCCTATAGATTAACTCTGGCAGCGGGTGGCAGAAAATATATCCAGGTGAATATAACTGTCAAAAGAGACTAAGAGTCCTTGGCCAATAGGCTGTCACAAAGTATCATCATCTAAAAGGTGCACACATGTATAATGTTGGCCAGTATGAAAGTCTATCCGGCATAAAAATATGGTGGGTTTGTGAATCTAATCACTATCAAATAAACATATGGAGCGAAATATGCTTATATTGGCACCTTCCCTCTTTGGTCTTCAAAACGGGTTGCCAATCCATTGTTTATTATTGATTTAGCCAGTGTCCAGATAACCTATTTTGTTCCAACATGCTTGAGCAAACTCGTTCTAAATGCCTTTGTCAGTGAAAAGAATCAATATTTGGACAATGGAGCTTCCAAAACAATGTGATTGGGGCCATTGCACCACAGCAGTGAGGGTCAGCAGGTTTTGGCTCTTTATGTCAGGATGCCTTGTGGTCCATAAAGATAATAAACGTCCCTTTTGCATGTTACATAACAAATGTGTTGATTGCGAAAAGACAAATGCCACATATAAACATACACACATAAACACGCCTTTCATATATTTCTGTGTGTAGAACAGAAATATGAAATCTCAGTGTATATATACATATATAGTGAAATCTCATATTTATATATGGTATGTATGTGGCATGTATATGTAAATATGTGAATGTATGTATGTATGTGTGTATGCGTGGGGAAATGTTAGTGTTGTAATCACAAGTTACAGAACAGTAGGAAAGAGGAGCACATGGTGCATCACAAGTTAAGTGAACAATAATTAAATTAAAACAGAATCTTTACATCTCTCGCATCAAAAGCAAGTAAAAAATCTTGAAAAAAATAGTATAAAAAAGAAGTGTAAAGGTTTTACATTTGGCAAAATAAGAGGCAAGTATAAAGTAATGTGTATTCTAGTGCAAGCAATATGTACTTTTTCAGAGTTCTTTCCTATAGTTCAGTATTGAACAATTCTTCCAACAAATATTTCTGTGATCGTCCTTTATAAAAACATTTAATAATGTTTCTCTCTTCTAACGGACAGCAAAGGCCAACCTAGTCCTTTTTTGTTTTTTGATTATTTTAAAATATTTCTTTATATATTTTTATATATGTTAGCTGAGGTAAGATGAGTGAAAAAGTGTATGTAGAGAGCATTATGTTAGAGCAGAGGAAGAAGCTGCATCACTTTATGGAAAGAAAAGTTGCCCAAGTGCTTTTTTTTTTTTCTTTGTAATTCAATGGAATATCATATTTATGTATTTCTAATCTATCTGCAATTCATAACCGTGACTTTAAAAATGAAATATATAATGAGATGTGCTTGGAGAATAGACTGTAAGCTTGGAGCTCCCTCCAGTGTTCACACCGGTGAAGTGTAGAAGCGTGTGTGACACACCTGCCTCGGTATAGTGTGTATGTAATACATTACAATTATTTTTTATTAATTTATGGGATATTGTAAATTAATTCATATAATTAATCCCACTGCTTTTCATTAATTAATGAACAACAATGGATTGTATTAGTAGCCTTAGGGTTATTCAGATTCAGTTTATTTGCCGTTGGCAGTAAAACCATATTGAAATACCTGGAACTGGCATCCGTTGTCCAACAGTCACCCTCACAAACACACTCATTCACCCTGAACTATTGTACATGTTTTCAGTGGTAGGGGAAACCGGAGCACCCGGAGAAAACCTACACAGACACACGTAAGTAAGTAATCTTTATTTATATACCGCCTTTTCACTGCACATCGGAGTCTCAAAGCGGTTTACAATTGTTATTTTTTGGGAGTGGGGGTGCCAGTACAGGAGGCACATGCCAGACCTATTGTACATATTTTTAGTGGTAGGGGAAACCGGAGCACCCGGAGGAAACCTACGCAGACACGGGGAGAACATGCAAACTCCACTCAGAAAGGCCCTGGTCCAACCGGGATTTGAACCCAGGACCTTCTTGCTGAGAGGCGAGAGTGCTATCCACTCAGCCACCACACGGAGAACATGCAAACTCCAAAAAGAAAGCCCCCGTCTGGAAGTGGAACCCAGGACCTTATGGCGGTGAAGCACAAGAAGGTGGGTGGTTTGATAGGTGAGTGTGACTGTTTTTAACCAAGCTGTAAAGCACTTTGTGTTAACTGTATGAAAACCGCTTTATAAATAAAAATGTATTAATGGATGGATTGACTTCAATAGATTAATTAAAAGGTGTATGAGATGTGTTTATTATTATTAAATGTTGTTTTTGAGCAGAGTTATATTTGAGTTGGAGGGCAGGGCAGGTGCCAAGAAAAACATGTTTCAAGAAATTCTGAAATTTTCCAGATTATTTGATAATGATGATATTTACAAGGCAAGGCACGTTTATTTGTATAGCACAATTCATACACAAGGACACTCAAAGTGCTGAACAAGAAAATCATAAATAATCACAGAACATTAAAAATAAAGATAAAAATATAAAATCCCTCAGTTGTATGCACAGCTCAACAGAACTGATTTAACCTGGTTTTAAACATTGTCAGAGAGGAGGCCTGTCTCACATCTTCAGGAAGACTGTTCCAGATTTTAGCAGCATGAATCTGAAAAGCAGCCTCCCCATGTTTAGTTCTGACTCTGGGCACTAACAGGAGTCCAGTCCCTGTGCTCCTCAGAGTCCGGGCTGGTTCATATGGGACTAACATGTCACTAATATATTTTGGTGCGAGGCCATGGAGAGACTTGTACACAAGCAGAGCTGTTTTAAAGTCTATTCTCTGAGCCACAGGAAGCCAGTGCAGAGACCTGAGAACTGGACTAATATGGTTGTACTTCCTGGTTCTAGTCAGGACTCGAGCTGCTGCATTTTGAATGTACTGCAGCTGTTTTACAGCCTGTTTGGACAGACCTGTGAGCAGGCCATTGCAGTAGTCTAACCTACTGGAGACAAATGCATGGATAAGAATCCCCAAGTCTGCTTTAGACACTGTTTTTGATCCTGGCAATGTTTTTTAGATGGTAAAAAGCTGCTGATGTTACTGATTTGATGTGGCTATTAAAATTGAAGTCTGAGTCCAGTATTACCCCTAGATTTCTGACCTTGTTTGAAGGTTTTAGGGAGAGAGACTGTAGATGACAGATGACGCTCTCGCTTTGTTTCTGGGGACCAAAAACAATAATTTCAGTTTTGTCTGCGTTTAGCTGAAGGAAGTTGTTTTGCATCCACTCACTGATCTGTTGGATACAGTGAAGGAGTGAGTCCACTGGTCCATGTTCTCATGCAGTCGGTGAGAGACATAGATCTGAGTGTCGTCTGCATAGTTGTGATAGGACACTTTGTTTCTGCGTATTAACTGACCTAACGGCAGCATGTAGAGATTGAACAGAAGAGGTCCCAGGATCGACCCCTGTGGTACTCCACAGGTCAGGGCCATATGATCTGAGACACAGTTTCCAATCTCCACAAAGTACTTCCTGTCTTCACGGTAAGACCTAAACCTACTTAGAGCGATGCCAGCGACGCCAACCCAGTCCTCTAATCTCTGTAAGAGGATCTCATGTCGACAGTGTCAAAGGCAGCACTTAGATCTAACAGGATTAAGATTGAGACTTTGCCTGCGTCAGTGTTCAGCCGGATATCGTTTGTAACCTTGACGAGGGCAGTCTCAGTGCTGTGGTGGGGTCTTAAGCCGGACTGAAACATATCAAATGAGTTGTTGATTATAAGAAATCTAGTAAGCTGTTGGTGGACAACTTTTTCAAGGACTTTCCCCATAAATGGAAGATTTGAGATGGGACGATAGTTGTTAAGTACCGTAGCATCGAGACTGCTCTTTTTTAGCAGGGGCCCGATGACTTTCAGGGCCTTTGGGAATATTCCAGAATTAATGGACATGTTTACTATCTGTGTGAGTGAAGGTAACAGACTGCTCAGAACAGACTTTAGAAATCTAGTGGGTAGTACATCCAGGCTGCATGTGGAGGAGCTCAGAGTTGTGATTATCTCTTGGACAGTTTGATCACTTACAGGTGCAAAGTGAGTTAGCTCAAAGAGCCTTTCTGGTTGTTGGATGGTCATCTGTGGAATGGAGACAATAGCGTTTTTGATGCCTTGAACCTTGTCATTGAAAAAATGTGCAAACTCATTACATTTACGTTGGGAAACTAAATGAATAAAAAGCACTCTGGAGAAAGTTATTTGAATTAAAAACCACTACATAAGCTCTAATGGCAGCTGAACAGGGGGTTTGTTAATCTATTAACTGTTGAAAACAGAACACGCAGATTGTTACCGAAGCCTTCAATCATTTCAGAACTCTCGTACTACGTAGCACCTGGCTAAACTCGCACAACTTATCTTTGAAGATCTCGTAATCAACCTGGAGGTTGGACTTGCGCCACTTCCGCTCGGCCCTCCGGCACTTTCTCTTTTGTGCCCTGACCGAGTCTGCTTTAGCCCACGGCGCCTTCTGCTTATTTTTCACTATTTTAACCTTCACAGGGGCAACGGTATCCAGAACATTCAAAACACTAGAGGTGTTAAACAGTTCATCTACAGTAGAATACGATGCATTCTCAAAGTTTATCATTCCCATAAATAGTTCACCCGTATTTTCATTTATGTGTCTTCTTCGAACAGTTGCAGAGTCCACTGGTGGTTTGTTAGTGAAACACAAGTAAAAAAATACACAGAAATAATCCGAAAGAGCAACATCGACCATGTTTACATTAGAAATATTCACCCCCTTTGTAACTAACAGGTCTAGAGTGTGTCCTCTGCTGTGGGTGGGGCCACTCACATGCTGAGTGAGACCAAAAGATTCAAGAACAGAACTCAGCTCTTTTGCATTTCTGTCATTAACATTATCCACATGAATATTAAAATCACCTGTAATAACTAAACTATCAAAATCTGTGCATACAACTGAAAGCAACTCGGTAAAATTATCAATAAAACTCTGACATGACTGCGGTGGCTTGGACAAGGAAAAGTATTGGAGGAGATTGTTTTTGTTGCATTTTAAATGACACATATTCGGAAACTTCCCAAGAGACATTCTATGGGAGACAAAGTGGTCTCTGAAAATGGCAGCTAAGCCTCCTCCTTTTTTGTTTTCCCGTATTTCAGATACAAATTTGAAATTTGGTGGTGATGCTTCTATTAAAACTGCATTTCCTGTATTTTGGTCAAGCCAAGTTTCAGCCATGATCTAGCCACTGCCAGTGGCTGCGAAGCAGAGACCCTGTGCATCCTAGTGTTTAGAGATAGAAGGGGAAGGGAAAGGCGGGGGAGGAGGATGGAGAGGCGGGTGGTTCTTGGGAGTTGGACGAGAACCACCTGCCAAAACAAACCCGCCATATTCTAATTATGCATGATGTTGGCCATCAAACATATGTTTTTTGAATATTTTCACCAGACTAAACTTGCGAAAATAATTAGACCCTAGTTGTACTGACAAAGATCATATCCAAGAATATATTTCAAAATGAAACAGCCGGCTTTTGGATGTACACTACAATAACTACTATTAGCATGACGCACCAAAACATGTGCAAAACCACCTCTGCATTGTCCGGCTCCAATGTGAATGACTGGAAGTTGGCATAGGTAGATGATTATTCAACAGGACTTTTCAAAAAATATCTCTATAAATATATAACTTTTGCATAAGGGGATTTTCCCAGAGTTGCGCAGTGAAAAAATGGGCCTCTGTATCCTGGTTCCTGGCCCTGCTCCTTCCCTGTTTGTTAACTCAGGCTCATTGTCTAGTTTACAATTGTTTGTCTGAATATGTCAGTGTACAAATCTCATGGCTTAATATTTCACCACATGTCCGCCAGAATAACACCACAAGTTTGACCTGTTTTGGGCATTTACAACCGGTTGGAGACTTAAGGCGGTTTCAGGCTGGGTAGTCCTTGAAGACTGTAGCATCATTTAACATAATAAACATATTTTGATATATCTTTTACTCTTGATTCAATAAGATAAGATAAGATAAACCTTTATTAGTCTCACAGTGGAGAAATTTCAGTGTCATCGTTGCGCACATTACAGCGGAGAAAGGAAATAAGAGCACTCAGATTGCACACATCAAAGTCTATTATTTAAGATAATAGACAGAAAATTTAAGATAGAATAAAATAAAATAAAATAAGAAACTCTGGGCTATAATTGCACTTGGTTCGGAGTATTTACAGATGTCTATATTATACATTAGCAGCAGAGAATATGAGAATATGAATATGAGCAGAATAAACATCAGAAATAATATCAACAGGTAAAGTGACTTGAACTGGAGAATTATCAGATGGATATGTAATAATACAGTAAGATATCAACAGGTAAAGTGACGGTGAAAGGCAGAATTATCAGATATGAAATAATACAGTAGTACTGATAACAGTAAATATCAGATATGTAGTACTGTAGTAGTACTGATAACAGGTAAAGTGACTAGTGACAAGTTACTAGTGAATTATCAGAAACACTTGTGCAGACTCAGCAGTTCCTGTTACACATTCTCGTTGTACAGTCTGACAGCAGCAGGAAGGAAAGACCTGCGAAACCTCTCCTTCACACATCGATTGTTTTTGTCAGTGTAATGCCTCTTCTGTCCATTCCAGAAAGACTCTCTGTTTATCCAATATCTTGCAAAGAAATCCTATAATTTTTGCAAAATGTGTTAATTAATAATTAATAATAATTTGCCTTACCTAGGGGCGACAGTAGCTCAGTTGGTAGAGCATTGGCCTTTGAGCCTGAAGGTTGTGGGTTCGAGCCCACCGTAAGACCATCTTCACGACTCCCACTGATGACTGCTGTCGTTGTGTCCTTAGGCAAGACACTTAACCCCACTTTGCCTGAAGCTCCCACTGAAAGATCTCAGCTCCTGTAGACTCACCACCTGCAGGAGGATCAGTGAGGGGCTGGTGCTCTGTGAACTGGGTGGCATCTCTGGCCACCCCCCCGACCCAGAAATGGATTAAGGGGAAGAAAATGGATGGATGGATGGATGCCTTACCTTCATCTTCCACGGGTACTTATCCCAGAATGGGTCTTCTACCAGAGGACAGGGGGCTTGAAGGTTCTGTGCTGCATCTTTGCTTTTCTGAGGACTGCACATGTCTAAAACGAGATTTCGAAAATTGTTTCAGTGATCTGCCATATCTGCTTAAGCAAGTGCTTTATCTTAGGGGCTACTGCGTCAATCACCATGCGGGCAATACTTTCACCTTTCACCTCCAGGTCCTGTCTCGCTCCTGTCTGAGCCCTACATACCAAGGGGCAGATATTGTTTAACTATAACTAGATATTTGGTTTCAATGTTTAGGATAAACCGAAGGAGGTTGTTGTTTTCTAGGTGTAACATAACATTGCAGCCAACTAGTAACTTCTTATTATTCATGTAACGGGTCCAACATTTCAAGTCAGTTAAACATATAAATAGTTTTCACATATGGGTTTTGGCCCCTATCACATCAAGATAAGCTTTACTGGTAAGACATTAAAATCATATCAGACGCCTCTCAAAACAATGATAATAAATCAGTGACTACGTTGTTTTACTTTATAATGCAATTATTACTTCTATTATAAAACAAAACACCCAACACACTGACTAAATTGAATTCTGAAGAATCAAATGAATGTTTAATCTTTCATTGTATTTTCTTTGGATGGTTCTTGGTTCTTCCCCTACTTGACCTGCTTGGGCGGTATTTAAGAAAGGTGCTGGTGCCTTCCCCAATTCTCTGCTTTGACCACGCATCAGCATGAGTTGTAGACAGATGCTGCTCTGGGCCTTTCTTCTAACTCTAGGTATGATAAAACGTCACATAGTGCTTTTGACAACAACCTAAAAAGGAATGAGTAACATTGTCTTGTTTCTCTAAACAGTTTTGGAGACTAATGGACTGACACTTCGAGAAAAGAAAACTTGTAAGTACACATTTCATATAATGTCATTATATAATTGTCATTTATCTGTATGCATGTAACAATTATATAATTTCTAGATGCTATAAAGCCACCATTTTATTCAGCCCCATTTATGTTCTACTTTCTGTTTAATTCAAACATTTTTTTCATTTTCCCAATTGTGTCTGTTCATTGGTCAATGTATCTTTAGGGATGGGGAAAATTTACTTAAAACTGTAACATTAAAAGAAAATTCTAAAACTCATTTATGTCAAAATGAGTGATGTTTTGTGACAATAAAAAGTAAGATTATCCCTTGAAATAAGTTCTTTAACACTAAGTGGAATTTAAATTACTATTTTTGTAGCTTACACTACTCAAGAATGTTGCCAAAATCGCTCTTGTGTGCAGACACGTGCCGGACCTTCGGCAGTGGGGTGGTGCAGCCTTTCGATGGAAGGCCCTTCCACGTTCGCTCCGACTGCCCTTTCACACTCTTGACGTCCACCCACAACAAAGTGGAGTGTGCAATTACCACACGCAGAGGAGGGAATGGACTGCTGACACATGCCCAAATAGTCATCAACAAAATCAAGACCGATTTGCGCCAGGGAAGCATCTATGTGAGCGGGGAAAGGTGGGTCCAATTGAATGAAAATGTGGTTGTCATGAATAGCAAGTCACAAAAGCTGCAATTTTGTTAAAGATGGCATCAACTTATATTGTACTATATTTAAAATAATATGAGTATGTATCAAACCACGGGGCACTGCACAGTGGGTATAAGTAAGTATTTTTCAATGATGTATTTCAAGTAGTCTCTCTCATAGCATAACTCACTTTGAGTAATTAGAATTCCCTTTTTCACAAATATTGATGACTATTCCCCGAATCTTGTTGCAACAATATTAATTTCAGTTATCAAAGAGATATTATGTTTATCAAAATGTTTTGAAACAGTTTATTATTAAAACGGTCCGGGGGCTTTTTAATCTGGCACCTGACACCGTCATTCGAAATGATCGTTGCTCAAAGTTTCCAACAAACAGCAGAAGTAGAAACTTGTGTTCAAAAATATCTTCCTACCTCAGCTTAAGGAAGCATATCCTTGTAATTTATTGTTGCATGACCTGTTTTAGGAAAATCTGATGGTTTATGAATACATTAATATGTTAATGAGATTAATTCATGGATCTATAATGGGGATTGATTATACGTTGATATTTAGCATGCTAAAGGCTGCGAACTAGCTTAGCTTGTTGTATTTTGTTTCATTGTCAATGCCAGTTTATGTGAGTCGTCAGTCATTGCTAACAACTAATTACTTTGAAAAAAAGGACTCACCTTGTTGTTGCTATTTACCCAACCACACAGACGCCTAGAGAAGACCGGATAACAAAGTAGTATTCATACTAAAAAAAGTTAACTTTGTGTTGTCTTCTGAGCAGTTTAATGATTTAGAACTCTATCAGAAATAGTAAGGCAAGGCAAGGCAAGTTTATTTATATAGCACAATTCATACACAAGGCAATTCAAAGTGCTGAACAAAATAAGAACACATTAAAATCATAAATAATCACAGAACATTAAAAAGAAAGCTAAAAATATAAAATCCCTCAGTTGTATGCACAGCTAAACAGAACTGTCTTTAACCTGGTTTTAAACATTGTCAGAGAGGAGGCCTGTCTCACATATTCAGGAAGACTGTTCCAGATTTTAGCAGCATGAATCTGAAAAGCAGCCTCCCCATGTTTAGTTCTGACTCTGGGCACTAACAGGAGTCCAGTCCCTGTGTTCCTCAGAGTCCGGGCTGGTTCATATGGGACTAACATGTCACTAATATATTTTGGTGCGAGGCCATGGAGAGACTTGTACACAAGCAGTCTTTAACCTGCATTTTACCGAGTAGTAATACAAAACTTTTCAGGTGCAATAAAAAGTATGTTTGTTCTATGACGGCATAACCCACACAATAATCAATGTTAATTATTCTCAGTGATGAAGACATTGTTTTGATGTGTCTACTCCATTGGGTATGATTATCACTGTGAATTGATTTGGTTATAAAGTCAAATTTATTTCTGATTTTCAGCATCCAATTGCCCTATGACCACAAATACCAGCACATATTTCCCTATGGCATTTACACCAAACTGCGGAGCACTGTGTTTCCCCTGTCTGTCTTCTGGCACACTGTTCCTGGAGGAATTGACACTTTATGGGTGAGGCTAATATCTACATCCCTATATTAGATTGAGCAGTCCTCGGTTCGATGAATTGTACACATGATGTTGTCTTTAAGATTGAGATTGACCAACTGGAAACTGACATGACTGGATTATGTGGAAATCCTCTGAGCATGACACGTAAGACAGTTTCAGCATAATGGAGATTGGTTGACTTTAAACTGATATGTGTTTTTTCTTGTATTTTAGCAGAGTACAACACACTGGATTTGATATCGCAAAGTGTCCTGCCTGAAGAAACCTGTAAAATAAGGGATCCGGTTTCTATTTCTAATACTGTACGTAATGTTTGATTCAGCCTAAACCTTCTTTTTTTTGTCTTTTGTTTTTTATTATTTGTAAAACAAGGACGAGATGGCTGTGTTCCCACCGTCGATGCATGGACTTGCGTAGATGGAGGCATGGACGCACGTTCACTAAATATCAACTGCGTTAGTCAATCTGCCTTACTGTCTTGTGTTGGGGAAAAATGCAGGGTGGAAGAGGTTTGCAGGCTTTGATGCTAACGAGTTACTTCCGCATCGGCAAACACGTTAGCAGCACTTGTTTACAGTCACAGTAAAAAGTCAACTCAGAGTGAAGACTTGTTCACAAGCACCGTGTCCCCCATCGTCAGCCCTGGTTTTATCCTTGTTTAGCTCCTGTTTTGGTTGTTTTCGAGTGTCTGTTTTGACCAGCGTGTTTCCATGTGACCATTTTGTTGCTCTCTGATTGGTTGCCGCATGTGTGTGAGGATGTTCATCCCCTGCTTTCGCTGCATGCATTTAGCCGCTGCACCCACCACCTCTGCTGCGCCGCAACAAGGCGTCTGTTTTGCAGGATAAACGTGCGTGCCGCGACATCCATGCAAGGACGTCACCATTGACATTGTATTGAAACTCGCCGAAACGCATGTTCCGGTGGGAACAGAGCTTTAGACTGGCAAAGGACCAAACTCAGTGTACTTGCTTGTCTTCTTGGACAACTGTCAAAAAGGAATTTGACAGTTGTCCTCAACTCTCAGTCATTCACCAGACTGCCAAGGAAAGAATCCTTTACTTTGATAAATGACCGGATCTCTCCAAACGTCTTAAGCAAGACAGCATTCTGAAACGGCACCCGCTGCACAGGGGCTGCACTGAGTTTTAGCATGGATCTATTATAATTAGGGTTGTCTAACGATTAAAAATTTTTAGTTGTTGAATCGTATAGTAATGGTGAGTTAACTCACGATTAATGGCATTTTTAACATTCTATTTCAAATCCACTCCATTTTAGGTTAAATGAGATTATCATATGTAATGACACATTGTCATTCAGACCAAATGTACTTAAGTCTGTTTGATTTGCTCACAACCTTTTACTTTTGGACACAATCAACATGAGCTGTTAATGAAATGGAAAATTTACGTACCCCAGCTTTAATTTAGCGAGCTTAGTTGCATTTCAGGAGACACGGACACTTACTGATGCTCCATAGTTCAGTTTCAGCTATGTATTTGCGTGCAAAGGTAACGCACAGGTTACGCAAAGACACACACACAACATTCAGAGAATAGTTCTGTGGTGTATGGTCTTGGATTATTACCGTGGCGCCATTCACCGTGTTGTTGTTAGCGGCTCACAGCCGCTGGAGGTGGGAACCGCGCCCCAGAGCGGCCTCAACTGCCCCAGGTCAGAACGCTGGGGCCACGGAGGATGTGGACTTCAGTTCATACAGCAAACAAGAGCAATTGCCCCGCGGTCACGCACGCATTCTTTTAAAACTTGAACTCCCAGAGGGCCTACCTGCTCTGTTTCCATCTCATACACGCATGTGTCTGCGGCATTCGGAGTGATATTATGGGATACATGGGCGGATCGGACATGCGTTAAACGCATTTTTTATTTATGTAACGCGATTAATAAAAAAGGAATTAACGTGCATAATTTTGACAGCCTTAATTATAATATATAGTTTTACAAAAGCGGGGTGAAGAGAAGAGACCCATGGAGCTTAAAACTACGATGATCAAAGAAGCAGAGCCGCAGCAGGACATGGCTAAAAGCTCATGTTAGCATTAGCGTTAGCCACAGCGCCCTACCCGTATCACGGTAAGAAAACAGAACATTCACTCACGCTGCTGATAAAGTATTCTGGGGATTGTTTTGTGGGTTTTATTTGAGGCTTGTCCCTGAATAAGTTTAGTTGAAACTTGTGACATAGTAGTTGGACTGTGCTTGGATCGGGTCAGAACATCCTGAGACTGTGTTGCAGATTCTGCCTCGTTCTCATTATTTTCAGTGTGAAAAAAATACTTATTGTTCACGTGTGAGTCTGTTGTGTACAAACTACACAATGTGCCTCCCGTTGTGTTAACGCTGTCTTTGTGCGTGTGGTTTGCGATGTTTACACTTTGCTGCTATGACGCTGGACTTTTGCATAATTATTTTTCTAAAAGATCATTGTTTGGATCGTTCTTTTACATAACTGTGGTCCTCCATGGTTCATTTATATAACTCTGGTTCCTTCTTCCAACTAGTGAAGGCACGGTGAAAGCAACTATATCAGTAGCTCATGTGAAACGAAAACACAATTCTCGCATCCTTTTTATCCCCTATCCACCGCTGTTTTTCAAGATTGCTCATTGTCACTGAGAGGACTCTCTCATGGACATTTATAAGTGAAATTCTAAGCCTATGAAAACCATTAAAAAAACATGGTGGCGGTAAATATTCTTTTTTTTTTTTTTAACTTTATTTATTGAACATTTTTAACAATAAAACCCGACATACAGTACAATCAAGATATAACCATAGAAGTTCAACTTTACATTCTGTATGTACAAAAACCACCCACCCACCCACCCACAGGCCACATAATCACAAACATTCACACAATCATTCACAACTGGGTCTGCCGTAAGAACGTAAATAAAGTTAAAAATAGAAAAAAACAAAAAAACAAAAAATAGCATATTCTTTTTCTAGTTAAAAGCCAATAGGAGAAGACCACAAGAGTACAAAAAGAGGGGGGGGGGGGGGAGACCGGTGAAGGAAAATGAATATACACGTAACATAAAAAAAAGGAAGGTTAGTATTTCAAAGAAGTACGTAAACTAGAATCCAATCAATCACCTTCCAGCTCGAATGGGAAATTTGATGGGTCAATATGTAGCAAAAATGGACCCCAGACATTGTTAAAAGGTGTCATAGAGCCATTAAGAGATGACCTCAGCTTCTCCAATTTTAAATTATAGAGGACCTCACGGACCCAGCGGATATGTGAAGGGGGATGGGGAAGCTTCCAATTTAGTAGAATCAACCTGCGGGCTAACAGTGTTGTGAACGCCAGGGCACGACTAAGAGGTTTAGGACAACTAGAAATGGGAGGAATGCCAAAAATTGCAGACAAAGGATTTGGAGCGATGTTATTGCGATAGGCCCTAGAGAGTGTGTCAAAGACGTAGGCCCAAAAAGGCCCAAGCTTTGAGCACGACCAGAACATGTGAACATGATTTGCCGGAGACACTTTGCATCTGTTGCAGGCATCACTAACTGAGGGATAGATCCTGGACAGCCTAGCATTAGTATAGTGAACCCTAAAAAAAACCTTACACTGAATCAGTCGGTGGCGAGCACAAATGGAGGAGGAGTGAATAAGGGACAAAGCAGAAGTCCACTGTTGCTCACTAAACTTAACGTCAAGACTCTCCTCCCAGACACTTTTGATTGCATTAAGCGAGACAGAAGATTCCAACCAAATATCTCTATATAGAGCTGAAATGCATCCCCTTGCAACAGGATTAGTAGAGAGGAGTGTATCTAAAAAAGTCTCTGGAGGACGATTCGGGAAATGTGGAAACAGCTTTTTGACAAAGTTTCTTATCTGAAAGAAGCGAAAAAGATGATGACGCGGGAGACTATATTCGGTCAAGAGATGTTCAAATGAGGAAAATACTCCATCCTTGTAAAGATCGCTGATAGACTTAATACCATTGTCGTGCCAGACACGGAATGCTGGATCAGTTCTAGAGGGTTCAAACCTACAGTTCCTGTGCACGGAAGTCAGGGCAGAGGGGCCTGAAAGCCCAAATTGTTTCCTAAACTGGTTCCAGATCTTTAAAGAGGCTGATACTACAGGGCAATTTGATAAAGGAGAGAGTGGGAGTGGAAGTTGGGAGCATAGAACGGAGCGTAGTGAAAACGGAGATAATTTATTCTCTAAATGCACCCAACCGGGCAACAGGTCATCGTCCTCAGACATCCAAAACAAAAGCTTCTGTACATTAGCTGCCCAGTAATAATGTCTGAAAATTGGTAGGGAAAACCCCCCTCTATCCTTAGGAGATTGCAAAACTGATTTCCGAATCCTGGGAGGTTTACCAGCCCACAAGAAACTTGATATTATTCTATCCAACTTTTCAAAAAAAGTTTTGTTAAGAAACACTGGAAGATGTTGAAACAAGTAAAGAAACCGCGGAAGAGTGACCATCTTAACCAAATTTATCCGACCAACAAGTGAAAGAGGCAGAACCGACCAGCGGTTTGCGGTAAATATTCTTAAAAAGGTCACATTTGTTATTAGTTAACATGTGTTTTTCATATGGAGCAACTGTAAAAATTACACCGGCTTTAATGTCATGATACTATTTAATATACATGTATATGGCAAATCTCAATAATCCATGACATTCTGTTTCATGGTTGCAATACAATACAATTTATTCTTGTATAGCCATAAAATCACAACAGCAGTCATCTCAGAGGATTTAACAAAACCATTTAAATCACCAACACAGATCAGAGAATCAAGAGTAAAGACACACAAAAATAGAACACATTTGTATTGGTCCATAGGGAGTAGTCTGGGCAGAGAGGTCTTAAATACTGTTGTCAATATAGTGTTGACTTTGATAAAAAGCATTATATATAATATTGTATGTAATACAGTATGTATATTTACTAGGGCTGTCAAACGATTAATTTTTTTTAGTTGATTAATCGCATAGTAATGATGAGTTAACTCACGATTAATCGCATTTTTAACATTCTATTTAAAATCCACTCCAATTGAAGTTAAATGAGATTTTCAAATGTAATGACACATTGTTATTCAGACCAAATGTACTTAAATCTGTTTGACTTGCTCACAACCTTCTACTTTTTGGTACAACCAACAAGAGCTGTTAATGAAAGGAAAAATGTAAGTACCCCATCTTTAATTTTGCGAGTTTGGTTGCATTTCAGCGTGTCTCCTCCTCTCCTCCATCATCAGAGAACATCAGAGAATGGCCCCTGTGCGTGTATATATATGCGTGTATTATATGACCACGTTACCGCTGTCACCATCACACACGCACGTGTCCATGGCATTCTGAGTGATATTATTATAAATGGGCGGGTCATTCGGACATGCGATTGACTGCCAGCCTATTTCAGAACAGGTACCCACAGAATATTGTGTACAATGACTATCTGAAATCCAAAACCAGATTCTGAAAGAATGGACTGTCTACTTTCATCAGCAAAAATAATTTTGTTTCTAGCTTGTTTCGTTCCCCTGTAATCCCCAGTCGAGTAGAGGTAAGTTTTATTGAAATCACCAGAAAGCTGAGAAAAAAGAGGCACTTGTGCATCTAGCTGTTTTCAAACCATTCCTAGAGCAATGCTGCCATCTGCTGGCTCGATAAAATATTGCCTCAAGCCTTACATATTTGATACAACAGACATCTGGGAACGTGAAAATAGCGGGGAACGCAATTGACGTGTTAACACGTCAATGGCAGTTAATGCGTTAATTATTTTTTTTAACGCGTTACTGAAAACGGTAATTAACGTGAATTAACGCGATAATTTTGACAGCCCTAATATTTACATGACTAATTATTTTCGTACATACTCTACTAATACTTGGTCAGGTAGCAGTGGACAATAAGCAACATATTTTTCATTGTTCATTTAATCTAGTATTTTGATTAGTTTTAGTTTTGAAACTTCATTGACAACATCAATTCATCTTCTTTTTGTCTCCACTTTCGGAAAACATTTGAAACAACTTCATGCTGAGAATCCTGTTTTTACACAGATCTTTTCTTTTCTCTCAGGCCTGCAGACAGTTTTTTTCCTACACGTTGGACTGTCTGAGGAACACAACCTCAGAATATATCCAGTTGTGTGAAGAGAACATCTGCGGCTTTGAAGAAAACCAGGCGGTGGGTTGTTCCTTCTTCAGAGAGATTGTACGACTCTGCGGGAAAAGCCACTTTCTGTGGGACATTTGGAGAGACTTAACCCATTGCGGTCAGTTGTTTTCAATCGCTCTACATCAGTGGTCCCCAAACTACGGCCCGCCTCTACATTTGCTCCGGCCCCCTGAACAATACCAGAGAGTATTTTCATATATGGGCTTATTCACACTAAAGGGCACAAAAGTGTGACAAAAGGCCAGAAGTTTGATTTTGATAATCAGAAGATATTTAATGTTTTTCATGTTTCCAAACACCTCCTCTGTCCATTAGAAGTTGCTAGAACATAACTGTTTTCTACATTAGACATTAGTTTCCTAAAGCGGCCCTGTTTATTTTATGTAACGGACGTGATGATTTGACAGAATGAGCTTTGCGGAAGTTTGTTGCGTATTTTTACTAAAAGATTCTATTTTTTTACATAGAGAAGAAACAAAGTGATAATTTCATATAGTCAACCAATTAAATGCTAAACCAGACCAGATTTTTTTTTTCTCAAGTTTAATTGTTAGAGAAAAATGGACGGAAACCATCACATCCGTTACACCTTTTTCAAGGGTCATTTATTATTTAATTTTTTAATGATTCCATTTTATATCAAGTGATTTACTGATGTTGTGTTCATGTTAATCTTGTGGGATTTCATCTGCCGCTTTTTCAGACTGAGGACATTTTATTTTCTATGTAACCGGCGTCAAAGTAGAATGGTCAAATCAGAGGCTGATTTTGACGTTTAAAATGTCTCCAAAAATATATTTGTCAATATTTCCTTTTGATTTTATCCACACTATCTCTTTGATGTGTCTGTTTTTGAAATCTTTTTTCCTCTCTATGATAGTAATTTTAAGTTTTTGAGTTATAACCTTTTAAAGTCCAGATACTTTAATTGACACTTTACTGTGAACACACTCATATGTGTATTTGATAATAAAGTTGGACTTTTGCAATAAAAAGTTCCATAGTTATAATTTTTTCATTATTAACTATTAGTTAGTAACTATTTCAATCAATCATCACACTTTTTCTGTTACAAACTGACCCGGCCGCAATCGAAGAAGGGAAAAGTTATGTGGCCCTCACAGAAAAAGTTTGGGGACCCCTGCTCTACATAGTCACTTGAAAGTAGTAGTAATTCAGTGGATAAGTATCTGAATTGATTTTTGTGAACATATTTTTTGTAGGTGCGCCCGAATGTCCCGGGGAGCTGTTTTATGCGGAGTCTGGTCCAGCTTTTGTTCCTAGCTGCTCAAACCAACAAATCGACAGCTCCGAACTGACAAGCTCCTGTGTCTGCCCCAGTGGTGAGGACATTCACTTTCTTAAAATGCATATGACAGTGAAGACATAACTTCATGAAAAATACCGTCTAGATATCTAAGAATTTAAGATAAATATTTTCTCATTATCATTTCAGTTTAGCCATTTTTTATTTATTTTTTATCAATGATGACATCACCATTAGGTTGTTAATGACCAAACTTGAAAATAATTAGATATTGCACAACAAAAATCTCTTGTTGTGCAACATATGATGGTTCAATATTGTGGTAAAATAAATTGTGTTTTGGATCTATTTTTGAGAATGCAATGCTTTTTTGTTTGTACATGATCAAACTTGGCCAAATCTCCAATTGTACTGAGAAAATACACTGTGTTTGTGACAACAGTAGTTTGGCGCAATCTGAGATATAAAGTATTGGATTTCATTGATCAAATTGAGCTACTGTAAGCTACTTTTTCTATCTAACTGTTTTGTTCCACTAAACTTTATCAATTAGATCCAAGATGACAGTTTAGTGGAAAAGATTGTTTAATGTTACTTAACTTTTTCAATTAAATCCAACACTTTATTTATTAGAGTGTGATTTAGACTGATACCAGATTGGGGAATGCATTTGTTTTGATAGATAGATAGATACTTTGTTGATCCCTGTAGGAGAAATTCAGGTGTCCAGCAGCCGAAGACTAATCCAGGTTTGTTGTACAGTCTGACAGCCGAAGTAACAAAAGATCTCTTCAAACGTTCTGTTCGGCAGCGTGGTGATAGGAGCCATTTGCTTCGATTAGTCCTCTGAGCGGTCATAGTGTCATGCAGAGGGTGTCTGGAGTTACCCAGGATGCCCTGCATAAGAGCCCTCATCCTTCTCTCCAGCACAGCTCCCACAGAGTCCACACTTCTCCCCATCACAGAGACACATTTTCTGATCAGCCTGTCGAGCCGGTTACTGTCTCTCGAGGTCAAACTGCCCCAACACGCAACCCCAAAGAACATGGCACTAGCTACCACAGACTGCTCACATCAAAGGACCTTAGTCTACTCAGAAAGAAAAGTCTGCTCTGACCTTTCTTGTAGATGGCATTGGCCTGAGCTGACTAGTCCAGTCTGTGGTCCAGGTGGACTCCCAGATTTTTATAAGAGTGAACCACTTCGATGTCCTGTTCATTTACTGTGACCGGTCGATGGGAAGGGCTCATGTGAAAGTTGATCATCTCCTTGGTCTTGGACGCATTGAGAATCAGTCCACTCCTCACTCCATTCTGAGAAGGCAGCCACCACCTCCCTGTACTCTGCTTAATTCCCCCACCTTCACACATGCCACAACAACAGCAGTATTGTCCGAGTATTTTTGTACATGGCATGTAGCAGAGTTCTGTGCAAAGTCTGCAGTGTAGATTGTGAAGAGGAAGGGAGCCAGAACGGTACCCTGTGGTGCTCCCCTATTGCTTACAAGAGTCCCAGACACACGCTCTTCCCTCATATAATAATAATAATAATGCATCGGTTTTATATAGCGCTTTTTTGGACACTCAAAGACGCTTCACATGTGTCATTATTCATTCACTCCATACACGGTGGTGATAAACTACTACTGTAGCCACAGCTGCCCTGGGGCACACTGACAGAAGCGAGGCAACCAGTATGCGCCATCGGCCCCTCCGACCACCACCAACCATTCATACACACACCAGACTCATTCTAGGCAATGGGGGTGAAGTGTCTTGCCTAAGGACACAACGGCAGTTTGGCACTTTACAGCCGCAGCCGCCCCACTGTGGCTGGTGTTCCCAGAGGTTAAGTGTCTTGCCAAGGACACAACGACAGTAGTCAGTGGGAGTCGATGGTGAAAGTCTTGAGCGGGGCTTGAACCCACGACCTTCTGGCTCAAAGGCCAACGCTCTACCAACTGAGCTACTGAGTTTCAAATTTCTGTGCATCACCCAATTATGGTTAGCTAAAACAAGCATTAATTGTAAAATGAACTTTTTTCCAGGTCTGGTGCTTGACGACCATCACGAGGGAGCCCCTTGTGTGAGTGTGTCCAGCTGCTCGTGTGTGTTCAATCACCATCTTTATAAACCGGGAGACACACGCAGTAATAGAAGAGAAGCATGGTACAACAGCAGATACAGTGTTTATTGTGCATTGTGATGTTATAGTTGATTTGACCAAACGTGTGGTTGTAGTTTATGTTCTGATGGAGAATGGAAATGCACTCCGCTGCACTTCCCCCCTGTTTGTGTGATAGAAGGACTGTATGTCACTACTTTAGACGGGAAACCATACGTGCTGGGCGAGGGATGTTCGTTTGTGGCTGCAAAGGTAAAGTTCTGCCTCTCTGTACAAGTCTTACGTTTTAACACATCTGTAAACATTAATATTATTCCTTGCAGGGTTTAGACTGGAAAATAGTTATAGAATATGCAAATGGAGAACCCTCTATTCGTTCTGCACATCTTGAGCTTTTCAAGGTACCAAAAGATAAAAGTTGTTGCATGTTATCCAACTGCATGAATTAAAATCTCATATTTGTATTATGTTTTGGGCCTCATCTATCAATCCAGGTGAGTGAAAAGTAAAACAGCTTGTAAAATGTCCCTGATAAAATTGTATACGACACATACCTGCTTTAGTTTTAAGTGGTTCTAATCACCTTTACACTTAAGAAAGAACTTGATAATTAAGGCCCAATATGTTGATTTTTTAAATTCATTATAAGTTGCATTTTCAGGAGAAATACTCATTCTTTGACAACATGGTTACATATGGTGACATCAAGATCTCTGACCTGCATGAGTCTGGTGAGGAACATATCTATTTGTAAATATGCGTCTATCTCCAAGCTTCCATCCTATGCATTATGATGAGAAATGTTTAGACGGTTTACAAATCAAATTTGTTTCTGTGTTGTTATTTTGTCATTATTTCAGAGCACGCTTTGGTTTTCTGGCAGTCTTCAATGTTTGTTGAAGTCTACTCAACTCTTGGACTCCATGTACAAATCCAGATGTCTCCAGAGATTCAGCTCTACATCAAGCCTCTTTCAAACGGCAGCGACATAATCTCAGGTAAATCTGCTTTATACTGAAATATCAAATAATGCTTACATTTTCAGCATCCAATGTTGAATATTTATCAGGTCTGTGTGGGAATAACAACGGAGACACCACAGATGACTTCACTACAAACACTGGGATCATTGAAAGCTCTACTCTGCAGTTCGCGCTGTCCTGGAGTCTTGGTCCGTGTGATATGAAGCCTCCTGCTCCTTGCATCAGAACTGAATACGGTAATAATAGGGCTGAACTCAGAATCAAAATAACAATTGTGAGCAGACTGAATTTAGCATCATACACAAATCCTATTACACAAACAGAATTATTGAATGGTTATTATGTTTGGGGTAACTAAGCACTCCTTATTATCCCATATCCTCCCATTTACCCCTAACTTGATATTTTTCATTAAAAAGAACTAGATATTCTGTATTTTTTGTTTGCTACCCTATTTCTTTGATGTTTTTGCCATGACAGAAATCTTTGCTGATGAGAAATGCTCTGTTTTAACCGATACAACTGGGGTATTTGCTGCTTGCCATGGTCACATCTCACCTGCCCCTTATTATACGGTGAGCAGAGAATTCTTTTGAAGTCTTGTGGATGGGTATGAATTGGCTATGATGCAAACTGATGAATTTCCTATGGTTATGATTTGGAATAGCAGTGTGTTTTGTCCCTGTCAGGCCTGTGTCCAGAGAACATGCAGCTGTCGCTCCAATCTGCATGAGTGCTTGTGCTCTGCTCTGTCCAGTTACGTCAAGGCCTGCACCCGTCTGGGGGTAGAGGTGGGGGATTGGAGAATGGCCACCAACTGCAGTAAGTTTTATGCAACGTTCTTCATTATTGATAAAGGTTTACTAAAGGGGGTGCCCTATGATAATATTTGGAGTTATTACAGTTAATTGTTCAGAAATGTCAGGGTAATTGTATTCTATTCAGTACATATATTGGTTCTTTGTTGTTGTGAGTGTAGCCCTGGCAATGGCAATAAACCAAAATAGAATATAGTTAAACTCATTGAGATTTATTTAAGTGACAAAAACAAGTAGAAGTGATATTTAGTTACATATTAAATACCCAAAACAACCTATTTAAAATCTTTTTGTCTGTGAAGCAACTTTAGTTGTTATGAAGAGCTATTTAAATGTGCCTTTTTAAAAAGCACACAATGTGACCTTTTAAAATCTCAGAGGCAAAGTAAATAAGTATAGCAGTACTAAAGTGTGAGTTGTCCCAAATATATTTCTCTTTATGAGCAGTGTTTGGAAGAAGAATAGGAACTGTCACTGACGTCTTTGGTGTTGTTTTGCAGCCGTGGAGTGCCTTGGGAACCAGGAGTTTTCCTATCATGTCATGGCCTGTAACCGCACGTGTCGCTCCCTGTCGGGGACGGACCTGTCCTGTCTCCTGGAGCACATCCCGGTGGAGGGTTGTGGATGTCCTGAAGGAACTCATCTGAACCATGAGCTCAGTTGCAGTTCCAAGGCTTATTGTGAGTGCCACTATAACGGGGGCACCACACCACCCGGGCCAGCCGTCATCAATGGCCGGCAATGGTGAGTCGACTGTGGAATTGTAGTTTGTATTTGTATTTAAGGGGACAAATTATGTAAAAGGAAATGTCTGGATCTTTCAATTACTCACTTATTTACCCGCCATAATGAACCCACTTTAGTGGATCATTAGTATTTTTATTTTATTTACTATGTACTTTTTTAAACAATGAGGACCTGTACTCCACTTGTAGTTTCATGAAATTGAGTCATAATGCCTGCGACAAATACACCTAATGGTTGGGGTGGAATCTTACATTATGATTTGCTTGGGCAATATATTACCATTTGAGTTAAAACTTGTCTTGTTAGCATTTGTGTGGATGTGCACTGGTGATGTGTGATCCTTCGGTTAGCGCGCGTAAGAGGAACTTAACCGAGCCGGTGTTGGCGGTAGCCCTAACAAAACAAAGCAAATAACGTAATATTAAAACTCAATATTTTATCCATTGGTTATCACGCCTGTAGTGCCAAGACCTTTTCAGCATCTACTCTACCCTCACCACATACCTAATACACATTAAAGAGAACACAACACACAAGAGTCATCGCACCGGACCAAAAATGATTCTATATTATTATGATTCTATTTGAGTTTGTCATAGATTCTTTATATTGAGAAAAATAAAAAGTAAAATAAATCTTCATAATTTATTACATTGTACAACACATGACTTTGTGGTTTAATGTAGGCTACCTGACGAACTGAATGTTAAAAGTATCAAGTTGTGTAACTGACAGTAACTGTATTTTGCAGTATTTGTGAAGATGGAGAACTGAAGTGCTCCGATGACTGTGGTTAGTATGTGCACATTTACATTCTTTTTTTTTCAACTTCTTATTATCCCAATTTCTAACAGTTTATTGTTTTGATTAAACTAATCATCATCATCAACTAATATAAATTATACATCTTTATTTCTATAGAACTTTTTCAAAAACAGTGTTTACAAAGTGCTGCAAAGTCTCAGCATAAAGCAATAACTAAACATAACAGATCAGAAAGAAATACAAGATATTAAAGCAGACAGACAACAAGAAAGAAAAGGAATGTGGAAAAGTGAAACACATGTAGACTTTAAAAACAGACATTTAAGGCAAGGCAAGACAAGTTTTTTTGTATAGCACAATTCATAGACATGGCAACTCAAAGTGCTGAACAAATCAAGATAGCATTAAAATCATAAATAATCACAGTACATTCAAGTCAAGGAAAGGCCATTTATATAATAGTGGGTTTTAAGTAGTGATTTAAAAGAGGATACCGATGGTGCTTGCCTTATCTCAGGTCGTTCAAAAGCCGAGGATCCTGGACAGAGATCATCATCACGTTAGGATATTATTAAAAAATAATTTCAAAGTATCTTGTTTTGTTCACCAGGATGCTCAAATGGGAAAGTTTGTGTTCACTGCTCACATTATAGAGTGGACACTCTTCAGAAAACTTGTGGTGGCAAAGCCTCTGTGAGTATACAAACACACACTTACAGCACATCAAAGCAAATAAACTATGCACCTGGGAACAAAATGTATTGCTACTATTCTTGTTTAATGTTTACACACTGGGTACGTGCTTCTAAACGCTCATTCATACCAGGCATACCAGATGTGTACGGATATGTGTTTAGGCTTCTGTTTTGTGCATACATCTGTTTGTCGATGGATGCCTCTCCACGGCGACACAATGGTGCAATACAGACAGAACCCTCTGTCTGCCCTGTGGACCTGCGTATAGCTTTGCTCTCATCCTGCGTTGTGCTGTCTCCCACATGGGATTACCATGTTTGCTGTGAATGGAGTTTCTTGGCACGCTGGTATTGAAAGTGGTCTCGCTATAACCTCCTTTTGCTACTTTCAAACATCTGTGCCCAGCCTTACTCCGCCCACAAACATTAGAAAATGTTGTGGTCTGGGCTGTGATTGACAACTCGCTTGTCAATCACAGCCACAAAAAAAATCACAATCACAAAAAAAACCAGACAGTTGCCATTGCTGCTTAAAGCAATAGTTTACACACTAGAAAGTCTCATCCCACCCGTGATTACTCACTAATATAATTGTAGAGCTACACACCTGAACCTAAGCCACGGCAGTAGTGGCTGTCAAATGATGAAATTTAATTGGATGTGTTTATTCCACTGGTGTAGAGAAACGCACGTCTCAAATACCAACTGACGTCAAACATCACTCCAGATCCAATGCAGGGGCCAGGCACAAAATTCAAATGTAGTGCCACCAAAAAGGTAGAGAGGGCGCCACACAGACGGTTTTAGGCTCAAAAGTGAGACACCTGACTCAAACTTAGAGGCTAATACTGAAACCATATAAAATCTAAATAATATTTGGTTTGGCGTTTGAGAAGAGCATGTCTTCTCATTAATCTTTTAGTTGCAAGGGAAATATGCTCAGGGGAATGAGCAGGGGTTTCATGCATAAAAGAACTTATGGGAATCCATTTCCATCAGAGGGTCTGATGGGGCAAGTGGAAGTCAGAGTTTTGTTTTGTGCTGTTTGTTTGTGTTTGTTTTTTTTCTTTTATGAGGAGTGTCACAACTAAAGGGAGACTTAAACTAAATAAATATGAATGAGATAAAAATTGTATCGCAAAATGTAAATGGCCTTAATAATTAGATCAAGATGAAACGGATAATACATTATTTAAAAAAAGAAGGAGAAGTCATATTTCTACAAGAGACGCATTTAAATAGAGAAGAACATGAGAAATTGGGAAGGCTTACACCTGGAGTGGTTTTTTTCATCATCTTATACCACAGCAAGGAGGGGAGTGGCCATTATTATTAAGAATTGTACCCCATTTGAACTTGAGAAATGTGTGAAGGATAAAGAGGGCAGATTTGTGTTTGTTATTGGCAAAGTTAATGGTCAATTGATGTCCTTGTTAAATATTTACAATCCACCTGGACAAGATCCTGAATTCATGGGAAGAATGATTTCTCTATTGACCTCAGAGGGGAAAGGGAGGATAATTATGGGAGGGGATTTTAACATGACAATGTGCGCCAAAGATTCACTAAGTAAAGTAAAACACAAGACAGGGAAAACTGCAGCTTTACTAAAGAGCTGAAAAAGGGCTGGGCTTAGTGGATTGCTGAAGACATCTGAATCCTCAAGAAAGGAAATATACATTCTACTCAGAAGCCCACAAGATTTATTCAAGGTTGGATTACTTTTTTAGGTTTAAAGAGGACATCACAAGACTAACAAAATGTGAGATAAAACCCATAACCTTGGGAGATCATGCCCTTATTATTGTAATTATGAAAACAAACGATGAAAAAGGAAGAACACATTGGCGACTGAACAATTCACTTCTTCAGGAAGAACACTTCATTAAAAAAATCAATCAAAGCATAGGAATGTTTTTTCAAGAGAAAGAGAATGAGGAAACGTCACCAGTAATTATATGGGAAGCGGCTAAAGCCACGCTAAGAGGAGAAATAATCTCATATGCTTCCTGGAAAAAGAAAAAGTATCTGCAAGAGATGAACTCAATAAGACAAATATTAGCACAATTGCAAACAGAACACGAAGAGACGGGAGACGATCAAGTAAAAAATAAACTAAAAGAAAAACAAAATGATCTAAACGAAAAACTTACAGATTAAATTGAAAAATCTCTTGCACTTACTAAGCAACAGTATTATGACAATAGTCCAAAAGCATTGAAAATGTTAGCCTTTAAACTAAGAAAACAGAAAGAGAAAACGATCATATCCAAAATTGAGGGAAGTGATCTAAAGTATTATACTGAAGAAAATTAAATTATATAATTGCTTCCTTGAATATTATAAGAAACTATATGGAAAATCTGAAAATAACAACAAAGAAACTCAGAAATACTTGGAGTCACTCAATTTAAAAAAAGTAACTACTGAACAAAATGTTAAATTGTTAGAAGATATATCTGTTCAAGAAATTTTCACGGCAATACAAAACAGTAAGCTTAATAAGAGTCCAGGAGGTGATGGATATACCAATGAATTTTATAAAACCTTCAAAGATTTGTTGGCACCAATTCTATGCAAGTTGTTTAATGGGATTATTGCTAAGGCAGAATGGCCTGCTACATGGAATGATTCAGTCATCAGTGTTCTTCCGAAAGAGGGTAAAGATCTCACCAAATGCAGCTCATATCGACCAGTCTCTTTACTAAATGTGGACCAAAAATTATTTACATCAATCTTAGCGAGCAGATTCTCAAACTTGGTTCCACTTTTGGTGAAGGAAGATCAAACAGGGTTCGTACAAGGAAGGCTCCTGTCAGATTATGTGAGGAGAGTTCTCAACATTATTGATTGGGTGGACAGAGCTAAACAACAGGCTTTAATGTTTACATTGGATGCTGAAAAAGCCTTTGATCGGCTGTCATGGGACTTTATATTTAAGACCTTTAAGGTATTTGGTTTTCATGATAAAATCAAACAAGTTCTTAATATAATGTATTCAGAACCAAAAGCAGCAGTCAAGGTCAATGGAAACCTGTCTAATACCTTCAGTCTCCACCGAGGTGTGAGGCAGGGGGACAGTTTATCACCTTTGGTCTTTGCCCTGTGTATGGAATCCCGAGCAGAGAGCATTAGACAAAACGTAAATGTAAAGGGAATAATAATGGGAGGTAATGAGTACAGACTTGCCCTCTATGCAGACGATGTGATAATAACAGTGACAAATGTCAAGCAATCATTGGAAAATGTAATGTAATGAAATACAAAAGTACAGTGACTACTCAGGGTATAAATTAAATGAACAAAAGACTGAGGCTAAGGTGTATGGAAACTTGGATAACAAAATAAAAATATAATATAATTTTAAATGGGATTGTTAATATATAAAGTATCTGGGGGTATACATACCAAAAGGATTGGAACAATTATTTGGGACAAATTATATGAAACTAATTGACCTGGTAAAAACAGAATTCAATAGGTGGAAACTGCTGAACTTATCAATATATTCAAAAATTCAATCAATTAAAATGACAACTTTACCTCAATTCCTGTTCCTGTTCCAGAATTTGCCTAGCTACATACCACCCAGATACTTTAAAGAATGGGATAGCTTGCTTCAAAAATTCATTTGGGATGAGAAAAAATCTTGAGTCAAACTTAAACTATTGAAACGGCCTAAATCAGAAGGAGGACTAGCATTACCAGATCTGGAGAGTTACTTTAAAGCTGCCCAGATGAAGTCACTTATGGTTTGGATAAGTAATGACAATCCTATTTGGAAGGAGATGGAGCTTCATAAGGTACGCTTGATGAAATCCCTTGTAGTGAAAACTCCAAATCAAGAAATTAAAAAAGAAATACAAAACAATTATTGTTTACAAAACACTATTAGGACATGGGCCATGGCAGAAAATTATGAAAGATTTGAAAATTAAAGACAATGAAATGGTGTATCTGAGAGAAATGGCCAAAGATCCAAACTTTAAAGCGAGTATGACTGATAATATACTGGATAAATGGGCAGAGAAGGGGCTTGTAAGATTCTATCAATTATTTACTAATAATGGAATAAAATCCTTTGAAAATATATCAAGAAAATATTGTCTGCTGACAAACCAATTCTTTAAATACTTGCAAGTAAGAAGCTATTTAAAAGATAAAATAACAAACAAAAAAGAGATTCATCCCATGATATTGTTAATGGAAAGTTTATCAGATTCCAGAATCAAAAATGGCCTCAGTCAAATATATCAAGCTTTATTAAAAAAAAAGTAGGGAACGGTGTTATAAACATCAAGCAAAAATGGGAAGATGAGCTATCCATAATAATAACAGAAAAAGAATGGGAACAAATCAGTATTGGAAATCACCAAACCACTCATTCCTTGTTTTGGAGAGAATTTTCCTGGAAAATTAATACAAGATACTTCCTCACCCCGGAAAAAATGAAACATATAAATAACAGTAGCAAATGTTGGAGGAATTGTGGAGAAGAAAATGCTAATTATACTCATATATTTTATACATGTAATAAAATACAGTCCTTTTGGGAAGAGGTAAGGAAACAAATGGAAAGAACTTTTAAGAAACAATTGGAAATAAAGGCTGAAAATATGCTACTAGGCAAAGTACCTGTAAATATAACACCAGAAGATCATTACCTATTTAGAATTTTAAGAATTACGGCATTAAAAACCATAACTCAAGAATGGAAAAATGAGAATCCACTAGTATTCACAAAATGGGTGAAGTTAATACAGGAGGTAAAATTAAATGAAAAAATAACCCACAAAATTAGGAACAAAGAAACAATTTTTCAAAGGAAGTGGTTCATGACAGAATTTTAGTGATTAACAAATTCTGCTCCTTAACTCTGAGAATGAGTGGTGAAGTGGTTCGGTGATAGGTAGTCTCACCTGTAGACTTTGACTTTAACTTCCTTGTATATATGTGTAGGCGTGTATGTATGTAGGTATATGTGTGTATGTATGTATGTATGTATGTATGTATGTCTGTATATATGGGTATATGTGTTTTGTGTGTGTGTATATATGCGTATATATATATATATATATATATATATATATATGTGTGTATGTCTATGTATATATATATATATTTTTTTAATCTCATCTCAATTTTTTTTTTTTTTCTCAAAGATTTATGTACTGATAACAAAAAACCAGTCAATGGAACTCCTCAAAAAATGTTATTTATTTTTATTTTTATTTATTTTTTTATTTTTATTTTTTCAGAGTAACTAACACTTTATCCCGTTAACAAGAAGTGCTTTACTGTCCTATGAAGTCAAGCCTGAAACTATAAAAAATAAACAAAATGTGATAATTGTTTGTTCCAGCATTCCATTTTGGGGCAATCATTTTGCGAGAGCGGCTGTTACTGTCCGTCTGACCAGTTTGAGAATCACTATGGAGACTGTGTGCCACTGGACAACTGTACTTGCACCTTCAGTGGAAACGTTTACAGCGCTGGAGAAAGTGTCAAGAGTGACTGTAAAACATGGTACACATCATATTGATAGCAACATATTAGAAAAGTGGGGACATTTCTCTCCTGTAGCACTGCTAAGAGACTGGCACAAATATTAACATTTTCAACAATTATAAGAATTTATAAGGTATTGCACGTAACTGTTTCTTATTATTGTGTATGAAAAATGTATGTATGAAGGTTATTATTTTAATAGTAAATCCCTTATGTTTTAAGTTATTTACCTTTTAACAGTTGAGACATTATTTAAACCCAGCCTATAATCTGTAATCACACTAAATGTGTATGTTTCAGCGTGTGCTCTCATGGCCAGTGGCTGTGCACAGATGAACCTTGTCCCAGTAAATGTCAGGTTTTTGGGAATGGACACTATCAAACCTTTGACTCCAAATGGTATCGTTTTGATGGTCATTGCCAGTACATATTGGTCAAGGTAAGAGCAACTTAATTCATTAAAGCAATTCACTTGCATTAATACAGATACTGGTTTCGGATATCAGCGCAGATCCAGGGAACCTTTCAAATCGTGTATCGTTTCTTTGATATCATTAAAACTGCACAAACCTATTGCAGTGACTAAGAGACACCAGGGTTTGCTGATGAGCTCATAACTGCCTGCTGAGGTGCAGGTGTGTGGTGAAGGTGGACTATTATTGCCGTGAGATAGTGACAATGGAGATAGTCCCGTCTGACTGGTCTACCTGTCGAACGGGTCTTGGGCATATGCCATTTTACTGCATTCCAGCGTTCTGTATGCAGAAGTTATACTGGGCTTTGATGTGGACTAGATACATCTTAACTGCAAATTAAAAAAACAAAAAACAAACAAAGGCTGCAACTGATACCAAAATACTGTGTAATGTTACCAACAACAATACTGTCCTTCGTTGCTATAAATATGGAAAATGTGATGGTGTTCCTGTACATAAGCAAACACGCAAAGCCTAAATAAAAAAAGAAGAAGAAGAAGAATAGTTTGAAACGTTTTTTACCACATAACCTGAAATGTTCAAAAGACTGAACAACATACTGTATGTATGATCATTTTATTCGGCATAGATACTTTACAATTCAGTCATTAGATATCCCGTATCAAATGTTATCAACCCGATAGACCACAACCCGATTGTCACTCATGCTTCACAACAAGGAGGTTATGGGTTTCTATATGGAATTTGAGTTTCTTCCCGAAACAAGTCAAGCACCAACATCTGTAGATGGTGCTGTACTACGGCGACCACTCCTCCTGACACAGTAGTGGAATTTCTGCTGGATGGGTCAAATGCAAAAGACAAATTTGGTCTCCCTGAAGTTGTGAAACGCTCATGTCTCATGTGCGTTTCATATCGATACAGAGACTACATTTTAGAATTTTGATATGAGCTTCCTCTGTCTCTACCCAATTTAAAACCTATTTGTTTAGGCAGGCCCTCTCACTGTACATAGGCCAATCTGAAGTATGTTAATTATTTTGTATACTTTTTTTTGGAACTGACTTGTATGCGTACTATTTTTACTGTATGTTTTCAATTGTGAAACGCTTTGTGATCCTGGTCTATGGAAGGCGCTGTATGAATAAACTTTACTTACTTACTTACTTACTGATAGTGGACAAGGCTCTATATTAGGCCTCATGAATATGACCTTAACCTGAGCAGCTCAAGCCTATGTGTGTGAGCTCTTACTGTAAATGTCTTTAGTACATTTCCACTCTGTACAATCGACACAAAAATTGTAGGTTTGGACTAAATAGTTTTCTTCTATAGGATGACTGTGGCATAAGACCTGGAACATTTTCTGTCCGAGTTGAAAGTGTGCCCTGTTGTGATGAGGCGCTGACTTGTTCCCGGTCAATCATACTGGATTTCAAGGTACACTTACATCATCAGATTAACATTTGTATATACCAGTACATTCACAATAACCTGTCATCTCTAAGAACCACTTCACCCTCTTCCTGAGTGACATGAATGTGACGGGGGTCGTTGGCAGTGCATGGTCAGAACTCAGTCCAATGTACACAGTTAAAAACGTGGGCCTCTACATCGTAATAACTGTCCCGAGTCGAGGCATCACTCTCATCTGGGACAAACACACCTGGATCACGGTAGAGCTGCAGCCACAATGGAAGGTGATCAAACTTCAACTGTTTTACACCTACAAGTTAATCCCTGAATCTCAGTGACTAACTGTAACAAGCCTTTTACACATACATTCTGACTACTCCATCCATAATATTCCATTCATTTGAGCAATCCATTTTCGTTGGTGTGTGTGATTGCGTATAATATAATACCTACTACTTCTGTTTTATGCCACAGAAAAACGTGTGCGGCCTCTGTGGGAACTTTGACTCCAATGAGATGAACGATCTTCTAATAAAAGATTCATTTGGTAAATTCAACTGAATACAAAGAGACGGTCTTGTGTTCTTTTTAACTAACTGTGTTTGCGACAGTGGCGCTGAGTCCAATGGCATTTGGAAACAGCTGGAAGAGCCCGTCCCCTCCGTGCTCTGATCTGACCAGGGAGATATTTCCCTGTGAGCGACACTCGTACTGTGCAGCCTGGGCACAGAGACGCTGTCGGATTATCACATCCAACACTTTCAAGGACTGCCACCTCAAAGTACAATGTTTTTTTTTCTCCTTTTTATGTATAATTCTATTTGGGAATTAAGGGTTGACTCTGAAAAGGATGTATGGGACTATTTGAGTTACGTTTGCATGTAGTTGTTGCAAACGTGATCCATACATTGCCTGGAGTACATTCTTGTTCTGCTTGTTTCCATAGACACAGTATTCTGTTGGTTATCATCTTGCAGTTTATATGTTTTAAGTCCTGTTAACTTTACCTTTTAGCTTTCTATCTCCATGGAGTCAAACAGTTGAAAGTAGCAGAAACAGACTAATGAGTGTGCGTGTTCTGTTGCAAGGTGGAGCCCGAGCCGTACTACCAGACTTGTGTGCAAGAGTCATGCTCCTGTGAGTTTGAAGGGAGGTTCTTGGGCTTCTGCACGGCTGTAGCTGCTTATGCGGAGGCCTGCAGCGACTGGGGCGTCTGTGTGGACTGGAGAACTCCCGATGTGTGCCGTAAGAATGTTTTTATACTTCCAAAAGCGCATTTTGTTGTAAAAGTCAAAAGGAAATTGTGCATTTCATACAATATTTGAAACAATAGTGGGACCTGACTGTATTATCATATCAATAAATATAACAGCCTTTTTTTTCACATCATTCTGTAGTCTGTTATAACCATAATAACATAATGAATCATTTGGTTTTCTCCCAGCGGTCTACTGTGACTACTACAATGAGCAGGATGAGTGCGTGTGGCATTATGAAGCCTGCGGTGAGCTGCTCACATGTGGCCAAGAACAAAATTTTACTCACAAACTAGAAGGTACAACGATATCACAAATCCATTGCATTAAATGTGTCATCTAAAGAATATATAATTTCTCAGGGAGTTACCCAAGATGCCCTGCAGAGAAACCATACTATGATGAACAGACTGGAAAATGCACCGATTTGCAAAGCTGTACATGTTTATTTAATGGAATGATCGTAGAGCCGGGTGCAGTGGTTAGAAAAGAGTCCGAAGAGTGGTACGATTTTTTCAACTAGATGACAATTGTTAATGCATTACTTACACCTAAAACAACTTTTTTTCCCTAGCTACTGTATAAACGGAACAATTGTGTGTAGTAAGTAGTTTGGTTGTATTTGAGCAAATGCACCAAAAGATATGATAGATTTATTCATGTTATCACTTGTTTTCCAGATACTCCTACTACTACTACTGCTTCAACCACTACTATGACTACTACTCCTGATGCGCCCTCAACTACTACTCATTCTACTCCATCCACTACTCCAAAAACTGCTACTACTACTACTCCATCCTCAACTACGACACCCACTACAACTACTCAACCCACTACTTCACCAACAACAAATACTACCCCTACTACTACTACTACTTCACTTACAACACATACTACCTCTACTACTACTACTACTACACCTACTACTACTGCTCAACCCACTACTTCACCAACAATAAATACTACCCCTACTACTACTACTACTACTACTACAACACCTACAACTACTGCTCAACCCACTACTTCACTTACAACACATACTACCCCTACTACTACTACTACAACACCTACAACTACTGCTCAACCCACTACTTCACTTACAACACATACTACCCCTACTACTACTACTACAACACCTACAACTACTGCTCAACCCACTACTTCACTTACAACACATACTACCGCTACTACTACTACACCTACTACTACTGCTCAACCCACTACTTCACCAACAACAAATACTACCCCTACTACTACTACTACTACACCTACTACTACTGCTCAACCCACTACTTCACCAACAACAAATACTACCCCTACTACTACTACTACTACTACTACAACACCTACAACTACTGCTCAACCCACTACTTCACCAACAACAAATACTACCCCTACTACTACTATAACACCTACTACTACTGCTCAACCCACTACTTCACTTACAACGACAACTGCTACTACTTTATCTACTACTACTACTTCTGCTTCAACTATAACAGCTACTACTACTGCATCCCCAACTACTATTATTTCAACTACTACTACAACTGCACCATCCACTACTATAACCAGTTTACCCTCTACTGTGCAAACAACTACACATGGGTCAACAACAACTCATCCTCCATGTAAGCCAATTGTTTATTTGTTAATGATAGTTGCAGTAGTTTCCTGCTCTGGACAGAGCAGTCGCATTCTCTTGCTGCTCCTCGCTTGCTGCTTTTTTATCTCCTTTAATAATTTTTGCTTACATTTTTATTCCACAAAACACGGATTACTCCTTTTTGCATAAGAAGTGGCGCAAGTCCAACCTCCAGGTTGATTACGAGATCTTCAAAGATAAGTTGTGCGAGTTTAACCGGGTGCTACGTAGTACAAGAGAAAGGTATTTTTCTGAAATGATTGAAGGCTTCGGTAACAATCTGCGTGTTCTGTTTTCAACAGTTAATAGATTAACAAACCCCCCTGTTCAAATGCCATTAGAGCTTACTTCCAAACGTAAATGCAATGAGTTTGCTAATTTTTTCAATGACAAGGTTCAAGGCATCAAAAACGCCATTGTCTCCAATCCACAGATAACCATCCAACAGCCAAAAAGGCTCTCTGCGCTAACTCACTTTGCACCTGTAAATGATCAAACTGTCCAAGAGATTATCTCCAGTTTGATCTCCTCCACATGCAGCTTGGATGTACTACCCACTAGATTTCTGAAGTCTGTTCTGAGCAGTCTGTTACCTTCACTCACACAGATAGTAAACATGTCCCTTCATTCTGGAATATTCCCAAAGGCCCTGAAAACTGCAGTCATCAGGCCCCTGCTAAAAAAGAGCAATCTCGATGCTACGGTACTTAACAACTATCGTCCCATCTCAAATCTTCCATTTATGGGGAAAGTCCTTGAGAAAGTTGTCTACCAACAGCTTTCTAGATTTCTTATAATCAACAACTCATTTGATATGTTTCAGTCCGGCTTTAGACCCCACCACAGCACTGAGACTGCCCTTGTCAAGGTAACAAACGATATCCGGTTGAACACTGACGCAGGCAAAGTCTCAATCTTAATCTTGTTAGATCTGAGTGCTGCCTTTGACACTGTCGACCATGAGATCCTCTTACAGAGACTAGAGGACTGGGTTGGCGTCGCTGGCATCGCTCTAAGTTGGTTTAGGTCTTACCTTGGAGACCGGAAGTACTTTGTGGAGATTGGAAACTGTGTCTCAGATCATATGGCCCTGACCTGTGGAGTACCACAGGGGTCAATCCTGGGACCTCTTCTGTTCAAGCTTTACATGCTGCCGTTAGGTCAGTTAATACGCAGAAACAAAGTGTCCTATCACAACTATGCAGACGACACTCAGATCTATGTCTCACTGAATGCAGGAGAACATGGACCAGTGGACTCACTGTATCCAACAGATCAGTGAGTGGATGCAAAACAACTTCCTTCAGCTAAACGCAGACATTAAATTATTGTTTTTGGTCCCCAGAAACAAAGAGAGAGCGTCATCTGTCATCTACAGTCTCTCTCCCTAAAACCTTCAAACCAGGTCAGAAATCTAGGGGTAATACTGGACTTAGACTTCAATTTTAATAGCCACATCAAATCAGTAACATCAGCAGCTTTTTACCATCTAAAAAACATTGCCAGGATCAAAAACATAGTGTCTAAAGCAGACCTGGAGATTCTTATCCATGCATTTGTCTCCAGTAGGTTAGACTACTGCAATGGCCTGCTCACAGGTCTGTCCAAACAGGCTGTAAAACAGCTGCAGTACATTCAAAATGCAGCAGCTCGAGTCCTGACTAGAACCAGGAAGTACGACCATATTAGTCCAGTTCTCAGGTCCCTGCACTGGCTTCCTATGGCTCAGAGAATAGACTTTAAAACAGCTCTGCTTGTGTACAAGTCTCTCCATGGCCTCGCACCAAAATATATTAGTGACATGTTAGTCCCATATGAACCAGCCCGGACTCTGAGGAGCACAGGGACTGGACTCCTGTTAGTGCCCAGAGTCAGAACTAAACATGGGGAGGCTGCTTTTCAGATTCATGCTGCTAAAATCTGGAACAGTCTTCCTGAAGATGTGAGACAGGCCTCCTCTCTGACAATGTTTAAAACCAGGTTAAAGACAGTTCTGTTTAGCTATGCATACAACTGAGGGATTTTATATTTTTAGCTTTCTTTTTATTGTTCTGTGATTATTTATGATTTTAATGCTTATTTTGTTCAGCACTTTGAATTGCCTTGTGTATGAATTGTGCTACATAAATAAACGTGCCTTGCCTTAAAATGTGAAATTGTTCTATAAAGTTTAATGAGCATATTCTTAACATGTAATATCCAGATTCAATTTAGGAATGGAAAATATTTTGTAAACTACAAATGAAAAAACAGTATTTTGTCATTGAGTGCGTTTACAAATAGGAATATGGAGTACATTAAAAAATCACATTCTATTTGGTGAGATTATCAAACAGGTCTGACAAGTTTTGGTCCCGTCTCTGTGCAACAAGGAGAGGCCTCTTATGGCTTCAGACTTTTGGACGCTTTCAACTTTTCCTTAATACTCAAACTGTAATTGTAAAGGAAATTGCTATCATACATACATTTATCAGCACAAAGATTGGAGATTCGAGACACATATTATCAACTGCACTGCACAGAGATTGTATTTTTTGAGTTATATTCAAGGATATTGCTTTGTAGCATATTATTAATCGAAACAGGTTAAATTCATTATGGCTTAAAACTGCAGGTATGATATGATAAAATCTCCCTCTTTGTAGTTACATTGCATAATATACAGCATTTTAATGTGGAAACAATATATTACCCTTGAACAGCATAGACACCAGAGGTTGTCAATGCTAAATGGAACAGTGTACTCAACCTTAAATCATGTCCTTTGCAGCTTGTGAGTGTGTGAACCTGAAAAGCAAGCTGACATGGCCATGTGGAGCGGCCTGGACACAAGACTGTAACCACGTGACTTGCACAAACGGGGTTCTGCAGTTCTCGCCTGTGCAGTGTCCCCAGTACCCTCCTCCCAGCTGCCCCAGGGGTCTGGCGGTCAACGTGTCCGATGGATGCTGCGAACGGCCGACTTGTGATTGTGAGTTTTAACCCACAAACCGTTCCAACCAAGTGAATGTGCATTTAATACAGTTAATCTTATGTTGAATGTGAATAGTTGGACCAAAATATGTTGCTAATTTAAAAGTTTTTGTTTCATATATTTGTACATGAGTGAGGGTGAGATCTTTGCTCTTCTTTTGAAAAGCCAACAGAGCATTCATTGTACTCCACTCCTTTCCCTGTAGGTCGCTGTGAGCTTTATGGAGACCCCCACTACATCTCATTTCAAGGCGTCACATTTGATTTCTTTGATGAATGCACATATATCCTTGTCGAGGAGCAATTGCCAGAGTACAACTTAAGAATCGCTGTGGACAACTTCTTCTGCGTTGAAGACCTGGAGGGTTCCTGTGTGAAAGGCGTGATAGTGGAATATAAAGGCAACACGGCTAAACTCACAATTGACTCTTTCAAAGTTCAGGTGCGACGTTAGAGAGGTTCTCAACTGGTGTGTAGACTGTGAACTTTTCCTTATTGGGGTAGTGTATTTGTATGTTCTTTGTTCATATGTATCTTTTGGGTCCAATCTCTCTTTTGTACCCCTCCGTCTACCCCCTTTCCTTTTGCTTTTAGAATAACAGCTTTAAGGCAGTGGGCTATGTATCAGCCCAATCAAATAGGACACCCCTTACCCTCTCGATCAAACAATTTAGCAATACATTTGATACACAATGTTTTATTTCTATTTATTTGGACAGTGTTAATCCTGCACAAAAGGAGTGAGCTGAGGCAAAAAGCTTATACTGTAAGCACCCCCTCCCCCAAAACTCAACTACAATCAAACTTTTCAAATGACAAAAAGAATAGTACAGAACAAGGACACAATTGCACACAAAACAAGCTACATATCCTTGATCCTGTTGTGTTGTTGAACATTCAACAATTTAAAAGAATAAAATAATTCCTTAATTGTTAACATATTATCGAATTAAATAGAAAGTGACACAGTCAGCAAACTAATAATAAACAATATTAGTGATTACCTTCCAGTGTTTGTATTGTACAAAAGTGAATATCAAAAATATTATAAAGAAAACATTTATTGTTTTAAGCGGATGAAAACAGAGAAACCCATTGTTGTATTTAAAACAGAGTTAGTAATCCAAGATTGGAGAAACACATCACTAAGAGGGGTAAAAAAAAAAACCCTAGCGTGCATATAGCAGAGGGAAAGGGCAAAGGGGTAGGGGTTGATACATTACCTAAAACAGCCAAAAATAATATTTCTTCCTTTGTCTCCTGTAGGCATCTTTGAACAATGCGACACTAGATCTGCCTTATGATGATTTTGGGATGAGCTTTATGTCGACTGGGTACGTCACGACCCTGGTCCTCCCTGAGATCCGCTCATACGTCAGCCTCACTCCATTCTTTTCGCTGGTCGTCAGTCTGGCCATGGAGAACTTTGGCAACAACACACAGGGACAATGTGGTGAGTTGAATATATGAATAGATTATTCATATATTATGAGCTGCTATGTATGCCCGGCCCAATAGAAATGTTTATGGGTAATTAATGAATTAATGGGGATTGTGAAAGGTCATCCCTGACATAGCATGGCCATCCGTACACTCCGCTCAATCATCATTTCACTTAGTACGAAATGTAATTTGTACTATGGTGTGGTACGACCAGGCTATCCCTGACAGAACTAAAACGTTTTTTACTTCAACAAGTGCAATGTTTTTTACCTATTTCTTACACACTGAGTGATCCAAATCAAATATAGCTATGATTGAGACAGCAATAAATCCAAACTGTTTTATAGTGTGTTACTTTCATGAGGTTATTATAAAAACTATACACAAGTCGCATGTGGAACATTACTGTACAGATAGTTCATCATTTTTTCTGTAAAAATTGAAAATTGCTTCATGCGGATCATGAATTACGATGCTCTGGGGTCCTGGATGCGCTGCGCTGTGACTTTGAAGGCTTATTTTGAATGTTTGAAGACACTTTCCTGTCTCCCCTGTGGCAAAAAGCAACACTCTCCTTTCCTGCTGTTGTCCCGGATCGACACAACATTTCATCACGGGTCAAAAATCATGCGGCAGCCATGGGACAATGCCTTTTGATGGATAGATAGATAGTGCTTATTTCTAAATGCTTTACGAAAGAGTTGCCTAGACATATGAATTGATGCCTTTCTTCTGCCTAGGTGTTTGTGGAGGTGGGTCTTGCATTCGGCGTGGAGGATTAGTTGAAGATGACAGTTGCTGTGAGAAAACAGCACATGATTGGGTTCACAAAGACACCCAGAAACCGAAGTGTGAGTCTGCTCCCAAAGACAAGCCGTGTGGCCCCCCATCTCCACCGCCCCGCTGTCCCACTCCTTCTCTCTGTGAGCTGCTGAATCAAACGTACGTTCTATCAACACACGTATTAATGCTGAGCACACATATGACAAAATATTGAAAATTGTTTATCACCCCAATACATACACACACACACGCAGATGGGAAAACAGGTTCTTTGGACCCGGGTTTAAAAGGAGACCACTGTATGAAAAGCAAATTAAAAGCAATTTATTAGAAAACAAGTAAAATAATTTAAAAAACAATAAAAATCTAAGCTAAAACAAGAGGCTAAAATAGGCTAAAAAAACCCCCTCCTGTCCACGGGCCGCCAGCTCCCTCTCCTGCTTCCTCCTCCTCCGCCCAGGTGTTCTAATTGTCATCACATGGGGTGCCGGGATGCTTTGGGTGGTTAAAAACCATTTTAAAGACGATGTTTAAACCGCACACAACTTGCATAAAAATATAAATAAAACCCTTATTAAAAACCACCATCCATTTTGCACCCGCCGACAGGCGCGCACACACACTATATTTATTTGAATTTATTGTACTCAGTATCCCCAAAGATGTTAAGAAGTTGCCTGTCTCTCTCGGCCAAATATGCTAGCACTATTTGTGTGCTGTCTGTTTCAAACTAATATTATTACTTTGAACAACCCCTAAAAACAATATGTATAGTCTGCTGAATGTTTGGCTTCAAGAACCATCATCCTGTTTTCTGAAATGATCAAAATGCATATTATAGTAGATAATGAACTAAAGCAAAAATTACTTATGTAATTCAAATGTTATGAATTCCATATGACCCACTATCAGGAAGGATGTAATAGAACTAGATTGAAACTAGATGCTTAAGTTTGTAAGTATCATTTTTCAGATCTAAAAAATTGATCAAGGCCAAAAAATACATGCATGAAGCAAACTGGTCGAGGAATTGGTCAGATAGATTTTATTACATAGTTTTAGTACAAAACATGTAAATCATATAATTCTGCAATGAAAGTATCATTCTGTTATAGGCTTTTTGCCCAGTGCCGTGAGCATGTCAACCTGCTCCCTATAATGAAAAGCTGTGAGATTGACTCCTGTGGCTCTGTTCCGCCATGTTCTTCTCTGGAGAAGGCTGCAGACGAGTGTAAAAAAAATGGTTTCTGTGTTGAGTGGAGAGAGCACACCAATGGAAGCTGTGGTAAAGATCATTTGTTATTTTGTTTACATGCATCCATAAGGGCTTTAAGTTTAAACTAAGCATGTCTCTTGCAGTCATACCCTGTTCAGAAGGACTAGTTTACAAAGAATGCAGTCCTAAATGGGATGATTTCTGCATTGACGGGTAAGTTACACACAGAGAAGTCAATGGCGATCCATGTCTATCAAAATTTAATTATTAGTTTTTGGACCTCCTTGTTCGTGTGTGATCCTGAGCGACACACAAGGTGAGACTCTTTAACAGCCTAAACTTTATCAGTCTAAATGTATAACACATATTTATAGCATTTGTTGTGCTTAGTAGTGAAACACGTGGCTGATAAGTTTGTTTATGCTTCCAGCCAGTTGTGTTGTAACACTGAACTTATCAGTGACAGAGTAGTTATGACTTACTACTTGTTATTGTTCAATAAACCTCAAAGCTTGAATCAGGAAGTGGGTAGCTTTGTGGCTTAGCCCCTAGGAAAAATATAGTTGTTAAATTAAATTGACAGTATGTAATATGCACATTTAGTGATCCAATCGAAATTTCCCCACTGTGGGACGAATAAAGGAATTCTTATCTTATCTTAATAATGTAGTTACAATTTAAATCCAACTTTTGTTGTCATAATGTTTCTGCCTGTGACACAATGCAATCTAATCTTATGTATTCGGACCACTTATGATTACTAATGTACTCATAATGTACCGAGCGCGGACCACAGAAACGTGGACAAGGCCATTCCCTGGAGCTTGTTGCAAGTGCGTGTCTTTGCGTAACTTGTGGACGCAATAAATATGCCGGGGGGGTGGCACTTTGCGTACACAATGTCAGCCATTGGCCATCGGCTGACATTGTGTGATTGCTGTTCGCAGGAGCCTGGTTCTTTGTTGCACATGTTTTGGACTTGCTTGAAAATGCCTAATTTCTGGAGTAGCAAATTCCAAGTCCTCTCCAAGATTTGCGGCAGGGCAGTAACCCCCTGTCCATTTGTTGCAATCTTGTCTTTTGCTGGCTTGTTTTTTGTTTACTTTCTGCGCACTAATGGCTCGTTGATCAATAATTACTGAGCTGGACAGATCCACAGACATTTGGGCTCTGGGTTAGATATTATTACTAAGAGCTCGAAAAGACACACAACTAATTTCTCGGTTAAAAATTTCCCCTAAAATATAAGACACTTTTCTTGCTTACTTTAAAGGATACAACTGTATTTGTATGGAAATGACCGGAAAAAATACTACTGATACCAGTTTACACTTTCATTAAATTCTTTTTGAGTTTTCATCCCTGTATGGCCTTTTGTTTTGTGGATTTCTTATGTTTGTCATACTGAATCTTTAATAAATAAACATTTTTTGTTTTTTTTTCGGCTAAAATGAATTCACTCTTACAGACGTAGTAACAAAGGAAAAGCAGTGCCAGAGACTATTGCTGGTTGCTTTTGTCCAGGCAACAAAAGCAGATCCAGCAGTGGCTCAAACATCTGTGTGGACCATTGCAAATGTAAGTTTTATGGTTTCATAGCTGTTAATAACAATATTTTATTTACAGTTAAGGATTACATTGACTGTCAATGGTGTATATTTACTTTGTAAAGAAACACTTATAAACAATGCAAACGAGGATTTGCTATATATTCATCTATATGTCATTTCAGTTTGCATTGGACCATTGGGTCAAGTTATTAAAGTAAGAACACATTTCCAACATTAGACTGTAACTATGAAGTCAGTGTCAAACAAGACGTATTTTGAATTTTATCATTTCCATTTTATTTCTCAGCCTGGTGAAGTCTGGAAGTCCAATTGTCACAATTGCACATGTAAACCTGATTATAACAGCCCCAGAGGAAATACAGTAAGGAATGCCTATTTTGTAAAGAAAGTGTTGATAAATGGGAGGGGAAACAAAAACATTAGTACCCAAGTTATTTGTTGCCTGGAAGATCTTTAAGTTAAAAAAATGCAAGAGTTTTGCAACTACTTTCACAGCACACTTGTTCACTGTGATGATGAATAAAAAAAGAATAAAAAAAGCATTTTGGCTCAATATTGCACAAGTTTGACCCCAATTTTCTTGTAATCTCTACAGTAAAAGTGAATGTTACTTTGCACAGTATAGTAGAGGGAATCACAGTGAACAAGTTTTCTGTGAAAGAAGACGCAAAACTTGTTTATTTTCTTCCTAATTAATTTTTCAAAATTGCATTTTGGTTGCTCATCCTCGCGCCTTCCTTTTCCATGTTTACTCTAAGTAACAGCATAAAGGGCAACCCTCTTTTAATGTGCGGACCACTTTACCGCAACGGCAGAAAGCCGGGCCACTTTGAAAAACGCAAAATGGTTTTTCACCACGGACCCGTCTTGCTTAAAGGGTCCCAGGTTTTCTATGAAGTAAGAATAAATGTCTCCGAGTGGCCAGTCGCAGCAGATCGGTGCCAAGACAGAGGCGAGTCTGACCAATGTTTCTTCTCGTCATCCCAGGTCTCATCTGGGCTTTGAATTTGTTCAGTTCGGTCTTATTTTTAGCTTATCTTTATATGTCCTCTGATCTTCTTGCGTTAAAGTCATAGACTGTATATATTAAAGTGCATTGCATTTCGCCCGCTAAGTGATCCTTCTATAGATAGTTCACTTTTCTGCTGGAGAAGTTCAAAGAGATATTGTTATTTTATTGCCTATAAAATTCAACAGTATGACATTAATCCTCTCTATGAAAATGGAGGCAAACGGAAAGCTCTATCAGATTTATGGACAGGCCTTACGCTCACAGTTTACATATGAGAAGTAGACATATTAGTTTCAGTAATAAAACATCCCTACTCAGAGACTAGCATGTGGTGATGGATAATCCTGCTCCACTACATGAAACAAAAGCACACAACAAAATCTAATATCCACAGTTCAAAATGGTTAGGACCAGTTTTAACTTCAATCTCAAAAAGTATTGTCAGAATATTTCAAAAATTGGATGTGATTTTTTTTCTTTATTACAGGTCTCTAAATCTCCTTTTTGGATAAATGTCCCTCAGCTGTGAAAGAGGAGACATTCTACTGTGTATCAGAGCGAACCCTCATTGTAGGCGAACTTTAGAGCTGGATCTTTGTGCAGATATGATTCCCACTTACAGTTATGGTTTGGTTAACCTTTATTACACCTGTGGTGAAATTTGTGGCAATGCCGCTATGTCCTTGTGTCAGGGAGAACATGCAAACTCTAATCAGAAAGGCCCTGTTCTAACCGGGATTTGAACTAACACTTTGCTGAGGAGCAACCTTCTCATCAAAGGCCAAAACTACAGGGTTAGCAAAACTAGGGCTCCAAAGGGTTCTTGTACAGTTTCAGTATGAATTGCACTGACTTATTCAGTTGTTACAGATAGAATAGGCAAAAAGAGTGCATGGGGTTAAGTTTGTGATCTTGATCCAACATTTTAAAAGGTTGTATCAATTTGTGTTTTTCTTGTATGTTGACTTAAAGTCAAGTCTTCTAAATGAGGGTTGTGACATTGAGTAATGTATTTTGTCTGCATCGTAGGAACTCAGTGAGCAGTCTGTGCACGTGGAGTGCTCTCCAATCATCCCCCCGCCGCCTCCCAAATGTGCACCAACACAAGTCTTAGTGAATCGGTGCTGCAGACTGTACGACTGCGGTGAGATCTGGCATCCATCAAAACGAGTGTTGTCATAGTATAATAGGTTACATGAGACTGTCACCTATTCCCATTCATTTTGGGAAAGGGTCTTGTGAGACTTGACAGATTGCTTTTTCAAAAATGCTATACAATTTCAGCACTTATTACTCCCTCAAGAAAGTGTCTTGAGCATCAGCCTGCTATCTACAGTAACAGAGCACTTGCATCCATGCAAATGCTTTCAGTAAAATATTTGTGAATTGAATGAAATTCTGACACCCTCCACCACAACCCCCACCCAAGTCCATGTGCAGTTATGTGTATGTACATGTACATGTCTTTGTGTTATATTTAGTTTGTAATGGTTTTGCCTGTCTAAAATTACTTTCAAATATTTGTTTGTAATTAAATGCAAAATCAATTACAAGTACTGCTTTCAAGATTTTACTGGAATGAATAATGCTCATCAAAGTACTGTATATAGTAAAACATTAAATTAATTGTCAATTATGTATTTGTTTCAGTTGAAAAGACATGCACGTACAAAGGAAAAACATATACAGTAGGTTTTCCGTCATTCTGCAGCAAATACCACCTGCACTGATGTTAGATCTAGCTATAAATGGTGGTTATTTTTCTTTCAATTTGTGTCTTTAGGTTGGAGAAACGTGGAGAGATGGTGAAGAGCCGTGTATGTCTTTCATCTGCAGCATTGAAGGCATCCAGAATGAAACTAAAGTCTGTCCAGCACCGCACTGCTCTGAGGTACTGTAACAGGTGCTCTCATTACAATAACCACTTAATTCACAGTAGAAATCCAAAAAGAGATGAAATCTTTCAAACAGAATGCACAGCTTCAATGACACGTTGGACGAACAGGAGTATAATATAATAAATATGGAATTAATTCTTATCATTTTCCCCTCTACTTTTAGAAGGACAAGATTTGGGATGATCAACACTGCTGTTTCTCGTGCAGAGGTGGGTGGTTTTACAGGCATCATACTTCTGCTACTTGAGTCATAGGGTAATGGATACAATGGTGCTCATTCTTTGAATATCTTTGAAAACCTCCTCAGCAATGAAGTGTTTTGTGCTACCACTAATTTAAAATAAAAAAAATAATTATTTGTTACATAAATAATATTCACATCCATAAATGTTGGCTATCATAACGCACAGTGAATCAGGACGATGCTCGAGTTCAAGCCAATCAATTCTTATAACTTTCTCCGCACTTCTTAAGAGCGTCCGCCAGGAGGCAGTGTACGCTGTGCTCTGCTCTTCGCTTATGTTTGAACGTGTTTGTGCAGATGGCAGCAGCTGTGCTCCTGTGAGGACTACTCTGAATGTTTCAGTGGAACAGTGCTTCTTCCAGCTGCAGGTCCCAGTGTGTAAGGGCTTCTGCCAAAGCCACCACAGGTCAGTGGGTCACTATGAATGTGATTTCATCACATGTTTTGTTACACAATAATCATATTTTGATCAAGATTAGGTTCAAGTTTCATTTATTACTCATGGAATTTTTGGCAAATATATTTCAGTGTGTGAGAGAAGGGAGGATAGTCAGTTGGGACACAAACTAACATTGCTGAGCTGAGGACAGGCACATAAAGTGTGAATCTGATGCCAATCCATGACCATGAGACACATCAGCATCTGTCATGGTGTTTTTATGGTCTGACTAAAAGAGTGGTGCCACAGCACAGTTTGAGTGTTCGATTGTATACTAAACAGAGAGACAATATTTGCAATGTTTGCAAAGTGGAATGACAAGTGATGAAGAGTGATAGATTTACTTTACCATAGATACAAACTATATCCCTTATCTGCATTAGTATGTGTCCATATCCAACTTACAACTGCAGCAAATAAAAGAGAAAATCACATTAACAAACTTAAATAGACCACAGCTGAGACATATTTTGCAATAATAACAGCTTATTAACCGAGCAAGCGAGGTTAATAAATGTTTTATTGTATGACTATTTTTAATTTATGCAAATATCGATCGGTTTCAACTAGCAAAAACACATGCAACCAAACTGTCAAATAGTGACCTGAAGAACTTGCTCATCAGATGATTGAGGTCGCCCGCTGGTAAGTTCTCAATCTCTGTGTCTTTACCAATGCTTTTTAGATATTTGATATTGGTTTTCCCAATAGTGTTTCTACCTTTCTGGTCTGTAACAAAGTTGTCAATCTCTTTGTGATAGTGGGGGGTTTTTGAGGGATTGACATTAAAAAAGGTAGATTAAAAACTGCCAGAAAAGGTGCCGAATAAAATAATTTATGGATTAAAAGAGCTGGGTGTTTCCAATAAAACCAGAAGTTAAAATGAATTAAAATCATGTTTAATCCAATATAAAATAGATAAAATAGTAATTAAAAAAGAATTAAAACGATAAAATGATAAAATGATGAAATGATAAAATGATAAAATGATGGCGGTCCAAAGGGCCTGGTCCTCTCGCCCGGAAGATGGACGAAGGGCAGCACTCCCACGGCATCAGGGGGGGGTTCCGCGCGCGCAGCTGCTGGCGTCGTACCTGCAACAGAGAGGCAGAGGGCCAGCTCTGAGCTCTCCCGCTCACACCCACCAGGAAGCCCAGGCCCGAGGCCGCTTGATGCAGCGGGAGCTAGAGCGGTTGAGCGGTACTCACGGACAGGGAGAGCTCCCCGCTCTCCCGCTGCATCCTCTGACTTGTTCGCTGGTGGTGCTCGCTGCCTCCGGTCCCTCGCCTCTCTTCCCGGCCTGAACGCTGCGCCGCCTCACTCCCCTCCTACGGGGCGCCCGGGTCCAGCGGCGAGCTCCAGCCCTGTCGCACAGCACACACACGGGCCAGCCACACACAGCACCCAGGATCCCCCCTTCAGCCCAAGGCTTCCTTACACCACGTCTACACAAGAGCAAAACTCACCAGCAGGGCAGGGTCCAAATGCCCTGCCTCTGTGTAGTTCTCGTCGTGGTGCGGGGGTCCAGAGCGTGGGTGCCATGGTGCTGGCCCGGTGCGTGCTGGTCTCTCCTTCCGGGCTCGCCTCCCCTCGCTGCGCATCCGCTCCCCGGTGTCGCGTCTCCTGTCTCCGCGGTCCCAATCTCCTGCATGGCCTCTTTATACAGTCACCCCAGACACAGGTGTCTTGATTTGCACTCAGGTGCAGGCAGGTGTGCCGGTAACCATGGCTACTGGGAGGCATGAAAGAAAACACACAGCAAACCAAAAAAACATGCAAACAAAACACATGCCATCCCAGTCCACCGGATTACATCTTCTTGACTCTTAGGAGTTGTGTTTTCGTTGTTATTTGATGTTATTACTTCCTCTGGCTCTTTGAACTCGTCCACATAATAGAATTCACTGGAGAATGCTCCCAGTCGTCGCTCATTATTTCTTTTTTACCGAGGAGAAATATAAAATAAAAATAATAAAATAAAATAATATAAATTTGATACGCGCTGCGGACCAATTGTCATGGTAACGGTCTGAGATGGCAAAATATCAGACCAATCAGAGCGCGCGTACGATCCAAGTCATATAATAAATGGTAATATTTATACAATATCAATTATACGATTTTGTAATTATCTTCTATATTGTTCAACTCTGCTGTTCAATCCTCCAGAAAGAAAAAAGATTGCATTAGAAAGAAAGGAACATAAATCATTGTGGCAGTAAAGTGAAAGTTGAGCTTGTCTCTGCACTGGTCCAAGGTTCAGTTCTATGACTTTTAGTGCCTCAGCTTGCCACATGTCCCTTGAACAGTGCTTGTGTGTTTCCCTGTTACAGACTGGTGATGGCTGGGAAGCTACAGGTGGAGCAGAGAAGTCACTGTTGTGCAGAGAGCCGCTTCGAGACCAGAGCAGTGACCGTCCAGTGCTCTGACCAAAGCAACCACACTTTTGAATACTCCCACATTACCCACTGTGAGTGCAATGACTGCCCACTGTCCATCTTTTTTTGACTTGTTTTCATAATGGTTGTAAGACCATAGGAAGGAGTGGGCAGAGTGATCTGAGATTCTCTCATAAAAAATGCAAATTAAAGTGAAGCTCAATCATTAGTTCAATCATAATAAAATGTATCAACAAATAAAAGCAAATATATAGGAATCAGTTTTACTCAGTTCTTTATTAAAGGGGCATTCCTCAACTGTCCTGGTTGTGGCCTGCTTTTTTGTAAAATAAAAATTAAGACTTGCCTCAACACAGAAGCCAAGGGAACTCACTTGATTTTTTCCAATGTTCAAGGAACGTTTCACAACAAACGTTGAAACATCAGGACAAAACAACATTTAGATGAACTCTAGAAAAAAGTGGGCTGGCCACCTGGCTAGGAGAAGCAACTCTGTTAAGAATAGTTTTCTGTATCGCTCAAGTTTTCACTGGGATATTACATAAACACTGTCACAATATTTGGTATCATGTAGAACTTGAAAACACAAACACTGGAAGCGCGGGATAGTGTGCCCCGAATGGTTATATTCGGAGTTCAATGAACATGAATGTATCCACACAACAGTTCCATGAGCACTTCCCTTCAGCTCCCGGTGAGCACTGTCCACTCCTTTCATACAGTCTAAGCCTCCATCAGCTATATTTTCTGATGGATCTCAATCATGTTCGTTGTGTTTTAAAGCTCAAATAAATAATTTGAAACACAATTTGACTTTTTTTCTTTGTATTACGTTTACCATCAAAAATCCCAAGCTAATTTTCAGAGGAAATATTAAATAAATAAAGAAATCCTCATGTTTGCTGTGAATGTTGAAGAGGCTCTCAGATTACTTTAATAAAAAAAAAATGAAACTGAATGCCTTTATAAGACTTTTTGCTTTGCATCAACGGTTTGCTGCTGCATCAACGGTTAAAAGATGGGAGAGAAAAAGTGTATTCTACTTTCACATATACACAGTTTTTTATAAATTGGAAATTCTTAGTAGTGAGAATTTTGGTGATATAGTATGTGCCTCAAATACGTATTTATTTTGTCAATGCATTCATCAGTTGTGACTATTAAAGAGATATCATCAGCTAATTTCAAAATACTTATTCTTGTCAATGCAAGGCAAATAGTGCAGGCATTTGCAAAGCCATTGTTAGAAACTATCAATGGGACAGGAAGACTTTGATCAGTGCGAGGAAACACCCTCCGTTATAAAAGCAGTTTGACAGGAGAAGCGGAAAACATTCACCTCTTTGAAACCAGGTCAGAATCAACAGCTCTCCAGCGTCCCACTGTCCCAGCGTTTGTTTGTGGTGCGTTCAAAAGAGCTACTGGAGAGGCCCAAGACGTCCACTGCAGAGGATGCCTAGAACTGTGACCCCTTTGAACCATAGAGTCGGAGCAAAGTCACGTGTCGTTTTGCGTAAATTTGAGTGGGATGCCCACTCCGCTTTGGTCCTGACGAGATCAACAAGCTCACATGAGAGAGATAGACAGTCTGAGTTACTGATTACAGCTCACAGGTTGTTTGTGATAAGATCTATGCATTGAGCCCAAAGTCCTGGTGAGTAAAGGGAGCCTTCACCCATCATCGCCTCCCGGACCACCACTGCTGCTGCTCAGGCTAGTACCATTTCAACATTTTTGCCTGAATTGAAATATTTGGCTTATTATTTCATTTCACTCCACACTAAATACAATGAAAATACATGTGTGTTAACATTATTGTTGAGTTGATATAATTGATGTATGATTTCTTTTCTTAAAGCCTTTCAATAATACAGTAACAACACAGTCATAATTTTGAGTTTTCTTTCAATGTATTGTTGTACGTTAGCTGTTTATTCCCATTGATAAGTATTCATAATCTTATATTAGACTGGCATGTTTCAGGACCTGATGTCACCATGAATTTTCACAAATTCACATTTGAATTTTGATCAATATCAGAGATTTTAATTTAATTATAAAATGCATTTTTGCTTTTGTTTTTGTTAATGGCAGGTCCCGCTTTGTGCTGTCTTACTCTTGCATCATGAGTGTGGCAGCTAAAACTCCACGTGAGGGATGCTGTTCCAAGCTCAAGGTTAGAATAATATGGACTCTGGTTCTGCACCGCACCATTCAGTCAACACCCATGACAGAGCACAGTTGAAAAAACACATGCCCATTGAGAAATGTAAGTTAAGTGCATTTACTGTACCGGTATATAGGGCTACTATCACAGAGAAGTCAGGAGAGATATGGCCATTTTTTAGGTCAAATGCAATAAAAAGATAAAGTAGTCAAAGGTTCCAGTTTGACACATTCTTGCTAAGTTATGAAAAGCAAGATTTACCTGTAAGCGAACATCAACAAGCATTACACTAAATGGCCATCGATGCTTAAAATCAATAGAAGAATGCGTTAAATCTGGGATATTTTTTCCAATGAATTAAAAAAAAATTGTTTGACTCAGAACACAACATGCTGTTTTCATCATACTTGATTACGTGGTTTGAAATTTTGGTAACCCAGTCATAAAGGAGACGTGAAAAAGATCCTGATTGGTTTAGTGAGGGTGGTCCTGTCTTTTTCACTTTCTCTGCATAATCTAATCAAGACATGAATACATGCGCGTGAAAACTGACTGAACCAACCTGTTGTGAAAGGACTTGTTAGATTAGTTTAATTTGTTGTGGTTTAAAATTTGGGCTCGACATATTTAATAATGTGCCACAGTTTCATAGATTATGCCTGTTTACGAGCTAAGAATGTTACGTCTTCTTCAACCTCATTTAGGGCTTGAAATAATAAGGAATTCAATTATGAATTCAAAGCTAACAATGCCATATTTAAAGAAACTACAATAAACACTACACACTATCACTGATTAGTAGATACAGTAAATAAGTATACTTCAAATTAGAATTGAACCTAAGGAGATCCTTTTCCCATCCATCCATCCATTTTCTTCCCCTTAATCCATTTTTGAGATATGTAATGAACAATTATACGCCATAGTTTTGTGACAGTATTTTGAGAACTTTTGACACCTGAAGTACTGTAATTACCTAAGTCTTCGATTCACATTGTTCATCATTCTGAGCAGAAATGACTAGTCTCAATGCTAAATGAATTGTTCCAAAAGACAAAACTCCAACCCAACAAAGTGACACCAAGCACTGACCGCAAAGTAGAAATTGCAAAGTATTTATTACTTAAAAACTGACTATGGTATTGTGTGTTTACTTTTGCAGCTCTTCCTGGCTGCTATGGCTTTTGTATATTTTTCCAAAGCTTTCTGTGGAGCTTACATGAAGAGCTCCATCACACAGATCGAGAGGCGCTTTGACATTCCCAGCTCTCTCATCGGGGTCATCGACGGCAGCTTTGAAATGGGTAAAGACCACCTACTGTCCTTCACTCTCATTCAGATGATTTATTCAAATTTTAAAACAGTAAGTAAATGAAATGTTGTTTTCTTAGGGAACCTTCTGGTCATTGCATTTGTGAGCTACTTTGGTGCCAAACTCCACCGACCCAGGCTGATTGGTGCTGGGTGTCTCATTATGGCAGTTGGTGCCTACATCACAGCTCTACCACACTTCTTCCAAGGACTGTGAGTATCAGCACATCACCAGCTGGCTTTTAGAACAATTGCCAATGTCATTTTTTGGCAAATAAAAAATTATTCTACTCTGCAGATAGCTGAGCTATCAGCTATCTTTGGCTCCCTCCTCAGCCAAGAACTTACTGACCTTAAAGTTATATAGGAGGATTCTCTACCTCTGGGTGGATCATCAAGACTATTGGTCCTTCCAATCCTCAATCATTCTGGTGATACATGCTCGTCAAACAAGACCAGAGAGTTTTGTTCAAAAAATGGAGAGGGCGATTCTTTCCTAAAATGTGTGGAAATCCTCCAATATACCTTTAAGTTCACAGACGTCTTTATTTGGCCTGGTAAAGTTAGTTTGTTAATTATTTAACCTTTTTACTGAACATTTCTCTGTTCAAGTGTTGTACGCCAAGTTTTGAGTAAAATATTTTGAATATGAATTCTATAAACTATGCATAATTAAGTGGTTATAGCAATGGTCGCGACAGTGCAGCCTTGGTCCATTCGCCCCAGTCTCTTGCTGACTGTAGCAGGTTTTCTTCCCAAATGTCCCTGTATTTGGCTCCATCCATCTTCCCAGCTATCTTCCAATCTAAACTGCCCCTGCTGGGAAAACCAGGCTCAAAGCAGGATACTCCTCCAACATATTTGACTTGAGGATGCGATGAGCAGTGTTAGGTTTGTGTCATCCAACATTTTGCGTTTGGGCCAAAAATTAGAATTTTGTCTGCATTTTCCTGACCAAAGCACCTTCTTTTACATGGTACCTGTGTTCCTCACATGAGGTGGCAAACTTCAAACTGAATTTATTGAGGCCTCCTTTCAATAAAGCCACTCGTCCAAAAAGGCCAGATTTGTGTAGAGTGACTGATGCACCACGTACAGATTCCCCCAGCTCAGTGGCAGTTCTTTGCAGATTTTTCAGAGTCTATCGTGGGGCACTTGGTTGTCTTTTTGACCAGTGCTCTTCTAGTTCAATCTGTGAGTTTGGGTGGATGGCCATATCTTAGTAAGTTCACAATGTCTTTTCATTTCAAAATAATGGATAGAATCGTGCTTTATAAGATGTTCAAATCTTGGTATCTGTACGCTGTTTTTATCCTTTCCTTTTTCTTTCTTGCATCCCTGACCGCTTTGGTGTCCTCCATAGCCTTTATGAAGTGGTTTGGTGACCATAGCTTTGAGGCCCTCACAGAACAGTTGTGTTTATACTGAGAGTAGATTACACACAGTTTAGCTCTATTTGATAGGTGTGAACATTCATCCGTCATTGGGAGTGGTTTAAAGGCAATTTAAAGTACTATAAAAAGCTGTATGAATACTTTTGCAGGCCCTACTTTTCATTTTTATATATTTTTTAATGGAATTAATCATCATTTTACTTTCACTTGACAGTTTCTTGTGTGTGAACTTTCAGTAAACCAATCAAAATAAAATCTTTATGTTTTTAGATGGATATGGATAGCACTTTCACTTCTCAACAAGAAAGTCCTGGGTTTGAATCCCGGTCGGAACAGGGCCTTTCTGAGTGGTGTTTGCATGTTCTCCCCGTGTCTACGTAGCTTTCCTCCGAGTGCTTCGGATTTCCCCTACCACTAAAAACATGTACAATCTGGCATGCGCCTCCTGTTCTGACGACCCCGCTCTCTGTGTGCAGTGGGAGACAAATGCCCACAATTGTAAAGCGCTTTGTGACTCTGTTCTGTGACAGGCGTTATATATAATTAAAGATTAAACCTGACAAAATGTGCAAAAGTTCACGGTATTAATACTTTCAAGACGCACTGTAGCTTTGAAGACTTTGGTCATCACTTACACATGATTTAGTTTACTCTAGGTCAGGCATGTCCAAACTCAGATCTGCGGCCCACTGTGTGATTTTATATTACCCTCTGCCTTGCTAACCCAAAGTAAACATAAACACAAGTTTGCATAGTCATCCAGCCAACTTAAGCTCTGCCAACTTAGACATGTTGTACGTTGTTGAAGCTCAGGATTTCTCAGTTAGACTCAGTGGTGTTGATTTCTGAGGTTTGTGAAAGGGCTGAGGGCATGACGTGGGAGATAACATTGTCTATTTTCCCTAGAAAGACATTTTAATGTGTCTCTGGATGCAGAAGGACATCTGCAGGACATAAATATATGCTATAAACAAATCTCCCACTGGATACCCCCCATCGCTTCAGTAAAGGTTTTTTGCATTATCAAGTAAATATCTTAACTGATGTTAGAATACAGTCAGTATGTTTGGCCGAATTAAATTAAACAACAACTGAGTAAAAACTGGCCCGGCCCTCCACAGTGTGCCAATAACACAATATGGCCCTACAGAGAACATAATTGCCCACCCTTGATGCAAAGTCATTGTCTGACCCTCCTTATTCTTTTCAGGTATAAATATGAGACCAGCATGTCCCACAAAGCTTCAGCCAACAGCACCGAGACCATCCTACCCTGTCTGTCCAACCATAGTCTGATGAAAGAGGAGACCCCTAGTCTGCAGGCAAAGAAAGGTGATCCGTCAAACATTTCAATATTTATAGGTATTTTTGTTAGTTTCATTCACCCATCGACTTCCATCAGCCTGTGAACATTCAAGCGGCTCTCCTATGTGGATTTATGTATTCCTGGGAAACATGCTGCGTGGCATTGGAGAGACTCCCATCATGCCTTTGGGCGTGTCCTACATCGATGACTTCTCCAGAGAGGAAAACACTCCTTTCTATTTAGGTTGGTACTCAATAAGGTTATATGTTATCCAAGTTTATTCAATGCTTTTATCTATTTTTCAGCCTGCATCCAAACAGTGGGAATTTTGGGGCCCATGTTTGGCTTCATGCTCGGCTCATACCTGGCGAAAGTCTATGTAGACATTGGATTTGTGGATTTAGGTATGACTTTCTTATATTCTTATCCAAAGAGAAGTGTTGTATAAATTGTTGTTAGAGTCAAACACCTGTGTAAGCACCACAGAGCACAAGGCCAAAACGTTTTATCTAAATTTAAAGCTTACCTGATTTATACCTAACTGGTCCATGTGTAATGTGTTCCATGCTTATTTGTTACTTTCCGATTATTATTAGTCACATCCAAAGGCTAAATCATTGCAATGTCAATGTCAATGTCAATGTCAACTTTATTTATATAGCACATTTACACCAACACCAGCTGCCCAAAGTGCTTCACAGGCACGAATGATAAAAATAAAAATAAAACAGTATAAAATACATACACATACATGTAAAAGTAAAGTGGTAAAACCTCAACTGGTGTTAAAAGCCAAGGTGCAATGAGTTTACAAGCTGCTCCATCCATCCATCCATTTTCTTCCCCTTAATCCATTTCTGGGTTGGGGGGGTGGCAGTCAGAGCTGCACCCAGTACACAGAGCACCAGCCCCTCACTGATCCTCCTGCAGGTGGTGAGTCCACAGGAGCTGAGATCTTTCAGTGGGAGCTTCAGGCAAAGTGGGGTTAAGTGTCTTGCCCAAGGACACAACGACAGCAGTCATCAGTGGGAGTCGTAAGTAGGTCTTATGGTGGGCTTGAACCCACGACCTTCAGGCCCAAAGGCCAATGCTCTACCAACTGAGCTATTGTCGCCCTTTTACAAGCTGCTCTCTAACAATAAAAATGTTCTGATTAAAAACAAAGTAAGTTTTAACATTAACATCAACAGCTGCTTCTATAACTACGCTGGAAAAGTCTGGTATTCGTTTTAAATTTGAGATTAACATTTTAAGCGTTTCTACCTGGTTTTATTATGTAGAGTGCCTTTTGTAATTTAGGAAATCTGACCTGTTACGTTTCACTCTTTGCCTACATAACCCTTGGCATGCGTTTTTTTGAGCAATTATTTACTTTCACTCTTTACTTTTTAGCCAAGAAAATAAAAAGCAGCCCAGTTGGGATTGACCAACTCTAACTTACTAACTTTTGTAACATGTATTTTAAGGTGAGCCTTGACTTGGCTTATGTAACGGTCTGTTTGCCAACCTGTGGCTATCTATGTAAGCCCCAACACAAACAGGCTTTTCACTCTTTGAACATATAGACCCACTTACCACAGTTGGTTCATGTAAACAATTATAGCCCAGTTGTCTCCTGTCTCCATCAAAGTTGCATTGCTTGTAATGTTACAGACACCAGGCCAGATCTGTGGAGAGGCAAGCCCACTCCACAGATGGAGTATATTATGACTGTAAATGGAGTATTCTTCTGCATGAAAACACTTGCAGCTAGGGCTGGACAATAAATCAAATGTAGGCAATTAATTGGCTGTTGAAAAAAATCAAATGAAGGATATTGTGAGAGTTCCAGCACCACAAGAATCTTACTTCCAAAATCAGCACAGTCTGCATACAAGACTTTTATAATACGTACTGGGGGAAACTAATAAAAAATAGTTTTGAAACTTGAATATTGAGCGAAAAGATAAAAAAATATTTTTAAGGAAATAAAATCAAGATTTTACTTTTTGCCATGTTGCCCAGCTCTTCTTGCAGCACTGTAACTTATTTACTATTATTTAACTTTCAATAAGAAATAGAAAATTGTCATATATTCTACAATGTTAGCTAGGGCTATTGGGCACACCTGTATACAAACCATACCATCTATATATTTTTTAATATATATTATGTACAAGCCTAGAGCATGCAATGTGGCAACTATTGGATAGGATGGACAGCTGATGGAGTAGAACAAACCTGCTGTGTCGACATAAAACAGCAACATTTGGACAATGTTTAGCAGGAACAGGTTTTAAAACCTACAGTGAGCACTACTTAGCAAGAAACAAGCCTTCTACGTATGTGAATGCATAAAATGTAAGTTTTATGAACCAAACTGAAGCCATGTTTCACCATTCATGCTGTGATTTGTATTTTTTCTCAGAAACCGTGACAATCGGCTACAAAGACTCTCGGTGGGTGGGTGCCTGGTGGCTCGGCTTCATCATCACCGGGACAGTGGTGCTGATGTCCAGTATTCCCTTCTGGTTCCTGCCTAAGTCTTTACCAAAACAGGGCGAAAAGAAGAGTCTACCTGAGACCAAAGAAACAGAGATGACATTTGTGGCTGAGCAAGAGAGCTTTTTACCATCTGAAAATCCAGAGCAAGAGGCCAAACCTGTTTCATTTAAAGAGCTGGCAAAAGGTGAGTGCCTGAAGGTATCTGGTGTAGAAAACTTGACATGCCAACGCTCAAAGATGCTTGCAATACTTCAATTACACCACATCTGCAAAATCCAGTTCAGTCAATGAAAATGTAGGATTATGCAAACTTGCAAACATGTCATGTTTAAAGTACAAGTCACCTTTTTTCTCCAAGAAAAGGAAATTCATGTGAATGTAGATCTGAAGTAAAACAAATTTGGGGCTTAGGATTACTTATGCTCAAAGTAGCAGAATGCAGGAAAGTTCATTATTTTAGAAGTCCCTCCCAAACCCTGTATTCCTCTATACATTTGAACATGTGCATGTTACATAAATGTAATCATCATCAACCCAAAATTATGATTTTCTAAACATGCTATGAAATGAATCGAATTTTGAACAAAGCAGAGGTTTATGTACCGACCGTTGGTGATTAGACGGTCACCTTTTTTACTTTAGTTTGCAAGTCATGTTTCCCTATCTTAACCATGCCTGGTTGCATGTATCCTTTTACCTTATCTTATTGTGGAATGACCATGCAGAATTAATACCTAATCATTAACTAGATTTGACCAGATACTCCAGGTCAACAGACCCTGAATTCTTGGCCTGGACAGTGAACAGCTGACAGATTAGCCAACGAATTAGATGAAAGCTTACATGAGGCTTTGGAGGCACTGTTCACAATCACAAGCAAGCTGGAGCCTTGTTCTTAGTATAAAATACATAGTTTTCAGTTGAAACTACTACACTACTATAGATAATAATTAGCTCCTTGGCTAAAGCAAATTAAGTTAGCGCGCACAAAGTAAGATTAGGTTTGGGTTTGGCTGGATACCAGATGCCTAAGTTCACTTTAAGTGGACCAATCCACAGTCTTCATAAAGTCACAATTCCACACGTTGGTGTATGTGACTGCAAGACCAGTGGCACTGGTTTGGTTGTACCAGTGAACGAACCCTATGTTTGGGATCTCGAAGGTGCAGCAGTAATGCACTCTCCAGATGGTGGAGAGGTCCTTCCTCAAGTGGAGGAGTTCAAGTATCTCAGGTTCACTGTGAGGGAAGGATGCAGTGTGAGATTGATAGATGGATCGGTGCAGTGTCTGCAATGATGCAGCTGCTGTATCTGACTGTTGTGGTGGAGAGTTGCAAAGCTCCCTATTTACTGCTCAATCCCTGTTATTACTCTCACTTTTGTTACAATCTGCGAGATTGTACAAGCAGCCAAAATGAGAGTGGCTGGGCACACTCTTGGAGATTGAGTGAGGTGTGCTCAGTCACACTTGGAGCTCAAAGTAGAACAGCTGATCCTCCACATTGAGAGGTGGCTTGGACATTTCTTTCAGCTGCCTCCTGAATGCCTCCTTGGATAGGTGTTCAGGGCATGTCCCTCCTGGTGGGACATACCCACCTGGAAGATCCAGGACTGTGTTTCTTAGTTGGTAACGCTTCACGAAGTGTGCCAGGCTATGAAAGTTTGCGTAGCTGCACAGGCTGCTTGTGATAGAAGAAAATAGATGGAGGGATGTTCATATGAAAATAATCATGATCATCCTATTTGTTTTTAGTTTGTCCTGCGGTATAATAACTTTGTTTCTTCTTTCTCAGACTTTGTTCCTTCCCTGAGGAGGTTGTTCAAAAACAGTATCTTCTCGCTGCTGGTGCTCACTTACCTCGTGGTGGTGAATGGCTTCATTGGCATGATCACCTTCAAGCCCAAATTCTTGGAGCAAACTTTTGGCCAATCAGCCTCCAAGGCCATTTTCCTCATAGGTAAAACACAGCAATTACATCCTGTTTTCACTCCTGGCTGGTTATGTAGCGCTACAGCAGGTGGAACAATGATGTTATTTAACGGAAGTGTGATTGTTGCAGATAAAGGCACATCCAAACACACACCACACTGTGGTATGCTTTCTGTGAAACTCAGCTCTGCATCTTTTATGAGCAGCACTGTCTCATGTTTGTGTTTACAGATAATGACAATAGCGCATTACTTTGCCACTTTAGATAATCTTAAAATAGTCATTAGTCATAGATACATACATTAGAATAGTCTTTGTGAAACTGAGAACCAATAAACTAATAATGACTGCATTTATCATCCCTCTCTGCAAATTGTATGAACTTATGAACAATTGTATGAACAGTAACTTCAAATTGCAAATATGAATATTTATTTACTAATAAAACTAAACCATTTAAGTTACAATAAGCAGAACAAATAATAGAATGAAAGTTTAACTGATCTAGTTTTGGGGAAACACAGATTAAAGAGTCCCAAATTACTTGCCCTACGGCTACCAATGTCCCAAGCCAGAACTTTCACAACAATATAAACTTGGGGGACCAACCAATTTTGTCTCATGTTTATGCCTTTGAGTCTTGTAAAAGTAAAATGTTGTGAACCAATCAGACCATACCATATGATCTTAGAAAAACACGTTTTCCTTTCCATATTTGTAATAAAGTGTTCCTGTATGTCACTGTTTAACTCTTTGGGGTGAGAGCTCAGCGAGAGTGGTCCTCTCTGAGCAAACGATGGACTATTTATATTACCACAAAACTATCTGCTTTATGGTTGACAAGTTGTTAACCTTGCTTTTCTTAAAATGTGTTCTGAAAACAAAAAAAGATAAAAACACATTTATATGGAGGACCCAAATGAATTTCACCTGGGGCATTAAAATTGTTAGGACTATATAATGATTAGAAGTCATGTGAATCAAACTCATTTGCCACGTTGTTTTTAGGCATTTTGAACCTGCCTGCGGTGGCTCTGGGCTTCATCACTGGAGGTTTTGTGATGAAACGCTTTAAGCTGAGTGTGATTGGAGCGGCGCGTGTGTCCTTCTCTGCCTCGCTCATCTCCTTCAGTTTGATGACCATGCAAATCTTCCTTCACTGTGATAACGCAGACGTTGCCGGACTCACCGTCACATATGAGGGGTGAGCACATTGGCCCTACCGGAGGTGTTAGGTCATAATCTACAAACATGTAAGAGTCTGCCTTCTGCCTGTGTATCACCAGGAGTTGATTGCTTGAGCTCAATTAAGTTTTTTGTTTAAAAAAATTCTTACCAAATACGCCTCACCACGGATCTTCACTTTGATTAGGTTTTTTCCCGTTTCTCTCATGAACATTGACAGTGTCTATATAATGTCATCTATATTTTCTGATGCTTTATCCTGATAAATAGGAGGAAAGAAAAGGCCCTAAATATATTATGACTTATGTGGCCTTTTTTGCAGAGTATCTCAGGTGTCCCACAACCAGGAGTCTTTAATATCGCAATGTAACATGGGCTGCTCCTGCTCGCTGAAGCACTGGGACCCTGTCTGTGCCTACAATGGGATGACCTACGCCTCACCCTGTCTGGCTGGATGCCAAATGTCCACCGGTGTAGGGAGACAAATGGTGAGTCCAAAACAATACAAGCTTAATTGATTCAACAGCAAAGACAGCTCCTCCCCACATCTCAAAGCCCTGCCACTCTGTGGGCTTTGCTTTTCAACTCAGCTCTCTCTTCACCATAACAGTCTGAGATTGTATTATTGCTTCAAGTTCAATTAAGTGAAAATGTTACTTGGATGGGAAGAATGGGTGCAGCGGCACATTTCCTTGCTGAGAAAATTAAGTATAACTTTAACATTTTGTTTGTATTTGGTAGAATTGCCATCAAAACCCCAAGTATAATCTGTAACTGTCAGGTTTGTAGTCTCAAATGTCTTTTAAGATGTACAGGAGCAGGGTCGTTGCAAACGTTTATTTGTCCAAGCATACAGGCCAATGTACATTCCCCAACCCTGGGCAGTCCTATGACGGCTGGGCATTAGTTTATATTTGCGTTGTTATTCTGTGCGTCATAAGTTAGTAATTGTGCTCAATGATGATCCAGACTTGTGGAGATAAGTAAATCCTCCAGTTCCTGCAGTATTGACCAAGCTGAGCATCAACATCTGGAGATGGGTCCCAGGGCGCTGTACTATGGCGACTACTGCTCCTGATAGAGGCCCTTGTGGAATCAGGACAGGTAAAATGCATAGGATGAATTCTTTCTGATTTCTTTCGGTTTTCCCATGTTGTGAAACAAGAAAGCAGAAAAAGTTGTGCCTCCAATAAACTCAGCCAACCCATCAAGGCTCATTCATTACCATCCATGTATGTGTTTATTTGAACAGGACAGCATGTGTTTACAGCAGTGCCGTAAATACATCTTGGGCTTGGGTTAACTACCATTTATTGTCCCACAGTCACAATCACAAACACACACTCATTCATCCTGAACTATTGTACATGTCTTAAGTAGGGGATACTATGCAATACTTGGTGACACAATCAGGCCAGTAGAGGGCAGTGCTGTGCATCTAAGTACTGATCTTTCAAACACTATGCCATACTGAAATATGACAACATATGTTTAATTCTATGGTTATCAGCGCTGGTGCCGATGCAATGTATTGGACGCTATGTAGTATATTATTGTATTGTCCTGTGACAATGATGCATACAGTATCATTTTGGCCAATCTGTTTATTGTTAGATTATGAGAATTATAAAGTGTCCTGTCCTGTCCCTCCTCAGGTGTTCCATAACTGCACCTGTGTGGAGAATATGATTAGCCCCGGGATGAACCACTCGGCCGTCCTTGGACAGTGCCCAAGAAAAAGCAACTGTGACCAGGTCTTTAAGTTCTACATGGCCCTGTCTGTGCTGGGCTCATTCATCTCTGCAGTGGGCGGAACTCCTGGATACATCGTACTGCTCAGGTAAGAGCCAGAATGAAGTATCAGAACACATACACTAATCTATGCAATATAAACAGTCCTACATCATCAGAAAGTTCACTATTTCTGAATGGAGACAGAAGCTTTGTAAATTGTTCTATCATAATTAGATTGCAAATTTATTTTATCATAACAATCATTTTAATAATAACTAGCATCTAGTAAGTCTTCTGATACATTTATTTATACAGATTATATGCTAATGGTTTTCAAATTTGAAAGTGAATAATAAAATAAGTAATTCATTAATATCTATTGAATACATACTTTGTATGTTCAGTTCAACCTGGAGAGACTAGAATAGACACAAATTGTTCATTGCTGCTGAAGATGATCTCAGATCCCCCAGAGTCAAGCACTGGTTGTTTCGAGAGTGAATGGGGCGCAGGAGCCATAGCAGGAGCTAGAGCAGGAGCCAGAGCAGGAGCCAGAGCAGGAGCCAGAGCAGGAGCTAGAGCAGGAGCCAGAGCAGGAGCCAGAGCAGGAGCCAGAGCAGGAGCTAGAGCAGGAGCCAGAGCAGGAGCAGGAGCCAGAGCAGGAGCCAGAGCAGGAGCTGGAGCAGGAGCTACAGCAGGAGCTCGAGAAGGTGCTGGGGAGGCGGTGGGTTGCAAGAGCTTCCGAAGCGCTGGTTAGTAGGAAGTGGCTGCTTTTTAACTGTCTGCTTCGCTGTCATGTTGACAAAGGGGCTGGGTGATCGGCTGAGGAGGGAGAGGCTGGCTCTGGTTGGGATTAAACTGCAGCATGTAGTCTTCCAGTCTGAATTTGCGCTTAAGCTTTATTTGTGTTTCCCTTTTCAGATCGATACCAGGTGATCTTAAATCGTTGGCATTGGGTATGCAGACTCTCATAGTTAGAACATTAGGTGAGGTGCTCTATACTTTATACATTTTTTATACGTTTGCTGAACACTGTAAAGTTTATCATACTTACTCTCCCTCTGGTGTGACCAGGTGGTATCCCTCCTCCCATTTACTTCGGGGCGCTGATTGACCAGACATGTCTGAAGTGGGGAACCAAGCAGTGTGGAGGACGGGGGGCCTGCAGACTTTATGACTCCAACGCTTTCAGGTTAGCTGTGGGCTATGAAAGCAAAATCAATGCAAATATTAATTTTATTTTGAGAGATTGGGGTTGATGGCACAGACCTCACTTCTGTCAGTCCATATACGTATACCATATGAAAGTTTTTTATAGTGCTTTTCTGGATGCTCAATGACGCTTCACATGTCATTATTCTTTCACTCCAAACACGGTGGGATGAAACTGCAGCCACAACTGTCCTGGGGCACACTGACAGAAGCGAGGCACCCATCGACCCTCTGACTACCATCAACCATTCACACGCACACACACCAGACTCATTCGAGACAATGTGGGTGAAGTGTCTTGCCTAAGGACACAACAACAGTTTAGCACTTTACAGCCGCATATAAATATGTATGTACATACACAAATGTATATGAGTGTGTGTATTTATATATATATATATATGGGATGACCCTGGACACGTTGGAGGAACTATGTCCCTCAGCTGTAAAAGGAAAGTCTGTGCCTCTCTGCTTAGACAGCTGTCCCTGCGATCCGGCGACAGATAAAAGGGAAAAAAAATGGATCCATTTATTACAGGCGTATCATAAGCCAGGTCAAAGCATCTGCACATAACATACATATATATAAGGAATTTCTATGTGATGTTTTGTATTGTTATTATTGATTAATAATACCAATACAATATTGATTTAAATAAAATGCCTGTGTTTCTTGTATTTTCCACTGAAATGCACATTCCCCATCTCAGGCTGACCTTCTTGGGGTTGGTGACTGGTCTCTACACGCTGGGCAACATGCTGTGGGGAGTTCTGTACTGTCGTATTGTGCGCAGACAGAAAAAGTTATTATTGCGGCAGCAGAACAAAGATAATGGCGTGGAGGCCACGAACGGAGCAGCCACGGGACACCCCCAAATCACCCTCGCCCAGGGCAAAGACACAGACCGGGAGAGCACCATTTAACAGGGACCTCAGCTGCTTCCAAACTGGACCAGACAAGCTGATGGTACAGTGACAGAGCCCCATACCTCTTTACACAAGTGTCATATCTCATCTCCTGCAGTTTTCTTTCAAAGGTCATCCATTATTTTTACTGGTCCCAGACTGGTCCCCGGTCTGGAGTGCTAACATGGACTGCTCGTGCACATGCTGTTAATAAACTAGTTTTATTTTATGTATATTTTCTAGGGATACAATGGTTTCCAAATAGTGATCTAGATATTTTGGTTTTGAATATCCACTGACACCTACTATGTACTGATACTAGTTAAAGGAATGAAATGGTTCTAATTGTTTTTTTTAGTTGCTGTTCATCCTGTGAATGTCAGCAAGTAAACAGTCTTATTAGATACAAATAAAAGCTTAATCAGGATAAACCGATTCAATCAAACCAATGCCAAACCAACAAATATCAGCACCAATATTCACTATAACGGTGCATTCCTAATAATTGGTCATGAGAACAAATACAATTCTCTACAACCGATGTGAATTATAAAAGCATGAATCTGACTAAGCAAATGATTTCAGATGACAAACGTTTCAACCTACTGAATAAATGCACATATGACATTAAGTGTGTAACATCTTTTTGTGCAGATGGAAGAGGTACATTTGATATCATTTTATGCTTTATCTCCTTTGATAATGAGTCCAACACTGAGATAAAATGATTTAACAACGGAACGTCACACTCGGAGTTGAATCCTACTTAACAAATAGTTTGTGATTCACATGAGAACAGAAAGGGAGCTGTTAAATAACGAACAGAGGCTTTTGCATTGTATCACTTGAAAGGTCATCTGTCTTAACAGTAGGACACATGTGCATGTGGCTCCAGCAACATCTTTTCCTGTGGCATACGTCTGGTCCATGTTATCGTTATGCTACTTTTTATACATTTGTGCACATTTATATGTTCCTAAACCCTATTAAAGATTGACAAAATTAAAACTGGCATTGTGTTTATATTTTGTTATATGTTGTTCATTTTAATTGTATAAAGTTGGTCATGCTTGAAGAACTAATGACAATCATTATGCCTGCCTATTCTACTGTACATTTTGTTTCACGTTAACGCTATAATTTTACATAAGGACTATATTTTCCTTGACCTCAAACATGTCATATTTACAGTTTATGGTTTTATCTTATGGGGCGACAGTAGAGCATCGGCCTTTGGGCCTGAAGGTCGTAGGTTCAAATCCACCACGAGACCTACTTCAAGACTCCCACTGATGACTGCTGTCGTTGTGTCCTTGGACAAGATACTTAACCCCACTTTGCCTGAAGTCCCCACTGAAAGATCAAGGCTCCTGTGGGTTCACCACCTGCAGGAGGATCAGTGAGGAGCTGGTGCTTTGTGTACTGGGTGGGGAAGAAAATGGATGGGTTTTATCTTATCAACAGCCAGCACAGAGCTACAAAAAATGCAGCTACCAATTGTTGTGGATAACAATGACTTTACACTATACAAATATATTGCAAGAAAACAGAATCAAGCTATCTCCCCCCACACATTTCTGATGAAGCTACAACACCCATAGTGACCAATGGGATGTGCTATTTCCCTCTAAATGACCTCGAGTTGGAGCTAAAGGGGAAAACTTTAAATTTGGTATAATTCTATGAAAAAGGGGATACTGTGTGGGTTCCCTATATATTTTTGACAAAAACACAGTTTCTCAAAAGTACAGTTGTTGGCTGGAAAGTCCACACCATCTTGTTGAGTATACAGATGTAGGTTGTCACTTCTCCACAGCAAATGAGAGGGTCGTGTCCCTCCACCTTCGGGTGGGTAACGTGTTTCTTACTGGTGTAGTGGCCTACAGGACAAGCAGCATTTCCCCTGCCTGCATAGATGCAGAGTCTCTGAGTTCAGTACTGTCCTACTGACAATGTGCCAACTGAGGACTGTGAAAATGCCAGTGACACCTGGAGACAGGTGGTCCAGAAGAACCCCCAATCTGAGCCCGAAGTGTGTTAGTTATTGGACTTCTGTGCTAGTTACAGTTTCTTCTTAATGAACACATGTACAGGAACAAGGGTGTCCACCTGTGCACGCGTGGCACGAGGACACCCTGGACAGAACCAAGTGTGTCATGATGGTCTGCTGGGAACGGCTCATTTACACCCTCTCAGACACACTCACCTCTGGAAGAGATCCCTGCGTGTCCCAAAGGAGGAGGGGGACTTTGAGCCTGGGAGGACCATGTTCTCTAATGCATAGGAGTAACGGAATAGATGTAATGCCATTACGTATTCACAATACTCTTTCTGAGTAACTGTATTCCCTTACAGCTACTATTTTAAATAGCTGGTATTTAGAATACAGTTACTTTCTGAAAATCACAAGAAAAGAAAACATTGGGCCTTCTTAAAGTGAAGATTCTATTTTATCTGGTTGTTAAATGCAGCTGTTGAAGCACTTTGACATGTTTTACAAAAATAAACAACACATGATTGAATAATTTATTTATATATGTATCACTGATAAAAATTCTCTACAGTCACTGGTGACTTTACCTGTTCTTATTATTACTACATATCCATTCATCTGATAATTCTGTCATTCCCACGTCACTTCTCCTGCTGCTATTACTGCTGTTTATTGTGCTCATATTCGCTACTCCTAAAGTACAAAATACACATCTGTAAATACTTCTGAAACAAGTGGAATTACAGCTCCAGTTTTATTTTATTTATGATTTTATGATTTAGTTATATACTTGTTATTCAATTATTATTTTTTTATTATCTTTTATCTTAAATAATAGACCCTATTTGATGTGTGCAATCTGAGTGCTCTTATTTCCTTCTTTTTCTCTGCTGTAATGGTCAGGGATACTTCTCCCTGACCAGTTATTGGCGGCCTCCTTGGTGGCATTGCCCTGGGATGGGATGAGATCTACCCTAACTATTTTAAGTCTCAGGAAGTTGTGGGACTATCATGGTTGAGTGACATTCTGGGACGGAGGCTTTTCACATGGAAGAAACCATCCATTTATCTACCTGCTCGATACAAATATCTTAACATTTGAATATTTATTCAACCTCCTTCGTCCTACAGCCGGTCTGACAACACCTGCCATTGTACCATTGAGAGAAAGTATGCAGAAGGGGATACTAATCTCCCCAGAGTATCCCTCCCCCTGGCCCCTGTATCCACTGGTCTCCGCCTCTCTCCTGGACTGGACAATCTGTGTGTGTGGAATAGAAATGTGGAAGGCCTTTTGTCCCCCTAAAACTGGCCCGGGATTGTGTCATTCAAGTTTGGGGCGAGTTCTGAGATCGAAGACTCCAGACATGGGAACTTGAGCGAGAAACCATTGAAGATTTGTAGAAAACGCAGTAAGTATTATCTAACAAGCTCCTTTCAAGCACATTCTGTATATGCTAAGTATCTTTTTTATCATTTATTGGTGGACATCAACTTGTGCACAATGTTTCTGTTGTTGATAAGATGCCAGAGCAAAGAGTCATGTGTTGAGAAACAAGCCATTTTGAAATAACTAAGTCAGAGTCAGGGGAAAAAGGTGCAAAAATGTATAATTTTTTTTCTCCTCAACAGAACAAAGAGGGTGAAATGGATACTTTATTAAAATCCTGATGGTTACTGGAAGGAGCAAGGACACCAGGGAACGCACAGTAAGTCCAAGCATTTTCAGATGGTAAGATATGCAAGAAAATGTAATATATGATCTAAAAGGTTTTGCATCAGACAAGCTAACTTAGGTTTAGAGACAACATAGATGTTTTTGCACTGGGGAATTGTACTTAAGATATAAATGGTCATATACAGTAAAGCTGCATAATATAAATTTAATGGTGTTATATATATTTAAATTAGTATATTTTTTACTCTCAAATTAAGAAGTCTTCATTCTTCTTCAGTCAGTCTTATTTTATGTGCAGTTATTTATGTTCTGCTTGTTACAACTTCCATTGGTAAATCTGCTTTAATTAATATTTTCAAATAAAGACAATGACCTATCAAATCAAACATTTATTCACAAATATTCTAACCTTTTTACCAAGCTTTTGATTTTTGTTGTTTCTGAATTATGTCCCTACATACATTTATTAACACATTTTTAATAAATGTCATACAATCTCTTTTCAAACTAAATCAAGGGACATTTGGACTAAGATAAAATTCTTTGGAGAAAGACTGCATTCAAAACGCAGCTGCTTGTCGTAAATGAAAAGCTCTCATCTACAAGCATCTACATGGAGACATAGGACTTTGAGGAGCAGACAGAGTTGTGACCTTGGCACATGCATGCTTCTTCTGGCCCAAAAAGACATTGAACACTTAGTCCAGCAGCTACGTCGATTCAAAGTATCTGCTCCATTTCTGGAGAAGAGCAGTGGAGAAGAAGGGTATATCTTCAAGTAGGTGGATCACTTGTCAGCGTACGCTACAAGAGATAAGTCTGGGAAAACGGCATCCAAGAAACTCTTTGACTTCCTCTCTAGGATCCATCATGCCCGATAGTCGTCGCCCTACCATCCAAGTCCAGCAGAGCGTTTTAACTGGGCATTGTTGGGTATGTTGAGGATACTGGCTGAAACAGAAGACAAAGAACATTTGAGTAAAGTTTTCCATGTGTACAATGTCGACTTCTGTTTTTTTTTCTATTTTTCCTCCTCTTTGGTTCTGAGCCTACTCTACCCATGGATCTGCTCATTCCTTATCTCCAGTGGCATATGCAGAGAAGTTGAAAGAGGCTATGCAGTAGGCTCATGCCATAGCCAGGGAGAACATGTGGAAGTCTGCCAGAAGATTGCACCGATGCTACAACAAGTGAAACCTGACCCATAGAGGTGGCCCTGGAAAGCTGTGGAGGTTATCTATGTGGTTAAAGAACAAAGAGGTCCGGACAGTACAGTTTATGCAGTTCAGCCTCTGCAAAAAGTGGGAAGAAGACGTGTGTTACATTGCAATCCCCTTGTTGCCCTGTCCTTACCTGGTGGAATGAGGAGAAGCTGGAGATCCCAAACAGCGCAGGAAGCAGCTGACACTGAATACTCAAGTGAGGAAGAGCTCAGCAGCTGGACAGTCCAACATCCAGTCTGCCCACCTTTCAAGAAGATTACCCAGGGAACCTATACCCATGGAAGACTATGAAGAAAGAACACCTGTTTTTCCAGGTAGAAGAAGTCCTAGAAGAGAGTCCCGAGAGTCAGTGAACCCCAAGAAGCAATAGTGTAGTTTTGGTTTCACCGGGTTTGGTGGGGGCACAAATTAAAAATAAAACATTTATTCACGTACTGACCTGGAATCAAACTTCAACGGCAAAAATGGCAGCGCTTAATCCTAACACTGGACTACAAGTGCAAAATAAATACCTTTCTCTACCTACTCATATTTCATGACTCACAGAGAAAACAAGTAGCATTGTTTTTTGACACTGGCTACATGGCTTCACTGATTGCTTTACAGAAAGCTCCAGCTCTCTGAGCTCATTTTTTGGGCCTTGTGGCCATGGCTTCGGTCACCAGGTCCACCCTTTGTGCACCCACCGACAATCCCCCCCTGCTTTAATTAAACCAGTTGCTGCAAATGGAAAACCACCTGGACCTTTCATTATCTGGGGAGGGCTTTGCCTCAGCTGTGTCACCGCTGCCCCTTGCTTTGGTGCACCCCCGGATGGATTGAGACCTCCTGCACTAACTCCTGCGCCTGCTGCTACTGCCGCTGCTGCAGGGCCTGCCTGCACCACACAGACACCAGAGGCCACTACATCTACGAGCACCACTACACCTCATGCCCATACTCACAGGCCCAGCAGACCTCCATGCACTGCCCTCGTTCATATCATGCATCGTGGTGCTTTCTCTCCAGGTCACAGTGCTCCTCTGTGTGAGCTGGAACCGGGGTGGTCCACCTGGCTCCCAGCGCACTTTCCAGTTTCCATGCGCAGCCATGTCCCCCAGCGCCTGCACGCGCCCTTCCTTCCTCCTTTCTCCACAGAGCTTGGAGCCTAGCCTCTACTTGCCCGCAACGTCAAAACAGTGGTACTGAATCCTGTCAGCAACGCCAAAAATGTCACAGGTTCTTTGCACCCGGGTTTAATATGACCGCTGAGTTAACAGCCTGGTACAAGTGATTGGTTATAAAATACTTAAGAAAAAAAACTTAAGCTAAAAAATGGTTAAAAGCTAAAAGAAGGCTAAAATTATAGCAACAAAAAAATTGGCTCCATCCGTTCTCTTGGCCACAGCCAATTTAGCCAAAGCAATTGGCCAACTACGTTAAAAGTCAGTCTAAAAAAAGTGGGGCTCTTTCACTGTGCTCCTCAGGGTCTGGGTTAGTCTCTCTAGAGGTCTGCGCTCCATCTCCTCCTTGGGGTCGCCCATGGCTTCACACACCGGGGCACCTTGCTGGTCGGGGTTTCATGTCGTGCCCCTCCTGAGCCGCTCCTGCTCCCCTGTCCTTTCCTTTTCCGATGCGTACGGACCACCTGTCCTCGCTGACCTTCCCCTTTCTTTTGTGGCTGCCCAACAGCCTCATGTCTGGGCCCACAGTTCATAGCGCACAGGTGCCCTGATTGCCCACGCTGCATTCGATGTGGGATGGTGGAAAAGATCATGCGACTAGTACAAGTTTTATGAAATCAAAATACAACTATAAAACTAAACTAAAACATGAAATATATACATAAAAGCAATTTGAAAGTGTAAAAAAGATCAAATTTAACATAAACACTTGTGTCTGACATTTTAAATAGCACCAAGTAAATAAAGTAAATAATAATCACAATAATGCATCGGTTTTGTATAGCGCTTTTCTGGACACTCAAAGACGCTTCACATGTGTCATTATTCATTCACTCCAAACACAGTGGTGATAAAATACTACTGTAGCCACAGCTGCCCTGGGGCACACTGACAGAAGCGAGGCAACCAGTATGTGCCAACGGCCCCTCCGACCACCACCAACCATTCACACACACACCAGACTTATTCTAGGCAATGGGGTGAAGTGTCTTGCCTAAGGACACAACAGCAGTTTGGCACTTTACAGCTGCAGCCGCCCCACTGTGGCGCCTGGTGTTCCCAGAGGTTAAGAATCTTGCCAAGGACACAACAACAGCAGACAGTGGGAGTTGATGGTGAAAGTCTTGAGGTGGGCTCAAACCCACGACCTTCTGGCTCAAAGGCCAATGCTCTACCAACTGAGCTACTGTAGATAGACATGGTTTGAAGATATGGAGTACAGACTAAAAGTTTGGACACACTTTCTCATTCAATGAGTTTCTTTTCATGACTATTGACTGTAGATTCACACCCTGGCTGTGTAAGGACTGTTTGACCAATAAGGAGAGTGGTGGTGCTGGGCCAGATGACCTGGCCTCCACAGTCACTGGACCTGAACCCAATCCAGATAGTTTGGAGTGAGCTGGACCACAGAATGAAGGCCAAAGGGCCAACAAGTGCTAAGCATCTCTGGGAACTCCTTCAAGACTGTTGGAAGACCATTTCAGGTCACTACCTCTTGAAGCTCATCAAGAGAATGCCAAGAGTGTGCAAAGCAGTAATCAGAGCAAAAGGTGCTACTTTGAAGAACCTAGAATACAAGACATATTTTCAGTTGTTTCATACTTTTTTGGTATAATTCCACATGAGTTAATGCATAGTTTTGATGCCTTCAGTGTGAATCTCCAATTTTCATAATAATGAAAATAAAATAGAAAAAGAAGAATGAGAAGGTGTTTCCAAACTTTTGGTTTGTACTGTATGTACATTTATATCTTGGGTGAAACATTGTATTTTCTTTATCCCATACAAGATTAGGGGGCCCACTGATTCTTCACTGGGCACGTTGATTTGTATGATCGCTTTAGTCCGGTCCTCAGGTCTCTGCACTGGCTTCCTGTGGCTCAGAGAATTGACTCTGCTTGTGTACAAGACATGTAAGTCCCATATGAACCAGCCCGGACTCTGAGGAGCACAGGGACTGGACTCCTGTTAGTGCCCAGAGTCAGAACTAAACATGGGGAGGCTGCTTTTAATATTCATGCTGCTAAAATCTTCCTAAAAGTATGAGACAGCCCTCTTCTCTTTAAAACCAGGTTAAAAACAGTTTTGTTTAGCTGTAACTGAGGGATTTTATATGTTTATCTTTCTTTTTAATGTACTGTGATTATTTATGATTTTAATGCTATCTTATTTTGTTCAGCACTTTGAGTTGCCTTGTGTATGAATTGTGCCATACAAATAAACTTGCCTTGCCTTGTAATGGACTGAATGCATATCAATGAGTCATATCAATGCCATAAAGGGATGAATCTCCAAAAGACACATTTTAAATAGGATACCTAACATTAAATTAAATGTGCAATAGTGTGTAATTCTTACCACGATTCTTACCAATACTTACCTGTATTCTAGTGCAGTCTGTTTTATATTTCACTGTGGAAATTTGTTTAAAAAAGTATAAAAAAACATCTATGGGGAGCACTTTGTATTTTAATAATTCCAGTCACATAGATAAATTACTTAATGCAATTTTGATATAAGTCAATTCACCTCTAAATCATTCTAATATTGGAAGTGTTCGTAACAATAGTAGTATCAGTATTATTATAAACGTAACAATGAACAAGGGATCAGACTACAATGTTGAAATGAAACGTGGAATAAAAATTGCAAATGGACTATTTCTTCTGGGTTTGGTGCAACATATACACAGATAAAATCATTCAGCTCATGAAGAAGGAAATTCAAATCCAAATTATGAAGAACTGCATTTCCCTCACTTGGTTTCAGTTAAGTGTTTAGTTATCTAACAAGTAAACATAAAACCAAACATACAAAATCAATAGCCTTAAGAAATATGTTGTGTAAGTTGCAAACCTACTTCTCCTTCTTTCAGGTGAAGAGTTAACCAGAGGCTGGGATCATGGAGGAATCCGCAGAGGAAAGAGACAGAACGAGCAGCTCGGAGGAGACCAGCAAAAAAACACCCTTCTTCTGCACTCTTAAAGTGAGCTGTTTGAACTCACTCCCTTCACTCAGTATTTTGTATAATGTATCAAAGAGAAAGTACCAGCAGGAGTCCAGGACTTTCTCCTTTGTATGTTGATATATTTTGCTTCTTCTGTCAGGTCATTCATTAAGGGAGGTTATGGATGCAGATCTTACAGATCAAATCAGATCTGTGGAAAGGCACGCTCACAGTTAGAATGCATGTTTTTAACAGATTTTTTTGATTGATGTATGATTGTATTTAATATCATACTACAAGAAATTTCAGGTAAAGCAAGAGGCAAAACAGACAGACAACTGAATGGAATAAACAAAATACTTTACACTCAATAAATGATTCTTTCATATTCAGTGAATAATTCTTCAAAGCTAACATTATGTACATAATTTCCAATGGTGAAATTTTCTGGTCAAGCTCACTAATGTATTATCCTAATTATCCTTAAACCAGGGGATTTTTTGCAGTACGGTAGAGCATCTATTTTTGGTTAACCACTATAGAAGGCAATATTATACCTTAAGAGAAATTGTGAAACTTAGAAAGAGGCCTGTCTTCTGTCACCTTAAATTCACCCTTGTCATGTTTTCCAAAATATTGAGTTATTTACAAAGTCCAATTACTCTTCACTTGATAGTCATGTCATGAATGTTGATGTGATTGCACTTGTACAACTATCCACAATCAGACACAAATGGGGCTGTTCACCATGGAAATCTCATATTGTAGAACATGTTTGCATCTTTACCACCTGCTTACGATCATCACCTTGATCCATCTCTCAGGACAGAAGTAACAGTTTCAAACCTCAAACTGTGTTGTTTAAACTACAATTTCACAAACTGACTTTTTCAAATATTTGAGGCTGTATTTGAAATGTTTTTGTGCCATTGTGTGCTGTTACTTACTGCTTTTGTATTAAATGCTTGAGACAGTGGCTCTGCCATAAATGGACTGGGCAGTTGTGGAAATTTCCTTAATGATCCATGGAAACATAGTTGCTTTTTGTGTGGTTTAATGAAAGTAAAAAGTACATTATAAGAACAAGCATTTGCAAATGGAGAAAGCTTCAGCAGTCCGCTCCTCGGATGCTGCATCAGTCTCTCTCTGATGCACAATGGGCTTCACACAAGCTTTATCAGAATGGTCTGGTCCCTCATTGGCCAATGGCCACAGGAAAAACAAATGTCACACCCCTGCACTGATTACATGAAAATAGGTAACTCAAGGTAGGAAGAGCAGGGCCATGTCCACACGTAGCCGGGTATTTTTAAAACCGAATATTCCCCCCCTCCGTTTATACAATAATTTGCATCCATACATAACCGAACATCTGCGTTTTCAATCACATTCATGACATTCCAAACATGTGCATCCTCTGACGTCTTGTCCTGCGTTGGGGGAAAACACAGAAGTGGGCAGAGCTTTGATGCTGACGCCGGTACTTCTGTAGCGGCACTTTTACAGTCAACGTTTTAAGGCAGTAAGATCCATGCTTCTTCAGTGATCAGAGGCCACAGGTTTTGTTTGTTGTTGTTTTGGCACATATTGTGACGTGTGCGAAAACGCAAAACTCTGGTTATCTCTGTCTACACGAAACAGAGTTTTCAAAAATCTTCTAATGTTTTTTTATATTCGTTTATGATGTGTTGTCATGTGGATGACAGGTGCAAACAAAGACAAATATCTGCAGTTTAGCAGATACCCGGCTACGTGTGGACGGGGCCCAGAGAAACAAGGGGGGTTAAGGGGGTCGAAAGGACAGAGGCAGAGGACACAGGAACTGGACATCCAAGATCAAAGGAGATGGTCAATCACTGTCTTATAACTAAACCCAAGAACAAACTGCATCTTAATTTACTCAAACATTGTCCCAAAGGTCTTCCTGCCATGAAACAAAACCCCCTGAACCATTTATTAACCATCACATTTCACCCACTATGCTTATACCATGTTCATGTCATTTTTGCCATTACACAGTGGAAAGGTACATTTAGAACTGCACTCATGCCTAGCTAGACTACAGCGCAAAAACATCACAAAAAAGATAGACATGCTTTTCTGCTATTCTCTATAATGCAGCTCAAGTACTCCCATGGTTAATCATCCATGATTATGATGTCCTCCCAGTTTGGTGCAGTTGGGGGCCCACCCTGAAGCTCATTCAGGCTCTTATTTTCTTTAAGTATATGAGTTTTTGTCAATATTATTGCATGTGTAAAGGCATTTTTGTGTTGACTTAAAGCTGAGGTATCTAACTTTCTGAACACAAAAAAGTATAATTAAGTCTATCTAACTAGCTAATCAATCTCAAATGAACCCAATTGGGGAAAACTAGAAAACTACCAGTGACGCAAGTCACACCCTGGTTCAAGGTGGGGTAATATCTCTGTATCTCTTTCTCCAACACCACAGGATACATTGGACATCGGCTATGCAGATGACGTAGGGCTGTTTTTGATTTGCTTTTCCAAAAAATCCTTCCCAGCCAGATCCCCTGAAAGTGGGTGACAAGGAGGTACCAGTAGTCACCACCTTAACTTACTTGGGCTTCCATCTGGATTCTGACCCGAGTGAAAAAGTTCCCATTAACTAGATGAAGAAGAATGCCTCTAAGCGCCTCCACTTCCTTAACCTTGCTTGCAAGCTAAAGTCTCATTCTATTTGTCACATCATAAGGAACTGAGAGTTCTACAATATCTGGCTCTTGCAAGGTTACTAGTTCCGCACCATTTTTAAAAGTAATGGACTACCATAGTAGGACTTGCTGACCATCTACACCACACTGAGGAGGCCATATTTTATCTAGAAGTGTCCTCCATAAAGCAGCTGCTTGTACCGCTTGTACAGCTGGAGAGAAGAGAGTTCTGAAGATCATCTCTGCAGATCAGGAGAGAGCAGACACAGTGACCAGAGGATGGAGCTCTTAAGCTGCTTTCACACTGCCGACGCTAGAACGCTGAAGCCTTGCGCACCATACGCACATTCTCTAATTTTCAGACGCAGGGGTCTTCAGACCAGGTGACCTAGCCAGCGGTGGCGCGCGCCGGAAGTGGCGGAAGTAGCCGGCGGGCTTTGATGCTAACGGAGTTGAGCTAGCGGCTTATTGTGTAAAGTTCTTCTCCAATAATGCAGCTTTGCAACGTCTCTGTGTTCAGAGACTTTCCACGGACTTTATATAACAGCAGTATGTGTTCACGGAGGTGCGCCATATGTTTATTTTATTATTAAACGCATCGGCGAACACGCTCAAAGTAGTTGTATACAGTCACGGGAGCATGAGAACGCATATGTTCACAAGCACAATGTCCCCCATTGTCAACCCTGGTTTAGTCCTGGTGTAGCTCCTGTTTTGGCTGTTTACGAGTATTTTCAGTCTGCTCTCTCATGTCCCCGTGACCACTTTGCGGCTCTCTGATTGGTCGCTGCACAAGCGTCCGAGGAAAGACTCAGAAAAATGTATCTCCAGCGTGCGTGAATTTTCCGCACCTGCACTTCCCCCGCGACTTCGCCGCACAGTCTGTGCATCTCTACTGAGCAGTCAGCGCGTGCATTCCGAGACGCACATGCATTTTGACGCTGGAACGCGCGTCACCATTGACTTTGCATTCATCAGGTCTGAACGCGGCTTTAGAGACATGTGAGGAAAACATGTTTTCATTGTCACACAAACAGATTAAATTTGCCAACTGCAGTCTGATTGTACAATATGAATTCCAAATGCTAAATGTTTTTACCATTTTAAAGTATACATTCTGATGTTTTTGTTTCACATGAGCTACTGAAATGTATGTAAAAGAACGATCCAAAGAACAATCTTTTAGAAAAATAATTACGCAAGAGTCCGGGTATAGCAGCAATGTGTCAACATCGCAAACCACACGCACCGAAAGACAGCGTTAACACAACAGGAGGCACATCGTGTAGTTTATACACAACAGACTCACACGTGAACAACACGTAACTTTTTCACGCTGACAAAAATGAGGACGAGGCAGAATCTGCAACACAGTCTCAGGATGTTCTGACCCGATCTGAGCGCAGTCCAACTACTGTCACAAGTTTCAACTAAACTTATTCAAAGAAAAAACCTCAAATAAAAAACAAAGCAGCGTGTGTGAATGTTATGTTTTCTTACCATGATGCAGATAGGGCGCTGTGGCTAACGCTAATGCTAACATGAGTTTTTTGCCATGTCCTGCTGCGGCTCTGCTTCTTTGATCATCATAGTTTTAAAGCTGCACTGACTTTATTTTTGTATTCATTACAAAAATGCTATCCATGTCCATGCAGTGCATTGAAATATACGTCCTTTTGAAGAATACTGTAAGTAGCGCAGATTTGTGCTCGCGTGATATTATATTTTAGATTGAGTTTTGATGAAATAAGGAAGAGAATGTGTTTCGGGTTAGCAGACAGCTGAGTTAGCACAACAAGCCGCAGAGGCTAACCTGAAACTTCCCGCGTCTTCGTTACTGCTTACACAGCGAAACATCCATCCAAAAGAAAGTCTCGTCCTCTCCGCGCTTCCCGGTTCTGACATTCTATGGTCACGCCATCCATGTCCAAAAGTGCCATATTGATCCATATTGTGAGAGGCTAACTTTGAAGCTAACAAGCACAGCGCACAGGCTGCGGGGGAGGGGGAACAGAGAAGACGGAGCTCCTCGCTCGCGATGAAAATTTCTCAAAATCAGTTAGTGCAGATTTAAGCTCTCACAGACGTTATTCCTCCATGTGTCTCTTCTCTTCACACCGCGTTTGTAAAACTATATATTATAATAGATCCATGGTAAAACTCAGTAGATCCTCTGTGTGCTGCGTCTGAACGTGGTCTTGTTTATATCCACTCCTCCACACGTCTGTCAAGTGCCCGAGACGTTTGGAGAGATCCGGTCCTTCATAAAACTAAAGTATTCTTTCTTTGGCAGTATGGTGAACGACTGAGAGTTGAGGAGCACTGTCAAACAGTATAGGCAACAGCCTCAACTCAAAGGCACCCGTACTTTAATAGACTGCAATATAAGATCTCAACGCTAGATGGCACTAAAATTACACAGTGTACCTTTAAACCTTAAACTTAGATTTAGAAGGGTTCTGGTTCTTTCACAAGTTTTCACATGCATGTGTCTATGGCCTGTCACATCTTCAGATTTATCTGACCAAAAGGTACCTCAGCTTTGATCAACTATTTTCGATTTTGCCAAGTACACCGAGCATGAGGGCCTACTTTTAGGAGCAGTTTAATCTCAAATCAAATAAAAAATGGTGAAGTTTAGCTGAAGTTTTACCTCTGCTGTGTTTCCAGTTGTTCATCATGGCACTGTCCTTTGCCTTCTTCTCCAAAGCTATGACTGGATCTTACATGAAGAGCTCTATCACTCAGATTGAGAGGCGCTTTGACCTCTCCAGTTCCCACGTCGGACTCATTGATGGCGGCTTTGAAATGGGTACTCTCCCTGTCTCTGCTGATTCCCTTCCAAACTTTACCATAAACTCTCCTAAAAGCTTTTTTTGTGTAGGCAACTTGCTGTTCCTTGCTGTGGTCAGCCATTTTGGGGCCAAGCTGCACCGGCCAAGACTCATTGCTGCTGGATGTACTCTGATGGCCATGGGGGCGCTGCTCACTGGACTCACACACTTCTTCATGGGACGGTATTTAAATGGTTGAGTGGGTGGAGGAAGTTTTAAGGGGACAACGAGATTCTGTCCTCAATTAAACCTGTGACCTGTTAAATGTTTAGTTCAGATTAAATATCAATATTGAGCTAAAAAGTTATAAAAAACTTTTTTGTCAAACAAAAATTATTTCTTTGAAATAATTGACAAACAAAGTCAGTAAAATGTGAGGAATGCTACGTGGCGGTAGTCAAAAAAAGAGTGAGGGGGGAGCATTGGCAGCGCACATATAGGATTAGGATATATATATATATATATAACAGATTCTGATAACCAAGGGGGCGACAGTAGCTCAGTTGGTAGAGCATTGGCCTTTGCGCCTGAAGGTTGTGGGTTTGAGCCCACCACAAGACCTAGCCGAGCTAGCCCCGCCCAATGAACAAATACCAAATCAATCAATCAACACCTTTAAATGTTAATTGGAGAATACATTATACATATACATCCTTAACACACATGCACGGACGCTTTCAGAATTTGTTGTTTTCATGACAAAAATACTGTTTTAATGTGACAAAAAGCGATCGCGATAAACCCGGAAGTAACCATTAACATAAAACGAACATTTTAGGACACATTTGAAGAGGATCTGATGGATTTAGGTTCGGTATATAAATGGGTAACTCACCGCTGATGTTCAGAAATGTTTGTTGAGTTTTCATGTAGTTTTTGAACTAGCTAGCTTAGCTGTTACCTGCTTAGCGCGTCACAGCGAAACCTTTGGGAGCTAACTATTTTATTTGCAGTCATTAAATACATTCAAATATTAAGGGCTGTTTAATATTTGTTCGAATAAATATTTGTATTTTTATTTTCGATCTATATTCGAATTTCGAAGTCAAAGCCCTAGTGTTTACCAGCGCTGTAGAAACTAGAGGACGCAGGCTCATTCTGTGAGTGGAGGAGAACGAGCGTCCCTCTTAGTCTCTACTCAGCACTTTTCACGGCCTGAATTCATACACAGGCTTTCAAGATTTTCAAGTTTTCAATTGAATTACGGATTATAATACAACTTGTATGTAGTAATACGCTTTTTTATGAACTGAGTAGAAAAAAATCGGTTATAGCTTTTTTAAGGAGGGTCCTCCTTTATGCCTTTAAGTGTAGATATTGGTTGGAATTGGTTAGGATTAGGGCTTTCGTAACATAGGGTTGTAACCAAAGTTCAATCAGATCTTAGAACACAGATTGCTTTACACAAATATCTGGCTAAGATGCGGCCAAAGGTAGTGATCGAGTGTGCTTCAGCGCATTCAAATGAGCAATTAAACATCTAAAACACTTTTTAATCTAGTAAAGTCTTTTAGTGTGACATCTGCTGTGGTGTTTTCTTCAGATACGAGTACAGATCTATGGTTCAGGTTTTGCAGAACAACAGTGTGAGCCTGGCGGCCTGTGTGGATCCTCTGACGGAGCCAGAGCTGCCCACTGAGGCAACACTGGAAGATGACCATGGTGAGGACTCAGGTGTGATGTAGATGATTAATTCAACAAAAAACCAAGAAAACGCTGGAAAAACTTTCATGAGATCCTCCCAGTCACCCCCTCCTTTGTGAAGTTCAGTAACATAAAACACACTTATACTTACGTGACTATGAAGCATAAGATGGCAGAAAATTTCCTGCACTTTCCAAAAACATTCAACTATTATTTCAAATACAATCCTCATATCATTCATACCCTGTTGGTTTTGTAGTTTATTTAGTAATGCATCTGTCTAAAGTACTATAGCATATCTTCATTTAGCCTTTTGAAACCAATTAAAGGAGCAATACATTCTCGGTGAGTTGAGTTGCAAACATAGTTACCAGAGTTGCACCAAAGCATTCAACCTCAACAATGAATCCGATTAAAAAACGTAACTCACAGGCTTTTGTCCAGCAATGTGAGGAATGTCCTTATCCAGGTAACCCTGGCCTGTACACCAGGATTAGCCCAGATTTCCATGTTGCACATGTTCCAGAGCACAGTGAAAGTGTGGTCACATTTGTGGCTTATCCGTGCTGGAAAAGTATCCAAATGTCCTGCATGTTGTTTGAAATGTTTGACGATCATCACACCTCAATAGTTCTGACCCTCTGGAGAAAGATAAAAAGATAATTTTTGGAGCTGTTTCAGGTTGTTATTGTAAAAAAAAAAGAAATCAAATGATAGAGATAATATTTTCATCTGGTCGTTGATGTCACATTGAATTGACTTTATAGTTCAGAAATAGATCTGGTTCAATAGGAGAGGAACAGTGCGAACAATGTGAGAAATACTCAATCAAGGATATTGCATCAATAATCATGAATAATTGTTAAAGAAAAGTTTCTTCTCCAAGTATTTTCAGAATGTGCCACTGTGGAAACCTGATGTTTTTGATATGTAAATGGAGACAAAAAAGTTATATCTGACAGGTCAAAGTAATACATTTTTGATAATTGGATTTACGCTCTGGTCTGTGCAGAAGAAGCTCCTTTTGAACCTACCTTCAGTCAAAGTAACAGTTTTTTCTTTTGTCGCCAAATGTAATCAGGTTCTCCGTCTGGAATGTATTATGTTTGTGTATGGCTACTGTGCTTTAGAATTTGTGGAGACAGAAACATTTTTTTTTTTTTTTTTCAGGCATGTTTTTGTTAAGTTTGACAAAGACTATTCGCTGTAGGCTTTTAGTTTCAGAATATCCTCAGTATACAACAAGCTTGTAAGAATGGCAATTAAAGGAACTAAAGATTGTTGCCTATCCCTCACCAGCTACACATGAATACTCTGATATTACAAATACAGTATTTTCTGTATCCAGAAAAAGCATTTAATTTAAACATTTTGCAATAATTTAGTATTACTAGACAACCGTTTGGCAGCAGTGCCAATCACTTTTAAGCATAACTAAATCTTCATATTTAAAAATAATGTTAAATACTTTTTCCCCTTTAACGTTTTTATTAGGACATCATTTGATTGTACATTTGTATAACTTTGCTACGTATACAGTCATTTCTTGTTATATAAACAGATGTAATATTAATTAATAATATTTTACCATTCAGCAATATACTTTGAAATATGAAAAAATGGATAAAAACATAATATAGTGGTAGCATCAGAAGTCTGATAAAAGTGGAGCACCAAACAGTATTCCCAAAGTCTTTTATTCAGTTTTACATGATCCAAGTCTCATGAGTATGTGGGGGAACAGTGACACTGAGCTATCTTCTAGTTATACTTTGTTACAGCAAGAATAAGTCTACTATGGGTACATTTACTATGTACCCATAGTACACTATGGATACATTTACTATAAACCCATAGTACATAGTAAATGTATCTTTGACCGTCAAGCTGGATAGTTCTTTTTATTTATTTTCTAATTTTTTACTCAATCCAAATGTATGTCACCAAGGAAACTGGCAACCCAAAATGAGAAACTTGTGTTGTGCTGACCATGCTTTCTGATAATCAGCCTGACAACCAAAATAACAAATATTATGTTTGATTTATGGGGGCAACAGCGGCTCAGTTGGTAGAGCATTGGCCTTTGGGCCTGAAGGTTGTGAGTTCGAGCCCATCATAAGACCTGCTTCTTATGATGACTCCCACTGATGACTACTGTCGATATGTCCTTTGGCAAGACACTTAACCACACTTTGCCTGAAGTCCCCTTTGGAAGCTCACGGCTCCTGTGGACTCACCACCTACAGGAGGATCAGTGAGGGGCTGGTGCTGTGTGTACTGGGTGCAGCTCTGACTGCCAACCCCCCGACCCAGAAATGGATTCCCAGAAAGGGGAAGAAAATGGACGGATGTTTGATTTATTTATGTTAACATAAATAATGTGGCCTTTGTGCCTGTTTGAAGCTAAGATCTTACAAAGTCAACCAAACAAAGTGTTTGCATTTGCATTGATGTATTAGTTATAATGGGGCCTGTATAGAGTGTGTGTATATGCTCAGACTGGGCCTGGTAAGAGGCCTACACATAACATGTCCTTGTGCTGTGTCGAAGCCGCCTGCGTGAGGGACTCTGGCTCCTCCATGTGGGTGTACGTGTTCTTGGGGAATGCCTTACGTGGGATCGGGGAGTCTCCAGTCACTCCTCTGGGCATCTCCTACATCGACGACTTCGCTAAAGCGGATAACTCACCTTTCTACATCGGTAGTCCGCCGTTTTTTATATGTTTTAAAGGTTTACAACAGCAAGCAAGCATTTAAAAACAGACAGACACAGTAAAATCACAATAACATTGAAGATGGCAAGAACAAGAATAGATGATGTCACAAAGCTAGTTTAAGTGCAAATATATTGTAAAGTGCAGTAGTTTGTGTAGTGCTACGTTCCGTTAGTTAAAAAATAAATAAAATACTTAGAATATGAAATTATGTCTTAGAAATGACCAAAACTAATAGATGGGCAATACTTTGTTTTAAAGTTTTGAGTGTGATGTAATGGTGGTACATATCATTCTACTCTGAGCTTTCAGACAGAAGGGGTGGAGTTTTGTGTTTGTACCAGATGTTTATGATATCAGCTGTTTTTGGTGAGCTCAAAAAGTTGATTTTCACAATGTGTCCTTTAAATTTGAGAAATTTATTCATAATAGATTTACCGCATTTTGAAAAATGTGTGCCCTTCATTGTTCGGGGAAATAAAGGATTTATTTTGATTGAGCCTTACCTTATTCTGTTGCAATTGACAGCTTGTCTGCAGACCATAACTATCCTTGGACCCATGTTTGGTTTCCTGTTGGGATCATTTTGTGCTAAACTCTATGTCGACATTGGATTCGTGGATGTTGGTAAGTGAACTGCGTTGCATGCATTCATTTTAGATGGATTAGAATGTGTTTGTGGTAAAACTTTTTACTCAAAGGGTAATGTGGAGTGTGAAATCTCACTAAATCTCTCAAGAAGGTGGAAGTGATGGACATGCAATGAGACATTGGTCCCGACATATCCCTGAATATCCCTGATTTGACATCAGAGCAGTCCTGACGTCCTTCTAAGAGCAGTGTCCGGTTAGAAGGACGTGGCAGGAATATTTTATTAGATTATTTTAGGATTATTTTGTGTAAAATTGTGAGACTCCGGGCTGTGGCACAGTAATGCAGCGGTTACGGTGTGTGTGCTTATAAGTGGGACAAAAAAGTATTTAGTCAGCCACCGATTGTGCAAGTTCTCCCACTTAAAATACTGTAATGACAGAGGTCTGTAATTTTCATCATAGGTGCACCTCAACTGTGAGAGACAATGTGAAAAAAATCCAGGAATTCACATTGTAGGGTTTTTAAAGAATTTATTTGTAAATTATGGTGGAAAATAAGTATTTGGTCAATAACAAAAATTCAACTCAATACTTCGTAATATAACTTTTGTTGGCAATAACAGAGGTCAAACGATTACTATCGGCCTTTACCAGGTTTGCACACACAGTAGCTGGTATTTTGGTCCAGATGCAGATCTTCTCGAGAGCAGTGATGTTTTGGGGCTGTCGCTGAGCAACAAGGACTTTCAACTCCCTCCAAAGATTTTCAATGGGGTTCAGGTCTGGAGACTGGCTAGGCCACTCCAGGACTTTCAAATGCTTCTTACGGAGCCACTCCTTCATTGCCCGGGCGGTGTGTTTGGGATCATTGTCATGCTGGAAGACCCAGCCACGTTTTATCTTCAAAGTTCTCACTGATGGAAGGAGGTTTTGGCTCAAAATTTCACGATACATGGCCCCATTCATTCTTTCCTTAACACGGATCAGTTGTCCTGTCCCCTTAGCAGAAAAAAACAGCCCCAAAGCATGACATTTCCACCCCCATGCTTCACAGTAGGTATGGTGTTCTTGGGATGCAACTCAGTATTCTTCTTCCTCCAAACACGACGAGTTGAGTTTATACCAAACAGTTCTACTTTGGTTTCATCTGACCACATGACATTCTCCCAATCCTCTGCTGTATCATCCATGTGCTCTCTGGCAAACTTCAGACGGGCCTGGACATGCAGTGGCTTCAGCAGGGGGACACGTCTGGCACTGCAGGATTTGATTCCCTGTCGTCGTAGTGTGTTACTGATGGTAACCTTTGTTACTTTGGTCCCAGCTCTCGGCAGGTCATTCACCAGGTCCCCCCGTGTGGTTCAGGGATTTTTGATCACCGTTCTCATGATCATTTTGACCCCACGGGATGAGATCTTGCGTGGAGCCCCAGATTGAGGGAGATTATCAGTGGTCTTGTATGTCTTCCATTTTCTGATAATTGCTCCCACAGTTGATTTGTTCACACCAAGCTGCTTGCCTATTGTAGATTCACTCTTCCCAGTCTGGTGCAGGTCTACAATTCTTTTCCTGGTGTCCTTCAACAGCTCTTTGGTCTTGGCCATAGTGGAGTTTGGAGTCTGACTGTTTGAGGCTGTGGACAGGTGTCTTTTATACAGATAACGAGTTCAAACAGGTGCCATTAACATAGGTAACGAGTGGAGGACAGAAGAGCTTCTTAAAGAAGAAGTTACAGGTCTGTGAGAGCCAGAGATCTTCCTTGTTTGAAGTGACCAATTACTTATTTTCTACCATAATTTACAAATAAATTCTTTAAAAATCCTACAATGTGACTTCCTGGATTTTTTTTTCACATTCTGTCTCTCACAGTTGAAGTGTACCTATGATGAAAATTATAGACCTCTGTCATTATTTTAAGTGGGAGAACTTGCACAATCGGTGGCTGACTAAATACTTTTTTGCCCCACTGTAGATGGATACTTTATTGATCCGCCGTAGCAAGAAGGCCTCTTTATTTTGAGTTTGTCCCCCTATGTCTGTGTAGGTTTCCTCCAGGTGCTCCGGTTTCAGACCGCTAAAAACCATACCACCCGCCCAGACCCACCCCCGCCCCCCCTCGCTCTCTGGGACCAGGACTCCCCTGAAAAAGAGATTCTGCTATCTCAGAGGGACTTTCCTGATTAAAATACGGTCAATAAGTACATAAATTGGCTGTGAACCAGCCTTTATGGATGCCCGTAAGCTCTTAACACTGAATTATTATAGTTAACAAACACATTTAAAAGTCTTGTACACGTTATTTTTAAAAGGTTTTGCATGAATATAAAGTACATTTAATTTTTAATCATATGCTCAAAAACGTATTTTGTCAGAGAATGTGGCTTCCTGCAGAACCCCTGACCTATACTCATGGTACCATTGTTTCCAGTTTATTTGCATGACTCGAATGGTTTTAAGTCTTGCCTTGATCAGTGAATTGACCTGTCTCCCCAGACAGTGTGTCGATCGGCCCCAAAGACTCTCGCTGGGTGGGGGCATGGTGGCTGGGCTTCTTGATCTCCTCTGCACTCATGCTCACCTCCAGCCTGCCCTTCTGGTTCCTGCCACGTTCGCTGACAAAACAAGAAGATAAGGCCAAACCCCCAGCAGTGGCTGAAACGGAACAAAAGCAAGATATGAAACTCAAAGATATCGCTAAAGGTGCTGTAAAATTTGTACAAATAGATCTAACCGCTTTCAATCCGTTTGGTTCTATCACTAGTTTTCACATGAATGTGTTTTGGCCTCTGTCGCATCTACATCTTTATATCAGCTGTTTCAGATAGAAACGTGAACAAGAGAGGATCATCCTGACTCCAATCTGCTCTCAGCCCAAATAGTCAAATAGTGACTCACAAATATGAAAACGATAACACTCTTTCTGTTGGGACATCAGAATAAAAGTTGGGTCCCCCAGCTTTAAGTCATTTGCAATCATAATTTTAATGTCCCCTAAAAAAGCAATGCAGTCAATATGCTGAACCAAATTCCTTCATAAATTGAATAACAGAGAATGTGTGTGCGTGTGCATGTGCAGCCTTTCTTCCCTCTCTGAAGCATCTGCTGGGAACGCCAGCCTACTTCCTGCTCCTGTGTGGATCTATCCTGAGGGCCAACTCTTTGATTGGACTAATCACTTTTAAGGCTAAATACATGGAGCAGCAGTTTGGACAGTCTGCATCTCGCGCTAACTTCCTCATTGGTAAGAAAGCTAATTCAATGAAATACAATGGGATGATATATCATATTAAAGAATTTCAATATATCACCTGTGGTCTAAACATATAGTACAGTGCATCCGGAAAGTATTCACAGCGCTTCAATTTTTCCACATTATTTCCACACGTTGTCATTATGGGGTTTTATGTGTACAATTTTAAGGGGAAAAAAGTAATTGAATCCATTTTGGAATAAGGTTGTGTTACGGCCCGGCTCGTGAGACCATAACATGAGAGGGAGGACACGACAAACTGAGAAGTTTAAACCCTCTGTGGGGCATTTATTTAAACAATAATAAAGTAATCTGTATGAAATCAGTGTAAGTGAATGGTATGCTGTGGGGTGCAAGGTGTTGTATCTGAAAGTCAGTAGGACAACCGTTGTAGTGCATATATTGTGTTGTAGCGCGTGTAAATGAAAAGACAAACTGGCGTGGCGGCTGGTCCAACAGGGCCCAGAATGGTAGCGGCAGTCCGGGCACGCCGGCAGGTGCCCAGAAGCCAGGCGAGAGAGAGAGAGTGAGGGGAAGCCGCTTTTTGAAGCATCCGGGAGGTCACATGACTTCCCAGCTGCCTCCCATCATCTCTGAACGTCATATGAACACTGCCACCACAGGCCCAGCAGAGGGGGCCGTCACACCCCCGCCCTTAAAATGCAGGTTCCCCCAAAGGAACCCTGCAACGAGGCGCCAAAAGAAAGAACGGCCACCAGCGCGTCCTCCAACTCCTCCGTCCCGGTCCACTCCTCCGTCCAGCAACTGGTGCACACAGAAACCTGGATACAAGGAGAGCGAGAAAGAAGAGAGGAACATACAATGGCAACACTATCACAACGGAGCGCGCGACAAAGCGTCAGCTCCACGTTATCGGATCCTTTAATGTAGCGGATGTCCAAGTTATATGATTGTAAAAACAGTGACCAACGGATTAACCGCTGGTTTGGACACTTAAAAGTTGACAAAAACGTGAGCGGATTATGGTCGGTGTGGACCACTGTCTCAACGCTGCCATTCAAGTAGACGTCAAAGTGTTGCAACGCTAGAATTAACGCATAGGTCTCCTTCTCAATCACTGAATAATTCAGCTGATGTTTGTTGAACTTCCTAGAGAAATAACTGACCGGCCGGTCGATACCAAGGTTATCTACTTGCGTAAGGACAGCCCCAGCGCCCACGTGGCTTGCGTCCACGTAGAGATGAAATGGTTGGGTCAGACAAGGCGCGGCCAGCACGGGAGCAGCACAGAGGAGTCTTTTCACCTGCTCGAATGCCTGCTGACAGACTGGAGACCACACAAATGTAATATCTTTACGCAGCAAGTTTGTTAATGGTGAGACAACCGATGAAAAATCTTTACAAAAACACCTGTAGTACCCAACGAGTCCCAAAAATCGCATTAGCTCCTTTTTTGTGACCGGAACAGGGAACTGCTCAACGGCTTCAACTTTAGCTGCAACGGGTCGGACCTGGCCCTGACCCACGACACGTCCCAGATAAGTAACAGTAGCCTTCGCAAACTCACACTTTGCAAGGTTTACTGTTAGCCTCGCCCCTACCAAACGAGTGAAAAGCTCCTCAATGCGTGCCAAATGCTCCTCCCACGAGTCCGAATACACAACAACGTCGTCTAAATACACCGCACAACCCGGCATATCTCCTATGACGCTGTTTCATGAGTCGTTGAAATGTTGCGGGTGCATTTCGTAGACCAAATGGCATGACTGTATAGGAGTACAAGCCTGTTGGTGTAATGAACGCGGAGACTTCACGGGCTCGTCGAGTTAACGGCACCTGCCAGTATCCCTTTAAAAGGTCGAATTTGCTGACAAACCGAGCGGAACCAACTTGATCCACGCAGTCGTCCATTCTCGGCAATGGGAAACAGTCTGGTTTAGTAACCGCGTTCATTACACCAACAGGCTTGTACTCCTATACAGTCATGCCATTTGGTCTACGAAATGCACCCGCAACATTTCAACGACATCCCGGACGAGCCCCCATTTGTTACGGCCCGGCTCGTGAGACCATAACATGAGAGGGAGGACACGACAAACTGAGAAGTTTAAACCCTCTGTGGGGCATTTATTTAAACAATAATAAAGTAATCTGTATGAAATCAGTGTAAGTGAATGGTATGCTGTGGGGTGCAAGGTGTTGTATCTGAAAGTCAGTAGGACAACCGTTGTAGTGCATATATTGTGTTGTAGCGCGTGTAAATGAAAAGACAAACTGGCGTGGCGGCTGGTCCAACAGGGCCCAGAATGGTAGCGGCAGTCCGGGCACGCCGGCAGGTGCCCAGAAGCCAGGCGAGAGAGAGAGAGTGAGGGGAAGCCGCTTTTTGAAGCATCCGGGAGGTCACATGACTTCCCAGCTGCCTCCCATCATCTCTGAACGTCATATGAACACTGCCACCACAGGCCCAGCAGAGGGGGCCGTCACAGGTTGTAACATGACAAAATGTGAAAAAATTGAAGCGCTGTGAATACTTTCCGGATGCACTGTACATTGTCTGTTCTAACTGAACACTGAATAGTATATTCAGTCTGTTGGAATACCACCTCTAAAGTTGGGCTGTACTTTGCAGGGGTCCTGAACTTGCCCGCTGTGGCTCTGGGTATCTTCTTGGGAGGTCTGCTGATGAAGAGGTACAAGCTGAGCGTGGTGTCTGGAGCACAGTTCTCCTTTGCCTCCTCCTTCTTGGCCTACCTCCTGCTCCTGCTGCAGTTTGGCACAAAGTGTGACAACCTCCCTGTGGCCGGCCTCACTGTGGCTTACAATGGGTAAGGATACAAATCTATTACTACAAGAAACGGATGGTTTATACTGCTTTTTTTATTGGCAGAGAAAAAAGAATGATCAAACTGACATGAAAGATTATTATTAAAGGTACACTGTGTAGTTTTTACGCCCATCTGGCGTTGAGATCATATATTGCAGTCTTTTGGTACTACGGTAGCTTGCAAGGATAATTTGTGGTCTTTGACAGTGGTCCCCAGCTCCCGGTCACTCGAACCGGGGCCAAGGAAATGATCCTTTAGTTTGATCAGCGACCAGATCTCTCCATACGTCTTGGTCACTTGAAATTGCAGCGCTAAAATCTAAACATACTTAAATAGTAATAATTATAATTATAATAAGTGTGTTTATTTGGGCATCTAGAACAGTGATTCTCAAAGTGATTCTCAAAGTGTGGTACGCCAAAAAATCACTGATTTATTTTTATTTATTTTTCCTGCACAAAGTTACATACAATTACAGATTATAAAAACAGTCACATACAATTTCTTAAAATTACGGATTATAAAAACAGTTACATTTCAATGAGAATGTCTCAGTCTCAATCTGGATCTAAATACATTCAATGAAATAAGTTCATTTCCAGTCTTTTTGCAACACGTTCCATGTAGAAGGAGCAGCAAATACAAAAGCTTTTTTCCCCAGTTCAGTGCAAAAGGAACAGAGAGCAACAAAAGATCATTTGATCCAAACCATAAGAACATGTCTCTGTGAGTAAACGACAGATGTAAGAGGGCAGCAGACCAAGCCTTAGAAACAAAAGTGCACCAGTGTCCAAACCTTCTGTGGACGAAGATCCCACTCCAGGATATCATTCACAGTGAGTCAAGGCTTTGCAGTTTGTATTGAATTGAAAATTTGAATGGAATCATTATTTAAGTACAGTTTTTAGGGTTTTTTTTCCCATGTTTAAGTCTTACTTTTGAAACTGTGTAAAATGTTACAATGGCTGACAATATTAAATATACTTCTTTAGGAATGAAACCTCTGCCTTGTTTTTGATGGATACTTAGGCTTACTACGCTACTGTGTGGTGTTGGTCATTTGTGGTGGTATTTGGAGAGGCAAGTACTGGTACTTGCCTCTGGTACTTGGTGTAAAAAGTTTGAGAACCACCGCTCTAGAAGATAGAAAATCAACGATACAAAAGAGAAGCGAGTGGAGTTGGCAATAGCTGGAACAGCTTATCTGGGCCTACCCCCGTTACCAAATACCCATCACCGATATATTGTTATGATACTTACATGTACATACATTCCTATATATATATATAAAAACCTGAAATGTACGATGTGAAGAGAAGAGACAGAGGAATGGGACGTCTGTGGGGAGCTTAAACCCACTATGATCTAAGAATACAGCAGAAGAACTGTGACTGAAAACTCAGATTATTATTCTTTTTAGCCATGGTGCTCCTTCCGCAATCAAACTCACACTGGTGACGTAATCTGGCGATTGCTTTGTGGGGATTCTGAGTGTTTATATTTGAGGCTTGTCCCCTGAAAAAGTTTTGTTGAAACTTGTGGACATAGTAGTTGGACTGCGCTCGGAACAAGTCGCGGCAAAAATATTAGTAGCACCTCTGAAACGAAAACGCAATCCTATTTGTTCCTTGTCAACCAATGTATTTCAAGATGGCACATTGACACGGAGAGCAGTCCAGCTCTCATGTACGTTTATAATTCAATTCTAAGTCTATGACAACAATTCAAAAATATGGTGGAGGGATACTCAACATGTTTTTTCATTTGGAGTACCTTTAAGGTTATTGATCTTGCATTTTCAATACAACCACACATTGTATTTACCACACTATTTTGTGTAGTAAATTATTTGGATTGAATTGGCTTAAGCTGTGGGTCACCGTCTACATTCTACACATTTTGAATCATGCTTTCAATCCGATTTGGTGTTTCTTCAAATGCTTACCTAACGTTTCCACGCTGTACAATTAATCATAATGAAAAGTGTTCAAAAGGGTGATATTTCTTATGTTTATCGATTGCCAGCCCTTATTTCCATGATGTAACAACTATTGTTTTTTCCCTTGTAGTACCCAAGGTGTCCAGCAGGGTAGCTCTCTGCTCTCAGAATGTAACAGCGAGTGCATGTGCTCCACTGAGGAGTGGGACCCTGTTTGTTCAGACAGTGGCATCACGTACATCTCCCCCTGTTTGGCCGGCTGCATCAGCTCCTCTGGATACGGCAAGAAAACTGTAAACACACTCATGATAATGCAGCGACCTGCACTTTCGCCATTTTCTAAGTGATCATCTAAAAAGAAAAACAACTTGTGAATTTATTAAAATGGCAGCCATCAACTAATCTCAGGCACCATTTGATAATTAAGTTCTTGGGCATGTGAAAGAATATACTTGTATCTATGGGCTTTTCTAAAAGAATTCTCAACACCGAAACGTTTGTCATTCTATTATCTACAACAGTGTCTCCCAAAGTGGGGTCCGCGGCCCCCTGGTGGGCCGCGAGGGTACTGCAGGGGGGCCGCGGGAGGTCATAAAAAAAAAATAATAATAATATAATTATTTAATGTTAAATTTATAATGTTTTGTTTGTAATATTAAAATATTTGTGTTCATTATTTGACTTGAATAATCCACTGTAATCATTTTTGTATTACAATGTTTGTAGCAGAGGCTATTTCCCCAAAATAAAATAACCAGAAGAGCCTATTCTTAATGTTGTCTTCTTGGTTATTATTTTGGGGGGCCACGCAGACCCGTCAGATTTTTAAGGGGGCCTCGGTGTTACTGAGTTTGGGAATGGCTGATCTACAAGACAAATGAGACCAAAGACCTCCAGAGACTTTATGGGAATTTCAAGATGATGTCTTTATGTGTTGTACCAGGTTTTTAACAACTGCAGCTGTGTGGACATGTCGTACCCGGCGGGCAGCAGCAGCTCTGTGAAGCTGGGTCAGTGTCCACATGCCAAAGACTGCACGAGAAGCTTCAAGTCCTACATGGCCGTGTCCGTACTCAGCTCCTTCATCGGTTCTCTGGGGGCCACTCCGGGATACATGGTCATCATCAGGTCTGCACACATTTACTCTGGAATGAATGCACCTCTTGCTCCTCTTTGGGTTAGTTCCTCTGCAGTTTGTTGTGGCCTTGTGAGATAAATTAAGTGATACATTCATTTAATCAGTTATAATCTTTCTTGTTGCAGATGCATTGGTCCTGAGCTCAAATCTTTAGCCCTTGGTGTCGAAGCACTGGTTGCCAGGGCTCTAGGTAAGGTACAATACAATACAATTTATTCTTGTATAGCCCAAAATCACAACAGAAGTCATCTCAGAGGACTTAACAAAACCATTGAAATCACCAACACAGATCAGAGAATCAACAGTTAAAACACATAAAGAATATAGGTTGCCATGTTTGCATTAACCTTTATTTGGTTCTGGTTTCTTTGGTTATGTCAACCGGATTGAATGTTCTCTAGTAGTACTACTACTAGTGCTAGAGTACTACTAGTAGTAGTATTGTAAAATGCAACGTTTTTTTGGCACAGGCATTGGTTACTTAGGGCTGCTCTTCTGATTCAATCAAGATAAAAGTGGAAAATAAACCATATGGCTCTACGGACTTGCTCGCCTATCAGCGTTTAGCCTAATGTCCAGAGCGAGATAATACTTTCAAGCTAGGCTACCTAACAAACCACTGCATTTCATTTTGAGATAAACACATTGCTTTCTATATAAAATACTGAAAAAAAAAAAAAAAAAAAAAACTGGCTGATAAAATTTGGTTTCATTTTGATGATGTTTTAAGATGTGTGCCAATGCTTAGATTAGGCTTCCACAATGTCACTTGTGTCACACATACACAGATACGGTGAATTATATGGAGGTGTAAATGGGGCTCAAGTTGTAAGAGGATGAGTACATAAAAACACATCAATTTGAGTTATAATTAAACGTACAAAAGGTTAGAAAGTTAGGGAAAAAATTCAATGTTTGCGCATGGTCTGTGAAGGGCCACCATAACTTCGGCATGACCTCAGACAGGATCCATGCACCAGGACTTCTCGTGCGCCTGATCTCTGAAGGCTTATGGTAAACATCCGCTCTCTTGTCTGCACCTCTGGGTCTACATGTCACCCCTCCTCTGTCGTACCTGCCAGTTTCTCCTGACCTGTCACTCCATCCTGGCCTTTGTTCTGTTCTTTTGTGGAAGTGTCTCTAAGGCTTAATTATGTTTTATAGTAAGAGAAAACATTGTTATGCTTTCTCCAGGTGGGATTCCTGCCCCTATATATTTTGGAGCCTGGATTGACTCGACTTGTTTGAAGTGGGCCGTCAAGAAATGTGGTGGAAGAGGAGCGTGTCGCATTTATGACTCTGATATGTACAGGTACAAATACACAGATCCAAAAAAGGTGACAACTTTTTAGAAGCACAAGTTCCATCCATCCATCCATTTTCTGCCCTTTAATCCATTTCTGGGTCAGGGGGGTGGCAATCAGAGATGCCACCCAAGTCTCATAGCACCAGCCCCTCACTGACCCTCTGCATGTGGTGAGTCCACAGGAGGACGGCTGCTCTCTGAGTTTGAGCATAGCCTTGATCTTTCAGTGGGGGCTTTTGGGCAAAGTGGGGTTAAGTGTCTTGCCCAAGGACACAACGACAGCAGTCATCAGTGGGAGTCGGTGGAGAAGGTGTAGAGGTGGGAATTGAACCCACGACCTTCAGGCCTGAAGGCCAATGCTCTACCAACTGAGCTACTGTCGCCTCCAGAAGCACAAGTTATTCACAAGTAATCACATTGTATGCTGACGAATGTCGACCACAACCGGTTCATCCCTAGCCTGGCTCTCAACAGACCCTTGTAGTTCCGCCATGCTCCACCAGAGGCGTTTCGCTGAACACCTTGTGTGAAGCTCAGCAAACTACAAGGGTCTGGCGAGAGCCAGGCGAGTTCATCCCTGCTGCATCTCTTTATAAGGTCTTGTTAGTAAAGCCCCTCACTAGTTGGATAAGTGGTCACTTGGCACACTGAGTAGTCCCTAACATCATCGCCATCAGGGAAAGGAAGAAGTTGCGTCTTAGCCAGAAGTGTACGCTCTCCTCACATTTTATTATTAACAATACCAGTGTGGATTTCTAATCTAACATGTTTAATATTTAAATTGACAATTTCACAAAGAATTGATTTTAGGATTCTTATGTTTGCTTTAAAATGTTTAAATAGCTTAACCTCAAAATATCTGACCGAGCTGCTTTATCTTTATATTCCTGTCAGATCAGTGAGGTCAGAAAACCAGCTTTTGTTGAACGAGTCCAGTGGAGACTGGGCCTTTGCTGTTGCTGGGCATGTTGCAAATGAGCTATATAAATAACATTGACTTTGATATTGACCTTCTCACAGCTAAAGCCTGAAAAAAGTGCCATTGGCAAAATAAATCATGATTTAGACCAAATAGGTGTCAGATTATCCACCAGAAAACTTGCTTAAGAATGCAAACATTTGAAATCACTTTTTTCCTGCTCTACCTTCCTTACAGAATCATCTTCGTGGGTTTGATGACTGGACTAAGTGGATGTTCGTATATCTTCATCATTGCAGTCATCATCCTCCTCCGACGACAGTACAAAAAACCACCAGCCGACCAAAAGCAACAGGACGGATGCAAAGGAGTGGAGCTCCAGACGCCTTCCATCTCTGCTCTGGTCCACTCAGGTTTATGCCAAACATCCCAACTCCAGCAAGGTGCATCACAACCACAGCAGGCCCAGGGTCCAGCAAGGGGCAGTGCTGCTGTCGTGGAGCGGAGTGGCATTCCACACAACAAGACTTAGAGTTAAAAACTGTGCAGATGCCTGTTCAGAAAACTGCTTGTGCTGAGAATGAACAGTTAACCTACAAACTCTTGTACTTCACAACATTTGGAATTTATTTTCTCCAAATTGGACTTCAAGCGTGTACATTTTATGTCTTCTATTCTTGGAAGTTGAAAAAATTAAACTATAGTTCTATTTTTAGTGCTGGACGCAACTACAGACTGATATTAATCTAAATTCATCTTTGTCAATATATAGAGATGATGTTAATAAATGGTTGAATTACACACAGTTAAGATGTTTTTCTGTTTTAAATTGGTTGATTAGATCTGTTTCTACTGAGCTACCTCCTTTGGAAGAGCAAAGAACTACAATCCAGAATTATACTGCCAAAACCTATACAGTACATGTCCTGTTCACACTTGTTAGATTCCAGTGGACTTGGCTCACTTGATTATCAAATAAACCAACCCACTCGGATGATACCGCTGTTGTGGCCTGTGTGAAGGGGGGATGAAGCAGAGTACAGGGAGGTGGTGGCTGCCTTCTTAGACTGGAGTGAGAGAAACGGACTGATTCTCAATGCGTCCAAGACCAAGGAGATGATCATCAACTTTCACAGGAGCTCTTCCCATCGACCGGTCACAGTAAATGGACAGGACATCGATGTGGTACAATCATACAAATACCTTGTCCACCTGGACCACAGACTGGACTGATCAGCTCAGGCAAATGCTGTCTATAAGAAAGGGCAGAGCAAACTCTTCTTCCTGAGAAGACTGAGGTCCTTTGATGTGAGCAGTCAGATGTTGCACATATTTCACCAGTCTGTCATAGCTAGTGCTGTGTTCTTTGGGGTCGCGTGTTGGGGGCAGTCTGACCTCGAGAGACAGGCTGATAAGGAATTGTGTCTTTGTGATGAGGAAAAGTGTGGACTGTGGGAGCTGTGCTGGAGAGAAGGATGAGGGCTCTAAGGCAGGGCATTCTGGGTAACTCCAGACACCCTCTGACACTGACTGAGGGAGCAGTGTCCGCCTTCACCAGCAGATCAGGAGTGTGGAGAACTTAGATAGAAACAAGTAAAAAACCAGCACAGGTTCTCTATTGCATTGATGTCCGGTGAGATTAGTGATTGGTGAGGCACTGACTTCCGATTTCTTAAATCAACATTTTTCACTACCCATCCAACAAAGACCCATATTTGTTGACAAAAACACAATTCATCACCCAGCTAAACAATAGACGTGTTGTGTGTAAAGTAAATTGATTTGAACTTACAAACAGTGATAAACACATAAAACAGTATGATCCACCGCACAGTCTTGACCCTCAAGGTTTCACATCTGTTTATGTGAAATAAACATAAGGTTCTGGAACAGTTGTATCCATATACAGTATAGTTTTACATACAAGAACAATGAGATATAGTTGCTACACTTTCCAGCTGAAGTGGAAAAGATCATCTTTACCAGAGCACATACAGTAAAGGCAGCATTAGCCCTATTTCAGTCCTGGTTTATCCCTGGTTTAGCACTGATTTAGTCAGGATTTCTTAACCAGATATTACACATTGATACATGCAATGCAGGTCTAGAGCAGGACTGTCAGAATGGCCGATGCTTCAGATTCTCTTCCATTACTCTACCAGAGGACAGAATTAGTTAATGAACACTCTTTGAAAGGCTCGGTAGCAAAAAAAACACTCAAACACTTGACCGTCTGAAGCATGTTTGCATCCATTGAAAAACACTGATATGCAGCAATGTTGGCTTAGAGCATAGACACTTTTAATAACAAAAGGAAATCGCTAGTTGGATGTCATTGCTGGGGCCATGAGCGGTCTTTCCAGGCGCGATAAAAGCTGCAACAGTCATCAGATTCAACAACAAACCGCAGCGTTGCAGCCGTCACAGAGCAAAAGGCAGCTCTCAGATGATCAGTGGGAGGTGGGGATGACGCTAATGGAAAGACTCATATTTATGTGGGATATCAGCTGTGGGTTGGGGTTTTACCTACTAATGCTCAGGTACATTAAAAGTACTATAAATAGATGCATACTGTACAGGGAATATGTAATCATCCCTCACTCTTGTCATGAAAACCATAGAATAACATTAAAGTTGTAAAAAGTCACTTTCTGGAATAGGCATACAAAGTAACACATGGCATTCACTATTAGCATTTGTTTCCATGTTTAGTTATTATCGAGTTTATTCAAATGCTGCTCAAGGGAAAATGCATTGTAGTCATACTCATCAAAATGATAGCAAAGGCTTACATGAGATGTCTGTGTAATATATTAGACAAGGCAAGCATGTTTAAATTGCACTAATAGTACACAAGACAACTCAAAGTGCTGAACAAAACAAGAGAGAAACAATCACACAAGGCGTTAACATAAATAATCAGTACATTAATAAGCAGAGCTGATTAAAAATCTATTATCTATATTATTAGCCCCAGGAAGTGCAAAGAACTGGACGGATGTGATTGTACAATATAATGTTAGTGTGTTAGTTTCACATTTGAAGTTCAATTATAGAAATACAAACTTTAGAACTAAACATAAGTTTCATTTCACAGCAGCACAAACAACATTGTACAAAATTGGCTCAAGTGGCTCCAGAAAACAGTGACACATTTCCCTAGATGCAGTTCTTTTAAGTCCTACACCTGCACTTCCCACGCAGACTCTGCTCTCACACACTTCTATGGAAATGTAGAGGACTCTTTACAAGATAAGAAGAACTTTTATTGATCCCACCGTGGGGAATTGTCAGTGTTGCAGCGCACTCTACAGAACTCAAGGGTGAGAAGGAGGACTCAAAGCAAGATAATGACAAAATCAACAGCTGTAATTATTAGAGAATAACTTAATTATGTATGCTTAATGTGGATGTTACTTACTTTTCAAATTGACAAATTGATTTTAAAAAACTTTTTGAAGACAAGCTGTGGTTGGAGGTGTTCATGGTTGCTCCCACAGCCTCCTGATTGGTTGAAATTAATTAGACATCTTGAGGCCCCTTGTCATTGGTACAACTGTTCTCCAGAGAATCTTATTGGTCATAGTTGTGCCAAAGGGAAGGTACTATTTTATATATATATTATTGCTGTAGAATACTTACTGTACATAATAGTGCAGTACCCCATATAATTTAAGTAGTTGAAATAATCTTAATAAAACAGAATATTTATGAGGTAAAGCAAACAGAAAAAGACCGAAGGAGGTGGAACAATTCTTAACATCCTTTCATAGACCAGGGTCACAGGAAGCCTTATAATTATAAGAAACACATAATAAAGACCGGAAACATGTAAAGTAAAAATCATAATTTTCCTATTTACTTTATTTTAAAGAAACGGAATGTAAAATTTCTATTTCACATTATGTGTTGTTTTCATGCTGAGGATTCAACCAGAAAGCAGAAGAAGTACCCCCTGAGTCTCTCATCTGGATCGTCAGTTTTTTGGTTTCTTGTCGTCTCCCTAAACCCCAAGAGATTGACCAAATGATTGTATCCTCTACTCAAAGAATTGTATTGTAATGAAGCCTGCGCAGATTCAGTCGGGTAGGCTGCCTGCTGCAGTCCATCAAAGCCTTCACCCTCGGCCAATTACACAGCGCTGCCAACAACAATCAAGTTAGCTGTTTAAAAGCGAAAACTTCCCAACATCTAACCCCTTTTCCCGAGCCTTGCAAGGAGTTGTCCTGGAGGAGTCACTTTCGTCTACTCACACTTCGCAACCACCACCACCTCCCCGCCTCCTCCTCAACCATCTAGCCACGCTCTCATCTCAACTTTACCCTGTGCTACCTCCAGTACCTTGGTCGCGTGGGATTGTAAGTGGCACACAAGGAATGATCGTCACAGACAAAGTGCAGCTGCCTGGCACTAAACATTATTTGATTGCATTTTGTGTGCGTGTAGTCTCTCCAGATTTTACTTTTCAATCTTGAAGAGGCAATCTGGAGCTGAAGATGTTGACCTGGGCTTGGGTCCGGTTCAGGTTGGACTCGAGTCCAGAGTTGAACTATACTTAATATTCACTTACTATGTTAAGGTAAGATAAGATAAACTTTATTGATCCCTGACGGAGAAATGCATGTCACATTTGGCATGGATAGAATCACTCAGATTGTGAAAAAGGCAGAAGTGTGCAACATGTTAAAGGTTAAAAATATAGTCTGTGCAGGATTTCATTATGTACAATAATAAAATTGTTATCAGTTTAGCAGTGCTGGTTCTTCAGTCCTAGTGCAGGTCATAAGTGACTTAAAGGGACTCACTGTACAGTCTGACAGTTCTGTAACTTTTGATGCTACACTGAAATTTCCCCACAGTGGGACGAATAACGGATGTTAATCTTAAAGAGCCTCATTCTGCATTCTTGAAAGCTGTAAACATAAAAATATGAGCATCAGGTCCAACTTTTGTTCAGAAAAGTTCAGATATGATTTTTACATGTCAACGCATCTGGAGACACATAGTTCTAGTTACATTTTACTCCAAAAAAAGAAAAACACTGTTTCTTTAAGATTTTACAGAACAGCCTTTGACCTACCAATTACTGTATTTACTGACCCATAAACAACAGGCCTATTCTTAAAAAAATGATTCTAAAAATAACCTTTCAAACATTTGTTTTCTTGCATACCACAGGGCTCTGTCTATGAAGCACTTACAGCCGTGAGATTACAGGAATCACAGGAGCTTGCCGTTTATGGGACCTTCGGGTGATCAGAGTGTTAGAAGTCCATTAAGCCTGTGCTGGTGTTTACAGCTGTGGTCCAGACCTGCTGCACTCAGACCCAGAACCGCTCCCCACGGACGCAGAGCCCAAACAGGAGGCCCAAACACCAGCCACTCCATGATCACTGCACACGGCCAAGCCTGAGGATTAGGATAATATTAGGGATTAGAGCAGGCAACTGGGCACAGAGCACAACTTGTCTCTTTAAGTACAACAAAGTCAGGTTTACTATAAGATGACCTAAACACTATACAATTTAGTTCACACAGTTATTTTTATGTCGCAAACTTACAAGTGAAACTGGAACATTTAAATTCAAAAGTCCATTTACTTCTGTTATTCACATAATTAACTTATATAAGATATTTTAAGCCTTCTTTGTTTTGTTGAGATTTTGAGAATTTTCTCACAGCTTGTGTATCACCCAAATAAGGAGAATTTGAGAATGAATAGTAAACTACATTCGTTCAAATTACAGAAATAATTGATGAACCATAGTTTCATGAAAGATCTTATGATTTTGCCCTGGAAAAGCAGTCTATGTTGACAACGCACTGTGCAAGAGGCAAGAGCACTGGATAAGTAGTTACATCATTATCCGTTCACGCACAGAATATTAAACATAAACCCAAACCACATGGATCATTTAGTTTAAAGCTTTGATTTTCATATGTAATACATTTACAGAAAGAAAAGGTTTAAGACCCACTCGGCTTACAACATTCTGTCATGAGGTGAGATGCAGGAATGCCAAAATCAATGGTTTAATGATAATAAAATAAAAGTCCAGGTGAAAATCAGGACGGAACAGAAACGGACAGACATTGAGAATACATTGGACAGAGACACAAGTGAAACACAGACAGGAAGTAAAACTAAAACCTAACCACAGATAACTAATTCAAAAATAAAACCAAAGTAAAAAATCCACACATGACCTATTTTGTCTTTGTGTTATTAGAATGTTATATTTTTCATACTTGAAAGAAAGTGAGAAAGCCCAGAGAGTCACTATTTGACTCGTTGGGCTGAGAGCTGTTTGGCTGAGTGAGGGTGGTCCTCTGTGTACATACAGATGTGACAGACCAAAATCCATGCATATGAAAAAAGCAACTAGTGATAGAACTCAAGATATTTTGTTTTCAATTTTAATTTGAAAAAACCATTGAACAAAAAATACACGGACCTTTAAGTATCAAAGTACACTGTCAATCCAGGTAGTTAAAGTTACGGTTCTTTCTGCTCTAAACGTACAAATAATGTAGGTTGCATGCAATAAATGTAGTACCTATTAAGGTGGAATGATTAACACTGCTGTGAATCATTCTGTGTAAAGACGGCATGAATCTTTCATTATTTATCCATCTCTACTCATTTTTTATTTATAGTATGAGATAATTTGCATAATGGACAGTGGGAAAAGAACGTCATAGAGAAAGTATTGACAGTAAACAGATCACGAGGTAAAGTAACAGAGCGTAACTTTCTAATCACAATATTTTACTCATAGTTTTTGTCAATGTGATATTTTACTGAATCTTTTGATATGTTCTGCTGGCAATAGCAGATGTATTTTAAACACCAAACCCCAAAAGCTGTATATCTTTTTAAAGCTTATTTTCTAATCTACATTTATATACAAGTTTAAACTACATCAGACTTTGCATTCAAAAGATATAACACATAATATGGGCACAAAATAAATCACTTCCGAAAAAGTTTTTTACCTTTGGGCTTGTGCTGCATAAATAAATCAGATCTCCTCCCAGCTTCCTATGGCTCTTTGACTCCGTAAATGTCCATTGAAAAAGAATATCCACTTGCATTTCCCAAAGTATAATCCATTCTGGAGAAATATTCCAAAAATGTGCATTTATTTTATGTAAAAGAAAAAAATCTGAGAGAGCACAGAGGCAGCTTTTTCGCTGTTATCATCCAAACCCAGGGTAGCCACGTGTTCTCCAACTCGTTAGCTTCAAAATGAGACTATTACTGAAGAAATATGAGCTTGTTTACGTCTGCAGCATCTCCGTGAGTAAAACAAGCGGCTGCTTTTTGCGCATGATCACGTCACATTTGTTGTTAGCCAATCGGCTTGGGAACTGTTTCCTTGTTGAATGATTGACATGTCCGTGTAGCCAATGAGGAAAGCTTTTCTAGCAATGGGTGGGACACGGGGGGTACCGTGTTGGCTTGTGTCAGTAGAAGCGTGCGTGCATTCGAGACACGCTCTCAGAGAAGCAATGAATTTACACTCATAAAAAATTAACTTTGAATTTTTTTTTCAAAAAATCACACATATTAGTAACTTATAAGTACCAAAAATATTAGATATGGTTTTTATGATGATGAAATGTCAGTAAAGCAATTTGGCACAAATTGTGTGCCAAATTGGTTCCGAATGGCACTACTTGATGAAATGGAGAAACTGCATAAAAACTATAAAACTTAGAAGTCTGAAACTTTAGACAGTTGTTGTCAACAACACAATGACCATAGGGTTTGAATATTGTGATCTTCAAATGAAGAATGCCTTTTTTAGGGCCTTTAGAAATTGAAAATTTTAGGCGAGGCTAAAAAAATTGTTTTTTTCCCAAACTTCAAAGGATGCAGAGTGAAATATTTTACTGTATATTTACATAAACAAGAAGGCTGTAGCTTTAAAATTATGCATCAGACAAGCATGTGAGATGTATTGATGTGTTTTTAAATAAGCAAAGACATTTGGGTATGCACAACTTTTGTGCACAAGCCAAAATGAGGCTGGTGTTATAGACCAATCATCAGTTGCATATGAACAAAAGTAGTCGTTTATTTTTTCAGGCTACAACTATGTGTCCACACTACTGTCCACAACACCACACATAACACCAGCACTCAGGCTTTCTCTTTGCAGAAGGGATTACTCTCTTTCCTCCAGGTATGTCTTTAGCAAAGATTTTTGAACTGGATTATATTTTAACTCAGATACACAATCATATTAAGACAAATAAAAAATTAACGCTGGTACTGAGATTCTGTCTTCATGGTCTTTCTAAAACTATACTTTACCGCTCAAACGTACTATCACGAGACCTTCGCTTTTACCCCCTCTGACGTTTGCTGTCGTAGTGTCCCTGGGCAAGACATTTAACTCAACTGAAAGCCCCCTCTGAAAATAAGCACTTCAGCTGCGGCTCACGTCAACACTTCATTAATTAGCAGTGTTTTTTTGTGTCAAAATAATGAGCCCCTATGAATTATGAACGTTATTTTTTTCCAATACATTTATAATTTATTGCGGTAAACCTCCCAAAGGGACGAGGCTGGACCAAAGTTGACGCACCCAAAACGTCACGACTAACATCTGCCCGTTTGGGTGACTGCACATGGAGACATACAGCACATCTCAAGAGAGCGAAGTGGAGATTGTGATTTCAACTTGAATTTCAACTTTATCAAATTCAAATTAGACAGATTTAACATTATTTTAGTGATAAAGAAAACCTACGCCGACATGGGGAGAACATGCAAACTCCAACTCACGTCTGGTGGTGGAACTTCTTGCTGTGAAGTGCTAACTACTGCTCAAACAAGTATTTTGTGGCCCCCTAGTGGTCATCAAACTTTAAGGTCAGTGTGGCCCCCACTGAGAGTCCGTGCAAATAAGGCATGTTATACATCATTTTAAAGATAAGTTAATCAAGAAAACAACCATGCCATTTATTATCCCATAAACATTGAATCCTGAATACAAAAATCAATAATTCAAAGTAATTATCATTAAACCCAGTCCACAAAGACAAAGCCTCATTGCTTTTTGTCCAGTTTTATTTAATTCCAACATATAAGATAAGAGTTCCGAAATGTCGATGTTGCAGCGCACAGACAGGACAGTAGTAAGAGCACACAGGGAGCACACAAAATATACAAAAAAGTAGTAGCTTTATTACTTAACTCTCTGTAAACGCTGTAAATGCTTTGATACCAGTCTTACATTAAACTCATTTTCAATATAAGCAACTTATTTGGTTAAAATACCGACATGATTCTAAAAAGTCACAGATGCAAACAATGAACTATAAACTTTCACAAATGCTTGATTCTTGGTTTCCCTGTTTTTGTCTTTGTTCTACGAGCAGTATTTTTCCGTCATATTTTTCATATGGTGGAATTGTTGTACTTTTTTCAAGTTCAATAAAAAAAAATACACATTCTCTTTTTATTCCAGGGTCAAACATGCGACTCAAAGAAAACACCACTTTGACCCCACTTCTTTCTGTTTGGACATTTTACATTTAAATGATTGATACACAGACGAGGTCCTATGCCATTGGCCCAAATATTCTGTTTCAGCAAATCTTTTCAGTGGTGATTAAGCAAAGCAGAGGGACTGTATTAAATATGTTGTGTTTTGAAATCCACTTTACATGATTCCTTTTTAATACAATAGAAGTTGCAGATAGCTTTAAGGGTTGAACCATGTCCAAAAGTGAATTATTTTCTGTATTGAGCTGTGATTGTATGTTCTCCAATCCCCCTCCGTCAGAATGAAGCAGCTCTACATTTGGAGAGGGAGGTGATGTCACGAGTGGAGCTAAAGCGCAGGTATAACTGCGAGAGAGCGAGCCATCGGACAAACTGATTCAGACAGGACAGAGAGACGGACAAAGTGAGTATCTCATATGTTTTGTGCATGCTGCGATCTCGAACAATCTGGTTTTAGTTCAGTTCATTTTCCACAGGTTATTTAAACTTTTTATTGTTTTTTTTTAAATAAAGTACGTCAAAATAAGATTATTATTGTTCAAACGTGTAGCTAGACATTAATTGTTTATTAAATGTGTTATTGTAATTTATTTATTTCATTATTGCTCTATTTTTCAGATTAAAAATGAGCAAACCATTACTTGAATTGAGTTGATTTGATAACAATTTTTATATAGTTTGACTGTCATATATCGGCGGTTGGACAAAGCTCATTTTTTATTTGATTCAAGTTCTGTAACATGTTTTACTTTTGTGGCAGTTCTTTCTTCTATAACATTATTTGTGAGTAGTTTGATTGGAAAAGGCATATATTTGTAAATAAGTCCAAATGAACTGCGAGTGTCTTGTATGAGAGATATTTTTTGTGAATTCTAAAGGCTCATTTTTGGCAATATCTCATATTTTCTCCCTCTCATATTCCAGAAAAGCATTGTCCAGCATGTATCCTGTGAGAGTCACTGCTCTGGTCCTCCCTCTGGTGGTTCTGCTGCACGGTGTCTCAGCCGCTCCAAGTCACCGGTGAGAAAAAATACTTAAGAATAAGAATTGTAATTGTCTTGCAGTTGTATTATAAATGATTAATACGAAGAGTTTTTTAACCCGATAAATTTAAGTGGGGGGTTGTTTTTTTATATATTATTCTTTAGAAATGATATAGTACAAGATCACCTTTATTGATCTCACGATGGAGAGACACACCCCCAGAGTTGTGTTTACGCACAACTTAATTTGGTTGGTGATCCAACTTTAACATATTGGCTTTTGTTTGTTGCATGATAATAGTATTTTTCTCCTCTGTATCTTGTACTGTACAATATACTGTATGACAAACCCCCTTTTGTTACTTTTGTACAATTGTTGCTTGCAACTTTCCTGAAAAATATATGTACAAGTGAAACTCGTTAAATGAAGATAATCATGAATTTAAAAAAAAATCTCTAATCTATTTTAAAATGTGGCACCAACATATGCCACAGACTCATTTCATGCAAAGGGACTAATGTCAAACCTTTATTTAAATTTAATGCTTTTGGTCTACAGTTCATTTTTGATGTTTTAATATTCTGAGAAGTTTAAATTGGGGTTTTAAAAAGCTGTGAGCCAATCGTTACCATTATAACAAAAGTCTTGATTTTGCGTGCACTGAGTTGTATGTTAGTTTCACATTGTAAATGAAATAACTGGGCTTTTGTGCAATATTAAAATTTTCTGAAATCCTTGTATATTTGTGCTGTGGAAGCAAGTAGCTCATCGTCTATGAAATTACAAAGTGCTGGAGATATAATCAGGTGTCAAAAGTTTGAAGGTGAAGGACCAAAAGGATCGAGTCCCATTGAAGAAAAGTGGCTCTTGAGAGTGTATTTCTGAGCCCATCACCGTAAATGCCTCTGTGTTGTAGGCACTTGAGTCCAGGATCCGCAGAGCAGGACATGGGTCTGAGCTGGTCTGTGTCAGAGCTGCTCTCAAACCCATTTTGGGGTCTTTTGGGTTCACGGCTGGAGAGGGATCTGCCACCAAACAGGTACAAGTGTGTGCTTTAATCCAAGTTATTTATACTTACATGACAATACCAGATGCTCTGTTTTCTATGAGCAGCACCAGAAGCAGGACAATACTTTTTACATATATATGGGCATAAATCATAACTATACATACAGTACATCATCACTCACAGAAACATCCAAGCCAAGATTTATTTTTATTTTTTCATATGGAAATTCCATTCACTCTTTTTAGATCATTTTAACACAAACCAACAAAATAAACCTTAGAATAGGGTTTGATTTATATCCATTAGTGTACGTAACCTAAACTAACAATTATTATTGAATTCAATTAAAATGCATACAGTTTATTTGTTGTTAACCAGTATTTAATTAACCAAATAGATAAAACATAAATTAAATTATAACATAAAAAAATCAAATCCCTTTTGTTGATTCAACAATTTGTTCAACATCCGAGTAACCTGAGACAACCAGGGGCCTCGGGGGATCGTGAGAGAACATACATGTTACTATGGCAACATTTGGGCTGGATTCATACATATAGAAAAAAAGACTCAAGAGACTTTGCTCAGTCTTTACCTCTGCTTACACAGGCATGTTACAAGAATGTTCAAATAAATAAACTAATGAATATTTGTCTTTGTTTTGTTTATTTATTTCATTCCTTTAGTATAAATGAATGAAATATAAATATAATATAAATCAAATAATGTGTGAAAATTATGAAGACTTAATGGAATGTGTATATCAGCTACATTAAAGTATTTAAAGCTGGGCTTAAATGTTTCTGTGGTGTATTCTATTCTGGTGTAGTGGGACTGTAGTTGTGATCACTGTCCACAGCTGAACGGGTGAATAGTTCTGATGTGGGACTGCTGCTTCTGTGACAAAGACCTGTGTGTTCAATCTGAATTCAGGACAACTAAAAGTCTTTACAAACTTGTAAAGTGCAACAATTATTCAAAGGCAATATGCCAATGCTTCCCAAACAGCGGTATATGGGAGCGAATGTTTGGGTTTGTTAAGTGAGTATTCGTGTATGTGTATGTGTGTGTGTACGTGTATGTATGTGTGTGTACGTCGTGTATGTATGTGTGTGTATATTTTGTGTTGTGATGTATGAATGATAGAGGTTGGAGCCAAATAAATGTCTCTTTTTTCCAACACCTTTTCATTTCAATCAGAATTTCTTATTTTCACTTTGATTGTTTTGACTCCTGTTTGGGTTTTTTTGGTTTATGTTTTGAAACACATGCAAAGGTAGGAAATGAATCAATGCTAAACATAATTTACAAAAGATATAGCCTTCAACAAGGCGTCCTGGGTTCAACTTGCTAGTGGCTTCTCTAAGTGAAGTAGCTAATATCAGTCACTTCTGGCCCAAACATGTATCTCTGACCTGTCTGAGCCCTGTGATAGTGTCATGTCATTGTACCACTATGACATCAGACGGCCCTAAAACACAGTAGTGTGGGTAATTTATCAAGTGAAATAATGCTCTTTACAGTCACATGACACATCTGTATTTGCAGCTGGTATTTTTTGAATTGAAAAACAGCAAAACAAATTCTACACCTCCCTCTGGTGGTGGACATAGGCATAGGTCAGGCCAACAGCATTGTTTTCCCTTTAGTCTTGGTACTCCATATATTTCCTACTTAAAATATAACTTCACATACGTTTCTAAAATAGATAAATAGTGTCATTACAATTCTTTGATTGAGCACATATCTTGCCTTGCAGCCACGTCCTTCAGAAGAGGAAATGTAACACTGCTACTTGTGTGACCCAGCGCCTGGCAGACTTCCTGGTCCGCTCCAGCAACACCATCGGGACGGTCTACGCCCCGACCAACGTGGGCTCTGGGACGTACGGCAGGAGGAGCGCCCGGTCGCCTGCCCTTCTCCTGCCCCTGTAGAGCTGTGTTCCAAGTTTAAAAAACATATTACACAAAATGGGCACAAGTCGACCGTATTCGTAAACGTTTGTATTATTTTGTATCATGAAAAACAGTGCCTTTTGTTCCAATGTTAGTTACTGTGCAGTTCTGTGTGGTGATTTGGAGTAGTTGCATTCAAATTAAAGTTGTAAAGTCTGTGAAGCAAAGTTATATATTTTTTTAATAAAACTAACAAAAAAATCTTATTCATAAATTGTCATGCTTTTTATCAAGCAACAGTGCAATAAAGGATTTACAATTCATTTGTTTGTGTTGTGTACTTGCAATATATTAGTCCAAAAAAAAAAAAAAGATTATGTTCATTCTGATTCTTGAGGATTATCCCGGCAATACATATTTTTTGGCATCTCTTGTTTTAGAATCTTTCTGTACTTGACTTTTTTGTAATAATAATAAATGTTTCTTCCAACCAGAATCTTGTAAAAGTAACATGTGAACAAATCAGACCACAATTCATCTTAATTTTTGTACAAATATATTGAAAACAAAGAAATATATTTGTTAAAACAGTGGATGTGGAGATATACATGAATGGTTCACTGGTGCGCATTATTCCAATGTGGTTTTACTGCTAATGGCAAATAAACTGAATCTGAATCTTTCGATTTCTGATGGAGGTTCTTATCTCCATTTCATCGCAGTATAGGAGCAGCTCCATGTTGTTGGTGTTGTGTATTGTAGTGGTTAAGACAAAGACATGCTTGGAGTTTGAGGACTTACCTGAGTTAAAGTCCTGGCCATTTATGTTCTGACATAAATCACTACAGCTTTAAACACTGGCAGGAAGCTGTAGGTGTCGACGTCCGTTGACAAAAACGTATCTGACAATTTTTATTTGACCGTCCCAGACGAACACACGTTACACAACATATTTCCAAATATCAAATGTAATCGCAATTTTGATATTTTGCCAATATCATTCAGTTCTACTTGAATTGAACTAACACCCAGCATTCTCTTAATTCCATTGGCTTTTAGTCTGAATACATGAGTGCTGCCGCTTTGCGACTGAGAGCAGAGTTTTGCATTGCAGTGTGGGTAATGACAGTGAAGAGGGGAATGATGCACAGCATTAGCCCAGGTTTGATGAGGCCTGACCCGGTCCATCTCTGCTCGTCTGTGTCTCTGACATCATCATGAAACACTCTCAGGAAAAGCACAAGAGGTGGATTTTTGCAGCTGAAGCCCAAACATGGACACTGTAAATTAGTGTTACAAATGGCGAGCTGTTTTAATCAATTCTTCTGGCTAATGCGCTGTTAAAGATAAAACAAATAAGTAACATGTGAGCAGACCAAAACACAGCTTTGGTTCATGAACAGTCTACAAATGGGGCAAATCTGTCTGCAGGGAATGAGGGTGAATGCAAAGTGTGCAAAGGTGATACCACCATCTATAGATGATAATTTAATCTTCATAATACAATTTTCAAAGGGAAAGATTAATCAAAGGATTAATTGAAACTATTCCACTAATAGAAATTAAACTGTTACATGCTTAAAAACTGTCCTAAATTACTTTGTATACATTATATACTAAAGTATCTTATTTTTTAGGGTTGGGGTTGGTCAAGTTTTACTTCTATAGTTTCTATTCAAAGCTGCAGGAGAATTCTTAATAATTAATACAGGTGTAAAATGGTTAGCCATGCTTCAAAGTGAATCATGATTCATTGTTTTTGGCGTACTTCTACGTGAGTAATCGCTTATTGTGGTTAGCCATGTTTCAAAGTTCAGTAGGATATCTGCCCCATACATGCCTTGTTCATTGTCACATTCTATGATAAAAAAATCTCAAATAAATAAGTCTATTATTGATCAAAAATGTATTACAATTAGTTACTTCAGCACATATGAGAGCATTGCATTTATGTATTTTTTACTTAAGGTAATGACTTGTTTTTCAATTGATAATCTACACTTGCAGTAAAACTAGCAAAAGTCCTTAAGAATAGTACTTTTTCTACCTCTGGACATAAAATTGTTTGTCATGAGCACAAAGCAACAGCCTTCTCCCAAATCTCCCAAAGATAAAACATGTTACACAGCAGTGGGGCTGAAGGCTCTGTGTTCCATACAGCAGACGCTTTAACCACCGATAATAGTAGGCCACATTTATTATTCAAACATCACTTTTGTACAGATCATTGGTAACAACATATAAAAGCAACAGCAGTATACAGTCTAAGAGTATCATGTTTGTAATTCTCTTACAACACCATATTTACTAGAGTTTTACAAAATATCAAAACAAAGCTACCAAGATAGTTTGTATATGACACAAGTAACCATCGTGAAGTCCAGCATGCACTGCCCTCTGAAGAAAAATCTTTGTTGATAAAGTTACACCATCATTGACATTGACATTATTTATTATATGTGATATTGTCCCTGAAAACATTATTTACAACAGACGCATTTTCCTCCTCACACATAAACCATTGGAGGTGTCTGTTTTTGTACACTGGGCAGCAGTCGGTCTGCTGTGGTGGATCCCAGCTGAGACTGGTCTGTGAACATGGTTTGTTATTTATAAGCTGGAGTCTCCCTCTGAAACTGGGAGGTATCCATTCTTAGCCACAACATCGCCAGGAGCAAAAATAACCAGTAACCTCTCCTGTTCCCTCTTGGTTTTGGGCAAGTCATCAGACGGCGTGATGAGCAGTTGGACCCTCTGGGGAAAGAAATGAAAAAGAAAAAGTATTTAACGCTTTTTACAGTTCAACGCCAATCCAGGTACTCCCCCCTCAAATCTCAGCAAACTTCTTACAAACCGGTCAGTTGTAAAGGAGACAACTGTAAACGAGGGTTACGTATGTAACCACGGTTCTATGAATCCCGAATGACCGCCAGAGGGCGGTGCATAGCACTGAATGTTCCCTTCGCGCATGCGCAGTTCGAGTAATAATACCAAATGAGTCACACCTGTGACCCCTTGGATGACACACCGGAGGTAATAAAGTCCAGCGTCGTCCAGCGTCATCCAGCACTCTGTTCCTGCAGAATCTTCTCGCGGACGCAAGGACCCTGAGTGACAGAGCGCCTCTGGCGGTCATTCGGGATTCATAGAACCGTGGTTACATACGTAACCCTCGTTCTATTTCATCCCTTCTGACCGCCAGAGGGCGGTGCATAGCACTGAATGACCTTATACCAGCTATGTCACGAAGGATCTTGACCACACACCTCACGGAGGAGAGCCAGAGGATTCCTGAAGGACCACGCCAAGAGGAGCCGGAGTGGCCACATTGATGTTGTAGAATCTGGTGAACGTGCTTGGTGTAGCCCAAGACGCAGCAGCACAAATAGTCCCGGCCAACGGCACCCCGCGCATAGCGGCCCAGGAGGTAGAGACACCCCTGGTAGAATGGGCCCTCACCGTGGCTGGCGGGTCGCGGCCGGCCGAAACATACGCCTGACTGATAACGTCAACCACCCAGTGGGAAAGGCGTTGCTTCGAAAGCGGACTTCCCAGTCTAGCACCACCATAAGCAACAAAGAGCTGGTCTGAGCGCCTCACACCCGCCGTCGCAGCAACGTAGGCCTCCAATGCCCTCACAGGACACAGCAGGTGCAGGCTGTCCTCACCCCCATCCAGGGGGGACACAAACCGCGCCAACCTCAAAGGCCGGTTATAATAGTCACGGGAAAGCACCTTAGGGAGGAAAGTGGGATTAGGCCACAAGACCACGCCAGCCTTCTCGGGATCCCAGTGTAGGCATGAGGGACTGACAGAAAGTGCATGCAACTCACCGACCCTTTTTGCAGAGACCACAGCCAACAGGAAAGCAGTCTTATAGGAGAGCCACTTGAGGTCCGTTCGGGCCAATGGCTCATAGGGAGGGCGGCAGAGAGACTCCAACACCAAGGCCAGGTCCCAAACCGGAGACTGCGCGGGCACGCGAGGGTGCAGCCTATGAGCTCCGTGTAAAAAGAGAGACACCAGGCTATGGCCCCCCACAGTACAGTTATCAACCTGGCCATGATAACATGAAATAGCAGCAACATATACCTTCAGAGTAGATGGGGCCCGACCTTCATCCAGGAGAGACTGAAGGAATTCCAGAACAACCGCCACCGGGCACGACACGGGATCCCGACCGCGGGAAGAACACCAGCGGGAGAACAACTTCCACCTGTTCTCATACAGCCGCCGAGTAGAGGCCGCCCTGGCATTCAGGAGTGTACGCCTGACAGGGCCAGTGACATCGAGCGCCCGCAGCTCGGGCCAGCCAACGGCCACACCCATAACTTGAGGCGGTGAGGACAGGGATGCCACACCTGACCGTCCAGCTGTGAGAGCAGATCCCGCCTGGGAGGGAGAGGCCAGGGGGGAGCCCAACAAACTCTGAGTAGCACTGGAAACCAGGGCCGTGCAGGCCAAAACGGAGCCACCAGCAACACCCTGTGCCCCGCCCGAAGGACTCTCCGGAGGGTGGGCCAGATCAAAGGAAAAGGGGGGAAGGCGTACAGGAGGACTTGAGGCCAACTGTGCGCCAGGGCATCCTGGCCGAGAGAGCCCGGAGCCCCGTCCAGGGAAAAAAACTGAGGGCAATGAGTGGAGGCCACCGAAGCGAATAGGTCCACCTGTGCCTGACCAAAAAGGCCCCATATCCTCTGGACCACACTGGGATGGAGACACCAATCCCCCGGGGCAGGCCTCCCGCGAGACAGGGAGTCCGCCACGCGATTGCAGTCCCCTGGCAGATACGCTGCACGCAGTGTAGACAGGCGAGGCGCAGCCCAAACCAGCAGCGCCTGAGACACCTCGAGGAGCCGAGCCGATCGGACACCCCCTTGATGGTTGACGTGATACACGACCGAGGGGTTGTCCGAACGAATGAGGACATGTTTCCCCAGCAGGTGAGGCAAAAACTCCTGGAGAGCAAGGTGGACGGCCCGCAGCTCCAGCACATTTATGTGGTCTGAACGCTCTGCCCGAGACCAAACCCCTCGGGCCAACCTGTGCTGCCACACAGCACCCCATCCCGTACGGCTGGCGTCGGTGGTGACCACTTCCCTGCGGCACACTACGACCCCCAAGGGGACCCCACGTGACAGGAGACCCCGGTCCCTCCATGGAGCCAAAGCACGAAAACATGCCCACGTCACCTGCAACCGTCTGTGGCGGTGACGAACGGCATCCAAACGAAACCCGTTCAGCCACCTCTGCAACGGGCGAAGCGAAAGCAGCCCGAGTGGAACCACACGAGAGATCGAGGCCAGCTTCCCCACCAGCTGTAGAAAGCTGACGTAACTGTGCAGGGTGCCAAGACCGAAACGGGACACCACACCGTGGATGTCGACCAGGCGGCGCACTGAAGGACGCGCCGTCATAGTCACCGTGTTCAGATTCAGGCCAAGAAAAACAGCGGCCTGCGAAGGCACCAGGCTGCTCTTCTCGAAATTGACCCTGAAACCCAAGCGGGCGACATGAGTCAGAAGGCGCTCCGTATCCTCCAAGGACCGTGCCCTGGACGGGGCGCAGATCAGCCAATCGTCCAGATAAGGCAACACCTTCATGCCACTGGCCTGCAGCGGAGCCAGAGCCGCCTTCACGCACCGAGTGAAAACCCTCGGAGAGAGAGAGAGGCCAAAGGGAAGAACCCTGAACTGCCAGTGAACGCCCCGATAGGCGAACCGGAGGAACCGCCGGTGGGGCTGCGCAATGGGCACGTGAAAATACGCGTCCCTCAAATCTATGGACGTGAACCATTCCCCGGCCCCAACAGTCTGAAGGACTTCCGCAGTCGTCAGCATGCGAAACGGAATGACCTTCAGGAAATGATTCAAACCCCTCAGATCCAAAATTGGTCGAAAACCCCCCGTCTTCTTGGGCACGAGAAAATAACGGGAGTAATAACCCCTGGGTTGCAGCAGCGGATCTACCTCCTCGATGGCACCCTTGGTCAGGAGGGCGGAGAGCTCCTGTTCCAAGATTAAGGCTTTTGCCGGGTCCGAGATCAAAGTAACCTTGACCCGGCCCGACAAGTGCGGCCGGCGTCGGAATTGCAGACGGTATCCGTGGGTCAATGTGGCAACCACCCACGGATCCCGAGCTCGAGCAGCCCAACACTCGAGCTGCTGATGGGAAAAATATCCGACGCACGGCCCTGAGGCGTCAATTCCGCGCCCCCCGCCCCCTAGGGGCTCTGGGGGGACCTCGCCCAGGACCAGCTGCGGCGCCACTTGGCTGGCGGGTCGGGCGCCTATGTACGGGTGGGGCACGAAAATTCCCGGCAGGCCTGACCTGGGGATAACGCTGAGCACCAGACCAATCCCGAGGAGGCTGCCGAACACTGGGGGCCACCATCGGGCGCAAAAACTGCCGGGGAGGGCGCACCACCCTGCTAAGGCTAGAAAGTTGCTGTCTAGTCTGACCAGCATGGACAGTCCGGTCCAATGCTTCCTGGGCCGCCGTCCCAAACAACTGACCCGGCTCGACAGGCACGTCACGGAGGGTCCTACGACAGGCCTCAGTCAGGGGAGACTGAGCCAGCCATACCTGCCGACGAGCCTGTACAAGGACCGACATGACCCGTCCGAGCTCCCTGGTCATCAAGGCAAACGCATGCAGAGCTGCGTCGCTAAACGCAGTAACATCAGTGCCCACAGCACTACCCTCTTGGAGGGAGGCAGACAGGGCAAGCAGCAGATGCGCTAAGGAGTTACCAATACGGCCAGCTCGAGCACCAGAATTGTAGGCCTTTGTTAGCAAGTGATCAGTCGCACGACACTGGCTCCGAGGGCACCTCACATTCTCCTGCAAGGACTCCTCTGGAGAAACAATGAGGGAGGCAACAGCCGGCTCAACAGCAGGCATGCAATCCAGACCAGCCAAAGAGGCATCGTGCATCGCGGCCAAAGCCCGACCCTCAGCCGAAAGCTTAGAAAGACGGCTGGGGTCCCTCCAGCACGCGTGTAGCTCCTTTAGATACTCCGCGGAGGGGGCACAACAAAAGCAGGAGACGAACCACTACGCCTGAAAAAGCACTGCCAGGGTCAGCCTGTCCCGACTGGGGAAGTTCCACCTGCAGACGGGATAAGGCCCTGCGAAGAACCTCCTGCATTGAGCCGTCACCAGACCGGCTGGACACACTATGCGCGGAAGAATAAGAATCGTCCCCCGAAAGGGACCGCGCATCATCCTCGTCCCGGAAGCACGAAGCAGATGCCGCCAGAGAAAGCACATCCTCTTCCGGATGGAGGGATGGCATGGAGCAAGAACCAGCCCCAGAGACGGCATCAGCAGCACAACGTGCCTGAAAAGCGGATTTCATCGCCTCCAACTCTGCAGATAACTGCTCCACCCTCGATACCAGGACAGCATCCGGCTTGGCCTGCTTGGAAGGACCATGGGCATCAGACCGCTCCCCTGAAGCACAGGCCTCAGCACGGCGCTTAGAACGCCGAGGAGGCGGAGCCACAGCAGGTCCCACTGGCAAACTGCCAGTGGGACCAGTGGGACCTCAGCCAGTGGGACCTCAGCTGCCTTCGTCGCCAGACGAAGGCAGCTGAGCCAGCCTCGCCACCCTAACAGCCCAGGGCAAGCAGCTGCAGTTCATGCACGGGTTATCGGACACTGCCTCCCTCAAGTGAGTGGGGCCGAGGCACGCCGGACACAGGTCATGGCCGTCATCAACATCGAGTGCTGACCCACAGCCCACACACGCATGTGACCCGTCCATAACAACAATGTTTTTTTTTTTTTTTTTTTTTTTTTTTTAATTGAATATTTAATTTATCCCAAACGGCAGTCAAAAGTCAGAACCGAATGAACGTACTGCAGTTTCACAACAGAAAAGCCAATATAGCACGGTGGAGGAGCGGGCGCGCGAACAGCAGCCTTCACACCACACAATGCACCTGCAGTAAAATGCCAACTCAAATAAAGTAGAGATGGAGGAGAGGGCGCGCGAACAGCAGCCTTCACACCACACCGGCAGTAAAATGCCAACTCAATAAGTAGTGATGGAGGAGAGGGCGCGCGAACAGCAGCCTTCACACCACACCGGCAGTAAAATGCCAACTCAATAAGTAGTGATGGAGGAGAGGGCGCGCGAACAGCAGCCTTCACACCACACAATGCACCTGCAGTAAAATGCCAACTCAAATAAAGCAGAGATGGAGGAGAGGGCGCGCGAACAGCAGCCTTCACACCACACAATACACCGGCTACAGAATAAACACAGGCAGCAAATGCTAACCCAAACAAGAACTGACGGAGGAGCGGGACAACGAACAGCAGCCTGCACACCACAGAATACACCGGTAGCAAAAACTAAGCCAAATAAGAACTGATGGAGGAGCGGGCGCGCGAACAGCAGCCTTCACACCACAGAGGACACCGGTAGCAAAAACTAACCCAAATAAGAACTGATGGAGGAGCGGGACAACGAACCGCAGCCTTCACACCACAGAGGACACCGGTAGCAAAAACTAACCCAAATAAGAACTGATGGAGTAGCGGGCGAACAAACCGCAGCCCTCACACCACAGAATACAGTTAGCACAAGCTAACCCAAACACGCACAGGCGGAGGAGCGGGCCAACGAACTGCAGCCTTCACACCACGAAATGCATGTAGCAATAGGTAACCAAAAGAAAGTACTGATGGAGGAGCGGGCGCAACAGCAGCCTTCACACCAAACAATACACACGTATATAGACAGAAAACACCAATAAATACCCAAAGGACAACGTTACCGTCGCGCCCCACGGAGGGCGAACCGCAGCTCCGATGAAGAGGACTTCAGCGACAGACGTTGACGAGGTTTGGTTCAAGCAAAAACGATTCGAACCGCACGCGAGAAGAAAAAAGGAACAGAGTGCTGGATGACGCTGGACTTTATTACCTCCGGTGTGTCATCCAAGGGGTCACAGGTGTGACTCATTTGGTATTATTACTCGAACTGCGCATGCGCGAAGGGAACATTCAGTGCTATGCACCGCCCTCTGGCGGTCAGAAGGGATGAAATAGAACAAATCAACTTTTTGAGCATGCATAAAGCTGAATGTCTGCCATTGTGTATGTATCGACTGCATGATAAATATACTGTAATAATTCAAATATATATTAATATTTGAATTAATATATTAATATATATATTATACTTCAAAATAATCCATAGAATTTAGCACGTTCTTTTATATTGTTCTTATCACTGTTCATTGGGTTTAAAAACTCTTAGTCTGATATGTTGTGTCGTATAGGTTAAAAAAACAAACAAAAAAACATCTTGATTATTAAAGAAATACAAAGATAAGATAAAAGCATTCTTAATAACAACAAATATCCATGCAGGCGTGAGTGTTGCGCCCTCACCTCTCTGAACGTGCCCTGTGTGGTGCTAAGCTTATAGAGCATCCACAGAGGGATGCAGATCATGGAGGACAGCGCCAGCAGCCAGCCAATCATGTAGCCCCACCACGGGTAAACATACTCATTATTGTACTTTAGGGGCGTGTATTTGATCAGAGAGAAGGCAAAGGTACCCTGGAGAAACATCAAAAGAGTACACGTCATAAGTATCAAGTCACAACTATCAAGTCACAACTATCAAGTCACAACTATCAAGTCACAACTATCAAGTCACAAGTATCAAGTCACAAGTATCAAGTCACAAATGTCAAGTCACAAATGTCAAGTCACAAGTATCAAGTCACAAGTATCAAGTCACAAGTATCAAGTCACAACTATCAAGTCATAAGTATCAAGTCACAAGTATCAAGTCACAAATGTCAAGTCACAAGTATCAAATAAAAAATGTCAAGTATCAAGTCACAAGTATCAAGTCACAAGTATCAAGTCACAACTATCAAGTCACAACTATCAAGTCATAAGTATCAAGTCACAAGTATCAAGTCACAAGTATCAAGTCACAAATGTCAAGTCACAAGTATCAAGTAAAAAATGTCAAGTCACAAGTATCAAATCACAAGTATCAAGTCACAAGTATCAAGTCACAAGTATCAAGTCATAAGTATCAAGTCACAAGTATCAAGTCACATGTATCAAGTCGCAACTATCAAGTCACAAGTATCAAGTATCAGGTCACATGTATTAAATCACAAGTATCAAGTCACAAGTATCAAGTCACAAGTATCAAGTCACAAATGTCAAGTCACAAGTATCAAATAAAAAATGTCAAGTATCAAGTCACAAGTATCAAGTCACAAGTATCAAGTCACAAGTATCAAGTCACAACTATCAAGTCACAACTATCAAGTCATAAGTATCAAGTCACAAGTATCAAGTCACAAGTATCAAGTCACAAATGTCAAGTCACAAGTATCAAGTAAAAAATGTCAAGTCACAAGTATCAAATCACAAGTATCAAGTCACAAGTATCAAGTCACAAGTATCAAGTCATAAGTATCAAGTCACAAGTATCAAGTCACATGTATCAAGTCGCAACTATCAAGTCACAAGTATCAAGTATCAGGTCACATGTATTAAATCACAAGTATCAAGTCACAAGTATCAAGTCACAAGTATCAAGTCACAAGTATCAAGTCACATGTATCAAGTCGCAACTATCAAGTCACAAGTATCAAGTATCAGGTCACATGTATTAAATCACAAGTATCAAGTCACAAGTATCAAGTCACAAGTATCAAGTCACAAGTATTAAGTCACAAGTATCAAGTCACAAGTATAAAGTCACAATTATCAAGTATCAGGTCACATGTATTGAGTCACAAGTATCAAGTCACAAGTATCAACTCACAAGTATTAAGTCACAAGTATCAAGTCACAAGTATAAAGTCACAAGTATCAAGTCACAAACGTCAAGTCACAAGTATCAAGTCACATGTATCAAGTCACAAATGTCAAGTCACAAGTATCAAGTCACAAGTATCAAGTCACAAGTATCAAGTCACAAATGTCAAGTATGAAAATCTACTTGATGTAGAATTAAATCAGATTATATTCACACAAGTGATCAGCAACTTCAAATGTATTTCATGTCCTATGTTGGCAGGCCTTATACTTTAATTTCCGTTTTGAAAAACAGTGGGAAAGCTGTGTTCATCTGGCTACAATCTTCACTATATTCTGTAATTAGTACATATTAGAGAATTTGCTTGATATGGGGTAAAACATTTGTATGGCATTAAAATACAGTATGTCTGGCTGCTTGGTAAAGGATGCAATTGTATGCCCTTCAAATGTTGTCCTAATGGCACTCATCTGTTCTGCTTTTTTATAAATGAAATGCAGTATAAGCTACTGATCTGGAAGTATCTGGTAGTGTCTGATGGTTCTGATGTGGTGAACTTACAATGCACGTGGCAGGAGTAAAAAACAGCCAGCAGTACTTGATGTAAGGCCCAGGGCGGTATCCAATCATGTCTTCAATGTTGTCATAAAAGCGATCAGCCCCTGAAGTAACATGGCAACCACAGTTCAGTGTTATTTATGAAACATTCAACAAATTGGTTGCAAGTAGTGTCCACAAAGTAAGTTTCATAACAGACTTCTAAAAAATGTATATTATATGAATCGAATATGCATAATGACATTTACAACACTGTTCCCACATTAAAATCAGACCTGGAATGGATTTTAGATCATCTAGACTAATATTAGGAACGAGCACAAACATGTTAGGCAAGGCAAGGTCATTTTGTTTAAAAAGCACTGTTCATACAGAAGCAACCCAGGCACAAAAAGAACATTCCAATCAGTCTAAAATCTCCTGTTTCAGTCCTGTAATATTATGAAGTAATTGTACCACACTATGACATCACTCACAGGGCAGTTTTCTGACTATAAAACAAAGTGGTATCTGGTGGTTGCTCAGGGAACATATGTTTATATAATTTTTAACCATTACGCTCTCCATTTTATCTTATGTGAGATATCATTTCACATTCTAAAACGCATAAAAAGTCTAATTGTTTTTGTTCCTCACCATAAACAATGCATATTATTTCATCTTTAAAGGTGAGACAAATACAATAAAACATCTGAGTTCAATACTCCTTATGATCTTTATTATACCAGCGCCCTCTTGTGGTTATTGTATTTATAACACTTGTGCTGGGAGCTTTAAAATATGTGGTTTGTACTGTACTTACCATAGGCCCAAGCAATGCACACAGTCTCAAAGATGGACATGAAGAGGAGGCACATCCCACTGGCTGCATAGTAATCAAAGAGCTGGAACACATACATGCCGCCCTGACAAGGCAACACAGGACTTTTAAGTGTCACTCACATTGGATGTTTAAGTGTGTGTGTGTGTGTGTGTGTGTGTGTGTGTGTGTGTGTGTGTGTGTGTGTGTGTGTGTGTGTGTGTGTGTGTGTGTGTGTGTGTACTTATCTGTCTGTCTGTCTGTGTATCTGTCTGTCTGTCTGTGTGTGTGTATCTGTCTGCGCGTCTGTCTGCGCGTCTGTCTGCGCGTCTGTCTGCGCGTCTGTCTGCGCGTCTGTCTGCGCGTCTGTCTGCGCGTTTGTCTGCGCGTTTGTCTGTGTGTGTGTGTATCTGTATGTGCGTCTGTCTGTCTGTGCGTCTGTCTGTCTGTGCGTCTGTGCATCTGCCTGTGTGTCTGTGCATCTGCCTGTGTGTCTGTGCATCTGTCTGTCTGTGTGTGTGTGTCTGTCTGTGCGTCTGTGTGTGTGTCTGTCTGTGCGTCTGTGTGTGTGTCTGTGCATCTGTCTGTCTGTGTGTGTGTCTGTCTGTGCGTCTGTCTGTCTGCCTGTCTGTGTGTGTGTGTCTGTCTGTGCGTCTGTGTGTGTGTCTGTCTGTGCATCTGTCTGTCTGTCTGTGCATCTGTCTGTCTGTCTGTCTGTCTGAGTGTGTTTTATTACCTCCATCAACATAACGAGCCCCATGAAGAACGAGATCAGTGACACAAAAACCAAGAAAATTTCTCTGCGATTTTTGCGGCGAAACACGGCTGGATACATGTCAACAACGGCGGTCACCAGGCTCTCCACACACACAAACTAAGGAGACATGAGATGTTTTATACTCATAACCATCACTTACTTGTCCCTAAAGATGCAAATGAATACCAACGAGGACAATCAAAGGCATGCATACAACAAATATGTCCACACAGCAGGTGACATACAGGGAACTCTGGAAAATTAGATTATCGTTCAAAAGTCCATTTACTTCTGTAATTCAACCTACATTGTGAAACTAATATGACAGTGAGACATATCAAGCCTTTTTTTGTTATAATGTTGATAATTGGCTCACAGCTTTTAAAAACCCAAAATAAAACTATTTTTATAGATATTTCTTGTAATGAATAAATGTCAAGTTTGTACATTGGTTTAAAATGTTAAGGTGAATTACAGAAACAAATGAACTTTTAAAGGATTTTCTAATTTTCTGAGTTTCACCTGTTTATACTACAGAAATACAAGTGACCATGTTGCTAACCTGACTGTCCAGTCCAAGAAACACAATCATAACGAAGAAGAGAGTGGCCCACAGCGGAGAGAAAGGCATCATGGTCACAGCTCGAGGATAAGCTATGAAAGCCAGGCCTGGACCTACATGAAGACATTGCACATTATCACACATAAGCCCACACACAAACTAAGCTCAATTATCGGAGCTCACCGGACTCTGCCACTTCTGAAATGGGCACGTTTTGTTCATAGGCCATAAAACCCAAGATTGAAAAAATGGCAAAACCTGCCATGAAACTAGTTCCACTGTTCAGAAAGCACAATGACAGACAGTCTCTGCAACACACACATGTCTTCAGATCAGTCCTTGTTCATTTAAACCACACATTAGAATAACTCTCCAGTATTCCTGTGTTTACCTGTAACAATTATTGTTGTATTTGTTGTAACTGCCCAGTGCAGTCAGTGATCCCAAACAAATGGCATAAGAGAAAAAGATCTGAGTGCCAGCGTCCATCCACACCTGAAATAAAACATAACTTTAAAGATGGGCTTCATCTTATTTTACCACAGAAAATAAAATTAAAGATCTTATCCTCATAGAAGAAGACCTGATAAAACAAAAGCAGTGTAAAGCTGTAAGTACATCTTAATAAACACATTTTACCTACAGAAACTACTCTTTAAAAAATTTCATCGGTAATATAATCTAAAGTAAACTAAATTAAAAATAAATAAGAGGAGCACTTTTTGGACTAAGAGGAGATAGTTTTCCCAAAGCTGCGACGTGAGGCCAAAGAAATCATTCATGTGCAGTGATGGGAATAACGGCGTTACTAGTAACTAACGTCGTTACTTTTTACTTTGACTGCCGTTATCATTGTCGACACCCCGTTACTGCGCGTTACTCAAGTCGCACAATGAACTTTTTTTCAAGACTCTGTTGTCTTGAGAGAAAGGAGGATGAGAAAACCTCTCAGCAATTATTGGCTGATGTAAAACATATTTCCTTTACAATCTACATGACTACAGTTGAGAGGATGGCTCATAAATTGTGTTTTTGGAACAAATATGGGTCTTAATCGCGCTCAACCACGGCTTGTATCACCGTGAGGCCAGCCTCAGAGGAGCGCATGTGAGCGCAGAAGTCGGCTGCATACAATTCCATCGATAAGCTCCTTTCTCTTCCTGGTTTATCTGCTAAGGGCAGCAACAGGTTTGGCTAACATACATATAACACATTTTAAGATAATTCAATATGCACTTAGGATAATTTTTCAATGATTATAGGAATGATAAGAAATAGAGGTGAAGTGTAAGACGGTTGATTTTAGAATTTGGATGAACCCGGCTGCAGCTAGCAAAACAAGCAAAACAGAGGAGTTTATGGAGGAGACACGCGTTTTGTTTTACTTTTTAAAACTTTTTGGAGTCATTTACAAATGGGGGATTACATATCTACGCTCAAACTATTATCTGGACTTAAACACAGAACTGGTCTGAACTGAAGTGGCCTGTGCAGGTCATTTATAAGGTACAGTCTATGGGTAAGACCAGTGGGGGCGGGTTTCGGCTCAAAAGTGGCCAAAATGACGTGCGCTGACATGCTTGCAATACCACCCCGGGCCGATGGGGGTGGACCCAGAAGAAGAATTAGCCAATGCTAACATATAGCATTGGCAGACCTCTCAAAAAGGTCTTTACAGGATGGACCAAAAGTTGGCTCTTGGCCCAAAGCTCCGTTCCACATGTGTGTCAACGCTGAGGGGGGTGGATTTTTTTTGGTCCACTCTAGTTTACTTGCTGTGATTTTTTGAAGTCTCTCGTTCAAATGAATGGAGCTGCGCCGGCTGACGCATGCGCAGATGCGTTTTTTCACATTTTTCTTGTGGGCGGGACCACTCGCGGCCATTTTGGATTGCTCCAGTAGAGCACATTTTTTGGCCCATTAGTTAGAACGGCGGAGATAGGCGTGACTCTGTCCGTTGATATATACAGTCTATGGGTAAGACCCCTAACTCATAGCTTTGCGTTTTGTATGAACAAACAATGCGGGCATGAAACATATTTTGCTGTAGCCAAAAAAATTGTGAATAAGCCGCTCGCTTGGTCCAATTGATTTATATGATATATATGTTCATCTGATTGGGCTGAAGTCAGTGGTTCACCTCACCGCTCGTCACCGGTGTCTCCACATCCACAGTGGCGGGTGTTGGTGTTTAGTGCTTACAGCACAGAGAGAGATGAAGAATGAACAGGACTTCAGCAGCAAAACAGCCTTTCTAGATGGAAATATCGGCACTATTTCAAACTCACTGAGGTTAAAGGTAAAAATGTGCACGTCGAGTACACATTATGTTCCAGAGCAAAACGAAAAAGTAACGCAATAGTTACTTTTACTGGTAACTAGTTACTTTTATAGTGGAGTAACTCCGTTAGTAACTCTGTTACATTTTGGGAGAAGTAACTAGTAACTATAACTAATTACTTTTTCAAAGTAACGTGCCCAACACTGTTCATGTGCAAACCAGTGATGTTGTGAAGAATTAGGAGCTATAGGAGATACACCTTCAGCAACATGTGCGGTCTGCACACACACTGTAATTTTTTACATTAGTTAACCGACAGAACACATTATATGGCTGACTGACTCGAGACTCATGTGCCGCCTGCCTGTGTGTCTCTTCTGCTTATTTGGACAATCCCAGTGGTGTACTGGCCCCAAGCTTGAACCTTATTCTGCTTCAATCATTGCAAACAGATGAACTGAACAGAAAACAATGGGACACTTGCACCTGGTCATTAGCAGGACACATGTTGAGTTGAGTCCACTGATGTAGAGCACATTCCTCAACTTCAAATTAATGTAAACGGAAGTAAAACGGCACCTGGGGGTCGGCCAGTCGCCCCAAATCTGGATAGAGATAGAACTTGATCCCAATGGCAGCTCCTGGCAGAGTGAGCCCTCTGATCAACAACACGATCAGCATCAGATACGGGAATGTGGCAGTGAAGTAGACCACCTGTGAAGACAAACACAGAAACACGTCACACTGGAACATTGCCCTACGATAGCGAATGAAAGCTGGGGTACCGCACTTTTTCCAATTAATTGAAATAGAAAATAGTATAATGTATGACCACAACATGCTGCACCTGCAATTACTGTATCTTAATAGAAAAATATGAATACAGTATCTTTGGGATGCACTGCAAAAAATTATAAAACAATGAGTGAGTAATTGCTTGAAGCTTTTTTTGAATCTTTTTATTCATTCTGACTTGTATTAATCTTAAAACAAGATTTGCCAATAGGCAAAAGAACTGTAGCTTTATTTTCTCATTGAAAGGGAGATAATTTTTTTAAATCTTTTTAAAGCAAGAAATTTACTTTTCTCTTCACTTTTTTTCAGTGTTACAGCTGATTGGTTGAGGGAAATGTTCATATTTTTTACTTTTCTGTTTACGTAAAGATGTTACAGAGGCCAAAAAACACAGTGTGTGAAAACCAGTGATAGAACCAAACTGTTTTGAGAGCTATGGGAACAGGTTGTAAATTGATTACATTCGGGTAATTTTTTTTGTGGTTTGAAAGTTAGATACCCAGGCTTTAATCATACTCTGTCCTACTCAGCTGGTGTCATTGGTGGTTGTGGGGCGGTTTCCCATTTCAAAACCAGCTCCCTCTTCCTTCCACTGAAGGTCCTGAAAACTGGGCCTTATGAGTTCCAGTTATGATGGAAGAGAGGATAATGACATAAAACCTTGAATTATAAGTAATTGAGAAGCCCTATTGCTATTTTTCCTCCGCTGTTGTGAGCCATGAAGCTCTTGTTTAAAAGTAAATATTGACATGTTTGATAATCAGGTTTCTTAATCCTGTACTGATTGGAAAATTGATACTAATAGTAATCTTTATTTTTATAGCACCTTTCTCAGACCAGTCATAAAGCGCTTTACAATTGTTTTGGGGCATTTATCCTTTCACTCCACACAGAGATGGGGGTGGGGTCACCATACAGGAGGTGCATGCCAGAACTACATCTTTTTAGTGGTAGCGGAAACCGGAGAATACACCAGATCAGACACGAGGAGAACACACAAACCAAAACCAGAGCAGACACCGGATTAGACATGTGGAGAACATGCAAAATCCACATAGAAAGGCCTGGAGGAGGAATGGAACCCAAGACCTTCTTGCTGTGAGGCACAAGTGCTAACCACTGTGCCACCAGGCTACCCAATATGTAAGCTTTTAACATAAATAAAGCTAGTTATGGACGCGAACAAGCAGCTCTGGGGAAAAGGGAGAGTGAGGGTCTGGATGTGCCAAGGACATAATACTAATGAAAAATACTTGTAAAGATAAGTGTAATCGTATGATGGAGGACCCACTTTTCCTGTGGATTTGACCCCTTTCCAGATGCAGAAGTAGCACATGATCCAGGCGATGAAAAGGCACAGAGCCAGGTCCCAGTTCAGAGATCCCATGTGGTCGAGGCCCGGGGAAATCCTCAGAGCTCTCCTCCTGTAACAACACCGCCACACTCAATGCACGTCTTAAGACTGAGGGATGAAAAGATTGTTTATACTGTATGTGCACCCATTTCTCGAAATATTTGTTGCTGGGGTCTGAAAAAATCTCTTCGCATTACAGAATCAGAGACTTAATCATTTGGCTTGAGCCATTTTGATGGAAAGTAATTTTGCTAAGAGATAAACAAACACCAGATATTCATATTATACTCATTTAAGGTATTGAAGACTTACAAAAAATGATATGAACAAGAATGAAGTTTGAATTTAGTGGACGTTAAAGCTGGGGTACCTAACTTTTCCCATAAATAATACATGTTTGTCCCAACAAGAGTCATGTGAAGTAAAAAATTTTATGTTTTAGATGTAAGATGAGTGCAGTCCTATGAGTGCAGAGAGTGACGTTTTGGGCTTAGCACTGATTGGCTCAGCAAGATTAGCGCTCTAGTGTTAAAGATAAGACAGAGGCCAATAAGACAACCATTTAAACTAGTGTTGGAACCATAGACTATAAATATTAACGGATGTAGTGACGCCTATCTCTGCCGTTGAAACTTATGTGTAGTTCCTTTTCCCTCCTGCCAATTTTTTCTCGCCCATTTTCTTGCTCCCGCGGGAAAATGGGAAAAAACACATTTGCTCATGCGTTAGCCGGCACCAGCCCCATTCATTTAACGGGGGCATTCAAAAGTCCACAGAGGCTAAACAAGGCTGGTCCAAAAAAAAAGCATTGACACGCATCTGGAACGTAGCGTCGCTTAAGGCTGTTTTTGAGAAGAAAAAAGGCGGCATTAGAATGCACTGGATAATTCTGTTTCCGGGAACATCCGGGGCATGTCAGTGCACGTGCTCAAGGACCCTTTGGAGCCGGGACTCGCACCCACGTGTTAGGACCAAACAGCTTAGAGAGTGAAGAACTAAGGAGATGGATTTCATCATGTGTTGCTTTTTGTGGGTTGAAAGTAAGGTTCACAAGCTCTAATAAACGGGACAATGAAAACTTACTCCCAAAACTCAATGACTGGAGATGTGGCATTTATGTTGAATGTTGCATTGACCGACGTGTTTCTTCTCTGGAACTCCACACAGTTTGCTGAAATAAACAGGAAACATGGAAAGGATTGTTTATCATTACTAAAATCAACACAGCTGATGAAATGGTTTCCTCTGCAGAGTGGCTGGACATTCCCTTAGAGATAGGGAGAGGAACTCAGTCACACAGTCACTCTGGTGTGGAGAGCTGCTGCCTCTCCACACCATGATCACCCTAGCGGTGGCTTGTGCATCTGTTTCAGGGATGTTCAACTAGGAGGAGACCCAGGACACGCTGGAGGGACTAAATCTCTCAGCTGGCCTGGGAACACCTCAGCATCCCCGGTGATGAGAAGGAGGAAGTGTGTGTGGAGAGGGAAGTCTCTACTTAGACTCTATGACCAGGCAACGGATAGAGAGGAAGAAAAAGTATGGATTTTAAGTGTAAATAGTTGATGGATACCAACATCAAAAAGTATCTCCCTTCACCTGTGTTCCATGTATTGTTGCATGATGACCAGGGTAAGTCCCAGGAGAAGGAGAAATACAGGTAAAAAATGCCCCAAGCCAAAACAATGATGTAGTAGAAGTTCAGCAGAGTCACGATGATCTGCGTGCCGTAACCCAGACCTGCAGAACGACGGCGCAAAAACATATTCAGTACATACTAAAAACAACAAAAAACAAACTTATGCCAATAAAGAGGGCTGCCTTCAAACAGAGGGCTGATTTTCCTCCAGCAGGTGATGCCTCCCTGGCTCGTGAACTGGCCCAGAGCTACCTCCAGGAAGAAGACTGGGACCCCACACGTGAACAGGAAGATCAGGTAAGGGATGAGGAAAGCCCCTGCACACACACACACACACACACACACAATTGCATAAACTATAAGATCACATGTGCAAGTTTAAAGTGCATGAGACAGGTTAGATTTTTACACGTGTGTTGACTTTTCTTGGTGGGTCTGAAGCCCTGGTAAATATTTACAAAAGTTATATAATGGATCCCTTCACCTATGGTGTCATCCGATTAATAGACTATTTAGATGCATAAGAAACTTTACTCAACCTTTTAAGTCATAACAATTATTCTCAAATTATTGAGGCAGGGTTTTGAGTAAAATCTAATTTAACTACTTACTTTGTCCCAGGACAAACGGCAGCAAGTCCCTCCTGTCCTGCTCTACTTTGTGGCTAAAGCATTGATACAAAGTATCTACAGGTAGATTCAAAGTATACAGATACAAATAATCGTTCTATCGATCTACTGGACCTGCATGCACTGAGTATATAGATGATGGATCTATAGATCTCACCATCAAGAATTAAACTTCTGATCAACTTCTTCCCTCTGGCAGAAGATATCGTTTGTTGAGATTCAGGAAATCTTATTAAGGTAACAGCTTCTTTCCCAAAGCTGTTAACGGTTTAAACAAAGCACCTTAATGATCTTGCACATGTTATTTAAACTGTTATTGTTGAGTGGTTATAAAATGACAATTGCTTCTTGTGCTTTTTGGCTTTTTTAATTTTTTTACTTGTCTAGTGCACACTGGAGACTTTTGCAGAAGTAATACAATGTGGTTATATGTAAATGGAAAATAAACTGAATCTGATCTAGAGACTTTATTTCATATAACGTAAAAAATATAAATAATTATGGACAAATATGACCTCTCTCGATATAGTGACTTTGTGCCAATAGAAATGATTTATGAAAGTTAAAACTGATACAACTTATATGGAAAGTCAAGATTTCTATGATGAGTTTCCATCCTGTCATGTGGGTTTTAAACTGTTTAACTTTTATGATGGTTCTGAGGGTTTGTCATCTGTGAGTGCATTTACAAAGCACTAGTAAAAAGACAAATTTTCCACCCACTCCAATTTAAGCTGAATGTTAAATACTCATGTAAACCTGTGCACGATGATTGATGTGTGAAAAAGCAGGTGCTGATGCATGCTGATTCTAACGTGGTTGATCTTGCGTGTATACACCTCAATCAGACGAGACTTTCCAATGAAGGGTTGGATCGCACAAGGAAAAACCAAGATAGTATTAGACGTAATAAAGGCGACTCACTTAACTCACATGAGCAGCTGAAAATCAAACGGCCAAAGTAAACATAATGTGGTTTGATTACAATTAACAACTTTGCTTGAAATGTGCAATAGCATTTTTATAGTTATAAAGTTTGTAATGAGGGAAATTTTCGAGATGCCTTTGAAAGCGTCATCAGGTGTGGAGCCTCGCGCTTCTTCAAAAAGACTGGACCAAAACCATAATCAAATAGTTTGTATTCTTTGCTCTCTTATTCTTAAATCTTTTAGTGTTTATTGCTTGCTTAGCGCCGCCTACATGTGAAACCCTGATGATCTGAGAAGCTCAGCAGGACAGGAAATGTTTAGCACTGTGATGGGAGACCTCTGGGAACACAAGGTGCCACAGTGGAGCGGCTATAAACTGTTAGACTGTTGCTGTGTCCTTAAGCAAGACACATCGCCCACATTGCTTAGCTTGCATGGGGCTGGTGTGTGGGAATGAATGATTGATTGATGGTGATTTGAGGAATTTGACATGTTTTTGAGTGGTCATAAAAAAAGTACAAAACCAATGCATTATTATGATTATGATTGTGATTAAAGTGAATGACAGTTTTATTTTCAAATTGTGAAAAGAAATTGAAACTGTTTGAAGACCAGCACTACCTGCCCATGCCTAACTCCCTGATCAGATCAAATGATTTCTAATCCTTGAGGCCCCTTGTGATTTGATTTTTCTTCTCCAGCAAATCTTAGCTGTAGTATTCAAAGTTATGGAAGGGAAAGATAAAAATAAGATGCCATTAAAGTTGTTGACGTCTCCTTTAAGCTTATCCTCATACTGTATTTGTTTTGAATGCAGCCAGTTCATACCAAGCAGTTTTTCCAGATTTTTTTTTATTCGTTAATTGACCACTGTTATGAACTGCTACGGTAGACTGACTTGGACTGAACAGAATACCAAACCTGTTGGCGAATGATTACTTCAGACAGTTGGAAATGTGGTGCTGTACAATTCATTTAGTCTAATCGTTTTGGTGTTTATGGGCAGTGTTTCAAATGGTCAAATTTCCGGCTCTATGCTGTGAGAAAGGGCAACAACAGCTGCCTGACCCCAACAGACCAACTCTGACCTATCTCCCCCACGGAGGGAGACAGCAGCTAAGCAAGCAAATGTGGACATGCAAAAGACCTCCTCCCAATGAGACAGGGCCAGAAGGATCAAGACTCCACTTTCGATCCATGTCAAATTTTGTGACTTTAAAGGGACCAAAAGTAAAGAGTATTTGTTTGAACAGTGTGTGTACTTTTAGGGAACATGCATTTGTTTATAATTTGTGATGATTTACAATTTAGCTGTTCTGGTTTTATAATGGAGACTTAGCAAGGGTTCGTAGCGTCAGCAAATTACTACTAAAACATTGTGTATACAGGGATTATGACGGAAACCGGATCATATTGATTCAGATAAAGATATTTTTTATCATTGTGGGGAAATTTCAGTGTTGCATTCAATAGAAGTGAAGCAGTTTTTTAGAATTTATCATATGTTTATTCGTAAAATAAATTGGAGGCTTTCTACTTCTGTAAAGTGTTCAAATGAAATCAAGTGCATGTTCCAGTTGGATATTTATTGGCTGGAAGATTTTTTTTAAATCGTTTTAATTGAATATAATTTAGCTGTGAGCTGATTGGCTGCTGCTGTGTGTGGCAAAAACAGTAAGATTTATGTATATTAAAACTAATTATGTCCAACCCCTTTTCAAAACTTTCTTCTGTTGTTTCGTTCTGTAAAAACATATGTTTTGAAATAAACAAATTGAAAGATGAGACAAAGGAAAAAGTGACGGATTTTTCTGTTTGACATTCATTTCCACTCACCTCCTCCGTTTTTGTAGCAAAGGTACGGGAAGCGCCACATGTTTCCCAAACCGATGATGGATCCAGCCACAGACAGAATAAACTCGATCTTGTTGCTCCATTGGCCTCTCTCCTCCATCTTCTCCTCGGAAGAAGCTTTCACTCCAGACCCATTGGACAGACTAGAGCTGGTGATTTCCCCTGCAGGGTTGGAAGCATAGGAATATAAATGATCAGAAGGCAATCTTTAATCAGCTTAACAAATACTAAACAGTGGAATGTAAATAGAAGTGTTTGAAAGATAGTATTAATCAAATGACAAGTGTTGCTAAACTTACCAGCCATCGCTAATCTCCTTGTTATGTTTTCAACCTTTTCTGTGGAGATGCTTCAAGCTGAGTTCAGTTTTAGTATTTAACTGTGATGGGGGGGCGGTGGGGCAGTTATGCTACACCAGCCATTCCCAAACTCAGTAACACCGAGGCCCCCTTAAAAATCTGACGGGTCTGCGTGGCCCCCCAAAATAATAACCAAGAAGACAACATTAAGAATAGGCTCTTCTGGTTATTTTATTTTGGGGAAATAGCCTCTGCTACAAACATTGTAATACAAAAATGATTACAGTGGATTATTCAAGTCAAATAATGAACACAAATATTTTAATATTACAAACAAAACATTATAAATTTAACATTAAATAATTATATTATTTTTTTTATGACCTCCCGCGGCCCCTTTGCAGTACCCTCGCGGCCCACCAGGGGGCCGCGGACCCCACTTTGGGAGACACTGTGCTACACTAAGGCCAGCCTACTACACTGCGTAAAAAAGTGTGCCTTTGTTAGGAGTTTAGTGCTTTCATGTGGAGATGATTCAAGAACACAGCATTTATTAGTGAGAAACAGTGACATGACTTTGGGTTAGAAAGGCTGATTATCTGCTGTTATTTATGTTTTACTAGTGTCATGAGACACTATTATACTATACTGTTCTGTTATTCATCAACACATGAAAGGTAAGGCACATTGCATCTTGACTACACTAATAAAGTGTCATAATGGCATTACCATAAAGACACATACAAAAATATGTATAGTTTATTATAAATGTATTATACATGTAAATATGAAAAGTGTCTTCATGTTTAAGGCTTAGATTGTTCTTTCAATAAGGCCAAATTAAGTAGTGCTTAAGCAGTACTAGCTCCTAATTTGTTATTAGGAGAACAGTTACAGTGAAACCTTGGATTAAGTTAGAGTTCAGTCGTATGGCTGTTGGAAGGAAACTATTGCAGAACTTACCTTACTCCTTTAGAATGTCAGACCTCCTTACTTGTTTTCTATATCACTAGAGTTGCCTTGTGTAAGAATTGTGCTGTACAAATAAACTTGACTTGCTTTAACGGGTAGTCAAGAAGTTCAAAGTGTGAGCATGTACTATATATAGTTTAAGTGGTTTTTGTGTGTGTTCTATGTAAGCGACCGTGTCTGCGGAGTCAAACTTCCTTCAGAGGTCGATAAAGGTCCATCTATAATAATAATAATCCTCAACATGTATATCCTTAACAAATGCATGTTGATCCTTAACACTGACATTAGTTAATGTTAGTTAATTAATTAGTTAATGACTTAAATAAACATGTGAAATTTTACTATTTAGCAAGGTAAAGACAGAAATGATGATATACACTGGAAAAATATACAACTTTTTCCCTTCACCTGTTTTAGGACAGTTATTTTATTCAATTATTTGTCTAGATTATTACAGCAGATTTCATCAAAAGGTTCTGCTAATCTAAAGAATGAGACAATGATCAAAGGAGACTTTGGAGGTGATGCAGATCATCATCATTTGTTTAAGAAATTCTGGTCATATATTTTTTTAAATATGCAAACTTATGGTTTCCTCTTGTAATTAACTGCAGTTTTCCGCCAAGCCATTTTCAAACAGGGAAATGCAGTTTATTTATGTTTTGTATCCTGTCACTTGTTTGTCTGTTGTACATTGACAACTGCTACTTTGTTGGGAAAGATTGAAACAATGATCTCCACAGGACCATTGTATAAAACCTGCAAACTTTGTGGCGTTATCGACCACTATAAAACTTGACAGAAATAATTGTTTTGCACTTTCCATGTCCATTCTAAAAAAGGTTAGCTATATAAACCTTATTGTTTAAGTTGCGTTCCCAAACAAAGCTCGAAGCCTCATGCAGTAGTGTTAAAATATGCAGCGTCATGACCCAAAGAAGAGCCGGGCCTCTTGTATCATTACATCAGATTAGCCCGACACTTCCAGAAGCTTGTGACCAGGTGTGTCCTCCTCCTCCTCCCCCCTGAATCGGAAAGGCAGCTGTGGTCAGTTCATGCTGGATTGGGCCTGTACTGGAATGGACACAGGCACCCTACAAGTTCAGGAGGAAAGAGCCAGATATACATACAGTGCCATGCGAAAGTATTCGCAACCTGATTGAACCTTTCAACATTTCGCCACATTTCAGGCTTCAAACATAAAAATATAAAATTTAAATTTTTTGTCATGAATCAACAAGTGGGACACAATCGTGAAGTGGAACGAAATTTATTGGATAATTTAAACTTTTTTAACAAATAAAAAACTGAAAAGTGGGGCGTGCAATATTATTCGGCCCCTTTACTTTCAGTGCAGCAAACTCAGTCCAGAAGTTCAGTGAGGATCTTTGAATGATCCAATGTTGTCCTAAATGACTGATGATGATAAATAGAATGTACCTGTGTGTAATCAAGTCTCCGTATAAATGCACCTGCTCTTTGATAGTCTCAGGGTTCTGTTTAAAGCGCAGAGAGAACCATGAAGACAAAGGAACACACCAGGCAGGTCCAAGATACTGTTGTGGAGAAGTTTAAAGCCGGATTTGGATACAAAAAGATTTCCCAAGCTTTAAACATCTCAAGGAGCACTGTGCAAGCAATTATATTGAAATGGAAGGAGTATCAGACCACTGCAAATCTACCAAGACCCGGCCGTCCCTCCAAACTTTCATCTCAAACAAGATGAAGACTGATCAGAGATGCAGCCAAGAGGCCCATGATCACTCTGGATGAACTGCAGATAACTACAGCTGAGGTGGGAGAGTCTGTCCATAGGACAACAATCAGTCGTGCACTGCACAAATCTGGCTTTTATGGAAGAGTGGCAAGAAGAAAGCCATTTCTCAAAGATATCCAAAAAAAAGTCTTGTTTAAAGTTTGCCACAAGCCACCTGGGAGACACACCAAACATGTGGAAGAAGGTGCTCTAGTCAGAGGAAACCAAAATCAAACTTTTTGGCCACAATGCAAAACGATACGTTTGGCGTATAAGCAACACAGCTCATCACCCTGAACACACCATCCCCACTGTCAAACATGGGGGTGGCAGCATCATGGTTTGGGCCTGCTTTTCTTCAGCAGGGACAGGGAAGATGGCTAAAATTGATGGGAAAATGGATGGAGCCAAATACAGGACCATTCTGGAAGAAAACCTGTTGGAGTCTGCAAAAGACCTGAGACTGGGACAGAGATTTATCTTCCAACAAGACAATGATCCAAAACATGAAGCCAAATCTACAATGGAATGGTTCACAAATAGACGTATCCAGGTGTTAGAATGGCCAAGTCAAAGTCCAGACCTGAATCCAATCGAGAATCTGTGGAAAGAGCTGAAGACTGCTGTTCACAAACGCTCTCCATCCAACCTCAGAGCTCGAGCTGTTTTGCAAGGAAGAATGGGAAAGAATTCCAGTCTCTCGATGTGCAAAACTGATAGAGACATACCCCAAGCGACTTGCAGCTGTAATTGCAGCAAAAGGTGGCGCTACAAAGTATTAGCGCAAGGGGCCGAATAATATTGCACGTCCCACTTTTCAGTTTTTTGTTTGTTAAAAAAGTTTAAATTATCCAATAAATTTCGTTCCACTTCACGATATTGTCCCACTTGTTGTTGATTCTTTATGTTTGAAGCCTAAAATGTGGCGAAATGTTGAAAGGTTCAAGGGGGCTGAATACTTTCGCAAGGCACTGTAACTGCAGCACCATTTGATGTGGTTAAACAATAAATGCACAAATGCAAACAAATATAAATCATGCTTAGTTTCTTACATGCTACAAGTTTTAAAAGATAGATGAAAAGACAATACAAATACAGAGATAATATTATACATACCTGTATGCTAAAGCAGCCGTGTCCAATGCCCAAAGAGTGCAATACACCCCATGCCAAGCAAAAAACCCTCAGGTGCCTTCAATAATAATTTAAGGTTCGTTGAAACAATACAAAGGATTTATATAGTGGAAAATAATCTAAGACAATATCTATAAATGTCATTAAAAAATATATAAACAAAATTTTCTCCTACGAGCAGGCTCTCCCCAAACCGGTTATGTTGTAAAAAGATTTTCTAATTTACACAGACGTCTAAATCAATATAAAATAGCAGAGGTATGGAATGTTTATGTTTGATGATTTCCTATTTTGAAAAACAGACCTGCCCCACATGATGAGCATGTGGTTATAGTATATAGTATATGTGCCTCTAATAGGGTCAATGATTTACAAGAAGAAATGCAGAGTCGAAGTAGGACCGGTGAACTCTCAGCCCGCACGTGTCTCAGAATTACCCTTCAAATGACCACGAATAGCTGACCATAACTGCCCTTCTAAAAAACGCACAATTCTCACAGACATTGTTTCAGTGAATATAGGCAGGAGAAAAGTTCAACAGCAAACAATATTTTAGAAAAATAAATGCCATTCAAAAAATTACACATTTGTTAAATTCCTTTGCCAACTGCCAAAAAAAACAGCGGAGGGGTCGCGAGATCATTTTGAGTAGGTCACAAGCCTTTCCTTTGCAAATAACTAAAAAAGTAATCTAAAAAGAAGTACATTTCTATGGAAAAATAAATTGCCCTTGACCTATTAAAGCAATATTAATAAATGTGTCCATAATGCAAGTTTGTACGCTTAGATTAAGAAAAATATCTAAATTCACTGAAAACTTGATCAAAGATTTATTTCGAAAAGACCCAAATGTGTGCCATTGGTTCCTGTTGGAACAGGGCCTTTCTGAGTGGAGTTTGTATGTTCTCCCTGTGCCTGCGTAGGTTTCTCCTATCACTAAAAACATGCATTAGTGGCATCAGCATGGGTCAAATGCAGAGAATGAATTGTCCTACAAGGATTAATAAAGTGCACCTTTTAACTTGATTAGTTAGAACTCAAAAACAAATGTACTTTTAATATTTCCTTGATTCTTGAGACTCTTTGAGTAAATGTGTTCATAATTTTAGCTTTAGCATTATTCATTATACATTCATTATGTATTATACAATATGTATTTGTAATCTTTTGGTAAAAAACTAAAAACAATTATTTTATTTCACCTGAAACCCATCTGCCTCACTTGTGTTTACTTCATCAAGTAATTAATCATTCAGGGTAAGCTTGGAAACCTGCTCCTGTCATGTCTATAAAATCACATGTGGTGTGCCCCAGGGTTCCATTTTAGGTCCAGTCCTTTTTAACCTGTCCATGCTCCCTCATGCTGGTCAAAGCCAAGTAATGCTCTTTTTAACGGCCTTTTAGACCTGAAATCTTGGAAGACAGAAAACCTTCTCCAGCTTAACCAGGACAAAACTGAGGTTTTAGTCATCGATCCTGAGGCCCAGAGAGAAAAACGTTTACATGAACCCCAGATATTCTTAATGATAAGTGAGCATTCTTTTTTTACTCTGAGCTGACTTCTCTAATTTTTATAATAACATCAGTAAATTATGTTTTTGTCATCCAAAGAAAATAGCCAGAGGCTGCCCTATTCTCTCGGGCCATCACTGAGACACTGCTTTAATTCCTTTGGCTGTCAGACTGTACAACAAACCTAGTTGAGTCTTCTGCTGCTGTACACCTGAATTTCTCCTACAGGGGATTGTCTTCCCAAAAAACTTTTCAGGTTTACATTTCTGTCTTTATAGCGCTTTTTAGAACTTTTTATTTTTATTGTATTTTACCTTGTCTATTTGTGCCATAGCCCTGTACTCTGTAAACTCAATATTCTAAGTTTGTATGTGTGTGTGTGTATACTTGAAAACAACTTTTAAAAACAACATACATTTTAAATTTCAAAAATGAAAAGCATGAGAAGCAAAATAATTATCCAAGCTCTTGTTACTATAATTTGACTAAGAATAGTTTAATACAGTGCGAAAACAAAACACCACAATCCATTATATTCATTGATTAAAAATGATGTACAGTATAAATAAAATAATGCACCCCTTATGATACATGACAGTCAATGCCTTTCCAAAGAATTTAATCTCATACATTAGAAACACAGTCATTTTAAGTCATCAATGAAACGGAGAAAACCATTGTGCTCCATTTGGCAGCACATACAGAACATGTAAAGTATATTATTGTGACCAGTAGTATTAGTAACTTCTGAACTAAAGTATTGAGTTTTCATCAAGTTTTTTTTCTCCCAGTTTCACTATTCATAGTTTTCAATTATACTTTGCATTTGACTGGATGACATTGTTACCATAGCAGCTTGTTACACATAGTGTTACCCCCGATTTGCACCTTATCTTTAGGGCATAGACATCTAAGAGCCTGACAATTTACACCAGTGGTGAAATATCCACCTTTGAGCTGAACGAAACCTGTGGTTTAATGCCGCCTATGATCCAGGTGTTTATTTTATATATATTTTTTGTAAATCCAGAAAAGAGCCATATAAGGATTGACCAATACGATGCTTTCATTTGTGAAGGAAACCTGCTATGGCGCGTAGATCACCCATCAGAACAAACGCCCATATAAGGAAATTGGCTCCAGCTAGCTTATCTTCAAATCAGCCTCTTCCACATTGGGCAAACACTATTGAGCATTCGCTCAGTCCACTCCTGGTATACCATTTATGTTAGGGATATGAAGAGCCAAATGTTTTACTGCTTATTTCTGTAACAATTTTTCAGGCGAGGTGCCGCCGTGGCCGAGGGTGTATAGGCGAGGAGAAGCCGGTGTTATTCATGTTTAGGAAAGGGCTCCCTGCTGGAGATTTGGTTAGACTGTGCCCAAGTAGTTTTTGTTGAATCTGGAAACCCATTAATTCAAGAAGAAACGCATTGTTCAGTTTACTTTGGCCTGTGGAGTTGAACAAGTAAACATTTTTGCATGTACCAATACCTGTAATAGTTAAAAGGTGACAACTTAATTTGTGTTTCATTTTTTAGCTATATGACCCGCTGGTAACATTTACATTAACCATTTTCCCCAGACATAATTGCGCTTGTAATATTTGCTGGAGGAGAATAATTCGTGACACTCCTAGTTAAGTGTATTTTTACACGCCATGCCACATATACAGCGTGGAAGACAGTAAAAGGAGCAGAATGAGTGTCTGGTGTAAATTGAACGCTTTCAGATGTACGCCCATGCACTTGTTACATCTACATAACGTTACATCCACATTATGTTACGTGTGCCGCTTGTTGTAAATTGAGAATAAAAAGAACCCAACTACTTAAGATAAAATATGATCAGAATACCAGAAACTTAATGAAATGAGTAATACATTTGCCATACAGTTTGCTGTGATAAAAAGCATGTTCTAAGGAGACCAGACGTTGGAGGAATGCATGTGACTAAGACCGTGTTTGCCATAGAAATTGGCCCCCCAGGCAATAATATGAAAAGTATCAATAGTGTTCAATAGAGTCCATACACAATGTAAAAGTATGTGTATGCTAACTGCCCAGCTCAGGTTCCTGCTGTGAAGGCATGGAGGTCAGTTTGGGAACAGCCCAGGAGGTGGAGGGCTGGATGCTGCTACAAACCGCATGGGACAGGAGAAGTAGGCTCTCCTCTCCGGACACCTCCTCCACCGCCAGCCCCGCCTCGAGGCCCAGCTCCGCCCCCGAGGCTTTCCGCGTGCAGTCCATGCAGATATAGTCTTCGCTTTCTGCCATTTCGCACGTCACGCCCACGCAGACCTGGTGGAACCACTCGTCACAGCCGCCATCGCACTGCACCCAGTCCACCTGAAAAACCCATGACAGCAAAGTGGGTTATGAGAGCTTCGCAAAGAGATGGGATGAATAAAGACCAAAGACATACATTTTTTCTAAATATATTCACTATTTAATAAAAAGCTAATTTAAAGAGAAAATAATAGCCATTTAGATGTTGTTGTAGAATTGTTTATTAAATTAGAATCCGCAGTAGCAACTAGGGCTGGGCGATAAAACGATAATGATATATATCGCGATAGACACGTGTTCGATCTCAATAGAAAACTGGGTCAATAGAATGTTCGATAGTTCAATTTCACTCAGTTATAAAAAACAGGAAGAAAACACAGGAAGTAAAGCCAAGTCAGAAGCACGCGGCATTCTGGGGGATGTAGGCAGAGGCTACTCGACATATCACAGCAGAGTATTTATTTATTTGTTTGGAGGATAAGCCCCTAGAGATTAAACATCTTGTTTTCGAGGGGGTCCTCAAAATTGTACAAAATGACAGATGCAGTAAGGCAGACAGTAGAGCAAACAATATAACATAAAAAAAATTAAAAAAAAGATACAGACACAAAAGACAAAGGACACACAAACACACACTCACACACACACATTCTGATTGTTATTAGTATAATGTCTGTTATACATTAACAGAGATTTAAGCTAGTATCTATAGTAGTGCAAAACCTTGTATGCTCAATAACACTGGCATTGGTTCTGGAGGTGTTGGACCAGAGCATTTTTAAACAGAGGCAGAGAAGTGAGAGAGCGGATGGATGAAGGTAAACTGTTCCAGTCAGAAGGAGCTTTAAATTTAAATGAATGTTTTCCGACTTCTTTCTTAACTCTTGGGACAACAAAGAAACATTGGTTTGCGTGACGCAAACTGTTAGTGGATCGCAGAGGAATCAAATATTGTTTCAAATAGTCCGGAAAACTTAAATTAATACATTTAAAAATAAACAGCAGCCAATGAAGCTGACGTCTGGATGACAGAGAGCCACGACAGCTGCTCGTACAGCAGACAGTGGTGGGTCCTAAAGAGACAGCGGAGAATGAACCTACCCAGGCTGTTGTATGTGACTTTAAAGCCTAGCGTACATCGACAGAGAAACTGGGGACAACTAGTTGCAAGGCGGCTTTTGGCAACTGAGAGGAGATGGTGGGAGATGATCAGTTGCCGAAATCGGTCGATGTGCGCGCTCTTACAACTGGAGATGAACAGTCGGTCTCCAGTTTCAGTCAGTTGCCCGTGTTCTACTTTTCGGCAACTAGTTGTCCTCAGTTTCGGAGATATGACCCAATGTGCGCGCTCCATGCGCCGCTCCGACAACCTGTGTGTATTGCGTGTGTTGCGAGCCCGCAACAGTTTATGTCAGAAAACATGCGACGGATATAATCAATTGCCAGTCCGATGTACGCTAGGCTTAAGAGGCTGGAGGATGGAGGCATAAGTGTTTTGATAAATGATGTCACTGTAATCAAGAATAGATAGAGATTGTATGTGTTTGTTAAAGGAGAGTGAGGAGTCAAGCCATAAACCAAGGTATTTAAACTGATCAACAACTGGGAGTGGTGACTTGTCTAAAAACAAAAGATTAATTTCATTAGTAGACACGGGACGGACTCGTTTCTGAAACAAGATAAAATTAGATTTGGATTTGTTGAGTAAAAGTTTGTTCGATTGTAGCCAGAGTTGAAGAGAATTGAAATCATGTTGAAGAGAATTTTGAATGTCAGTAACATTTGATTTGGAGGAATAAATCACTGTATCATCAGCATAAAGTTGGATATTACTGTCTTTGCATGTGAGAGGCAGATCATTTATAAAAATAGAAAATAATAGTGGCCCAAGTGAAGAGCCTTGTGGCACACCTCTCTCAATGCAAGAGAAACCGGAGTAGCTGCCTTTGTAAAAGACACACTGCTGTCTGGGATGGAGGTAGGACTTGAACCACAGGAGTGAGGACCTGTCCAGACCGACTGAGTGGAGTTTGTCTAAAAGGAGATAGTCATCGACCATATCAAAAGCTTTTGTTAAATCAATAAATAAAGCACCAGTGAGCAGGTTTTTGTCAAAACCAGAAAAAATATCATTAGTGAATTTTAATAACGCAGATGTAGTTGAAAAATGTTTTCTAAATCCAGATTGAAATGGAGAGAAGAGATTATGGGTTGATAGGTATTGAGATAGTTGATTAAACACAATTCTTTCATATACTTTGACAATACTATTGATGATAGAGATGGGTCTGTAATTATTTATATTATTTGAGTCACCACCTTTGTGGATCGGGATGACCTTTGCACATTTCCAGGCGGAGGGAACTTTACATAATTGAAAGGACAAATGAAAAAAGAAGTACGAACCGCAAAACATTCTGGGAAATGCAACAACAACCACACCTTGCGTAGCGTCTATGGATCTAAAGTGCGGCGTCGGAGAGGCAGTGGACACAGAGACCCGATGCATAAGATGAACTTTTTCCGTCATGGGTACACAAGACACTCGAAAACAGCCAAAACAGGAGCTAAACAAGGACTAAACCAGGATTAAACCAGGACTAACAATGGGGGCACTGTGCTTGTGAACATATGCCTCGAGCGTCATTCCCCCGTGACTGTAAACAAGGCTGCAGACACGGCAAACTTATTTATTCAGGTAAAAAAAAAAAATCAATATATATCGTTATTGGCCGATATGAATTACTTATATTGTGATATAGTTTTCAGCCATATCGCCCAGCCCTAGTAGCAGCTCAATGTTTCACACCCCTCACCACAAACTTTATACACTTTTCAAACCACTTCAACTCACAACTGCTGAAGATGTCAAACTTTGTTTTTTTTGTGCCCAACATAAACCCTACTTACACCGCACACAGCTGCAGACGGGCAGGAGCAGGACTGGGAGCTATGACAAGACCGCGTTAGTCTTTACTCAATGCACAAGTCAAAAAAGTTTTCTTCTGATTTTAAATCAAGGAAATTCTCATGTTATATTAGTGGTTAAATGATGAACATCGGACTGTGACAGGTATGAGCAGGCTTCTTCTTCCTTTGAAATGTTTGAGAATATTGAATAATCTATGATATAGTGAAACAAGTATCAATATATGGGGCTGCCTTATCTCTATACTACCACCAGAGGGAGGTGTGGAATTGTGAAAATTACCAGCTGCAACGACAGAGACGTAAATGCAAAGAACGTAAATTGTTTAAAAGGCAACACCCTAGTTTCATATTTGTGCCAGAAGATCCCCCATCAAAATATGTGTTTTGATGAGGGGGTGCACTGAAATCGATACTAGTATTGGGTCAATACCATAGGCTTGTACTCATACTCATTCCAATACCATAGAACCTGATGCCGGCAACCGATACCCACATTTTAAAAATACACAGCAGACAGCTGTGTGTTGAAATGGTGATCTTTAAAAGCGGCAAGCAGACAGGATGTCGGCCGTATGGCAGTTTTTTTAAGTAAAGGATTGACCAGAGTAAAGTGGACTGTACGTTTTGTAAGGCAAAACTGTCACGGGGTGGGTCCAAAACACAGTACAGTGCACTTGCATCAGTGGAATAAAGTAATCTCAATACTATAGTTGACCACAATCACATTCTAAAGCAGTACATTGTCCATATTAATCAGTTATTGTGAAAAGCATAAAAATTATATTTTATTTTACACATATCTATCAGTATATATTGTATAAAATCGCATTAAAAGAGGATTGGCTGGTGATTTCTTCAATCTAAACTGCTCACAATAATACATGCACAGCAGCCCTGATTGGCTGACTGATGGAGGCAAAGGGGAAGTGTGTGGGCCAATAGTTAACTTTGTCACTTGTTTTGTGAGTTTTGCTCTTAATGAGCTGCACGGCACTGTCCTGTTAATACGTTATGTGTAACTCTCCTTAAGGTGTTCCAGTGCAGTTATCAGCTGTTGATATTCAATAAAGTTCCATGTTCAAATTCACAAACGTTTGGTATTAACTCAGAAATACTCTGACAACTGCTTTTTATCCAGGAAATGTCTAGACATGTCTGCTTACATAGTCAGTGAGCTTTGTAGTAGGCAATTACAATGATCCAATGAACCTGTACAACATTGTTTGGAAGTAAATTATTGTTTCGGCTGAACCTTGTATTCTATGGTCCATTTATATAAAACAAATCAGTGGCTATTGTTATGTATCTACGTAGGTAAATAGATGTTCAAACATAAAAACATGATATCCAGGTTCATATTCCATTCCGAAAATATTTTGGAAATAAATCAAAAGTTAATTTACTTCTGCAATTCAACTTGCAATGTAAAAATGATATACTCATTGCAGTCAAACTGAGATACAGTACATCTAACCATGTTTGTTATTATGTTGATAATTGTCACTTTACAAGTAATGAGTCTATTTCATGAAATATTTTATATACATAACTGTTTTGGATGTCATGTCCTTATAAATTCACTACTGTACTCCGGTCTCTTACTAATGAGGGTGAAGTGTCTTGCCAAAGAACACAACCTCAGCCGCCCCACTACAGCACCTGGTGTGCCCAGAGATCTCCCATCACAGGTCTGATGGAATCTGGCTTTCACATGCAGGTGGCACCACTGGTTGCCGCCCGTTCTATCTTCCCCGAGAATTCTCAGTGATTTTTTTATGTGCTGTATATATTCATCCTCGGGCTGACTGTACAGCTGCACTGAATGACTTAAGTGACATTTTGCATAAACATGAAGCTGCTCACCCCAATGCTGTGATTATAGTTGGTGGTGATTTTAACAAATGTAACTTAAAGTCTGTATTACCGAACTTTTATCAGCATGTGAGTCAGCCTACCAGGGGAGCTCACATCCTGGATCACTGCTATAGTAACGTGAAGGCGGCTTACAGGTCCAGTCTCAGACCTGCTTTTGGGAAGTCTGACCACTCTGCTGTTCTCCTTCTTCCTTCTTATACACAGAGGAACAAACAGCACAAACCTACTTCCCGCACTGTGCAGTGCTGGTCTGAGGAGGCTAACATGAAGCTGCAGGGCTGCTTTGATGCCACAGACTGGTCTGTTTTTAACTCTGAGAATGTTGATGAATTCTGTGAGGCTGTGACAGGATACATACAATTTTGCATTGATTGTTGTGTCCCCTATAAAATTATCAAAGAACACTCCGGCCAAAAACCTTGGATGAACACTGATGTCAAACTTAGAATCAATGAGCGGACACTGGCGTTTCAATCCGGTGACGAGGGCGCTTACAAGCTGTCCTGCTACGCTGTGGAACGCTCTATAAAAGCTGCTAAGCGTTCCTATGGGGACAGGTTAGAGGGCTTCTTTGGGGAAGAGGACCCCCGACGCATGTGGAAGGGGATCAGTCTTATCACGTCCTGGAAACCAAGTGCAGGGAAAATTGCTGCTGGCCAAACTTTGCCAAACGAGCTCAACGACTTTTACTGCCGCTTTGAATCTGCTGATCCCCTGCCTTTTGTCTTCCCCGAATGTCAGGGTGCCTTCACAGTGACTCAGGATGAAGTACGGCGGGTCTTGTCCAGGACCACAGCTCGGAAAGCCCCAGGCCCGGACTGCATTCCTCCCCGCGTCCTGAAACTGTGCTCCGAGCAACTTGCCCCTGTTTTAACGGACATTTTTAACTTGTCACTCAGGAGCTGTACGGTGCCGGTGAGCTTTAAAAGGTCCACCATTATTCCAGTTCCTAAGAAGTCTCCAGTGACATGTCTCAATGACTACCGCCCTGTGGCTCTCACGTCTGTTCTTATGAAGACTTTTGAGCGGCTCGTGCTGGAGTTTATTAAGAGCCAGATCCCTGTGAGTGTTGACCCGCTCCAGTTTGCTTACAGACAGAACAGGAGTGTGGAGGATGCCATCTCCTTTGCTCTGAACTCTGTCTACACTCATTTGGACACTAGTAAATCTGTCGCGAGAATGCTGTTCATTGATTATAGCTCTGCTTTTAACTGTCTTGTCCCAAGCATATTGGTTGAAAAACTAATGTCCCTTGGTCTGAATGTTGCCATGTGTAAATGGATTTTTAGCTTTTTAACTGACAGATCTCAGAGAGTAAAAATCAATGACTGTTTTTCTGATGTTGTTTCTGTGAGCACTGGTTCTCCTCAGGGATGTATTTTGAGTCCTTTGCTTTTTACTTTGTACACTCACGATTGTGTGTCCTCCTCTGACTCAAATCTGATCATCAAATATGCTGATGACACCACCATCATCGGTCTCATCAGTGACAATGATGATTCCTCTTATAGAGCAGAGATCGAACATGTTTTTCAGTGGAGTAAAGTAAACAATCTCCAGCTGAACACTGCAAAAACATGTGAACTTGTCTTTGACTTCAGTCATAGCAGTTCTCACACTCCTGTTGTTATTGACAACTCCCAGGTGCAGATCGTAGAGGAGTGCAAGTTCCTGGGCTTAACTCTGTCTAACGACCTGAAATGGGCTAAAAACACTGACCGGGTCGTAAAGAAAGCCCGTCAGCGTCTTTACTTCCTGCGGAAACTTAGAGAATTTACCACTAACTCTAAGATTCTGCTGAACTTTTATCGCTGCACCATTGAAAGTTTACTTGTTGGTTCTGTGTTGTGTGGTTTGGAAACATCACAGATAAAGAAAAGAGAGCTTTAAACAAGGTGCTCCGCTCTGCAAAGAGGACCGTGGGCTGTGAGCTTCCTGTTCTGGAGGTTCTTTACAAAATCCAGACTTTTAAACAAAGCTCTTAAAATCATCGGTGACTCTTCTGGCCACCCTGGGAAAGCCATGTTCCAGCTTCTTCCCTCTGGCAGAAGATACCGGTCACTGAGATGCAAGACATCTCGCTATGCTAACAGCTTCTTTCCACAGGCTGTTAGGTGCCTAAACAGAGCATTTTAATTCCTGCTTTTACCTGCTTTTAAACTGCTTTTACCCCTTGTATTGTTTTGTCGATCGGTGCCACAGTGTCAGCTGTTTTTTTATTATTTATTATTTTATATTCAGTGTATGTGTATTTATATTACATTGTATCGTGCTTTTTATTCTGTCGGTGCACACAGAGTACCTCTTTTTGCATGTATTTCCAATGTAGTTTTACTGCACATGGCCAATAAAATGAATCTGAATCTGAATCTGGTTTCACAATGCAAGTTGAATTATAAAAATAACTTTCTTTCCGAGTTTCAAGTGTAAACCATCAACTCTAAATGACTGACATGTCAATTTTCAATCCTAAATTCAATATATACCACTTCTATATAATGAATATCACAGCAGTTCACGCTGGCCAATAAACATGACTTACATTTTGTGCAAATAACATTTGTCCATTACCTTGTCCTTACACGGCCGTTGACAGTTCTTGGAGGCACACACAGCGTTCTCATCGTTGGAGTCCTCTGCTCCGGACCAGTCGTACTTGGCTGGGATGTCCAGGATCTTCTTATCCTTCCTCTTCTCAAAGCCCTCCCTCATGGCCTCGGCTTTAGCTGCGGCCTTCTCCTTTCTTTTTCTCTCCTTCTCTTCCTTGGCGATCCGTTTGGCCAGTTGCTTCATCTCTCGGTTCTTGTCCAGGTTGAGTTTGAGCTTCTTCTTCTTGGGCCTCCCTCCCAGCCCCAGCTCAAGGCCGACCCGTTTGAAGTCCTTGGGTTTTGGCGGACGCATGTCGCCCAGCCCCGAGGTGCCGGCCACAGCAGCCATCAGCATGTGGTGGTGCTCTGCTCGCTCCAACTTTCTCTTTTTTTTCTTTTCAGAATCTTTCAGTTTGATGCGAAGAGGCTTTTCCATCAGGGAGTCATCAGGCTAAGAATCCAATCAAAATATTTACTTCAAAACTTGTGTACATGAAAAAAAAACAAGACAAATAGCTTACAGACCACACACACACTGAGATTTTGATGAGTCCTAGCGTATCTAAAAACAACTGGTGTATTTTTGACAAGGAAACAATGCTGTATCATAGTTAAAAACTCAAAAGAAAGCTTTTTGTTAATCTCTTAAATGGTGTTCCTTATGTTAATATTGCTTAGCCAAAATGTATCTTATGTTATCTGAAAGCCATGCCAAAATGCCTTGGTCATGGAAACCAACACAAACACAACAGTACCTCCATGACTTGCAGAAAGCGGTCTTCTGAGGGCGGGTGCGTGGCCTGAAGGATCCTCCAGATGTGTTGGGTCTCGTCTAAGGACACCTCCAGGAGATCCCCCAGCATCATCAGCTCTTCCAGCTGTGCTTTGGCCTGAGGGGACAGCTCCAGCACCGGGGGCTCCAGGCTGCGCGGCACCAGCGGGGACTTCCGCGGCTGCTTCCGTGGAGTGCTCACATCTACAAGTGGTAACACAGAACAGAAAATCTTATTCTAGCATAGTGAAAGGCTTTAAGATTAAGGGATCCTTTAAATAATCCCAGAGTGGGGAAATGTCAATGTTGCATCACCTGTTACAGAATAGTAGGAATGAGGAGCACACAGCACAAGATAAATGAACAAAAACTCTGTTTAAAAATAAAATCAAAACCCTAACTCAAGTATAACAAGGAAGCAATTATAAAATCTCCAATTTTAGCAAAATAAAGAAGCAAGAATTAAGTACAAAATCTCTGACTTCAGCATAATAATGAGTAATTATAAAATACTATGTATTCTAGTGCAAAAAAAAAATAGTCGTATACAGTAAATACATCTGTACATGATAGCAGCATGAGGCTCTGGGACAAAGTGACGGAGTAAAGTGGCAGTGGTTATATATTGCAAATTCTGAAATTTAAGGTATTGTACGGATTAATATTATTAATATTATTGTTAAATTATTTTGGACGCATATTTTTCTTCTGTCTGCATGAATTTCTCTTGTTGACTTAAAGTGAGTAAATTGACCTCCTGGCCTTAAATTTTGATATAAAATAAGTCATTTTATGAATTCTAATATCACAGTTAAGTCCCGCCTTCCCTTCTCTTAGCTATAGCTCAAAATCCACGATGCCGTCCAGTTTAACCAATCGAGTCATGCCAAGGGCTGTCAATCATCAGCGCTGATGCTCGTAGCTGCGCGCATGCTCAGTTGTTTGTTTTCACGGAACCTCTGAATCCAGTCTCCATTAGGCTCTGGAACTACATGAAAACTGAACAAAGAATCCTGAACATCTGCGCTGAGTTACCCATTTATACACTGAACCTATATCCATAATCAGATACTCTGCAGATGTGTCCTATAATGTTCAATTAATGATAATAACTACTTCCGGCACGGCGGCTGAGTGGATAGCACTCTCGCCTCTCAGCAAGAAGTTCCTGGGTTCGAATCCCGGTCGGACCAGGGCCTTTCTGAGTGGAGTTTGCATGTTCTCCCCGTGTCTGCGTAAGTTTCCTCCGGGTACTCCGGTTTCCCCTACCACTAAAAATATGTCCAATAGTTCTGGCATGCGCTTCCTATACTGGCGATCCCGCTCCCATCTCTGTGTGGAGTGAGAGACTAATGCCCAAAATTAACAATTGTAAACCGCTTTGAGACTCAAATCTGCAGTGAAAAGGCGGTATATAAATAAAAACTTACTTACTTACTTCCGGGTTTACCACGATCATTTTTTTTGTGCATTAAAATTTTTGTCATGAAAACATTGACAAATAATTTTGAAAACCTCCGTGCATGTGTATTAATAATGTATATGTATAACGTGTTCTCCGATTAACATTTAAATGTGTTGATTTATTGTTACGGAAACGTAGAAGTAGACCAATCATAAAGGAAGGGGGAGGGAGCTTGGGACGTTTTTTTTTTTTCAAATCATGTACCTCTCTCTCTTTTTTCTGACAAACTCCAGACAATAACTTTATAGAGCGACTAAACACCTGTGCCCATCCTTACTTTGCCCACAAAAAAGGGCGTTGCCTGGAGGACCAAGGGACAAGAAGGGGGGCTTAGAGTTTGGCATGGTTTGGGCTGTGATTGACAGCTCACTTGTTACACAAAAAAAAGACAGTTGTCCTTGCTGCTTAAAGCAATAGTTTACACAAAGGAAAGTCTACATCCCTTAGTTTACACACTAAGATAATTGTAGAGCTACACACCCGAATCTAGGCCACAGAATAATCTCACCAGTAATGGCTGTCAAATGATGTAATTTAGTATTAAACCACTAGATGTCGCCAGAATACTCCAAACTGCTGCTGGGGCGAGTGTGAGACTTGAATGGGTTTATACCACTGGTGTAGAGAGACACACATCTCAAATACCAACTGACGTCAATCATCACTTGGCTCCAGATCCAATGCAGAGGCCAGGCACAAAATTAAAATGTAGTGCCACCAAAAAGGTAGAGAGGGAGTGAGATTTTATCTAATTTACACTAAAATAAAAAAAAAATAACCAGGAAATGTAGAGAGCACTATAAGAAACTATTTATGCAGTTTATGAGTAAAAAAAGTTGATTTGGCGGTTAGTTATAATACAAAATATTGTACAGTACATAAAAGCTTTTGCAATGTATTGAAATAAAATTAATACAAGCGTAAAATGTAAAATGTTTGACTAAAATAATAAAATATAAGAAGACTGTTCAGTCTTCAGCTGTGTGAAGAAGACTTGAAACTTTTACAGTCAAACAGTACCAATATATTTGAATATGTTTGCTAGAAATAATAATGAAAAACTATGATCTTAATAACCTGTTAATCAGAGTGAGAAGAATTTGCCTGTATTTGCAGCCAGTCATTTTCAATTTTGGAGAGAATAACAAAACATGTGATTGTGAAAGTAATTTCTCAAACTAATTTAGGGCAAATACTAATACTTAAAAAGCAGAACTGCTATGAGTATGATGTCACAGTGGTACAATGACATCATACTATTAATGGTCTCAGACAAGAGCTTTGACAGAAGGGGAAGAGTAAGTGCTGCACTCCACCGGCCGCGTCTCAGTTTCCGCGCGTAGGCTGCTGCCCGTCAGACGTCTGTAAAACGGAATAGTGGCCACACCGGCTTCAGCAGCGAGCAGCTCTGGCTGTGCCTTTATAATTTTTTTTGTTTTTGAAAGATGGAGATGAAACAGAAACATTTGGACAGATACGTAGTACGTTTTACGCAGCCGGTGGAGTCGGGGGCCCAACATGTTTGTGTCAGAAGTTCCTGATTGGTCCTGGGTTCAAATCTCGGTCGGAACAGGACCTTTCTGAGTGGAGTTTGCATGTTCTCCCCGTGTCTGCGTAGGTTTACTCCGGGTGCTCCAGTTTCCCCTACCACTAAAAGAGTATGGAATGTGCCTCCTGTACTAGCGACCCCACTTCCCTCTCTGTGTGGAGTGAGCGACAAATGCCCAAAAATAACAATTTTAAAGTGCTTTGTGACTCTGGTCTGAGAAAGGCAATTACTTACTCACTTACTTTAAATGTTTTATCACCATTAAAGGCATTATTATCAACTAACATGGAAATTTACACCACCAATAACAATAGAAAACATGATCTTACGTTGTACACAAGATTTTGAGGCGGATGAGTAAGCATGCTCTGCACAGAAGGAGGGTGTCGTGGTTGGCCACATGTGACTGACCACTTCCTCTGATTTCACTGGGATCTCTTCATCACAAAAGAGGTAAGGCTTCACCTCCCCAGGATCCTGAAACAGAAACAGCTCATAGCAATTAAAAGTCTTGTGTGAGAACCCAAAGATCTATTCTAAACAAAAGCCAATGATACAACAGAGAAAGCCAAATTCTTTTAGAGTTTCAATCTTCTGTATGTCAAGGCCATACCAACATCCACATCCCTACACACATGATTGCTATTTTTATTTTCTTGTTAGCAGACAAAGTTCCATAATATGGCTAAAGCATGTCTTAATCCAGAAAATGACTAAATACTTGTTCAGATTGACAGACCTTCATGTGATATCCATAAGTCTCCCGGATGTCCTCATCTGAATCTGTCTCCTCGTCGTCGTAATCCACAGACTGTCGGGGGGACGTGGCTCTGCTGAAGCCCGACTGCTGAAAGGTCTGAATGTGACCCTGACAACAACAGAACGACGTATGTGACACAAAAAGACAAATGAACAGAGCACAATATTTTCTTATCAACAGATTATGTGGATAACTTGTTAGTACAAAAGTGAGCTCCACAGCTGGGTAGAGATGATAACTGCGACCTCTAGTGGTGGTGTTCATAAATACATTCTAAACTTAGTGAGTGAAATGTTTGCTCACTCCTTTACAATATTATCCAATATTGTAGTATAACATGAGTGTAAAACCTGTAAATCTGGGTTAGCTGCTGCTTTCTGAAGCTCTGCGTTGATGATCTTCTCTGTTTTCTCCCTTGCTGCTTGCTCCACCATTCGCTGGCTCAGTACCGACAGCTTTGCTAAAGCAGAAGACAGCTCCTCTGTGGCTAGAGCCTGCCGTGCTCTGTCCTGTAAACCGTGAGATCAGAGTGTGTCATGGCTTTAAGAAAGATTTGTCTGCTCATACTAAAGAACAGCGCTTACCTGCCAGCCCATGGCCCTCTCAGTTAAACACTGCAGAGCCTCTCCCTCAGGCAGTCGCACAGGTAACTTTTGTAATAAAACTAACAGTGACAATATTGTCTCAAGCCTTGGCCTCCGTGACCGTTGACACAATGGGCACAGAAATTTTGAGTCTTTGCTGTTGCTTTGCCAGCCCACTCCCATCTTCTTCTGGGAACCGGTTTTAGGCAGCGGGACACAAGCCCCATGAAACCAGTCTTTGCACAGCTCACACTGCAGCATGAAGCCACTGGCAGTCTTTCTGCACAGGCAGAACTTCACCTCTTCAATGCGATCCGCCATGGCCATTTTTGCTAAATTCACTGCACGAACAGAATGTATGGATTCCACTTCTTGTTTCTCTTTGGCTTTAAAAGCTGCAACAACAGTGGAAGGATCTCGGACCTCCTCTAGGCTCTCCTCAAGGTCACTCAGGGCCTCTGGGTCAAAGCCCCCTCGCTCTTTTTCCATCAACTCTTTAACACGTTTTCGCCTACTCTTACTGTTGCCATAGACCCCAATATCTATTCTTGGACTCAAGACCTTAGAGAAAAGAGAAACACAGAAGGATAAAATTGAGGATTTACCAAGGAATGAATAAAAAATAAACATAAAAATATCCATCATTTTACCTGGAGTAAAGTGTATGTGGAGTTTTTCTTGAGGAAAGTGCGGGCGGTCCTCTCTCTCCATGCTCTGGCTGCAGAAACCTGTGACTCAACCTGGACCAGAGGGTCTAAACGGACTGGGATAGAACGGCCACGGGCGAGAAGGCTCTCCAACTGCTCAAGGTAGGCATAACTACTCCCACTCTAAGAGAGTAACAAGCATGTTTCATACAAACAGTCTATACAGTAGAAATAACTGAAAGTTCATTGATCACCAACCTGAATGGCCTCCACTTTGAAGGTCCACTCCTTGGCTTTTTGTAAGGCCTCCTGTAGGGCTAAAATATTTGGCAAGTATGCAGGGATATTCCTGGCTTCAAGCACAATGCTCTCCAGAGTCTCCATGCTGTGGCGCGGTCTAAACCACAATACACAATGTTCATTACTCGTCCTTACACATGCACCATATGCTATTGTATGTCTACATATTATTTCAAACTGTATAATTTTCACCTGGCTTGTAGACATGCTTTCGCCTTGTCCTCCCAGCGCTCTGAGACCGTAAGGATTTCCTGGAGTTCTGCCATGGCCTTCTCCACTGCGTGATGCGGGGCCAGCCCCACACCAGAGTCTATCAGCCGCTTCATCAGCTCCAGTGTGACTCTGTAGGGTTCAGCCAAGGTCACACGCACCTGAAATTTAAATAATAAAAAGGAAGGTTATGCAAGTATTCCACATCTGTGTTCTTTATTGGGATAATAATTATTCTACAATAAAAACAAAACACAATTTTAGGCCTGGTGGAACTCAAAACGTCAATAACTAATATTTTCTCTGAAACGTTAATTGTAGTGTTTCAAATAGAAATTAACATAATCCCACAAATCTAACTGTCAAAATGCCCGTTGCTCGTTGTCCGATCAAAGGGCTGTTGCGGATTGTTACAAATCAAACAAACCCAATAACCTAATACTCAAACTCAAACTGTTCTTTCAGTAAGACAGCTGTTTTTCTTGAATGACATTACATCAGCCTGGTCTGCTCTCTACAGCTCACCTCGTCGAGCCAGCGAGCCTGCAAGAGCTCTTGTTTGAGTCGGGGGAGTTCCGGCAGCTCCACATCAAGACCGCTCGCCAGGTCCAACAGAGACTGCAGCTTTGAAGAGTCAGGCATTTCGTCAGACAGCGCCACCTGTGCCCGCTCATGGAAGTCCTCCACATTGTCCAATAACTCCTGAAAGGAATATCAAAAGATTGTGTGAAGTATTGAGTAAAACTAAAGGAGGCGACTGGACGATTATTACCTTCACTTGTCTGATCTGGCTGATGAGACAGGGCAGGCGGAAAAGCTGGTCGACAAACGCTTTCAGTTCATCTACAGTCAGTTTTGTGCGGTTTTTGCTACTTTCTGAGCGCAAACGAGTGCTAGAAGATTCAAAGAAAAAAATTAGGAGATTTAAAGCTATAAGCCAAGGAAATATGTTGTGTGATATTTTGTTTATGCATGTTGTGTGACTGAGACATGCGTTTGTGTGGTAGAAGCACAACAGATCTTTACTAACCTATGCCTCTGTTTTTGGCTAAGAAGTAGCTGAGCCACAGAAGAACAGGTCTCTGCCTCTTTGACCATTTCTCTCAAGCGCCGAAACCGCGCATTCTCTGGATATTTCCTGTCCTCAGCATCCTCCAGCAAAACTTTGAGCTCGATCAAATCTAATGAGGGATATAGTTAAGTAACAGCAATAAAACTACAACACAAAAGTCAAAGGCATATAGGAGGATTTTCCCAATTTTTAAGAAAGACAATTGGGAGGACCAACTTTCTTGATGATCCACCTGGAAGTAGAAAATGCTCCTATATACCTTTAAGACATTGTGCAAATAGCCTAAATTATCCTGGAGCTCTGCCAGTAGGAACACACCTTTTTTGTTCTTCTGGTCGGCCCCCAGAGCCTCAGAAACTCTCTTGGTCCAAGTGTCATAGGATTGAGCTCGCATTTTCACACCATAAAGCATGTTGGGAAACTCCTCTATGTCGTAACGATATCTGTAATAAGTAAATTATGCAGATTATGAGTGCCTTCAGCTGAGAAACACATGCACTCCACACTGTGAACAATAAACTACAAATGTTAAAGCTCACAAAACTTAGGCACAGTGGGCGTCTATCGTTTGTAACGCTACATAGAAGGTTCTAGCGCTGGGGTCACCAACCTTTTTAAAAAAAGAGGGCCAACATAATATTATCAAATGGCTCAAGGACTACTATGTATATGATTGAATTAAAATGAACAAAATTGGATCAAAAAATGGGGAATTGTCCACTACCTGAATTTATCTCAGCAGTTAGAAGCTACTCTTTGGAATGGGTTAACAGATTCTTTAAAAAGAGGTATGAGGCATGAGAATGATGGGAAAAAGTAGTGATGCAATAGCCAGAAAAGCCTCAATACTTCACAAAGCTCCATAACTCCATCACTAATATGTGTAGGGACAGAGAGTGTTTGAGCCCGTGTTTCATCGCACTGTATGTGTGTATTCTACTGTATTGCTTTTGTAGTTTTTGTTCCTGATTTTGTCCCAAATCGACTTAATTCTGTGTAGAATGGATGGGGGGAATTAAAAGGTTTATAAGAGTTTGAGTCATTCAACCCCTTTACAAAAACTATTTTGGTACTGTTATTTTGTTCTGTAAAATTGTGCCGTTCAGGTTTTGAAATAAATTTCAATAAACATCATGATTGGAAACAGCAATTCACCTGAGGCATTTACTGCCCATTGCGCAGGCGCAGAGCTGGTCGGCATGGTGGAGACAAACCAATCGATCAGGGCTACAGGAGCAGGTAAGGGCAGACAGGAAGCAGGTGGTTTTACACTTATGGCACTGACGCTCATCATCAGGAAGCAGCTCAAAAACCTCCTGTTCTGACGACAACACCCCCTGCAGAGATAGAAACATGCATCATTCTACTCTTGAAGACATTGAGGTTATTCACCAGTAATTTCCTGATTATTTAAGAAAAAATCAGAAGTAGTAACTTAAATATATACTACAAGTAAATTTCTCCCTGACCCTACTGTACCTCCCTTTACAGCAGTCTTCAACACTAAGGCCCCCCGGATTGATGGAAACATCCCCCAGGGCCCGTCCAGTAAAAAAAAAAAGCATGCTCTATCCTGAATTAAATCTTATATTTTCCTGTTGAAATATAAACTAATATGACCAAAAAACCCATAAGATTTGATTTGTAAAAAGTGGTATTGATCTAGTAATTTAAACTAAATATTTGTCGGTTTATTTTGTCAACTGATAGTCATGTTGAAGTGCTCCGATCCCCCCTGGGAAACACTGCTTTTCAGAATCCATCCATTTTCTTCCCCTTTTACGGATCCGGATGGCAGAGGCAGCAGTCAGATGTACTGTAGAATTATGTAGAAAGTATACAACAACAAAAAATGTAACATTTCTTGAGCATTTCTTGATACGTTTTTAACCATACCAGAATTATGACTAGTATAAAACTTCAGGGCCCCCTAAAAATCAATCAGTTATTTTGGATTCAGGATTCCCTTAGTTGAGGAAAATGGATGAATGCACATTAAAGGAAGTATTGACTAAAACACCAACCATTTCCTGAATGGCCTGTCGAAGCTGTGTCTCCTCCTTCATCATCTCTCCCAACTCTTTGCAAACAGTAGCTGCCAGTTCAACATCCAGGCTCTCGGGATCAGCAGCCATCTTGCATAGGAGCTCCTCATGAGAAAACACGCAGTAGCGGTGGAGTCGCCTGTAGTGAGCCACGCACTGACGACCAAGTGGCAGCTAAGGACACATCATGGTCAATGCCTTTACTGCTTTGTTAGTCTATTTTAATATTTACCCTTTTCTTACCCAATCTGCAGTACAAAAATTCACAGCCTCAGCAAAGTTGTATCCCTGGTTGAAACCACTGTGGTATGCTCTGGGAAACGTCACCACAAACTCCCCTGCACACTGGTTTGTCCGATAAACCTAGAACAATCATATCATACTTTCTGGACTATAAAGGCGCACCTGTATACAAGCCAAATTTGAAAAGAATATCAAATTTGTCCTTATATAGGCCGCACTTGAATATAAGCCGCAGGTGTTCATGTTGTAATGTAGATAAACCAGGGGTGTCAAATCCAGAAAGGGCTTGTGTGGTTCCAGGTTTTAGTTCCGACCTGAGCAGGAGCAGACCAGACTCCACCCATTTCCTCAATTGAGTCCAGTTTTAACCTGAAGATATGAGGACATGGGTAAAGGCTGGCATGCTTTGCTCAGGTTAGAACTAAAACCTGCAGCCACACCAGCCTGCTTAAGAACCAGTTAGACAGTTAGATTTAATGACAAGGTGTTTCACAACTTAACAAGATTAATAAGATGGGGACAAAAAATCTGTAGTTCCAAAAGACTCAAGTCTGGAATGACAACTTCATTACAATTAAAGAATGTAATGTAGTTTTAGGTAAGGAAGGACACAGCGATTTGCTTCTTTTGAAAAATCATACCAAAATAAATAGTAAATAAAAAGAGATTCTTACAGGGACGCCATGCTCCATGAGAATATTGGGATTCATGATTGTGACCAGCTGATGCAGAAGGTCCGGCTGAGAGTCGAACAGCTCAGAGGCAAGTTTCTTCATCACCGCCTCCAGTTCCTCTGCGGCAGAGGAAGGGACTCCATACCAGGTCTTTGGCTCACCCCTAGAACACACGTCATTCTTTATTGTTTGAAATACTCTACTCTACATCCAATATTTCTTTGTTTAAATTAGGGGGTCGAACAATATGGATGTTTCAGAGACGATACCGAGAGTCAAGGAGGCCAATAACTGATACATACAGCAGATATTCAATTCAATTTCAAATCAACTTTTTAAAAATCTGTTTGAATATCTGAGGCATATACTGTATCAAACAAAACAAATAGGAAAACCTCCCAGGTCACAAATGCTCACTTGCATTTGATTTGATGTTTTCCAAATTAAGTTTTCTACTCAAAAAGGTACAAGAGGAGACTACAATTCAGAAGGAAAAGTGTGGGAGTATGAGAGTTTCTGAGGGTCGTCTGGTCCCTGTATGACTGGAGTCAGAGCTGTTTTAATATCGCCTGTAGTACATCGCACGTTGGCCTCTGCCAGGGCTGCCCTTTGTCAGCAGTTCTGTTTACTGCTTTTATCCCTTGTGCTATCCTCGTGTCAAAACGATCTGCTACAGTGATCAAAAAAAGACATTTCAAGCTGAATTTAGAATTTTTTTTCTAACTTGATGTATCGGACCGTGGTGGTGGAGAGGGAGCTGGGTCGAAAGAAAGAGCTGTATTCACTGGTCCATGTACATTCCCACCCTATGGTCATGAGCTCTGAGTAATGACTAAAAGGAATAGATCACGAAGAGCGCAAATGAGTTTTCTCTGCAGAGTGACAGGGATAGGGTGAGGAGCTCAATCAAGACAAGACAAGTCAGTTGAGGTGGCTCGGGCATCGGTTTCGAATGTCTCCTGGATTTTTTTAGTGCAAATGAGATAAAACCAAACTTTTGAGCCTAAAACCTTCTGTTTGGTGCCCTTTCTACATTTTTGGTGGCACTAAATTTGAATTTGGTCCTGGGTTGACAAGCGAGCTGTCAATCCCAGCCCAGGCAATGCACAACTCTAAGCCCCTCTTCTTGTCCCCTGGTCCCCCCTTTTTAGGGACATTTTTCAAGTGTTCATGAGGGCAAAATAAAGCTGGGCACAAGTGTTAAAGTCGTCCTATGAAGGGCTCGACACACGGGAGGCGACCAATGAGAGCGATCAGCGAAACTCAACGCTGTCGCTCAGATAACATGACAGACGGGGCGCGATGCGGCAAGCGGCAACCTTGACGACAGCATCGAAAAGTTGAGCCAATTTCAACTTTCTGGGATCGCGTCGCTGACCTGCGCGTGCACGATACATGCACGAGCGGGAGGATTTCACACGCACGTTTTTCGCCCGTCGCTGAGCAGGAGGCTCGCTAGCGATTGACGCTATGTCGCGCACGTCCCATTGAAAATGAATGGAGGCGATGCGATGTCGCCTCCCGTGTGTCGAGCCCATAAGACCAGAATAAACAAAATAAAAAGAAAATAATGAGACATTGCTTCATGCTCAAATTAATGTATCAATACAGCAAACAATAGTCCAACAAGCAATCTTTAACAAACTCTCCCTTTGTTTTCACTATTTTTTTGTATTTTTCTGCTTCATATGGGAACGCAGACTCACATTGCACTGCTTAAAATCAGGATCCCCGCAAACTAAACACACAGCTTTACCTCTGACTTCTGCGGTAAATACTAAAGGCTTGAGTAAACTCGGGCGTCGCTGGCCCTACGCAGCCACAGTTGCTCGTATACTCGGGCGTAACCCCCTGTCTAGTTTTGAAGAGAATGTTGTAATCCCACACCACAACCACATGACGGCGATCTCACAGGAGTTGCCTGGGACACCAAATGCTAGCCACTTTCTCATTTTCAGAACAAAAGCAATGCGACGAGTACTTTTAAAAGAACTTGGGAGGCGAAATGCACTGTATGTAAGCACTTTAACGCAAGAAGATCAGAGGAGACATAAATATGAGCTAAAAATAAGTATATGAGACCGAACTGAACCAATCCAAAGCATAATAGACCTTATTTTGTTTGCAGTGCGTTGCTTTTGTACCATTTCATCAGTGATTGTTGTACAGCTTACCAGAAGTTGCGCTAATGCAAATGTTAGCATACGTATCAGATCGCAAATAAATATTAGATGGCTCTGTGGGAGGAGAGTGTAGGGGAGAGTAGGGGGGTTTCTCAAAATGAGAAGCCTGTAAGCGAGGTTGGTGGCCGGTGCTAAACATTGAAACTGAAAAAAAAAAAACTTTGCAGAAACGGGTATAGCTCCTATAAGAAGTGTAATTTTGGTAGAAAATCTTTTATCATGAGCGGACGTTAATAAGGGCACTAGTGACAAGTGAACGATCATTTCACGCAATTGTCCTCACATATGACATGTGCAGGCCGCAAACACACCGCTACACAAGGGAGAGGCGCAACAAATGCAGATGCGTCCAAGCGAAAAAGCCGGAACAAGTATACTTAAGGAAAATGAGCTTATTGCCCAGGTCTTCTCTAGAGCAAGAAATATAAACTTGTATGTATACATCTGCACATAAATCACTCTAGTGCAAATCAGTCATTAACTCTCAACAGTGATGTAACTACTGAACATGTTAGTCTGGGCTAAAGTAAAGTGACAGTGAACACATAATGTTAGTCCCATATTGCACATTGACATTAATGTTAATGTGCAATATGGGTCTGACATTATTCCAAATTATAGCACAGATCCATAACATGTGAGGTCGGGGTCAGTGGCAGTGTTCATGTCGGTACAGATAATTGGCAAATTATCAAGTGTTAATGCACCCATTCATCTTGAAATTCCTAGTTCTCACCAGTGAAGAAAGTTGATGGAATAGCTCCAGTGGTCCTCGATGTGCCAGCAGAAGGAGGAGAAGCACATGCCCACATAAAGCCAGGGAACCTTCATCCCAGAGATGTCCACGTTGATGTGTGCCAAGACCGACTGCTCCAAGACTGGCATGTTGTTCAGGTTCCAGCCGGAGACGGCGTAGTCCTGGAAACCACAACAAGGGGATAAGTTAGCTGAAACGCCAATGCACGCTGACATAATGGTCTAGTATCATATTTTTCCTTTTCGCTATATGCACAATTCCATAATGCTTTGCTGGGAGGGTTATATGCCATCAATATAATGCACACAATCTAAAACTGTCAAAATAAGAGCCCAACGTTAGCTTCCATATATATTGTTAAAATAAAAACAATTGGGGCCGTGACTTTAATGTGTTAATTAAGATGTATTAATTACACAAAAATGTGCGCGTAAAAAAAAAATTGACCCATTTTTATTTTATTTATTTTTGCACCACGGAACGTTTCTCACTGGATGAGTTTTAGGCCATTTCCACACGTATCAGGGTATTTTTAAAACCGAATATTTCCCCCCTCCTCCGTTTATAAAATAATTTGCATCCACACATAACCAAACACCTGCGTTTTCAATCACATTCATGACATTCCAAACATTTCCTTCTTCTGACGTCCTGCATTGGGGAAAAACACAGAAGTGGGCGGAGCTTTGATGCTAATGCCTTTACTTCTGTAGTGAAACTTTTACAGTCATAGTAGAAAGTCAGGGTGAAGACATATGTTTACAAGCAGTGACCCCCGTCCTCAGCCCTGGGTTAATCCTGGTCGCATGTTTTGTTTGTTGTTGTTTTGAGGGTATACTGTGACATGCGAAAACGCAAATCTCCGGTTATGTCTGTCTACACGCAAATACATAAACGGAGTTTTCAAAAATCTTCACTTTGCCTGGAGTTTTTATATATTTGTTTATGATGCGTTGTCATGTGGATGACAGGTGCAAACAAAGACAAATATCTGCGGTTTAGCAGATACCCGGCTACATGTGGACAGGGTCACTCATCCACACTTATGCCACTATGGGCACTTAACTACTAACCTCTTCATCTCCCAGCAGCCTTCTCTTGCCATCCCTGACAGGAAAGCCACTGCCCACATCTTTAGAGCTTATGTCTGCTCCATACTCTACAATGACATCCTCCTCAATGCTACTGACAAGTCTCCAGAACTCCTTCTCCACCAGCTCTGTGGGCACCATCTGAAAAATACATTAATAACGTTAACAAAAAGCAAAAGAAAGTGACTTCCAGAATAATTAGCCATTTTGTAATATTGTTGAGATGAAAGGGAATTGTCACTTACATGGACAGGCATGTTGAAATAATCAGACTTGAACTGATCAGCCATCTCTCCAAAGCTCTGCAGTGTGTACTCCCTCACAGCCTGCTCAAACCCAAAAGCCTCTCTGGGTTTACTGCACTCCTGGGAACAAAGAAATATGGTAATTATTGGCATAATATCAACCTTTAGCATGCCAGAGTCTTGGTGTAAATTAGGGGTATGGTTATTTCAGGGAAAATACTGTGTACACAGTATGAATACACATTGCAATTTTGCACATCTTGTCTTGTTTATAACCATAAAAAATGTTTTGCATTTGAACTTTCATTAAAAAAGTCAAAGTAACAGACGACAGAAGTTAAATCAAAATTCAACATGATTTTTATTACTTTAAAAATAGAAAGTAAATGTAAATGTGCACTTTATTGTCACATAGGGAAATTTGTCCTCTGCATTTGACCCATCCTGATGCCACTTGGCCCTCCGTCAGGAGTGGTGGTCTCCAGATGGGTTGTTACTCGGTTTGGTCAGGACAAGGGCTATCCACTCAGCCACCGGGTGTGCACAAGTATTTATACATTCTTAGTGCATTAAATTGCCTTCAAAACATTCCTAAAGACTGCTGAATGCACACACCTTTGCCTAGTGATAAAATAGAGCCAAATGAATTAAATAAAACAATTAAAACAAGATTTTCTGCAACTAATATTCAATAGATCAATAAGTAGTAGTTGAAGGGTCAATATTACAAAACCATTTTTGCAATACCAATCTTGATTGGTTGGAATCCGGGGGATGGTCACATAAATTATATTATGGATGAGTAGCGAGAGGAAAGCCATTTTTGAAAGAGGGCCATAAGAAATCCTGGTCCATAGGGGACTTGGCTAACATGGAAGAATTAACTTTTTGTCCCAAATGCAAAACCCTATGGTGTAAACCTAACACTGCTCATCTTTTGGAGCGCAGTGTTAGGTTAATCCCATGTCAAATATGGTGGTTCCCCCACCATCATGATATGGGACTGCTTTTCTTCAGCCGTCTTCAGTTTTGTCCCATAAGATATTGACTCATGCTGTATAAATACTTGTGCATGCCCTACTTTTCAGTTTTCTTGGAAAGTTTTCAGTTTTTTTTTGGAAAAACAGAATCATGTATAATCATGTATAATTATAAATCATGTATAATGTAAAAAAAAGCCTACCAGAAACTTTGAGTTTAAAACTCGAAATTACAAGTTATTCGTTTCCCCCTTCAATCATCGTTATCAGAGTTTGATTGTAGAAGAGGAAAGATCCTGTTTCTTTCGTAACTAATATAATAACAAACTGGCACAGGAGTTGGTATAGAAGTATTTTGGAAATGTTATACAAGAAACAAAATTCTTTGATTCTATTAGAATAGTTAAGAAAATAAAGTAACTAGAGGCTCCTTGAGCATTTAATCACACACCCTGTGAAGGATTAGTATTAAAACGCACGTGCACTCGACGTGCACATTTTTACCTTTAATCTCAGGGAGTTTGAAATAGTGCCGATATTTCCATCTGGAAAAGGCTGTTTTGCTGATGGAGTCCTCCTCACTCTTCATCTCTCTGTGCTGTAAGCACTAAACACCAACACCCGCCACTGTGAATGTGGAAACACCCACCAGTGACGTGCGGTGAGGTTGGTGATTGGTGAGGCACTGACTTCACCCCAATCAGATGAACATATATTTCATATAAGTCAACAGGACCTACAGAGGCTTATGCACAAGTGCACATATCAAAAGCACATTTAAAAGTGCTTTTGATATGTTAAACATAAACTGCACAGACCATTCAGTTCAAACCAGTTTCATGTTTAAGTCCAGATAATGGTTTGAGCTTAGATATGTAATCCTCCATTTGGAAATAAGTTCAATGAGTTTTAAAAAGTAAAACAAAATATCTTCTCAATAAACTCCTCTCATGTTTCGCTGCGGCCGAATCTCGGGTGCATCCAATTTCTAAAATCAACTGTCTTACCCTTCACCTCTCTTTCTCATCATTCCTATCGTCATTGGAATATTACCCTAAGTGCAATTTAAATTATCTTAAAATGTGTTATATGTAGGTTAGCCAAACCTGTTGCTGTCCTTAGCAGATGAAGAACAAGAAAGGAGCTTTCAGATGGAATCAGATGCAGCCGAATTCTGTGCTCACATGCGCCCCCTACCCTGAGGCTGGCCTCACTTGGTGACATTACAAGCCGGTGTAACGCCGAGATACACTGTCTTGAAGAGATGCACTGCCTCAGCTGTTTATGATGTAATGCAAACCTGCGCATGCGCGTCTCACGGCAACCGAAGCATACCAAGATGGCGGACCGTGAATTGCTTTAAAAGTTGAAATACGAACAAATTAAGACACAAATGTCACTTTTAATGCAATTTGAGGCGAGATGTTGATGGTTCCGTTTTGTCACATGTGGGTTTTAAGAGTCAAAGTTTTGTGCAAAGTTTAGTTTAAGCAGTCAACTGCGCCTGTGAAACCACAAAGCTAATGTTTTCATAGCAGTCCGCGGCTGCTGACGTAGGCTGATGACGCGTCCTGTGGCCACTCTACACTCTTACACTGGTCTGTCGGGTTGATAATGGAAATAATAAATTTCATTCAATACATGTATCGTACTGTATTTAATATGATTAACAATAGTGTGTTCAAACAAAATATTTAATTAGATTGATTTTTTTCCCCATGTTCCATTATCAACCCGACAGACCAGTGTAGAGTGGCCACAGGACGCGTCATCAGCCTACGTCAGCAGCCGTGGACTGCTATGAAAACATTAGCTTTGTGGTTTCACAGGCGCAGTTGACTGCTTAAACTAAACTTTGCACAAAACTTTGACTCTTAAAACCCACATGTGACAAAACCATCAACATCTCGCCTCAAATTGCATTAAAAGTGACATTCGTGTCTTAATTCGTTCGTATTTCAACTTTTAAAGCAGGGGTGCCCAAAGTGGGGCCCGCGGGCCAAAGTTGGCCCGCCAGACCATTTCAGTTGGCCCGCCAAACATTGCCCACCTCCGCTATAAGTTTCTATCTGCGTCCCTCAGCCTCGCTGAACAAATAGTGACATGTCTGAGGTCGCGCGGGCGCATAGTCGCCCTCCAATCTCCAACTGTCCTGTACTTAACTGTTGTATCGAGATACACTCCTCACTCATGGTTCACATCAACTTGCACTAAAATGTTTTTTAAAATCAAACACATCTTTAAAAACAATTGGGTGCAAGGCCCCTTTATGTTCTTTTTTTCAGCCTACTATTATTATTTTTTGGAGCTATTTAATGTTTTATCAAATTGAGAGGATTGTGCTGCCGAACTGCCACTCCCCCTCCTCACCGGAGGGAAATGGCGAGTGGAACTATTCACCTGCGCAATCCGCACCCACCCGGTGTGTTAAAAAGGACGGACACAAACACTTCAGAGTGAGTTCAAGCAGGACAAGCAGGGATCGCAGCGCACAATCCAAGCAAGTAGAAGCAACAAATACCGTGCAAAACAAACCCTTCTACAACCCCATGAAAGAAGCCGGTAAGCGCCGTCCTCACTCGCGATCATTGAATGTCAGAACTTACGCAGAGTTTTATGATGCGTTCAAGAGCCCTTTGGAGGAGCGGAAACTCGGACTCTTTAACAGTTACTTTGTTTTGATTGTTTATAAATGTTGTACTGTGTTTAGGCAAAACAAAACAAACTCTAGGAACATATCATGGTTAACTAGTCTGATTTCGTTAGTTTAATATTCAGTTCACTACTAATTGAGAATACTTGCCCTATGTTAAAAATATTAAGTTAAAACAGAGTTAAAACCTGGTCATGTTTAGAAAATGCAGTTAGCAATTATGTTCCTAAATTCATTACTTAATGTTAAAATGTATTGTTTAAAAGTGTGCTAAAACCAGATCTATTGATCAGTGATGTCTCCCCTTTTTGATAAAAGCTAAGATAAAGTAATATGATTCCAATGTAGTTAAAAAGTATTGTTCAAAATAAATATATGAAAATAGACTTGGAAATTGCTTTGGCTCAGTGCAACAGAGATAATAAAAATAAAGAATAAAAAACACTTCTAAGGAATAAATTTAAATTTAAAATAGAGTTACAGTTACTATTTACAATATACAAGTGCACATGGTGCACACAAAATGTATGTTTCTGTTCTCTTGAGGTTTTATTATATGATTTTAACCTTTAAATAAGCCATGACAGAAAATCTCCCTCCTCTGGACCCTGATTACCCGGCCGGAATCTTTCCGTACTGTAGTCTCCTCAAACCTGCATATTTCCCTGGAGCCTCCACTTCACTAAGACTGTGTTGATTTCATTCATTCAGCTGTGATTCGTGATGGACAATAATTAATGCATTTAAAAGAACTTGATCAAATCTACATTTATTTGTGTTTCATGCATAATATCGGTGTATTTGGCCCGCGGCCCACTGGCAAATTTTTACTTTGGCCCTTGGAAGCAAAAGGTTTGGGCACCCCTGTTTTAAAGCAATTCACGGTCCGCCATCTTGGTATGCTTCGGTTGCCGTGAGACGCGCATGCGCAGGTTTGCATTACATCATAAACAGCTGAGGCAGTGCATCTCTTCAAGACAGTGTATCTCGGCGTTACACCGGGGTTGAGCGGAATTAACCCTTAAAAGACAATGCCATCGCCGACGATGGTGGCGCACATCTTTTACAAATGATCAATTTACTCGCGAACGGTGAACGCTAGCGAGCATTCGAGCCTTTCCGAAACTGCCTTCGGTTTGTCTCTGCTACATACGGGGGATAAACTACGTGTGTATGAAAGTCAGTCCCCCAAACGGATCTTCAAGCGGTGCCCCGTGAGCCAGGCACAGCCGCATGTAAAGTTGTTTACACACACGGGGACTCAGACAAAGATTGTCAGAGAGTGAGATCTCTCACTCCTCTGTGTTTACTTGTTGCAGCATAGGCAGCAGCGCTCAGAGGAACCAGAGGAGTTCGCATTATTGAGAATAGACAATAATAAATACAGTAAAATTATATTATGTGTATATAATGTATTTGTATATATAAATTAGATGTTTTTTTTTTTTTTTTCTTTGTTTCTTTTGTTTTACATATTTTACAGCTGTGATACAGAAGCAACCACAGCCTCATAGACAAACTGCTTGAGGAAGGGCATCAGGAGTACAGCGTTTTTGGCTTTTATAGAGGAATTTTGTAAAAAGTATAATAGTTACGGATTTAATTTTTTTCCCCATTATCCCCAAGACCATAAATAACATTTCTATGCAGTGTAAACAGTTGTTTATAGCATTTCATTGTGTTTTTCAATGCATTTTTGTGAAATTGATTTTCCGTTTCAATTTTTTCTTTGTCTTCATGACTCCAATTTTTTTATATAATTGATATGACAGCTCCAAAATATAGATATTCTAAAAACCCAGGTTGTACTGAAAAAAACAAAGTATACTGCTTGACTCTGCATCAAAAAATGACTCTTTTACTAGCAATTATACACAAAGAAAACCAGGCGAGGAAGGTTCCCCAAAATGACCCTAGACCTTGGAGGGTTAAAACACAATTTATGAGCCATCCTCTCAGCTGTAGACATGTAATTGCTGAGAGGTTTTCTCATCCTCCCTTCTCTCATGACAACACACGCACAAGTTCTATCATGAAGTTTTAAAAAAATGTTCAATGTGCGACTTGAGTCACGTGCAGTAACGGGGTGTCGGCAATGATAACAGCGTTATAGGTACAGTCAAAGTAATTAGTTATATTACTCGTAACTGAAAAAAGTAACGGCGTTAGTAACGCCATTATTCCCATCACTGGTGGTCACATTCATTAAGCATCAACTGGTGACATCTGGTCAGTATCATGGCTATCCATGGATGCACCAGAAATTCTGTGAATAATATTGTGACTGACGAAGAGACCGTTTGCATTTTAACGCTATTACTGGACAGTGATGGAGTGGATCTACACTCAAGAGATAGACAGGGGCAAGTGAAACAAAGCGGCGCGCCACAGTATTATGCATCGATGGCTGTGACAAGATTGAACCTTTTGGAATTGCGATCATTGCATTGACACTTCTACAGGAAAATGCTATTGCAAAACTAACTGTTGTAAGATGCGTCTAATTGCAGCAGCTTAGCAAGTGACATGTGTGCGCAAGTGGCCGAAAGGGGAGCGCGCTCTGGAGGGAGCTGATTGAGCAAGCTGATGGAGCAAACGTGTGGGTGAAGTTGGTGGAGTAAGGACCGGAGAAACTTAGGGAAGAAGTGCCTTGCCTGATGATTTTATTGTGACAAAATAAACTGGAGAAATAACACCGCAGTTAACAGTGAGGGTCATTGAAAAGGGAGTTCAACCCATGGATCTATAATAAGTGGATAGGGTATTACTAGGGGGCGCCCGTGGTACTGCTGACTAAATTTACTTGGGCTACCCAGAAAAAAGTCCCATAGATCTCAATGTAAACTAAAACAGCGCGACCTCAGCTGACAGAGAACCTACAGCTTTCATAAAGGTTGGATTTTTTGGGGATTTTAGTGTCCCTTGTTATCCTTGTCAAATCGGTCCCCGTGAATTCCCATGCGCTACTGACATGGATCTATTATATTAACTGGATAGGGTATTACTAGCTTGTAGCTGAATAACTCATGTGCTCAGGGGATTCTCGCGGTACTGCAGACTAAACCAGACTAAATTCACGTGGGCTACCCAGAAATTTTCCCCATAGAACTCAATGCATATTAAAACAGCTCAACCTCAGCTGACAGAGAACCTACAGCTTTCATAAAGGTCGGATTTTGTGGGGATTTTAGTGTCCCTTGTCATCTTGAACTTTTTTTCTTCTTAAATCCTTCGGTTTTGTTTAAATCCACACTTTAGTGCCACAAACTCTGCTCGTCTGGCTCTCGCTCCAACTCCCGCTCTGATGAACTGCTCTGATGGGTCAGAGCGCAGCCGAGCCCCTCTGTGCACGTGCGTGAGACCTCGTGTGAGACCCACACACGCGTGTTTGGCGCAACGCATTATGGGAGATCATCCACTGCGCAGAACCGGGAGGACCAGACGATGCCCAAATACAGACGAGTTTCCCATAGATCTTTGCGAGTTTCCCAAAGTTCTTTGCGAGTTTCAGGCAACTTCCGCTAATCTTTTCAGCCCCCATGCCGTCACAAAGCGCCACTGAGCACAACCATTCATTTGAATAGGGCACCATCTTGGATCGCCGGGGCTTGGCTACTGAGCACAAGCCATTTATTTGAATAGGGCGCCATCTTGGATGTCCAGAGTCCGTTGCAGACAACAATGCATAGACGGCAGCAACTGCACATGCGCAGTTTAAGACTTGTAATTTGGACTTTTAAACTCGTAATTTCACATTTAAAACTTGTAATACTTTTTTATATTTTAATTATTAAGATGCCGGAATCGGAATTCCATAATTACTTGTGAGTTAAATCTCAGTAAAAAACAAATAAATGAATAGCAGTACATGTAAACATGACAAAATGTGCAATTCAAAGTCTATTCGTATTTTTGAGAGGCACTGTAAATCTAAAAACTAAAATAATAGCTCCCAAGGTGATGCCATTCTATTGTACGGTGTCCTCGGATGTCTTGAAATAAGCCATTCAATAATTATTCTTCCTATTATTCATATGTCCAATTAGAATGTTTTATCTTGTGTGATTAATGCCGTACCTCTGCCACACATTTTGGGCACCTCCAGTCTCCCTTTGGAACGTCCTGTAGAGGAGGAATCAGGCAGAATGTGTGGTAACTATCATCACATCCATCGCACAACAGGAGTCGGTCTTCTTCATCCCCTCGGCCGCACACAAGGCAGAGGTACAGGTCAATCTGAGCAAAACAATGCAGTTTAACTTTCTTCAACTTAAGACCATTCATCTCAGAAGCACATCTCGAATACAACTTACAAAGTTGACCTCAAGGGTTTCTTTACGTGGCCTCATTTTGATGGCGAATGCTTGGGCTTTTAAGTGCCGTTGCTTTTTGCTGTAACCGTCATCTATAACAGCATATACATCATTTAGTACGGTTAACATGAGGTAGACCCTGTGCCAATAGTGCTAATGTTTTTACCAGAGGATAGGATTTCCAAGCCAACCATCTTTGGACTTGCACCAAACAGCTTTATGTCCCTTGGATCTTTGTTTTCCCGCTAAAAAAAAAATTTAAATAAATAAGTACTCATCATTAACCATACTGATGCCCACTAATAATAATAATAATAATTCATTTGTTATTCATTTTAGTAAAACCTAAAAATAAGAAATGTATTTAGTTACATGACAAACATATTCCGTTATAGGGTGTTCTGTGTTATGAATACTTGGGGTACTTTTAAGCTCATTTGCATAATGGACATAATCATTTTTGCACACATTTCTATGCATAGTGTGATATTGCTCATTAGAAATGAATAAAATTGCATAGATCATAAAAAAGTTTAGTTTTGAATTTGTAAGTAATATCCTCAAAATACCAAAATGTATTCTGTACGTAATGGACTTCTGAATACCACCAAAAAGTTGGTAAAGCATTACGAATAATAGGTCAGAGTAGGCCTGTCATAAAATCTAATTTAGACAGACAAAAAATCTGTTCAAGTTCAAGTTTATTTGCTATGTGCAGTAAAAATAAATAGGCTTGAGTGAACATGTACACAGCCTTCAAATTCACACATATATCTGTAGATCAGGGGGTAAAAACTGTTTAAAACACATTTAATATTGTAAGAAACACTGATGTTTCAGATTAAAAAATTTAGATAGCAAAACATCAAAAAGTGAAGATTTTTTTTATCATACATTTCATTAATTGGCATTTGGATTTTGAATGCTCTGAAGCTAAACAATTTTACCCAAAATATATTATTTCATCCTTCAGTTATCGTTATAGACCAATAATTGTTATAGACCTAACGGAGAAATTGTTTTTGAAAAGTGAGACTGAATTTTGGAAGAATGGGTCCCGCTCTGTTACATCTAACCTCCCCACACTGTGTATAGGCAATAATGTTAGGCATTTCCCCTTTACCTCAGACTTCAAGCGTCTTGAACGTCGCTCTGCTGGGGGCAGGTCTTTGTTTTGAGATGCATCACTCCCGTCTTTGTCCTTGTCCTTGTCTTCGTCCTCTTCTGGCTCTTCTTCCTCCAGGGTGTCCTCTCCGACCCCTTCGTCCACATCCTCCACCTCATCTCCCTCCTCGAACAAACGTTGGATTCCCTGGTAAAAAATTAGGAAAGTCATTTAGGACATATAAGTGACGTATCATAGCCATAAAAGGTCAGAGAGTGGTGTTTAGTGTTGCAACAGTACTCGGATTATTATACAGTAGTTGTAATATTCATTGGATTAACATCAAAAGATTTAGAAGGCTGCATTCACAAACATTTCTAAACTTATCTTACAAATCGCAGTCTACTAATTGAACTGACAAAACATGATATACTACTATGAAATCAAATCAAAATGGCCCTAAAGGAAGAAGGCTGCATAGTCACTGGAAGCCGCATTGATAATATTCAGACTGCGGGGAAAATGTATGACGCAGAGCTTTTAATCTTGGTTACTTTTTTCGAGACCCACATCACATCCATCTGGTGTTGTGTTTTCATCGGGGTTTGTTTGTTAGATAGCAAGATAACTCAAGAAATGTAATATTTTAAAGAAATGTAAATGTGCCCCTTGGTAGCAGTCTACAAGTGCTTTGCTAGTTATCTTATGACTTACCGTTAAAGTGGCTCCAGACTCAAAGAGCTCATATGGATAAAGGATCCTCTCATAATGGGAGCGCAGCAAAGTCCCAATGCCTTTCCCAGACGGAAAACCCATCCGACAGGCAACTTTAGACCAAAGCCTCTCTTTACAAATGGTCCCAAAACCTCCTTCAGATGATACTATCTAAAAGAGCAGAGCAAAGAGAACATGAGTTCTTTATAATCCTTCATAAAAGATGCAGACAGTTATTTACTGACCTTGCTAAGTTGATACAAATCCAAGACTTTTCTCTCTACATGAGGAAATCGGATCTTGGATCCTTGCAATTCCCAAAACTTGGCGATTTGGTCCAAAAAGTTGAGTTTCACACGAGTGAGGGCCTAATAAAAAAGGATTCCCATGACAATTGTAGAAGACAAATCCCTCATATTCTCTTGCATTTCACATAAATATTAGGCAATACAAGTAATAAATCTAAAATCAGACAACCAATCCAAAAATAGTGTTGTGGCCTGCGAATGTATGTTACAGAATACTAATAATTATACTCTGTCTGAGAGTAAACACACCACCAGCTGGCTAAATGGCTATAAATTATGGCACATACTGGTTGCCTCTTTTCTGTCGGTATTCCCTAGGGCAGCTGTGCTGACAGTAGTAGTTTATCACCACCGTGTATGGAGTGAATGAAAAATGACATGTGAAGCATCTTTTGAGTATCCACAAAAGTGCTATATAAAACTGGTGCCAATTTCATATTACATGTTTATACAATTATCATATATTGTATAAAATTATTGTACAAAGCAGACATTTTTATTAAATGCAACTCACCTCAAGCTCATTCAGCCGTTGAACTCGCGGCGTGAATCGAAAGTTGCGAACATCACAAGCGAAAGGAGGTTGCCAGTCCTAACAAGAACACGCACACACATATATTAACACGCACACAAATATGCACACGCACACACATGCACACGCACACACATATGCACTCGCACAAACGCATACACACACACAAGCGGTTAATATTGATTGCTTGGAACAATTAAATTTGTGAATGTATTATATTGGATTGGTGTACATTATACAACACGTTGTATAACTATGAACACACATTTTGAGTATAACATGTCTACTACAACCGATGGAGAGAAAAAATATTAATAATGTCTTTTTGAGTTGAACACAGATGAGGACTTTTACATTTGACTTACCTCTGGGGGGCGTATCTTACAGATGCCAGTCTTCTCTGCAATGGGTCTGATCTTATTGATAAACCCCAATGGATCTGAAAATTCCTCCCAACTCGGCTCAAAAACAGGACACTCGGGGGGCGGTACAAACTCAGAAAAAGCAGACATGATGTACGGCTGTCTTTGTTGGTTAGGTTTCAATATCCATAATTATTTCCGGTTGTTCGTCCATATCATTTATACATGGCAGGATTTTTGCTATAATTATCATTTCAACAGAGGTTTCCAACAAAGCTTTACTGATACAAGCAATTTACATGACCCAAAATCCAAACGCGAGTGCTTTGTTAAGATTAGGATCAGCCACGTTGGTAAAATGAATGGCAAATCTGACTGAGCGCTTTACAACCACTCCCCAGCATCCACGTCTGGGACTGTTCAGGAGTCCTCGCAAATTCTTTTCAACCAAAAGTTTGAAGTTTTCAAAGTTCGACAAAACAGCACACATCACTTGTTTATATCATGTCATCTGTCCCATGGTGCTACAGAGCACACAGGAGGTCAAAATGAGACATCTCAACCACAACAAACGAGCCTTCAGGTTAGCTGCTACACTGCTCAACATAAAGCATCCAGGCTGATCATGGCCGATGTGTGTTTCACCAAATACATTAATCTCTTTGTGTCCAGAAGGTTGGGACCCGCGTAGAGAACAGGAAACATCCGTACATGGTGTGAGTTGCTGCCTTCGCAAGATCAGACGAAGCTTGACATTAGCCTTTAGGTTAGCTTGTTGGCTTGGCTAAGGCTACAATTAGCTTCGCTAGCTTCTCCTTTCGAGGCCAGTTCCCTTTAGTCGGTGGCGTATGAGGATCATTGGATCTACATCGCATGTTTTACCATAGAGAAACAAACGTCGCAATTAATCTTGATTTATTTTGGCCAAAGCAAAATTGTGGGTTGATTCGTTGCTTGTTCATTTTCCTCGTTTAGCTCCAGCATTAGCCGAAGGTGACCAATAGGAGAGGAGGTTAGTCTGAGGCTCCTTCACTGCACCTCCGGAGTGTTATGTGTTATTGTAATTATAATAACTGTATCACTATAAACAGTCATAATTGATCCCGTATTCATTACCAGTGCCCAAAGTACTTTGGAATGTCCTACAATTCTGAGGAAATATGAACATATTTTTATTCTGAGCCTGCATATATGCAACACTTTGCTTCTTTTGTCAAATCTACACAAGGACTGTGAGGCATGGGTGAGTTTTTTTTGGTAAAAGGCAAACAAACAAAGGCTTGAGAGGACTGATAAGAAACATGAAATTAATGTATGCCACTTTTCTTTGCTGGATTTTCATAATGCTTCACAAATAGCAGACTTTTTAACCAATACATGTTTGTGCCAACACCACAACTGTGTAAAGATTTAATGGAAATGCTGTGAAATTTTGTATGCCACACTGAAGAGATCTATTTAACAGGATTGGCCAGGCATACCTCAAACTATTCAATTGACATGATGTTTGGCATGATGCAAAATTGTAAACACAAAATAATGTGTCTAATTGTTATCTACCTATCCCTAGTAAGAATCAGACAATGTGAATTAAAGTGAAATATATTTTTAATCCAGGTATTTCTTCACAATAACAAGGTAATAACAAACATATACCGAGAGTAATATGTTGGAAAAAAGACAAGAGATATAAATCACAAGTTTCATGCACATGTGCATTGGACACTAGTAGTCATCATGAAATGGATATTCTGGGTGATCGGCCCACCTATGTAAAATAAAACAAACAATTAAAACAGGAGCACTACAAGCATCATTCAGTTTGTAAAAGCTCTGTTTTTTCATTATTGACATTTATTTAACTCTGAAAGTCCACACTGAGATTTCAAAATCTCTTTTGCAGGGGAGTCCTGGCCCCAGAAAGAGAGCAATTGTTGTATTTTTACTTACATGAGCAGCTCAACAAAGCGTATGTTCTTGTTCAGGCCCTCTATCGCCTCCATCTCAGCGTCAGAGAGACAGAAATCAAATATCTGTCAAAAGGATGACAGTTAGTCACCAGTTTTTATTAACAATAACTTAAAAAATTAAAACAAACCGAAAAGTTTTCTTTTATACGAGTTGCATTGAAACTTTTGGGGATGACTGCTACTCCTCTTTGAATATTGAACCTCAAAGCCACCTGAGCTGTGGTCTTTTTATGCTTTTTTGCAATGGAGACGAGAACCTCATCCTCTAACATTGGAGGACATTTAAGATTCACCCTGTTAGAAAAAGCAAAATCAATGACTTTTATTTACAACTGCTATGAAAAAGACCACCCCCGCACACCTGCTCCAAATCAAACATTCTAAGTTCACCTCTGCTGATATGTAACCAAGTGGAGGCCATATTTTTTCCATAAAAATCAATCAGAGATATACAACTAGCAAACGTTTACAGTAAAAGTGCTCACAGACTTGGATTTCTTTCACCCACAGTTTAAACTTATTGTGATTTCAATTGTAGGAATTATTTTTTCTTTATTTAGACACACTGAATAAACAAACTTGCTGGTGCACATTGGCCTTTTTTCTTTAATGAATGAATGTATAAATTGACCGAAAATAGAGGCTTACCAGGATGGGTCTCTGCTTGTCCCAAGAGGGCTGTATCCCACGATCACAATATCCTTCTGACGACAATACTCCAGTAACTTTGGCTGAGTGAAATAGGGATGACATTCAACCTATTTTCAAAATGAAAGATATTAGAAAGAGTTCTTATACTTAATTTTAACTAATAAAAATCTAATGTTATTTCACTTCTACCCATTTTTCATAATTTGTCACTGTATAATTTATATTAGCAAAATAATGGTCAAAAAAACCAACAAAATGTTTTTATTTATTTTTATCCTGAGTATGTTTTTGCCATTACTTTTATAATAATAGATGTTTCCCTTATGTAATGGGGGAGGACACCGGTGGGACTGACATTTTAAGCCTCATTCAAAAGACATCTCCAGTAATTCAACTTATGGTGTTGAAACAAAATATGACATTCACTCACTCACTCACTCACTCACAAGTGACATATATCAAGCCTTTATTTATTATCAGGTTGATAAGTGGCTCACAGCTTGTAAAATAATTCTAATATAAGCCAAAATTATAACAAACAAAGTCATAGCACGTGTGAATTTTCATCTAATTAATCTCTATCATATATTTATGATATTCTAAGTTGGTGGTTGCAAGGACTGAAGGTAATGGCGCTTTACATATGGCACGTAACATATTATAACTGGCTGGAATTAGCATGTAATATATATGTAATACTGTTTTTAAGGTTACATAACTTTGAGTTACTTTTAGTCTTAAAAAATCTAATAACGTTACATTTATGTTACAGTAATCATCTTCATTCATGTTCATTTAAGTATTTTATTCATGTTCATTAAAAATGTAAACAGTGGGAGAACACAGGAAATGTGAAAATAAATTATACACAAAACTCAGGTTACTTTTATTGTAACTAATATTCAACCAATTTAACTTTTTGCAATGAGTCACATTACATTAGGGATGGAACTCCTACTGGTCCCAATGAGTCAGAGCTAAAATCTGGAACAATCTTCCTAAAATGTGAGACAGGCCTCTCCTCTGACAATGTTTAAATCCAGGTTAAAAGCAGTTCTGTTTAGCTGTGCATACAACTGAGGGATTTTACATTTTTAGGCCCGAGCCCCGAACGGGGAAAGGGCCTATTGTTTTTGCTCGAGAGATGTCAAATTCTGCAATTTGAGCCTTAATTTCACCCCCTGAACATGCATGAAAAGTTGTAAAATTTTGCCCAAACATCAGCACTCGTGAAAAATTTGATATTTTGGTGTTTATTTTTATGGGACTCAAAAAATGCCAGAACAGCGCCACCTACAACAGCCAATGGGAGTTTCAGAGGTCAAGTTTGTCGTAGAGCCATGAAATTCGGTACACATGTTCCTCAAGTCAAGATACGACCGAAATGTTACCATGGCTCCGCCCTCTGACAAACAGGAGGCCCATAAATTTCACTGTAAAATGGAAAAATTATCCGCAATCATTTTCATACATGTCGGTTGGAAAGCGACTCCTCCTCGGCCGTTTCACCGATTGGCCTCAAAATCTGACCAAAGGGATTTTTGATCAGTGAAACGTTGTTTGAGCAGCGGAGCGGCAAAATGTGAGTGTTTTTTGACCGTTTTTCACAACATTAATTTTGCTCCCGTTTGCACAAACAAAGTCTGATTTGCACAAAACTTTAATCAAATGCTCAACTCCAGGGTTTAGGTCAGGTGAAAGTGAAATATTTGAAATTGGCCCAATAGCACCCCCTACAGATTGAGGCAAAGTTTTACATGGGGTGCCAAACAGCTCTAATCATCATATTCATTACAATTTGACTAACGTTCTTCTATGGCAACAGCAACAAATCATCACACGGCGGCCCCACCTCCTTTGCACGGTGCTGCGTGGTACGGTGTGGTGCGGCGTAGTGCGGGGGGTTGTGGAGCGGCGCGTTGCGGCTTGGTGCGGGGCGACGTGGTGCAGATCCGCTTGGTGCGTGGCGGCGTGGTGCGTGGCGGCGTGGTGCGGGGCGGCGTGGTGCGGGGCGGCGTGGTGCGGGGCAGCGTGGTGCGGGGCGGCGTGGTGCGGGGCGGCTTGATGCGGGGTGGCTTAATTCGGGACGGCTTGGTGCGGGGCGGCTTGGTGCGGGGCGGCTTGGTGCGGGGCGGCTTGGTGCGGAGCAGCTTGATGCAGGGTGGCTTGATGCGGGGCGGCTTGGTGCGGAGTGGCTTGATGCGGGGCGGCTTGGTGCGGAGTGGCTTGGTGCGGAGCGGCTTGGTGCGTGCGGTGCGGAGAGGGCCGTTCGACGCCGCTTGCGGCTTTAATTTATCTTTCTTTTTAATGTACTGTGATAATTAATGATTTTAATGCCTTGATAATCGTGCCTTGCCCTTAGATTCTACTTAGATTCGTCAAAAAATAATGTTTTACTGTGTCTACAAACTTAAACCCCATAAACCTCACCCTATTTTTTCATAGCTTACTCAAGCCAACTCTTATACATAGTTGCTATTGTTGCAACATTTCAAAGGCCAACGATGGATATGTTTCTGCCAAGTATTAGGCAAAAGCTTGAAGACTTTCTCCCCATTCAAAATACATGCTGTGTGCTCCTCATTCCTACTGTTTTGTAACATGTAATGTGACACTGACATTTCCCCACTGGGATCTCTTAATCTTCATCCTAATGTTATTTGTTTAATATGAAGTGTATCGGTTCTGTACCTGATTTGACACTGGCTTATGTTTAAGACCAGGTTTGTTCAGTATTAACTCCAGCTGTCTCCGGTTAAAGTTTGAAACTCCAAGAGACTTTACAAGTCCAGCATCTTTGCATTCCTCGAGAGCCTGAAAAAAGACAAGAATGTGGCACTTTATGTATTGGAAAAAAAGAATGAAAATAGAGTGACTTAAAATCTGTGGCTTTCATCAATCAGTACAACACTATCAATAATGACAGTGCTAAAATGAGGTGAGGTGAAAACTATGTTGAAGACAGAGTGTACTCACCTCCCATGTGGCACATAGGTCTGTCTCATGGTAAATGTACTTTCCATTATCGTCTTTAGGATAATACACATCCCCGGGCTACAGTTAAAAAAACATACTCACACAAGTGATCACATTTACGTACTATTGATATTTTCACATCTTATTACAAATGAATGAACCTTGAAAGCTGTGGGCATCTCCACAATATATAGATCAACGTTGTCCAACTGCAGCATGTGTAATGTTTTCTCCAGGGTCGGGCGAACGAGGTGTGGAGGATGAAAAGTATTCCATAGCTAAAGATTTAAAAGAAGGTTATTGTATATAATCTTTGGCCATTTCAAATCTTAATGAGACTATTTACTTCATTTAATGTTTTAGAATGTGAAATTATATCTATCAGTAGAAAGTATATGGTAAAACAAGTATGAAGGCTAAAAATGCTGACCTATATCTATATGCCAGCCATTCCCAAACTCAGTAACACCGAGGCCCCCTTAAAAATCTGACGGGTCTGCGTGGCCCCCCAAAATAATAACCAAGAAGACAACATTAAGAATAGGCTCTTCTGGTTATTTTATTTTGGGGAAATAGCCTCTGCTACAAACATTGTAATACAAAAATGATTACAGTGGATTATTCAAGTCAAACAATGAACACAAATATTTTAATATTACAAACAAAACATTATAAATTTAACATTAAATAATTATATTATTTTTTGTATTTTTTTAATGACCTCCCGCGGGCCCCCTGCAGTACCCTCACTTTGGGAGACACTGCTATATGCTATCACTGAGGGAAGTGTAGATTTATTTTTATTGTTTTCAAAATGTTGAGCTATTTAATGAGTGTTTTTGTTTTAAAAGACAGAAAACTACTCTGTGTGTGATGTCATAGTGGCACAATGACATCATACTATTACAGGACTGGAGACAGGAGATTTTAGGCAGAAGGGGCGGAATTACATACAGTTTGGTGCCAGTGATTGATATTATGGTGTGGATGGATCTGAATATAACTCCAGATTTGCTTTTGACAAGAAACAATGTTGTAAAAAAACAAAAACACAAAAAGCATGGCATGATATGTCTCCTTTAAAGTTATTCTTTCAACAACAACAAAAAATTCTTTCTCCATTGTGAGATCAATAAAGTATATCTCATCTCATTGCGCAAGACTCAAGTAAGAGGAATGCACCAAAGTTCAACTGGTCTTGTGGGATGTCAAATGATCTTTACCTTTCCACAGTAAAAGATGTCCTCTCGCTTTACCGTCCCGTCTGAAATCTTGTCTCTTATGGCTCGTCCCACCTCATCTTCATTAAAATACACCAAAGCACCGTCAATGTGTCTGTAACCAGCTTCAATTGCCACTTTCACTGCATTGTAGGAGGTCCCTTTGGGCGTCTGAGAGAAAATAAAATCTTGTCAAACACCAATGCCACAATAAGAACAAAATTAGCCATTATATACAACAAACCTGTTGAGGATTTCCATAAGTCCCAAGTCCAATCAGTGGCATTTTATTACCATCACTGAGAGGGATAGAGTGGCTCTCAGCTGTCAGCTCCATTGTACAAGTCTCCTCTTTGTGAAAAGCCTTAAGGGTTATCAGAATGTGAACAGTAAGTCCTGATCACACCGTGAAAAACACAAACCATTTCAACATATTGAAATAATTTGCCTTTTATGTTTTCCTCTGAATTTGACTCCTCCCATGATCCTCCCTCACACACATGGCCTTTGTTAAAGGAATAGTTTATCATTTACTATGGGTACTGCACAACACTATACCATGGAAAAAATCAATACGATTGTAAGATAGAGTGTGTGCGCCTCTCTGTATGACATTTTGGAATGGAATCAGAATGACATGTTCACTGCGGTCAAAAAGGTGACATTTTTTAGAGTGAGGAACAAGTTACATAATACATTGTAACAAAAGTTGCTTGCTAATGTTTTAATAGACTAGAGCACCTTCTCCATCGACTCCCACTGATGACTGCTATCGTTGTGTCCTTGGGCAAGACACTTAACCCCACTTTGCCCAAAAGCCCCCACTGAAAGATCAAGGCTATGCTCACACTCAGAGAGCAGCCGTCCTCCTGTGGACTCACCACCTGCAGAGGGTCAGTGAGGGGCTGGTGCTATGAGACTTGGGTGACTGCCACCCCCCTGACCCAGAAATGGATTAAAGGGTAGAAAATGGATGGATGGATGGATGGACTTCCATTAATAAGTTTGTGAAAGTTCTCAGTCGTACAGGGATTTCTCAAAACAAAGGAGGGTTGTTCACCCATCATCTGTACTTCAATCAGCAGGTTTTCCCGACATTTCGTTCTCAATCCAAAGAATTTCTCAAGGGAATGAAAGCAGAGCTGCAGTTTGTACCTTGAGATGGAGATGTACAGCTGATTGTGGCACACTCAAATTTTCTCTACAATGTTGGAAAAGTTGTTTCTGTAGAGTTTGTTTTGTTTCTCCAATATGGTGGTAAGTGCACCACATTTAATGGAATACACCACAATGCTCTGTTTGTGTCTGTGTGTTTTGTCTTTGGGATGCACCAATTTCTGTCTTAACGTGTTGAAACGTCCCATGGCCCCTGGAATGCTTTTCAATTATTATTATCACAGTAACTTGCAGCATCAATGCTATGGTGATGGGCTACTACGACATGTTATACTTGGCATAATGCCATATAATTAAATCTGTTCTAAGAGGTTAACTAGTTATAGATATTTAATTATTTATTTTTTCATATTGAACTATCAGTCTTTAAATACATATCTTGTTGATATTTTTCCCAGTTGTGGTCAAATTTACACCTAATAGAAAATTACATCTAAACATGTGTTAGATACAGTTAATTTGTCACTAGACAAAAAAATTTAAAATAAGAAAAAGAAAGAAAAATAGAAAATAAGATTATAAAAGAAAACCCAGGGACTGCAGATGGAAACTAGCTGTTTAGCTATAATCTGGTGCAGAACACATCTGTCTTTGAGCTTAATGTCTTTGTACATTGTACCTTCATATAAAGACAAAGATAAAAACTAAACTAAACTTATACTTCTTGCCTTAACCATCTACCATGTTTTTAAATTTTTCCCCCAACCAAAATGAGTTTGACATCCCTGGTCTAAGGAGTATCTTAGAATGCAACATCAATATTGTTGATTATTTCAACACAGAGTGCTCACTGAAGCACATTTTAACAGGCTTGGGAAGATTATCTTATAGAAATGGGTCTATTGTGCAGTTTTTGAAACCATAAAAAATGGGAGCAAAAACTCAATATAGAGTTCTGAGGCAATACAGTAATGACATAATTGTCTAATATTGATGAAAATATCACCACTGAACTTCAATCCTGATCAATTGCTAATTTAAAGTATTGTATTTCCTTACACGTTTTTTATTATCATCGTGTGTGTTTTTTCCTTGAAATATGTGCAGTTGCAACTCAAAGACATATTTCTGTCATGCATCATAGATAATAACATAGTTAATTAATAAAGTTATTCTATTCTATTCATTATTTGTATGTCACATTTCCACCTGAAATTTCAGCTGGACTATCCTGAGTAGTATGAATAACACCTATAAGAAATAGCAAGAAAATGTTTATATATGATTATACTATGAAGTTGTCCAGTCAGAATCGCGTATTTTACCAGTTGCTTCTTTGTCCTGTCCGCGACACCGTAGTGTTGCTTGGGTATAATGGAAGCTCTTGTGGTCTGCGGCTAATGCTAACAACTGCTTTACTAACAGTGTAAGGACTCGGGGATTTATTATTGTTTTCAAAAGTTAAGTTTAATTTTTCTTTAGTGTGTATGTCGTACGAACTCAAGATAATATATAATAGTTCCTCAATCAATTCTAAGGTTTGTTTTTAATGAAACAGACATAGCGGCTAGTTTAGCTTCGGGGGCTAACCATCTAGCTCTAACTTTACAGCAGTTCTCGTGTAAGTACTGAAGGATAACTTTATACAACATCTAAAGCGACTATGTTATGACAATTATAAGGGCCTCGTATTAAGGCGTTGGCTCCGACTGTAATCTACAGTCGGCTTAATACTTGAAAGGCTGAAGCAGCTCCCTTGGGACATTTCCAACATGGAAGCGAAAACTGAAAAGATTGAAAACGATGATATTGTTATTATTGTGGAAAACGAAGCTGAGAGTTTGCCAGCAGAAGAGGAGAGGCTTAAGCAACTAGGAGCCTTTGGTCTGATGGATACTTGTCCCATCTGCAAACTGAGCTTCCACAACAGAGAGCCCAAACTTCTTCCATGTCTTCACTCCTTCTGCAAGAGATGTCTTCCAGCCCCGCACAAAAACGCAGAGCCGAGGCGGGACCTACAGATGCACCCGGACAACAACAAACCACGTAAGAAGTCGATATGTCAAAGTGATTGGAAATGTGTGTGCGTGATGAGTTATTATATCAACGTTAGTAACAGAAGAGCATTATTCTCTCACTAAAATATTGTTTATCTTGTGTTTTCTACTAATAATCACGAAACATCGGGGGATGAGTGGGTTCCCTCCGGACACTCCTGTTTCCCCATCCACCCAAAACAGGCAGTTACATAAGGTCTCGTGAGATTCTACTGTGTCTCTAGTGTCTCACTAGTGAACGGCAGCAGTACGACAAAACTTATGCCGAAATTAATGTGAAATATAAATTCTTTTCTTAATTTAATGATGTGCGGTATCACAGATTCAATAGTTACTAACACTCTTATGTAAAAACATTTGGGGAATTCTTGTGTTTCAGCTACTTTGTGTAAAGGGTTGATTTAATAGAACATTGCGGTTCTGTTGGGCTGTATCAAGTTAATCACTCAATAATGTTTTTGAGCCATACGTTGACTTAAACATGCTGGAAACATGTAGCCTTCATATAATTCATAATTCATCATGACTTCAGAATTGAATTAAAACATACAACAACCGGATGTGTAACAGGTTGTCTCCATGAGTGTTCAAATTAGTGAAAATTCCCATATTCACTGACCTTTTTAAGGTTCATTTATTAATCGGTTAATCGGAAGAATAATTGGCATATTAAAATAATTGTGAATTACAGCCTTGTAATTTTACAGCCCAATAGTATTGCAATATTTGAGACTTGACACACTGCAATCAAGTATTGTGATTCAATTCTGCATGTCCCTCATATTTTTCAAAGGCATTACCAAAAATTAGGAAAATAAGACTACTCAACTTAAAGTGTGATAAGAACTTGGGTTGAATGAATGCACAAAAACAAAGCAACGCAACAAGTGCCACCTTGTGGGTGCAATATGCAAATGGAAATAACCAGAGTAAACTGAAACCGATAATGATTTAATTAATATTGCGATACTGAACAGAATACAATTTTCCCCCACCTCTAATATGTATGAGATCAGTCTTGGTCATTACTTTATTATTGTAATGTAAAATACTTTTTTGTGTTCTCTTGTTTTAGTCGGTGCAATCCTATGTCCTGTATGCAAGCAGGAAAGCTGGGATATTGACGTTTTGGATAATTTCTTTGTCAAAGACTCGGCAGAGGCACCGAGCAGCACTATGGAAAAAAATAGCCAGGTAAGGCTCATTTGCAACATCTTCAGTTGGGGAATATTTACTATTTTGAAAAGTGTCTGAATAGGTGTGCATGAGCTGTGAAGACAACACAGAAGCGACTGGTTACTGCGTGGAGTGCGTCGAGTTTCTGTGTGTTACATGCATTGAGGCTCATCAAAGAGTCAAGTTTACCAGGGATCACACTATTCGCCAAAAGCAAGACATGACTCCAGGTGCTGTTTCTGTGTGGATTTTCTCTTGTTGTAAACTGTTTATTTACAGCTATTCCTTTTTACAGAGTCCTTAGCTATCTCTACACAGAAGCCTGTGTTTTGTGATATTCACAAACAGGAGCCTCTCAAACTCTTCTGCGAAACATGTGATCGACTTACATGTCGAGACTGCCAACTCCTCAGACACAAGGATCATAAGTAAGATTGTTGACTGTATGGCTTTTGACAAATGTAAATCCAACTTTACACTTATACAAAAACAACTATACGTATTGTTATTTTGAAGAACTAAAAGTGATGCAGAAATGCTTGTTCCTAGCTTGTTAACTAGTTCATTGTTTGAATCAGGGGTTTCAAACATGAGAAAAGGCTTTCTGTGGCCTTAAACTCTGTGTTAGAGTTTAATGTCTATGTGGCCCCACTAATATGACATTTTATACATAATTTTAACGTAAATTTATCAAGAAAACGACCGCAGAATGCACAGTATATTACCGTTAACATAATTCCATGTAAATACCCAGCAGTCTATATGACAACGCCTTTATTGCCCTTGGTCCAGTTGTGTTCCAATCTAAGCAGCAGTACTCATTTTGTTCAGAAAAAAAAAAAAAAAAAAAAATATATATATATATATATATAATACAATTTAATTATTTGGTAAAAATCTACTTTCTCCACTGCGCTGGTTAAAGAATGAGAAGATGGGACTGTTTTAGACGTTGGGGTATATTTATCAATCCAGGCATTATACTGCAGCTTCAAAGAAAAAATAGCATTTGCAATGTTAGGGGTTTTGTTATCTGAATGTGCATTGTTTGCTCCAATGTTAATATATTTTTCACACTCACAATCCCATGATACATATGTCCCAGAGTTGAATTCCCACAGCCTCCAGCAGAGAGAGACCCCTGATTTTACATCATGATGTAGCTCATATTTGTTCTCTTTAAGATTTGTAGTTTAAAGTTGTTTTATTCGAAGAAAATAATTACCCACCCCTGAGTTAGTCCTCAAGCATTGTAAAAAAAAAAAAAACTCAAACTGTATATGGTGCCTTTTTATGTATTTCCTGTTGTCCTTGGGATCTGTTCTTCAAAATAATTTCCTTTTATTAATCACCATATTTTTACTTTTAGCTACCAGTTTTTGGAAGATGCATATAGAAACCACAAGCAATACCTTGAACATATGACACAACAGTTGCAAGAGAAAAGAAAGACAATTGAGGAAGTGTCCCACTACATCACAAATGGGTAAGGCCGTTAATACTATTATTACTAATGGTATTAAATGGGTTGTCTTTTGACCTGGGACGTGCTTTAGTAAAATGTAACACAATTTATTTTGATTGGTCAGACTTCAACAAGTGGAAGAAAATCGAAAAGGTGTCACCAATGAAATAAAGAAATCTATCTGCAACCTCATAATGGAGATTAATAGGAAAGGAAAGATACTCATTAATCAACTTGAGGTAGGTCAAAGTTTCATTATGTATATGATTTTATATCAAAATATTAATTATGGCTTTCCCCCTCTCAGGCACTAACAAAGGATCACGAGTTGGGTTTGAAAAAGCAGCAAGACGATGTTAACACTTTGAGCAAACACTTAGACCATGTAATAAGATTCACCAAATGGGCCACAGCCAGTCACAGCGGAACAGCTCTCCTTTACTGCAAAAGACTGGTAAGGCTCAATTTACATTTCAATTTACAGACCCCAAACCCTTCCTTGTTTCTATAACCTGGTCTGTTGCTTATTTAAATTAATCAGGAGTCAATATAAAGGCTTGTAACTTATTATGTGCTTCAATGGCATGTCATACATACTGTATATTCTGTCCTCATTAATGAACTCAACATTTTTATTAGTAATAATTTGCTCTACACGAAATGTTCACAAACTCAAAGAAAACGCTATCTCTGTGCGCTAAATAATTGTATATTTTTTACTTTTAACTGCGAAAAATTGGGTTTGACTCTCCACGATAGGGTGATATACTGAAGTAGCCCCACACATATAATACATGTACAGTGCCTTGCGAAAGTATTCGGCCCCCTTGAACCTTTCAACATTTCGCCACATTTCAGGCTTCGAACATAAAGATATAAAAATTAAACTTTTTGTCTTTTAACAAATAAAAAACTGAAAAGTGGGGCGTGCAATATTATTCGGCCCCCTTGCGCTAATACTTTGTAGCGCCACCTTTTGCTGCAATTACAGCTGCAAGTCGCTTGGGGTATGTCTCTATCAGTTTTGCACATCGAGAGACTGGAATTCTTGCCCATTCCTCCTTGCAAAACAGCTCGAGCTCAGTGAGGTTGGATGGAGAGCGTTTGTGAACAGCAGTCTTCAGCTCTTTCCACAGATTCTCGATTGGATTCAGGTCTGGACTTTGACTTGGCCATTCTAACACCTGGATACGTCTATTTGTGAACCATTCCATTGTAGATTTGGCTTTATGTTTTGGATCATTGTCTTGTTGGAAGATAAATCTCTGTCCCAGTCTCAGGTCTTTTGCAGACTCCAACAGGTTTTCTTCTAGAATGGTCCTGTATTTGGCGCCATCCATCTTCCCATCAATTTTAGCCTCTTCCCTGTCCCTGCTGAAGAAAAGCAGGCCCAAACCATGATGCTGCCACCACCATGTTTGACAGTGGGGATGGTGTGTTCAGGGTGATGAGCTGTGTTGCTTTTACGCCAAACATATCGTTTTGCATTGTGGCCAAAAAGTTTGATTTTGGTTTCATCTGACCAGAGCACCTTCTTCCACATGTTTGGTGTGTCTCCCAGATGGCTTGTGGCAAACTTTAAACGAGACTTTTTATGGATATCTGTGAGAAATGGCTTTCTTCTTGCCACTCTTCCATAAAGGCCAGATTTGTGCAGTGCAGGACTGATTGTTGTCCTATGGACAGACTCTCCCACCTCAGCTGTAGTTATCTGTAGTTCATCCAGAGTGATCATGGGCCTCTTGGCTGCATCTCTGATCAGTCTTCTCCTTGTTTGAGATGAAAGTTTGGAGGGACGGTCGGGTCTTGGTAGATTTGCAGTGGTCTGATACTCCTTCCATTTCAATATAATTGCTTGCACAGTGCTCCTTGAGATGTTTAAAGCTTGGGAAATCTTTTTGTATCCAAATCCGGCTTTAAACTTCTCCACAACAGTATCTCGGACCTGCCTGGTGTGTTCCTTTGTCTTCATGGTTCTCTCTGTGCTATAAACAGAACCCTGAGACTATCAAAGAGCAAGTGCATTTATACGGAGACTTGATTACACACAGGTGCATTCTATTTATCATCATTAGGGGTGGGAACCTAAGGGTACCTCACGATACGATACGATACACGATACAAAGCTCACGATAACTATAATATCACGATCGTCACACCCCTAATCATCATCAGTCATTTAGGACAACATTGGATCATTCAAAGACCCTCACTGAACTTCTGAAGTGAGTTTGCTGCACTGAAAGTAGAGGGGCCGAAAAATATTGCACGCCCCACTTTTCAGTTTTTTATTTGTTAAAAAAGTTTAAATTATCCAACAAATTAAAATTTTATATCTTTTGTTTGAAGCCTGAAATGTGGCAAAATGTTGAAAGGTTCAAGGGGGCCGAATACTTTCGCAAGGCACTGTACATAGTTTGAAAAAGGAATTGGGAATATTTTATTAATTCAATCCCGTCCTTTGTGGTAATACATTCAATTTGTTCTAAGTGGCAGTAAAAAGTGGTGATCACACTGCCAAGTATGATCAAATGTAAAAGTATAAATTTAACATAAACTCTTGAATTTAACTTTTGCTTTTTAAATCTCAAATTACATTACATTACAAAGTAAATTTTTACTTGTCTTAAAACAAGATTTGGAATTGGAGAAGCAGTTGTAGTCACTTACTGCAAATGGCAAATAAATGAATCTGAATCTGATTTTAATTGCATTTGCAATTTTTTTCTCTTTTTGGAAGGAGAATTTTTTTGTCTAAAAAAAATAAATCTTGTTTTAAGATGGTCAGAATGTATTTAGATTCAGATGAATTTGCCCTCATTCAAGCATTTTTTGTTACTCAACACAAATAGATTTAAATGTGTTTTCTGTTATTAAGAGTGTGTTTTGATTAAATGATCAAAAACAATTTGAAGCATGCATTATCACTAAATTGTGTGTATTCTTTCTTTTCCCAGATCTTATATCAGATTCATTTTTTGATGCGATCAAACTGCAGCCCATCGTTAATCCCTCAGAGTTCAGTCCGATTCCAGTGTCGCTCCGGGTTCTGGGCCACAAACGTAGATCTTGGTAAGTACAATTAAACTGAAGTGCTGGAGCGATCTGAGCTCAGCAAAGACCTGTTGAAAGGCCCAGTGTATTTGGATGTTTTCTGCTGAGTGTGAAAATGTTTGAAAAATCCAACAAATGTTGTTATGTTTATCAGGACGGCATTGCTTTGAGCCTGTGCCTTCACTCTGGTTAATGATTGTTCACAATTGAACATCATTCTCTCATCTTTATTCATTATCTGACTCATTTCTTTACTGTTCTTATTTGTGCATCAATTGTTTTTCCCTTGGGTTCTGATAAATATTTTTTTAATCACAAATGTTATCCAAGGATAAAATGTTTAGTCACATTTCTCTCAGTTATGTCTCTGTAGTACAAACACTTAATTTTGTTTACTTTGTAATGATGACTCTACAAATTATTGTACTAAGTACATTTAAACCTTAAACCAAAATATACATATACTGTATCACAGGCTCACAAGTACAAGTAGTAACATGGGGCTATGCAACCAGTCCAATAAATTGTCAATTGACTCTCCACCTATACTATGTTAGATACCTTACCAAATCATATTTTGAAAAACAATTTTATTGAAAGAACTTTCATGGAATTGAATAGTTTGAAGTATAATGAATGGCTGAAATGCTGAACTGTTTTTGTAGGTACTCTGCTTGTGGAAAGAGTTAATCCCAGACCCCCTCTGTCAAACCCCTCTGGCGGTCCCAGAATGGATGTGCCTCCTGGTGGGCTTTCAATGTCAGCGCAGCAACGTCAGACTACTCTGGCTCAGCTCCAGATGCAGGTACAAGTGTACATTTACTAATGATGACTTTCATGGGATAAAGCACGCCATTGTGCACATTCCGCAAATACAATGTCTCCTATTCCTATATGTAAGGTGGACAAAATCTCCCAACAGCCTCCTAGGCAGCCGGCTCCAAACCAATGGTCCTGGTATCCAAACATGCGCCTCCCAGGACCCCTTGGTTCTCCAACAACTAGACCTGTTCATGGAGGGTCTTCCCCATCCCAATCCGGGGCAGCACCCAGTCTAGCTCAGATGGGACGAAGGTATGGGGCAAGCCAGGCGACTACAAGGAGCCCCAACTCCACCATGTTCAACAGCAACAGTTTTTCTGTGGCTCAGGTAAGTTAACACACATTGATTCCCAACAAGACTTTTTCTTTTTGAAGGTGTTTATATTTATGAAACAATGACAAAAAAAGTTGGGTACTTGAGCTTTAAAAGGCCTTTTGTTGTTTACTGTTATTAACCCAGACTTCTCATTCGGAAAGCTTTAGAAGTAGGTCGGCCTGTGTAACTGTTGGTGTTTATATGCACGAGGGCTTTAATTAATAATTATTTTGATAAACTATTAGTTGGCCGTTTATTCATTTTGATTATTTGATTTGTTGTTTAGCTCCTGAAAGGCCAGTGAATGTGGACTTTTCTTATATATTTGACCCAAACAAAACTCAAGTGAGGCCCTGCGAGAACACCTTCATTGAGAGGACTTGTTAAATACATACATCTGAGTCATAAAACCTCTTCTCATTATGTTTGAGGTCCAAAATACAATGCATCAATTACTAAATCTTTGATTGTGTATTTGTTGCAATTACAGCTGTAGATTTTTAACGCATTATATCCTTAATATATCCCAACAAACCAACCATATACTGTATACAGTACAGACCAAAAGTTTGGACACCTTCTCATTCAAAGAGTTTTTTATTTTCATGATTCTGAAAATTGTAGATTCACACTGAAGGTTTCAAATCTATGAATTTACTCATGTTTAATTATGTACATACAAAAAAAAAGAATGAAACAACTGAAAATATGTCTATTCTAGGTTCTTAAAAGTAGGACCTTTTGCTATGATTACTGCTTCACACTCTTGGCATTCTCTTGATGAGCTTTAAGAGGACCTGAAATGGTCTGAGTTCCCGCAGATGCTTAGCACTTGTTGGCCCTTTCGCCCTTCACTCTGTGGTCCAGCCCCAAAACCATCTGGATTGGGTTCAGGTCCAAAATCATCTGGCCCAGCACCCCACCACTCTCCTTATTGGTCAAATAGCCCTTACACAGCCTGGGTGTGAATCTACAGTCAATAGTCATGAAAAGAAAGGACACTCATTGAATGAGAAAGTGTGTCCAAACTTTTGGTCTGTACTATATATACATATATATATATATTTTTTAGAACAGCTGTCTAGTCTTTATTTGCATTTCTTTTGCAGTCAAATGTGGAAATATTATGCAAAATCATGTGCATTTTAAACTTAAGGACTTTTCTTCAGTTAGTTTTTAAAGCTCATAAACCAAATTGCATATGACTAATGTCTTGTTTCAGAGTGTGCCTCGGTACTCTCAGCCACTCCAAGCTGGTTCTGTAACACAGGCTGCACTACATCAGGTGTGTAGAGCGTGAATATTATGCCTTTTGACCTTTGCGTTGACGTATAACTTGTATAAATATAACTTTGTATGGGTTGTCTAGCGAGGACAATCAGATTTTCTGAGGCGGAGTGAACCAGGTGCATCCCTTCCTTCTGTGACAATCTCAGTCCCCAAACCCAGTCTGTTAACAGCCCAGGCGCTCGGTACTGCCAATCTCAATACAGGTACACAGGGAACCTTCACTGCACATATTCAGTGTTCCAGATGTCTGTCAACTCTCATGTTATTTCTTTAGGTCAGGGAATGCAAAATACCCCAGTGATCAAACCTTCTACAACAGACCGACAAACAGGGTAAGAACAGAAGGTCCAATTATGCATTGGTTTACTTTATATAGTACAGGAACTATTGAAGCTTAGTCGTTCAGGATGCTGAAAGCCGTAATTTAGAATGACATCGTTAAAGGGGACTTATGTGTTTTAATTTTAAGGGATAACCCCAGAGAATAGGTCGACATTTACAAATCATAGTTTACCTTTTCTGAAGAACTTTTCAAAGTAGTTATTCTTTATTAAAAAATACAATGGACATGAAGGCCATTGTCAGTTTGCACCACACATTTTTGAAATGAAATAAGTCGTAATTGCGTAATGCCAGTATTCCACCAGTAGTCGGTGCTTAGGAGCTACAAGATGCAAGAAGTATTGTAATTGTAATGATTGTATTAGACCACTAATAGTGACCATCACATACCATTCTTTTTAGGAATGGTTTTAAACATTTGTTCTATCTGCTTTGTAGAACCGTATCCTGGAAGCCTGCATCTGAGGCTTCTCCTGCAGCAAAACGTAGAAGGAAATTGTCACCCGGACCAATAATAGTGATCAAGGACGAGCCAGAAGATGAGGATGAAGTCAGCTTTGTAAGATACTTTAAGACTAACATTTAAAGTCATTATCAACAATTTTGCAGTGGACAGATGAGAATTCTGTCAAATTCTAGAACTATAAATGTAGGATTCCCTGTGGTAGTCAGTAATTTGCCAAAATGCAATCCATGAGGATATGGAGTATTGTATTAGAACACTAGATTAACTTGTATTATTTCTCATACAAAAAAATAGATTGCCATGCCTATTACAAACAGACAAATCTAATCAAACACCATGAACTTGATCAAGTATTCTGTCTTCGTTTTAAAAGATGTCCTTGCTTTTCTCCCTCTCTGTTCTGAAGGTGCGATCTAATGTACGATCCAATGCAGGCTCAAATGTCGGCCCCATCGTGGCATCGAGTGTGGGTTCTAGTGTGGGCTCCAGTGTGGCATCCACGGTGAGCTCAAATGTAGGTCCCATTGTGACATCCATTGTTGGCTCCAGTGTGGGCTCCAGTGTGGCATCCACGGTGGGCTTGAATGTTGGTCCCATTGTGACATCCATCGTGGGCTCTAGCGTGGGTTCTAGTGAGCCCTCCAGCGTCCCCTTAAGCGTGAGGTCCAGTCTTCCCGACAGCAGCACCGCAGCAGAATCTAAACCTCGGCCAGTGCAAAAGAACAACTCCACGTCTGTGAAAGTGTCTGTCCCACTCTCCAGTAAAGTCAAAGAACAGACCCGCCCTCAGACGGAGAAGGGTGCTGCCACAGAGGATGACCCCAATGAGGACTGGTGTGCCGTCTGTCAGAATGGAGGAGAACTGCTCTGCTGCGATAAATGTCCCAAAGTCTTCCACCTCAACTGCCACATCCCCACGCTCAACGAGTCCCCCAGGTATCACACAAACCTTTCAAACCACAACATGTAACCCGGGCTCTAACTAAAGACTGTACTATCAGGCGTGATATTCGTGATATTTAGCTCACAGTAGTATTACTTTAATCCATTCAGGCCGGGACCACATTCCTGCATTTCTTGTCGAGGTTTCTTGACCACTTTATTGCCAAATTCTTGTTAATTTATTGTATTGAACTATTTGGGCACGTTACTTTTGACATTGGGCAAGTAAAATATAAATGGTAATTGTCCTTAGGGCAAGTGGCTGACAAAGCTTAATGTTAAGGCCTGGTAGCTATGTAAGTAATAAAATCTATTTGACCTGTTCCTTGCGCTAAAAACGTTTTTACATGCTTTTGTTTTTGGCCTCTGTCACATGCTTAGATGAGCTTTATCAGACGAAAAAGTGGAAAAGAGAGGACCACCCAATCAGCCATCAAATAGTGACTCAAAATGCTCTTTTTTTTATTCAGATGAAGAATGCACAATGTTATCCTTTAGTTCACAAAGTGTTATTTCACAAGCCTCCTTCTGTTGGGACAAACAAAAGGTAGTATTTATGAAAAATAAAGTTGGTTACGTCAACATTTACACTTTTTACAAGTGCTCATCTTCTTTTACAACAGGGGTAATACAAAAAGCTCAAACCTAATGAAATCTTTTACAGAAATAAAGTAGTCATACGTAATACTACTGCTTAGATATGTCACAAGCACTAGGTTCTGGTTACAAAAATTTAATTGGTACCTTTTTTTTAAAGAAAAAAAAGGAATAAATGACTACAATGTAAAATTTGAAATGTTTGAAGCAGTTTTGTCAACTGCTTGATCTGAAGTAAAATCATCTTCTTCTCATCAGTGGTGAGTGGTATTGCTCCTTTTGCCGAGACTTGGAGACTCCTGAAATGCAATATGTCTGTGACCGAAAAGATGACCCTGGCTCAGAGAAGTTCCCTAACGAAGATCGGCGGGTATGATAAATTATTGACTTGAGCTGTCTTTTACTTTTCTTAACTTTGAATACTTGAGTTTTTTTTTTTCTTCTTTCAGAAATGTGAGCGGTTACTACTGCGCATGTTCTGCAATGACATAAGCACAGACTTCCAGCAACCTGCTTCTCCAGCGGTAACTCCAATGATTCCAAAGGATTAATAGTCACTGTGGTGGTTCATAATGCATCTTTGTCTCCTTTTCAGGAGAGTCGAAAATACAAGGAACTCATCACAACGCCCATGGATTTGTCCATTGTGAAGAAAAGGTTGGAGGCCAAGTCCTCTGACAGCGAGTGTTACTCCTGCCCTGAGGGTTTTGTTTCGGACATACGGCTTATATTCACCAACTGTGCAAAGTACTACAAGGTATACTCGTTATATTGCATTTTGCATGCATCTTGTGGAAGAGTGTAAACATTCTAAAATCTAAGCTCCTGACAGTCATCAGTCTCTTCAAACTCAACCCTGGGCTCTTCATTCCTATGTCCTAGCTGTACATGCGATACTCATACAATATTATCAATCCAATCAATCAGAATGTATTTATATAGCGGCAGCACAGTTCATACAAAATGCAACTCAGTGTTTTACATTGACACAATTTAAAAGGAAATAAATAACACACATAAAATAAATGCAAAATAAGAAAGGGATAAGATCTGGGAAAAATGTAAACGTCTGGGACAATGCATGAGGCTCTTTGTATGCAAGAAGACAAACACAAAAACATGAAACTAACTGAGAGAGAAGGCTACGTGCACATTATTTAATTTTAAGTGAAATTATGCCTGAATCAAGATACAAGCTGAACTAGAATAGCACCTGTAGTGTGCAGAACTCTGCCAGGAGACACAGTTCCTTTTCTTAAAGTTCTGCATCCAGACAGTTTTTCAGATCACTTCCATTTGAATCAGTTGTTCACTGGGTCATTGTGCTTGCTCACAAACCATCTCAGGTGATCACTCTACCTCCTGGACGGAGGCAATTAAGGAATTAATAGAGATGCACCACATTAACTTGCCTTGATGTGAAAGAGAATTAATTTTCTAGATCAAGACGGATAGTAAAGGTTGCTAGCCCTTTACCTAGACATGTGACTATAAGATACTGCCTGAGTAGTCCCAAATGTGTATTTAACTCTTTCTTTGAATGTGACCGTCAACAGGCCACTTCAGAGGTGGGAAGCGCTGGACTCTATCTGGAGGAATACTTTGAGGAGCAGCTGAAGCTTGTGTACCCAGACAGAGTGTTTCATGGTGGGAGAGAGGAGGACATGATCCCCCCTTTGGAGGACGAGATTGAAGAGGAAGAGCCAGACACAGAGGCAGAGAAAAGTGCCACAGTCAGTAGTGATGCATTAGAAAGTCAAACTGACAAAGAGGATTCTAAAGGGGACATGGCACCGAGGGTTGGAGAAGAAGAACAAGCTCCGATTGAGGATCAACCGGATGAAAATTCAAGCCCAACAAATGAATCTCTGCCGGAAAAAGAAACTCCTCCTTTAATTGACAAATCTACAGAAATGGAAGCTAAATCAGATACTGAAATGGAAGATCTGCAAATCACTCAAGAGGACGAGAACAAAGAAAATGACAAATTACTTCCAACTGATGAGCTTGAGCAGAATTCTTCATTGCCCCTCACAGAAAACACAGAAAACACAGAGAAATCAGAAACGGAACAGTCCAGTGACATGAGTGCGTCACAAGAACAAGAGAACAAAAGTTCAGGCTAAAAGAATTCATTTTGAAGGGGCATTATGTAACTTTCTGGTGAAGCGTAGTTGAGCTGCTGTTTTGCCATGAAGTATTCTAGTGTGTATTGGTCTGGTTTGACTAGTTTGAAAGATTTTTAATTTGTATTTGAAGGATCTAGTTTTTATGAATTGTATGGTGTAAGGAAAATACTTTATTAATGAATTCTTATTATCTTTCTCAAAATAAATCTGAAAGTTCTTTAAAATTGGCAAAAAAATTCTGTTTCACACTTAGGTCCCAAGAGCCGGAGTTAACTTTAATATTAATAGTACTACATTTAATTTCTTAGGCGCCTTTCTTGACACCCAAGGTTGCATTAAAAAAGTATAGTACATTTAAACGTTTCTAAACGGTTAAAAGCAGCATGAACAGAGGATGGTAGATACGGTGATAGTGAATGGGCTTGTCTAAACAGATGAGTTAAGTTAACCATTGGGGGCAAAGATTCTCACCAAATCAACTTAAATATCTACAGTGTTTGGTGATTTGGTTTCACAGCTCCACAAATTAAACATTTTTGTCCTAAGAAAACCACAGTCACTTGAATTGTGAACTAAGGCTGTTGATTAATCACAACTAAATCAATAAGTGAAATGTTGTCAGAAGCTTTTGACTTAAACATGTTGAAGAGATTTATGACTCCTATAATGACCACAGAAAGAAAGGAAAATATGTTCATAAAATATTATTTAACCTGTGAAACAAGTCATCTATCACAATGTTCTCCAGGGACATCTCTTGAGCATTGTTTTGGTCAAATCCCTATTTAAAATAAAATCCATATTTACTGATATTTTGGGATTTAAACAACTAATTGATTGATCAAAATATATAAAATGGTTGTGTAGATCTACCCTAAATCCTCCATTTAAAAATTGTTTGTGGAATTCTTACAAAAGTGTACGTACTGTGTACGGATCTGAGCTTTTGGATTTGACCTCACTTTTTTTCTTTTTTTTTCTTCTTCATAGAATAGTTGTATGGATAGATATGGTAGACCATCTGGGGAAGACCATAAATATTTAGGCTGAACAGTGATCACCAGATTAGTTACATAGTGCTGCTTTTGAAATTAGATATCTGAATTTGGTGTGTCTTCCGTGTACTTACAGGATCAAGACAGTTTTGGTACAATGTTTGAGTGAGTGAGTGAATGAATGAATGAATGAATTATGTCTTTATTAGTTGCACAGTGAGAAGTAGGATCCATTTTCAGCTTGTGTTGTTGTATAAATTATTTTACATTTGACTGTTTGCTTTGTATACATTGCACCTTTTCTGCAAAAGAGTTGGGATGAATCGCATGCAGCTCAACATGTAATCTTTGCTCTGTTTTATTTTTATGTACAGTTTTATTACTATTACATGCTGCTTGTTTCATGGGTTTTCATTTTTTTTCTCATTTCTTTTCTGAGGCTTAATACTCCCAAATACACGTTTATTATTTTATAAGACATCTATAATCAGGAGACTGGAATAATCATGGCAACTGCAATGATAGAAATTCAATTATCTCTTCCTTCCTTTATATTCCCGGGTATGATGAAGTTAATAAATCATTAAGACACTATTCATTTTAAAGCAACAAAATGAAATTACATTGGATATTAAGGCATTTATTACAGCCCTTGGGGTTAGGGTTAGCTGTATCCTACTTCTGTTCAAAGATACCACATTGAAGCAGTGCGTGGAGAGTAGAATTGCTTGTTTTAGTTATAATAGCAAGCAGCATAATTATGGTAGTTTAGCTGCAATTGTGGCGTTGCATTTAGAGACAAAATATAAAGTCATAATGTATTTTAAAAATATTCGGCATTCTAGTTTGGTGATACACATTTTGTTTTGTTTGTTTGACAGCCTCCATCGCACCGCGGTGAAGTTAGTTTGAAGTTGGATATCCGACAGACATTCAACGGTCATTCCCTCTCGGTACACTTCTCCTTCTCTCTGGGTTCAGAGCGACTCGAAAGCCGCTCCAACATTTTAGTGCACCCCTACTACACACAGTACGGTAAACACGCGAAGACATGTACGCTGGTCTAATATTTACATATAAAAAATCATTAAAAATACTTACAACATTTTAATGATAAAAGAAGAGGTGTACCCCGTACAGCTAGTGGAGGACTATGATCCTGACCTGATTTGGAGTCAATAGGTCACATGACCTGGAAGCTATTGAGCTAAAATGCTAATATTTACATATAAAAATTCATTAAAAATACTTAAAAATACTTAAATGACAAAAAAAAGAGGTGTACCCCCTGCAGCTAGTGGAGGACTATGATCCTGACCTGATTTGGAGTCAATAGATCACATGACCTGGAAGCTATTGAGCTAAAATGCTAATATTTGCCTTTAAAAATTCATTAAAAATACTTAAAACACTTTAATGATAAAAGAAGAGGTGTACCCCCTGCAACTAGTGGAGGACTATGATCCTGACCTGATTTGGAGTCAATAGGTCACATGACCTGGAAGCTATTGAGCTAAAATGCTAATATTTACATATAAAAAATCATTAAAAATACTTAAAAATACTTAAATGACAAAAAAAGAGGCGTACCCCCTGCAACTAAGGGAGGACTATGATCCTGACCTGATTTGGAGTCAATAGGTCACATGACCTGGAAGCTATTGAGCTAAAATGCTAATATTTGCCTTTAAAAATTCATTAAAAATACTTAAAACACTTTAATGATAAAAGAAGAGGTGTACCCCCTGCAGCTAGGGGAGGAATATGATCCTGACTTTTAATACAGTACAGTTTTATTACATCGGTTTTAAATTTGTTGCATTGGCTTCCCGTGTGTTTCAGGATCAATTTTTAGGTTCTTTCACTGGTTTTTTTCATGTCTTCATGGTCTTGGGCCTTCTTATTACTCATAACTGCTTTTATCCAAAGAACCATCCCGGTTCTTGCAGCAGACTCCTCCATTACCAAAGCCAGGACACACACTCAAGCTGAGGCATATGTAAGTGAGTAAGTAATGTTTATTTATATAGCGCATTTTACAGACCAAGGTCACCCAAAGCGCTTTACGTCCATCACTACGACCCCGTCTCTGGAACAGTCTGCTGGAGGAGCTTGACTAGCACCCTCCTGTCCCTCACCTCCTCCACAGAGTCCAGGGGGCTGTCCCGCTCTGTGCTGCCCGGGGCCCAGCACACGGCAGCGTAGTGTATGGCAGAGCCTACCACAGAGTCATAAAAGGTCCTGAGCAGCGGCCTGCTCACTCCGAAGGACCTCAGCCTCCTCAGAAGGAAGAGGCGACTTTGGCCCTTCTTGTGCAGGGCGTTTGTATTATGGGACCAGTCCAGTTTATTGTTTATGTGAACACCCAGGTACTTGAAGCTGTCCACCAGCTCAATGTCCTCCCCCTGGATGTTCAGCAGCGTGTGGGAAAGTGGTTTTATCCTGAAGTCGATTACCATCTCCTTGGTCTTACTGGTGTTAGCACAGGTACCATCTCCTTGGTCTTACTGGTGTTAGCACAGGTACCATCTCCTTGGTCTTACTGGTGTTCAAGCACAAGTGGTTGCACTCACACCAGTCGACAAAGTCCTTGATAACCGACCGATATTCCAGTTCGTTCCCCTCAGACACACAGCCCACGATGGCGGAGTCGTCGGAGAACTTCTGCAGGTGACAGCTGTGTGTGTCGTGTGTGAAGTCTGAGGTGTAGATGGTAAAGAGAAACGGTGAGAGGACAGTGCCCTGAGGGGCCCCAGTGCTGCAGACTACCACCTCAGACTCACAGCTGCGCAGCCGCACGTACTGTGGTCGGTCTGAGAGGTAGTCGATGGTCCATGCAGTGAGGTAGTTGATGGTCCATGCAGTGAGGTAGTCGATGGTCCATGCGGTGAGGTAGTTGATGGTCCATGCAGTGAGGCTACTGTCCACTCTTGCGTCCTCCAACTTCCCCCGCAGCAGCGCCGGTCTGATGGTGTTGAAAGCACTGGAAAAGGCAGTGTCCACCGGGCTGGGCACGTGTGAAGAGGTGGGGGAGGGAGGGGGGGAGATGGGGAGGGGGGAAGAATCAAACTGGTTGAAATATTGGTTAAATTCATCCGCCCGGTGCTGGTCTCCATCCGCTGTCCCAATGGCACTCTGCCCAAAGCCGGAGATGTTCTTTAGTCCTCTCCACATGTCGCAGGCGTTTCCCTGAGCCAGCTTCTGCTCCAGCTTTTTCCCAAAGTCCTTCTTGGCCCTCCTGATACTCCACTGGACCTTGTGCTGGATCCTCTTCTGCTCCTCAATAAACAGGTAAATGTAGAATAATATATGTTTTTTTTTATAAAAACATGCTGAAGCAATTGGCTAAAAACATTACGAGTACCAAGGTGCTCAGAGGCTGGACCTGCTCTGTCTGCAGTTCTCTCCTGCGCTCCGCAAGTCTCTCCCCAGGGTCGCAAGCAGGTCTCTTATGGGGCCCAGGCACTCATAATATTTCGAAATGGATCTCATAATAATTTGACATTATCCATCCATCAATTTTCTTCCCCTTCATCAGACATTCCAACGAGGGAGCTGTTTTGACGTGGGGGGGCAGGGCGTTCCACAGCTTTGGTCCAGCCACAGAGAAGGCCCTGTCCCCTGGGGTTTTAAGTCTGGTCTTAGGTACCACGAGCTGGAGCCGGCCCTCGGACCTCAGCGCGCGGGGCGGGTGGTGAATTTGGATGAGGTCCGAGATGTAAGGAGGGGCCAGTCCATTCAAAGCTTTAAAAACAAACAAAATGAAGGACCTCCCCACCCACCTGGAGAGGGCATTGCACCTTTTTCCGGTCGAGCACCATGGCCTCAGATTTTGAGGTGCTGATTCTCATCCCAGCCGCTTCACACTTGGTTGCAAACCGTCCCTGTGCATGTTGCACGTCCTGGTTTGTTGAAGCCAACAGGACAACATGTTTGTAAACCGCTTTTTGACTCTGGTCTGTGAAAGGCGGTATATAAATCAAGATTACTTACTTATTTTACTTACTTAACATTGTCCGCAAACAGCAAAGATGAAATCCTGTGGTCCCCGAACCAGACCCCTTCCGGTCCCTGGCTGTGGCCTCCTAACCAGAACCCATGGCTGTGGTCTCCGAACCGGACCACATAATATTTTGAGATTAATCTCATAATATTTCGATTTTGATTAATCTTGTAATATTGTAATATTCTGACTTTACTCTCATAGCCTCTGAAAATAAAAGAGAAAATTAGATGACCCTTCAGCTCCATTGTACAAATAAGATTTCTTTTATGACAACTGAAAAAAACTACTACTTATTTTTGTTTTCAATTGAACAGATACAGTGTGATGACTGTGACAGGTGGTTCCATGATTCTTGTGTATCGTTGGAAAGCAAGGACTTGGAGGATGCAATGGAAAAGAGCTGGGCATGTGTGTTATGCCAGTGAAGAAGAGAAACAAAGGACAGGGCTATGTTCAATATATTTTCATGATGAAAAAATAAAGTCATCTCATGGTAGCCCTACTAGTGTTGCATCATGTTACTCCACTAGCTGCATAGTACAAGTACTTTTTTCATTTTCAATCTCTAAATATTTATTTAACATGTAAATATTTCCAAGTCAAGTGATCTATTGACTCCAAATCAGGTCAGGATCATAGTCCTCCACTAGCTGCAGGAGGTACACCTCTTCTTTTATCATTAAAATGTTTTAAGTATTTTTAATGAATTTTTAAAGGCAAATATTAGCATTTTAGCTCAATAGCTTCCAGGTCATGTGACCTATTGACTCCAAATCAGGTCAGGATCATAGTCCTCCATTAGCTGCAGGGGGTACACCTCTTTTTGTCATTTAAGTATTTTTAAGTATTTTTAATGAATTTTTAAAGGCAAATATTAGCATTTTAGCTCAATAGCTTCCAGGTCATGTGATCTATTGACTCCAAATCAGGTCAGGATCATAGTCCTTCACTAGCTGCAGGGGGTACACCTCTTTTTTGTCATTTAAGTTTTTTAAAGTATTTTTAATGAATTTTTAAAGGCAAATATTAGCATTTTAGCTCAATAGCTTCCAGGTCATGTGACCTATTGACTCCAAATCAGGTCAGGATCATAGTCCTCCACTAGCTGCAGGGGGTACACCTCTTCTTTTATCATTAAAGTGTTTTAAGTATTTTTAATGAATTTTTATATGTAAATATTAGCATTTTAGCTCAATAGCTTCCAGGTCATGTGACCTATTGACTCCAAATCAGGTCAGGATCATAGTCCTCCACTAGCTGCAGGGGGTACACCTCTTTTTTGTCATTTAAGTTTTTTAAAGTATTTTTAATGAATTTTTAAAGGCAAATATTAGCATTTTAGCTCAATAGCTTCCAGGTCATGTGATCAATTGACTCCAAATCAGGTCAGGATCATAGTCCTCCACTAGCTGCAGGAGGTACACCTCTTCTTTTATCATTAAAATGTTTTAAGTATTTTTAATGAATTTTTAAAGGCAAATATTAGCATTTTAGCTCAATAGCTTCCAGGTCATGTGACCTATTGACTCCAAATCAGGTCAGGATCATAGTCCTCCATTAGCTGCAGGGGGTACACCTCTTTTTGTCATTTAAGTATTTTTAAGTATTTTTAATGAATTTTTAAAGGCAAATATTAGCATTTTAGCTCAATAGCTTCCAGGTCATGTGATCTATTGACTCCAAATCAGGTCAGGATCATAGTCCTCCACTAGCTGCAGGGGGTACACCTCTTTTTTGTCATTTAAGTTTTTTAAAGTATTTTTAATGAATTTTTAAAGGCAAATATTAGCATTTTAGCTCAATAGCTTCCAGGTCATGTGACCTATTGACTCCAAATCAGGTCAGGATCATAGTCCTCCACTAGCTGCAGGGGGTACACCTCTTCTTTTATCATTAAAGTGTTTTAAGTATTTTTAATGAATTGTTATATGTAAATATTAGCATTTTAGCTCAATAGCTTCCAGGTCATGTGACCTATTGACTCCAAATTAGGTCAGGATCATAGTCCTTCACTAGCTGCAGGGGGTACACCTCTTTTTTGTCATTTAAGTTTTTTAAAGTATTTTTAATGAATTTTTAAAGGCAAATATTAGCATTTTAGCTCAATAGCTTCCAGGTCATGTGACCTATTGACTCCAAATCAGGTCAGGATCATAGTCCTCCACTAGCTGCAGGGGGTACACCTCTTCTTTTATCATTAAAGTGTTTTAAGTATTTTTAATGAATTTTTATATGTAAATATTAGCATTTTAGCTCAATAGCTTCCAGGTCATGTGATCTATTGACTCCAAATCAGGTCAGGATCATAGTCCTCCCTTAGCTGCAGGGGGTACACCTCTTTTTTTGTCATTTAAGTATTTTTAAGTATTTTTAATTAATTTTTATATGTAAATATTAGCATTTTAGCTCAATAGCTTCCAGGTCATGTGATCTATTGACTCCAAATCAGGTCAGGATCATAGTCCTTCACTAGCTGCAGGGGGTACACCTCTTTTTTGTCATTTAAGTTTTTTAAAGTATTTTTAATGAATTTTTAAAGGCAAATATTAGCATTTTAGCTCAATAGCTTCCAGGTCATGTGATCTATTGACTCCAAATCAGGTCAGGATCATAGTCCTCCCTTAGCTGCAGGGGGTACACCTCTTTTTTTGTCATTTAAGTATTTTTAAGTATTTTTAATGAATTTTTATATGTAAATATTAGCATTTTAGCTCAATAGCTTCCAGGTCATGTGACCTAGTGACTCCAAATCAGGTCAGGATCATAGTCCTCCACTAGCTGCAGGGGGTACACCTCTTCTTTTATCATTAAAGTGTTTTAAGTATTTTTAATGAATTTTTATATGTAAATATTAGCATTTTAGCTCAATACCTTCCAGGTCATGTGACCTATTGACTCCAAATTAGGTCAGGATCATAGTCCTCCACTAGTTGCAGGGGGTACACTTCTTCTTTTATCATTAAAGTGTTTTAAGTATTTTTAATGAATTTTTATATGTAAATATTATTATTTTAGCTCAATAGCTTCCAGGTCATGTGATCTATTGACTCCAAATCAGGTCAGGATCATAGTCCTCCCTTAGCTGCAGGGGGTACACCTTTTTTTTTGTCATTTAAGTATTTTTAAGTATTTTTAATGAATTTTTATATGTAAATATTAGCATTTTAGCTCAATAGCTTCCAGGTCATGTGATCTATTGACTCCAAATCAGGTCAGGATCATAGTCCTCCACTAGCTGCAGGGGGTACACCTCTTCTTTTATCATTAAAGTGTTTTAAGTATTTTTTTATGAATTTTTAAAGGCAAATATTAGCATTTTAGCTCAATAGCTTCCAGGTCATGTGACCTATTGACTCCAAATAAGGTCAGGATCATAGTCCTCCACTAGCTGCAGGGGGTACACCTCTTCTTTTGTCATTTAAGTTTTTTTAAGAATTTATAATGAATTTTTAAAGGCAAATATTAGCATTTTAGCTCAATAGCTTCCAGGTCATGTGACCTATTGACTCCAAATCAGGTCAGGATCATAGTCCTCCACTAGCTGCAGGGGGTACACCTCTTCTTTTATCATTAAAGTGTTTTAAGTATTTTTTTATGAATTTTTAAAGGCAAATATTAGCATTTTAGCTCAATAGCTTCCAGGTCATGTGACCTATTGACTCCAAATCAGGTCAGGATCATAGACCCCCACTAGCTGCAGGGGGTACACCTCTTCTTTTATCATTAAAGTGTTTTAAGTATTTTTAATGATTTTTTATATGTAAATATTAGACCAGCGTACATGTCTCCGCGTGTTTACCGTACTGTGTGTAGTACGGGTGCACTTAAATGTTGCGGCGAATATCTGTCGGATATCCAACTTCAAACTAACTTCACCGCGGTCTCCATCGCTCTGAATAATGTGTGGAATGTATCCAAATTGATATTGAGAAATTGTCCCACAATGGGTGAATTCAATTGTAATGTTTCATCACCAGTTACAAAACAGTATAAATGAGAAGCACACAGCACAACCTATCTAATTTAAGGATTATAAAGAGACAAGAATATTTATCAAATCTAAAAACGCATCTTCATGATACAACAACGTAAACAAAGACTGCGGGAGGATAATGATGCGCCCTAATTAAAGAAAAAACTGCAACAGTCCTATTGTTAAATGACATCATCAAAATGAGACATGATCAAATCCAAACATATAATCTAGCAGGTTCCAAGAGCAGATGTCTCCTTGTAAGTGCCATGATCCACAGGACAGGAGTCCACCCCTGCACACGCTCCGGTGACCTCCCTCTGAGCGGACCCTGGAGTGACACTATACTGTGTACGCACGTACTCTGTCTGTCTGCACTTAACACCAGCTACAAGGAAAGGTACAACTTTAGTTTTTGCGCTGATTCAACAGCAATGCACGCGGGGTTTCGAATGACGCCCATGGAGCTGAGGACAATGGTCTTGTCCTGTCTTTACGCAGTCGTGCTCGGACAAGGTAAGGTTTGCCAACGCCATACAGACAACCCAACAGGGTTTATATGGAATATTTTACAAAGGCATCTGGTTATATGTTACACTTTTGTTTATATATGAGACCAAAGGGGTCAATAATGCATTCGCCTATAGCGGTTCTACAGACTACTCCTTTCGATGAAATGCATGCATTCGATGTTGTGAGAGAGTATTTTGATTTACACACACAGATTTTAACTTGAGACCGCAATCAAAACTGGGACTGTCCTAGGCAAATAGGGGCTCTAATCACCGTAGACAAGCAGCCTGTGTATATAAATGTGTAATATTGGCTATTATTCAAGGCAAGGCAAGTTTATTTGTATAGCACAATTCATACACAAGGCAACTCAAAGTGCTGAACAAAAATAAGAAAGCATTAAAATCATAAATAATCACAGAACATTAAAAAGAAATAAAATCCCTCAGTTGTATGCACAGCTAAACAGAACTGTTTTTAACCTGGTTTTAAACATTGTCATTTAAGGTGTTCCCACTCACAGCTTGTCTTGTCAAGTGATGTCGCTGTGCCAGAAAAAGTTGACAACATCCCAGCAGAGACAGGCAGTTTGGGAAACATGTGGCCAAGTTACAAGACATTATGCTTAAGTTGAACTCCATTGCATTAAGCTCCACAATCTGTCTCTGGTTCATCAGGCCCTTCATTGAGAGCGTACCCGTAATCTTTCTCTCACATACAAAAATAGGCCTGATCTACTTCTGCAGGTCTGCTCAGATGTTGTTGGAGTTTGACAGAAGTTTGCCCTCTCTGTAACCAGCAGATTGTGAGGCTTGCACCATAATGTCGTCTAATAATCTTAATACACAATACAACACAATACATTTCATTCTTGTATAGCCCTAAATCACAACAGTAGTCATCTCAGAGGACTTGGCATAGAGTTTTCTGAACTTTAAGCACTGAAATGATAGCAGTAGAGTAGTGACCTCTATTCGACTGGAAGGGTCACAGTTTTGAGCATTGTATCTGATTCCCGAGAAGGTTTACCAAATATTTAGCATTTAATGTTACAGGTGTCTCTTTAGATCAATTCTCCAACAGAAATTTGTGTTATCTTTTAGTGAGACAAAATAGAGAGCACAATGTTAAAGCTGGAGTTATGTACACAAAACTGTGTAATATAATCTATGTAACTACTTCCTAACTCTATCACCAGTTTTCACATTTTGGCCTCTGTCACATCTTTAGCTCAGCGCTTTTGGTTGGGAGTAGAAGGTGTAGAGAGAAGGTGTAAGCCAGCTTTAAGTGGATGGAATGATAAAAGGTATAAATGAGCTATTTAATATTTGTGTCCCAGATTTACTTTTGTACATTGTTACTCTATAAAGCCAAACAGAAAAAGCCTTTTCCTGGATAAGTACCGTCCAATATCTCTGCAAACAAGTAGGCCTTCCACAAACGACTGACTGTACTACTCTTGTATTTCAGGGAGACAGCTCTCTGTGCTGGAGTGCTGTGAGGATGGCAGAGACAGGGGCCTCAAAGGGAACGACTGCTCCATTCTCCCCCTCGTGTCGTCAGATCACACCTGCATGTAAGTGAACCAGCTGCTTTCTGCAAACATACCCTCTGCATACTCTCAGCGACCTGTCTGTTCAAACGCTTCAAACATTATCATTTGACTATTTTTGTGGAGTTTATCACAAGATGTAAAGAGTTCACATTTGTCTGTTATTGGTGTCACTCACACAGAGATTATGGAGAATGTTCAATAAGAAGAACGGGCGCTGTGAATATGGCAATTTCTCTCAAAAAGTAGATTGATGGACATCTTACTGCAAATGGTAAATAAATGAATCTGATCTGAATCTGATCTGATCTGATCTGATCTTTAAGAGAGACTGGAATACCGTAATGTTCAGGGTATTTTGGCTAATATATCTCTATTTTCTATTGACATTGAAGTCTTTTGTCAAAATGATATTGTCCAAACAAAGGCAATTATTCAATGCATTATTAAAGACTAAAAAGTCAGTAAAAAGGCCTTACTGCCCAATTTTTAGGAACTATGTAAAAATCCGGCCCCTTAAGTTGTTGGAACTATCTGTTTATGGTGTCTGGAATTAACCAACGTTTATTATTTACCAATTCAAAGATAAATACAAAGAATACATGTTTTATAAGATTAAAGTGGCAAAATGAAACCCACTTTGGATGCCTTTTTGTTCCCATATTATTCTGTGCAAAGAAAATTGCAAATTGCAAATGTTATGTTTGTACTCACATACTCTCAGTTGCAAAGACGTTTAATTCATTCATTCATTGTTTTTATTAGAATATTTATATCTTGTCATTTCTTGAGAACATATTTAAAGACTAGTTTTCTTCATATTCTGACCATTTAGACCGATAGTTGAATAGATAGACGGATACTTCGGAAATTCCGGTGTCCCGTAGCAGTCGAAACACGTCCATCCTTACAAAAATAAATAAATAAATAGATCATTCTAAAAATAGTCTTTATACAACTTCTTTAAAGTTTTAAAGTTACAATTGGCCATATCTCAGACATGTTCAATCATAAAACTATACTTTCATAAACACATATACATCAACATAAAAGTGTCTTCCTTGCTTTTGACAACATGTTCCAACCTAGTTTTGACCTACAACATCTCGTCTATAAGCTGTGCACACGATAATTATCCTGTTCCTGTTGAAGGCCTGGTGATTGTGTCTTTAAGTGCAGGAAAAAGAGCAAACCCTTAAATCATGTGTGCAGTCTTTAACTTAAGCTTCAGGGGAGTGACGCTACATAAAAACTACAGAGGAGCTACAAGCATCAAGCGTCCCCCGGAGCGTCTAAACACAAGGGCCCTTTGACCCTCGGACTCGGAGGTAGTGGTTGCACCTGGTCCACTCATTGAGGACAGAATGAAAAAGGCTTCGAAAGTTTTGCCATGTGGGATGTGTGTCTTATAAAAAAACTAAAGAGACTAGAAGACCACCGCCAAGAGCCACAGTTCCATTCCCCCCCAAAATAATCCTAGACCCAGATGGTGGTCCGGGAGGTGTAGGTGTAAAGTTATAAGGATCTAGCTTGTTTGATTTATTGGGGTGATTCTTGCTTGTTGATTACTGCACTGAAAATGTCAATTATTACTTGTTGATTTTAATTAGAGATCAGATTTTGTTTGTTACTATGTTTGTTACTACAAGCAGCAATATCTATATAGAAAAACACAAACATTTTTAAAGAATGTTTTAAAATTGTATAATGGTGTAATTTTTCCATTTGAACTTGTTTTGTTTTCTTACCTTGTGCTGTCTTCGAGTCAAAATTACTCACCACAGTGATTAAAAGTTGAAGAAAAATATCCTAAATTAGGGTATAAAAGAGTCTAACGCAGTGCTGGTCAAGTTAGGAAAAAATCATCAAAATTCAGCTAGAAAAAACCCCAAACATAAATATGTCTAATCACTGTGGTGGGTATATTTGACACAAGTACAGCACAAGGGTTAGATGCAAAAAGGTTTATCCAAGCTCATTCAATTTTTCTTTCTTTTGGGATTCTCACAGGATTGCTCAAAAACAATGTTGTGAAGCCACAGTTGAAAGCAGGTTTTGTGAAGTGGGGATCAAGACGGCCAAACAGAAAGAGTCATGTGAAAGACCGTTCACCCAGAGCGAGCTACTGGAAAATCACTTCTTTAAGGTGAGCCTTTGTAGTGTGCTCTTCAGAATCCTCCCCAGTCCTTATCATCACATTATCAACAAATAATTATGTTAAAGAAAAAAGTCTTCACATGAATTTATTTCACTCTGATAGGTTTAGTTCTGGACACAAGTTACTGTGTTTATAACAAGATAAAAAGAGAAAGTGTGCCCAATGAAATGGTTTTATTGCCGTGCATCTAATAATTAATTGTGTTAATTCACTTAATGTGGTTAGCCATGCTTCTAAGTTTCATGCTTTCCAGTACGAAACTTTATAATAACTATCCATCAATTATTTAACAAAAAAAGCATTGCACTTTGTTTTTTTACTAACTGATAAGAACAAATCATATTTTATTGTTCTATATTTTTACTGAAGTTAAGGAATTACTTTAATATTTACACTTTTTGTAGATTTGTATTAAAAATGAGTCTCTCTACACAACCGTCTTTAGAACTAGTTAAATTGATACAATGCGGGTTGTTGTCAAAGTGCAACTGTTTAAATCCTACTGTACACCACTGTACATGGCCCACCGTAACTGTTTGTTTGTTATTTTCTTTTGTCTTGTCTGTCTGTTTGTTTTAAATTGGGCCTAGAGTCTGTAATAAAGTTGAATTGAATGCTAACAAATGGAAGCCCCCTCTGACAGCTGTGTTGTGCTCACATGTGTCAGGTGTGCTGTGACTGCTGTGTGCTGGGCCGGACACTGGCCGCTCAGAGCTTGGGCTGTGGACTTCAGGGGATGCTTCTGGGAACACTCTGTGAACACACGGCCAGAGCCTGCTGCAGCCAACGCAACACCACCACAGAGACCACCAAAGCCCCATGTAAGACTGAGACCAGCTGCCAGTTTAGAGAATGTCCACCAGGGTTGGGTCAGACAACCTGGGTCACTTCAGAAGTAAATATAACTGTCCCCATGAGGTCTCTGGTCTGAGGGGGACTATTGGCCAGGGTGCACTTGGTTAGTATAGTGCATGCATCATTTTTCTCATTCAGACTTGGTTTTGCCTTTAGTGTATGCTTGTTGTTCTGTACATATTCATGGACGTCAACTTCCTGTTGTGTTCTTATGGGACGTTCACACTTGTTGGACTGGTTCACTTAAACTGAAACAAGTCTGGTTTACTTCAGGGAATGTGGTTGTGTTTGTTTTAGCATTATAGAATTTGATGACTTCACACTATAGATACAAATTATTTCTATAGGTTTAGAGCCACAATATTGAGAGGTAATAGTTTGTTCACATTCCTACAGTCAGAAGTTTGATATCACACAGTGAGGAAAAATAATGTATACAATAGGTTTGACTGGAACAACTAATGAAGAATACATTTTTGACAGGTACTATCTTATCTTTTAACCATACATCATCAATACTACAATAATTCCATGCGTTTCAGAACACATTTTCTTAGCCACCCAAAGAAATCAATCAAGTCTATTACATTCTTTGTATTAGGTTGTGTACGGTGCTCTCAGCCTGAGAGCAGATTGCCGCCCGGCTGGTGGACTCTGGGTCACTTGGAAATTGGCTTAGCTCTAAACACCACACCAAATGTTACCTCTGGGACAACTGCTGTGGCGTTTGGCTTCTGTTGACTTGAAGTTGGCCTGTACAAAGTCTTTAAACATCTTTAAACATTTGGTTTCTTCACAGATTTTGCCAAGAATATTGAAAAGGATAAAATTGAAATCAATGTTACAGTAAAACCCAAAGAAGACTCACGTCCCTGCAAAGGTATCTGAACTAAAGGGTCTTTTTAACAACTTTTGTAAAATTGACTTTTCCGAGCTTTTAACTATGTTACTACAGACCTAGAGTTGTTTTTAGATCCATTCACGCTAATATCAGGAAATTTTGGCACAAATGCCGTCCCTTCTCTTTTGTTTATGTTTTCATTCAAGTCAGATGAACAGCGTACATGACTGTCACACACAGTAGAAATAGCTCTAGCTTCAACAGTTGGGCTGTGATCTGGAGATAGTTGTGTTCACCAGCAGTGAGCACGACTGCTTTTGTTTTCTCCAACGCTAGCTGTACCTACTGTACCTCCCCTACACCGCACATGCCTCTTTTGAAGCTGAGGGTAACGCAGGACTGATTTCAGATATGTGTGAGATGTGTGGTAGAAGCCTGGATCCTGCACAGGCACTCCTCAGCCCAATATAAACTATATGAGATTCGCAAAAAAACAACGTTATAATATAACAGCACTCATTTATACATATGTTGTATATATTGCATATGGAACTTTTTGCTTTATTCCATGAATTTAATTTTCTGTTAAATGTTCCTCAGCTGAGAAAGATGTATTGTTAAAACCACAGCATATTGGAGCTAGCTCCCAGCTACAGCAGAGTTTATATTCCCCAAGGAACATGTACAACTTTGGAGTTTTGTCTTCTCTTTATTGTACATGTTTGTACATAGGGGTAGGGGAGACTGGAGCACACGTAGGAAACCTATGCAACCACAACCCGGTCGTTTGAACCTTCTCTTACTGAGAAGTGAGAGTGCTAACCTCTCAGCCTTTTCTTTTTTCTTTTTCTCTTTAAAATTTCTACAAACTCGACCAAGTGAATTCAAAGCAAAGATAATCATGTGTATGTTTTTCCTGTTGTAGACTCCATTTGTGCACAGTTGTGTTTGGGGGATGGCTCTTGTGGCTGTCACGATGGATACCAGCTCAAACAGGACGCTGTGAGCTGTGAGGGTGAGTGGCAAAACATCGCACACAGACGGGGAATGTATTTGAACTAAAATTATGTTTATTTACTTGTCTCTCAGATGTGAACGAGTGCCTGACTGGCAACCACAACTGCTTCTTTGGCCTGTTTTGTATCAACACAGAAGGGTCGTTCCGCTGTCAGAGAGAGACAGGCTGTGGTACTGGGTACGAACTCACAGACAACAATAGATGTCAAGGTGAGAAAACTACTGAATATGGTAGAATTTATGCGTTTTTAGTAGGGCTGTTTAATGATTATTTAGATAACTTAGTTGGCCAATTATGATTTTTGATTAATTGATTCAAAATAATACATTTGACCAAAACAAAGCTCAAGTGATGCCCCGGTGAACATTGGGACTTGTTACATATTTGGTAAACAAACAAAAATGTTTTCATTTCTTTCTGCAGTCATTAGCATTATATGAGCCATAATCCATACATCCATCCATCCATTTTCTTCCCCTTAATCCATTTCTGGGTCGGGGGTTGGGGTGGCAGTCAGAGCTGCACTCAGTGCACAGAGCACCAGCCCCTCACTGATCCTCCTGCAGGTGGTGAGTCCACTGGAGCAATATGTCATATTTTTATTTTAAATGACATATATATTTCCCATGTGTCTCCAGATAAGAAGTAACGTGTACAAATCATCTTTAACTCTGAACAAGTTGAAAGTGGAGTCATTCTCCACTCCATCAGGTGGATTAGTACTGTTCAGTAATTAGTGCTTAGGAGATACATGTATCATAGGCAGGAAGATTCTGGCAACAAATGTTGTATTCTAATAAAAACATATTAGAGTCAATGAAAGGTTAAAAATGATTAGACAGAAGGCTTTGAAAAAAAATGGACACTGTGACATTTCCACATTTATGTATGCTTAGATGTATTGTTCTGTGTTGGAGCAGGGCTTTCTTGAAAAAGAGAGTCCAGTGCTTTCTTCAGCCCTCCCTGGATAAATAGTGAAAACATGTGTCCTTAACATTTAACCTTTTCCTTGGACTTAACATAAGACAGAGGTTTAATGTTCCTTTTGTACATCAAGAATGAAAGTTGAGGGTGTTGGAGGGTGTGGGCACTTATAAGCTTTTTGATTCAGCCCTCTCCTTTTGATCAGGAAGTATACTGCTAAAAAAAAACAGTTATAAACAAACACATTTATATAATTTGTTCCTGTGTGGATCATTGCTTGTTGCATTCAATCAGGAGCTAAATTACTAAGGTGTAAACTAGGAACAGTCTTTTTATAAAAATAATAATATATATCTTACTAATAATAGCTATACATCTACATTTATTTTTGCCAGAAAAAGTGCCTCTAACCACAGACTGTAAATATTGAACCCCTCTAAGCCAACCCCCTTCTTCTGCACTCTTCCACTGTCTCCAATGTATGTAGACAGCATCTAGTGGTGATATGTGAGAATGCAACAGAGCTCTTACAGACTTCAGAGTGCTCCGATAACGAACGAATGAATTTAATTTGTGTTTAGATATCGATGAGTGTGTTTTGGGAACTCATAACTGTGGACCGGAGTTTTTATGCACAAATACAGCCGGCTCATTTCGTTGTCATCCAAAAGAGTCGTGTGCCTCTGGGTACATTCAAGATGCCATCGGCAGCTGCATTGGTGAGTCTCGGGCTGAACTATTAAAAATGTACTATAACCCGTCTAATGGCATCACCTGCTTGTACCTGTATGTTCATGCTTTGACTGCTTTCACTTTGGTACTTACTGTATATTAGTAAAACTACAAAATAAAATTTGGTATTCTTACTATGAGAGGCCTCGTCACTCATGTTTATATATAGCAACAAGAACATCCAAAAGCAGGTGGTTCTTTTTCTATTAAAGTAACTTGTATGGCCCATAGTGTAATTGAACTATGTTTTGTCCCCTTCAGATATAAATGAGTGTGTGGTCTATACCAGCCCCTGCCCACCGGGACAGACCTGCATAAACTCTCTGGGCTCCTTCACCTGTCGTCGAAACACAGTCACATGTGGGCGGGGCTATCACCTGACTGAGGACGGTGCACGCTGTGAAGGTATATCGTATAAATATGAATATACAGTATTTAGTATAAGTATAAGGTAACTATACACAACCTACATTGTGACCACCATACCTGAAGCCAGATCCCGCCAAATTTTAGAAGCTAAGTGGGGGCCTGGTCAGCGCAGATGGGAGACCTCTGGGAACACCAGGTGTCACAGTGGGGCAACTGCAGCTGTAAAGTGCCAAACCGTCGTTGTGACCTCAAGCAAGACATGTCACCCTCATTGTCTATACTGAATTTGGTGTGTGTGTGTGTGTGTGTGTGGGTGGTTGGAGAATGTGATGGCACATAATGTCAGTGTGCCCAAGAGCAGCTGTGGCAACAGTAGTAGTTTATCACCACCGTGTAAAGTGTGAGTGTCCAAAAAAGCACTATAAAAACCAATATATCATAATTATAGTTAACATCAATATCATAATTATAGTTAACATCACATCATCAGTAGGTTAAAACTAACCTGTCTCACAACGGTCTAAACCCATTTTATGTTCACTATTACCAAATAGACCTGGCCTGGGAAGGCCTCTGGATTTCCCCTGATGAGCTGGAGAAGTGTGTGTTGAGAGGGAATGCTGGGTGTCCATTTAGACGGAGAAACTGCAAAGCAATTAGCAAAAATGACCTGGTTTCTAACGTTTATATGTCTACGGAAAATAATGTTGTTCCAACGCCTGGCCAGTAGTGACACACGCGACCCCCAGCCTCCCCAGCAGTAAAACCAATTCCTCAACAACATCCTCTTTGGGGCACCACAAAGACGTGAAAGAATGCACCAACATCATTCTGCATTCGAAAGTAGCAGCAAAAATGGGAACTGAAACTACAGTTTCACGTGGTTTTGTTTGGACGAATGAGTCCAATTCTCCTCCGTGTAACGCTTGAAACACACGTCGGCTACTGGGCATGTCCAAATGTACGTACGGGGATTTGAAGTCATTGCAGCCAGTGGAGGCTGTTTCTCAAGGCTTATGTTTTCACCCCCCTGAAACACCGTCTTCATGTAAATGAAAGGCCAAATCAATACCAAACTCTAATGCTTCACTGTCTTAGCGTCTCAGTGTAAACACCACAGACTGCTGCCTCCACAACCAGGCAACGGAAAACGCAGAAGAAAGAAAATTGATTGATACGCATTAATTCTATGAAATTGCTTTGACAATTGCCTTTAAATATTTAACATCTCATGTTTATTTTGAGTTTGAGACGTGACAAAAACATATTGGTGAAGCATTATAGCAAGTACTGTACATAATTGTAAAAACACACACAACTAGAAAATAGGCTTTGAGATCATAAATTAGACCGATTAAGAGATCTTAGACGTAGTTAATATTATATCCATATCTCCTCCTGCAGATGTGGACGAGTGCCGGGCAGGGGGCGTGTGCGGAGGCCACGGCTGTATAAATCTGATCGGCTCCTATCGCTGTGAGTGTCGTGTGGGATACATCTTCAACAGCATCACCAAACTCTGTGAAGGTGAGATTCAAACAGATGATTCCAAAAGGACCACATGAAGCTTCCCAACACATTAAGCCCTCTTCTCATTGTATTTTCTGGTGTGTAGATATAAACGAGTGTCGCCATTACCCTGGAACTCTTTGTGCCCATAAGTGCGAAAACACAGACGGCTCCTACAAATGCAGTTGCACTTCCGGATTCAAGCTGGCCTCTGACGACAGGAACTGTGACGGTAAGATATTCAACCGTGGCATATGCAAAACCAACTGTTTTGAAATATTACCCACGTTACCTGGAGTTGTTTATTGATACTTAAACACTAGTACATGGTGGGCGGAGCGTTGGTGCAGTGGTTTGCAATAGTGCCTCACAGCAACAAGTTCCTGGGTTCGATTCCAGAACTTTCTGTGTGGAGTTTCTATATTTTCCCTGTGTCTGCATAGGTTTCCTCCGGGTGCTCCAAGTTCCCCTACCACTAAATTAAGCACAATAGGTCTGGCATGTGACTTCTGTATGGCAACCCCACTCCCATCTCTGTGTGGAGTGAGAGAGAAATGCCCACAACATTTGTAAAGCACTTTGTGAATATTGCTATATACACTATAAGATTACTTAATTTCTTACTTGCCAATAGATAAATAGATACTTTTTTGTTCCCGTAGGAGAAATGTAGGTGTCCAGTAGCAGCAAAAATACATCCATCCACACAAACAAAACAAATAAATTGATCATTCTAAAAAGATAACAATAGTAATAATAAAATGCACTTCAGGTCACAGCAGCAAAGGTGGTGGAGCTGCTTGGTTCGGACCATTTTCTCTACTCTGAATTTCATTTGAGATTCTAAAACGTGAAATGACAAAGTAAATAGTCCAATCATAATATTTATAGGCCAAGGATATTGCCTAGAATAAGTATATGACTCTAATATTTCAGAATCAATAAGAGTCATATACTTATTATTGCTTGCCTCTATTTTTCTCTCCAGATGTGAATGAGTGTGAGAAGAATCCCTGCAGTCAGGAATGTGCCAACATCTATGGCTCCTACCAGTGCTACTGTCGCCGTGGTTACCAGCTTAGTGACATTGATGGCATAACATGTGAAGGTAATGTTCTGCAGGAAACCACATGCATTGAGAAGAAATGAACATTAACACATACTTCTCATTTGTATAATCCTTAGTCAAAAAGAGAAGACATAATTTATCCCTCACTTTTAAACCTTTTATCAATGCACTTGTGAGGGAATTAAAAATTGGAGACTGGAAGCTGACCAAGCTTTTGTCCTTGAATGGTTTTAAATCGAAACTCAGAGTTTTCGAGGCGGCCTCAATTACCTGTAAATGATGTCTGCAGTCTGTACCTGTCATTTTAAATGTAATTTTATCTGTCTGTAGTTTATGTGTAACTTTGCTGCCTCTTGGCCAGGACTCCCTTGAAAAAGAGGTTCTTAATCTCAATAGGAGTTTTCTTGGTTAAATAAAGGTTAAATAAAAAATAATAATAATTGGAACCTATGTCTTGTCTATGTATTTGTGGCACCTAACTTTTTGTAGACATGTGAAACTGAAAACATTAAAATATGGTTAAAACGTTCATTTTCTTCTGATTAATGTGAAATTAGTGTATGGCAGACTCATTAAGTGAGTCACAGCAAACCTTTATTAGTTATTAACAGACTGTGAGCCATAATCATCAAAATTATTAATCATGTCACTTTGCATGTAATAATCAGTGTCTATTTGTTAAGAAAACTGATTTGTGTTTACGGTGTGTGCAGAGACATACATTTACACACAATAGTATAATCTCAGTGATTGGCTTAATATTTCACAAACATCACTCTGCTTTTCAGACATAGACGAGTGCGCTCTCCCGACTGGTGGTCACATTTGCTCCTATCGTTGTGCCAATACACCGGGAAGTTTCCTCTGCACCTGTCCCACCACAGGATATACGCTAGCCCCTAATGGACGCTCATGCCAAGGTAGGAAGGTTGACAAAAAATCCTTGTTACTCATGTTTGTGTTTTAAAATTGTCCTTTTATGAGACGAGCAGATCCAGATTTGGTCTGGTAAAATTTTACATCTTATGAAGATGTTTTAATGCCTACTAGGTCAAAATGTATGCTGTAATTTTCAATCAAAATGTGAAGGAAGGGAAAGGAAAGGAGAGGAAGAGAGTTAGGATGCAGGGTTAGTGTTTTTGCAAATAACTTTTGCTGGAGTTTGCATGTTTCTCTTGACATTTAAATGCATATATTAGTATGCATTTTGTATATTAGTATGGCAGTAAGGATGTTGTAGTAGTAACATAAATGTAGCCACAACAAAGAGTCAACATTTTGGAATTTTCAGAAACTTGCTAGTACAAGGATCTATGGATCAAATGCAACTCGCCACCCCATGGACAAATGGCTTCCTTGTTTTTCTCAGTATTGCATTTCCTATGTTCTAATTGTTTGAAATTCCAATCTGTTGAGGGAAGATTGTCAGTTTTGTAAAGTCCTCTAAGACGCTATACAAATAAATATTGAATTGAATTAAACTTAACAATGATTTGTTAAATGTTAGACCGAGAGTGACTTCCCTTTGGCCACACCAATCACTGCATGCAGGAGGTGGTCCGAAGCTCAGGCACCACACAGCTCACACTCAAGGATACACACAGGGAGGAAAGGGGAGTGTTGCAAAGTCACTCACACCAACGGCCGGGTCTGTGTGGGTTTCCTTTGGGGGCTCTGGGTGCTCCATCACCCAAAAAAATGCACCAAATGTAAAATCCTCCCGCAAAGGTCGAGATTCAACATGTAGCGATAGCTCAGGACATATTAGCCTATAGATGGGTCAATAACAGAGGACAAACTGCACTGGGACTCTAAAGAATATCTTAAACTTAACTTTCATTTCTTTCTTTCCTCCAGATATTGATGAATGTGCAACAGGAGGCCACACCTGTTCGGTTTCCCAGAGTTGTTTTAATGTCCAGGGAGGATATCGCTGTTTATCGTTTGAGTGTCCAGTGAACTTTCGACAGGCTGCACCGGGGTGAGAGAGATGACTTTATTATTTTCTAAAAGGACTGAGATACAGGTGCTTCAACTGTGCTCCTGTAACCTTTTTTCACAAAATGTATGGTTCACTGTAAAATAATTCTCTTAAAAAAAACACCTCAAACTTGTGGGTGCCTAAACTTTTTTTCTTCACGGACCACAGAAATCCAATGTTCAAAAAAGTAACATTTAGCTATAGTACTATCACACACACACACACACAAACATACAGGCTACAAAAACAAGAAGGATGAGGTTGATATCTAGTTTAAAAACAGGAATTTATGACAAATATACTGCTTTAATACGGACCAAATTTTCTTATAAATTAGAGATTTTCAATTTTGGAGAGACACATTTTAGTTTGGACACCCCTGCTAAAGAGGCAGAATTATGTTTTATGAAATGTGCTTTTTATTTCCAAGCATTATTTATTAGCCTACACACTGTCTCCTTTGCAGCCGTTGTGAGCGCGTGACTTGCGAGTTTACGCGTAACCCTTCGTCGTGTTTGTTACTGCCGCTGAGAATCTCCCACTACAACCTCACCTTCCCGACCAGTACCCCTGTCCCAGCCGACGTGTTCCGGATGGGGCCCTCGAACTCGGTCCCGGGGGATCAGATGGACATCAGTCTGGTGTCTGGGGATGAAGAGGGGTACTTTGTGGTGCAGCAGCAGGCTCACGGGGGAGTCATTTCACTGCAACACGCTTTGACAGAGCCACGGGACTTCCTGCTGACCGTGGAAATGAGACTGGTTCGATATGGAAGGTCCCATTTGTACATGGCCAAAATTGCAGTGTTTGTGACCCCTGAGCAACGCTTCAGGCCCGCAAGAGTAGCACGCTAGTTCAGAAAGCTTTTGGGGTTGATCAGAGAGGGTTTTGGGCCTTGCATGAGTGAATGAGCGTGCGTGCGCATGAATGTGTGTGTGTCCCGGTGTGTGTGTTTGTGTGTCTGTGTGTATATGTGTGTGTTTTCTTTGTCTTATACATTGGTGGTAATGTTTGATTAAGATGAAGAGATCCTTCATTTGTCACAAATTGGGGAAAGTACAGTGTTGCATCACTAGTTAAAAAACACAAAGGAATTAACAATAACTCTATGCTAAAATAAAATCTGTAACTTTAGCATACAAAAGAAGCGAGCATCAAATCTCTAGCTTTAGGCATAATAAGGAAGCAAATAAGGAAAAACTGACTCCTTCACACAGCAAGGATGAATAAGTCTGTCACTGAAGCTGCTCTCCAGAGCAGACAGAGTGTCCTGCAGGGGGTGACAGTCATGGTCCAGCATAGATGTACGTTTGTCCAGGACCCTCCTGTTCCCCACCTGCTGCACTGTGTCCAGGGAACAGCCCAGGACATGTATGATATTGTATTATATACTGTACTGTACTGTACTGTACTGTATTATACTGTGTTTTGCTTAATTATACAGATGGTATTGTTATGTACTGTGTACTCTGCCACAACCACCCACTTTTCAAACTATGTATATATTCATAATTCAATCAGTTCAACTATGAATTTGCCAGAGTGAATCCAAATGTGCCAAGCGTTTGGTGGAGAAGTTGTGGTACAATAAATCTTAATCTCACAAATATCACTGGTTATGTCCTTGCCTCAGAATGTAATGGCGACTAAGTAAACTTTGTGTTTGTCATTTTGTCATATATATATATTTTTAATACTGTTCATGTACATTTTGTTCTTTTATTCTGTTTAGGAAATAAACTGTTCCCGGTGTAATTTGTTTTTGTAAATTGTAATTTGACTTTTTTTGTTATGTTTTGTTATATAAATTATCTTCATAAAAGTATTAGTTCTCAAAACACTTTCATACTTTGTTGTCAAAACAATATTTTTTATCAATTTATCATATCTTATTTTGTTTTGTGAAAAAGCTGTCAGCAACTGAGTAGAACAGCATTTAATAATAATAATGACAATATTATTTGTTTATAATTCACTAAACACTGTACTTTTAATAAATCTCAAAGTGCTACATTTAATGTAAATCCATAAAAACAGATTACAAAAGTACTGTAAATAGAACAATATTAAAAGATACTTTCTTATTAAAAATGTGTTTTAAAAGAAACTGGATTATTTTGACCTGAACTGTGTCTTATGACCCATATAATGTTATTGGATTGTAATTTTTATATTATATGTAATATAATGAACAAAATCATCAAGTAGATTTCTGAGTCTGCAAATATGATTCACAATAATCACTGTTCTCCCCTGAAGCTACAATAACAAGCGTAGTGATTGCATGGATGTTTGAGGTCAGCAACTGCTGGGGTGGTAATACTTTTCTGTTGATGGATGGTGTCTATATATTTAGCCTGCAGTAATCACTTATTTTAGGGTAAGTGATACTGCAACTTCAGTAGAGGCAGAGGGAAAAATAACATTCATATTTGTATGGTTTTGTACAACTGTCAGGAAACCTTTTGTATTTATGGAACTTTTGGGCAGGACTCTGTATTACGGTACTGCTCAAAATGTACACATCTTTAGCACATACATCCACCTTCTATTCTATGTTATAGTACTATTTAGAAACGGTGCACAGACATAGACACACACACCAAGTTTACTTTACAGTTCTCATACTATTTCCATAACATTTTCACCAAGTTGAATAAATCTACCACCATCTTCTTTGCAATGACTGTTAAAAAAGACACAAGGATTCAACACTAACATTCTTTTGATGTGACAAATTATTTATATTGTTTCTGTACGGTTATATCTTTTTCAGAAACGACGGCTCAGTGCGTTGCATCAAGTCCTGTCAGCCCAATGACTTCAGTTGCCCCCTTGACCCGGTCCACCTCGTCACCTACACAGTGTTGTCTCTCCCCACCTTCAGGGACTTCACTGGACCAGAGGGTAACAGCCTAACCCAGTCATAATAAGGGCATATTCACACCCATAGGCTCATAGGCCCCAGGCCCCTCCTTGGTATTGTGGCAACCCAAAATGCCACAATACTGCTGTTAGGCGCACCTGTATGTAAGCCGCATACAGGCCGTACATCGGCCGTACCTAACTATAATTTAATGTGGCAGATAGACTGTTTTATTGGATCACAACATGAAATAGTGACACAATGTTGCATAGCCTAACCGTTAGCCTCCATGCCAGTACTCATTCACCTGTCTATTTTGACAATAAATGATCGTGAGGCCTAGAGCTACTTGCAAAGCATTTCTCAAATAATCTAAAGATCATTGTTATTTCATGTAAGACATTTCCCCACTGTGGGATTAATAAAGGATCTTATCTTACCTTCTCTTTATATAGAAATAGAACAAGGTACATTTGATTCTTTAATATTCTCTTTCTCTTTGCAGAAATCGTCTTCCTCAGGACAGTAGCAGTGGCAAATGCTGCTCCTTATCCAGGTTCCACTGATGTAGTGTTTGACATCCAGTCTGCAGATGACCAGCTTTCGTTTGATGTCATTAAGAGCACTTATCAAGGCATGATTATGGGTAAGACTACACACAACCACACAAACACACACACACACACACATATTTGATTTAATATTCCTAAATGCTTTTTATTCAGGTGTGGTCCGTCAAGTGAAGCCTATTACTGGCCCCAAGGATATTATTGTGGAGGTGGCCATGAACTATGTGAAGTCTGGGGTCGTGTCCCATCGCAACATTGTTGAAATACACCTCTTTATTTCAGCATTCTGGTTTTGAGAGCACCCAATGTGAAAGGACCAACATGGGGCAAAATCTAAACTGTTTGTATCTGAACTTATGTAATATAACATGGGATTTATGGAGCTCCACTGCCCCATAGGGAGCACTGGGGGACTTCACATTTGAACATGTTTGATGATCTTTGTCCCACAAGTTTCTACTGAGAGAATAAAGAATTATGTTCACATCAGACAATATGTAATGTGAAGGGAAGTTGCCAAAGGTTTTATTTTGTTGTAGAATAATGAATTTTATATACTGTCCTACAATTGTTCTTTTTGTAAATAGTGTAATTTGGAATTTAATAAATGTTTGTATTTGACACATTTCTGTGTGTTTGTTTTTTTTGTGTGGTTTCTTGTGATTGCATTTTAATCCTAAACTTTTGACATGTTGTCTTTATAGTATCATTTGTTGCCTTTGTTGGCTGAGCACATGTGTGCGCAACGCAAATAAATTACCTTCAGATTGATGGTACACACTCCCTGATGGGCTGATCCCGCCTTCCGTTGCTCTGAACCAATAGTACCGCAGTAAGAACCCGGAAGTGCTGCCCGGGCGCAGGAGGCAGGAAATATGGCAGCTTCCGGCAGCACCGCAGAGATGTCTGCTTCTATCTCAGGAATTTTGGAGGAAAAACACTGCCCTGGACATCTGCAGATCCTTAAAACGTTTACAACTGCTCTGCGGGAGAAGGAGTTCAGGTAACTTGACAACACACATGATCATGATGCTCGGGCTCTCCATATAGTTTATGAAAGTTGGCTTAAGTTCTGCAGCCTGCTTCTCAACAGACCCGACCAAACATGACAGAAATGCTTTGTCACTCATACTGCTAATGAATAAGTATACACCAATCAGCTGAAAATCCTGGTCAAGTTCCAACGACTTAAAGCAAGTTAGTGTAAATGTTATGTTGCAGGGATGCTGTGGACGAGACCGTCCTCTCTCCTCTCCTCCGTGTACTGACCCGGCTCCGTGATGAGCTCCAGGCGGCTGCGGTTACAGCTGAAGGGCAGGACGTAACACTAGAGCTGCAGATGACTGCGGAGTGCTTCAGGGCCCAAAGAAACGCTTGTGTCCAGAGCACAGGTAACCAGTGTCTGCTCAGGTAATTCATACTATGGATGTATTACTGTTGTGCTTCATTTGGGGGTGTATGTATATGTGTTGTTTCACCCAAACATATGTTGTTTTGGCATTCAAATGTAATTCACTTCAAATATCTTGAACCATCAGTAACGTAAACTTGTGATTTATTCTGAAGGGATCTTGGCTTCATAGATGCTACCCTGGATCTTCTCAAGTGTCTTCAAACCAAAGAAAGCCTGGATTGTGTATATGAGCGTAGGTTCTAAGAATGTTTCTATTATGTAGTTGACATTTTGTTTAAGACAAAACAATATTATATTTTTCCCAATTTCTCCATGAAACAGCTCTACGTTGTGGAATTCAGTTTATTGGTAATGTTGCTGTGGGAAACCAGATGTGTAAAGATTACATTTGGCAGCTCTGTGTCCCAGACCATCTCCTGTAAGTTTCAAAGTTAAAATTAAATGACTACTTATTTCTTAACCAATTGTCCCTTTTAACAGGCAACTCCTCTCTTTAGATGATGAAAAATCTGTGACCTATGCCTCAATGGTCCTTCATACTTGTTTAGATGAAGCTAAAGTGGACACATTGGCTCTACCTCAGAATATTACTCTGGCTCTGAAGGTCATGGAGCTCTGCAGGACACAGCCAGACATCGACTGGACGTGGGAATAAGTCTTTATTCACAAATCAGATTGCGTTATTATATTGTCTTTAGTCACTACCTTTTGTTTCTTTTAACAGGGTCCTTATTGCCACCCAGCATTTCCTCCAGTGTGCAGCTTTGGTTGAGGGCATGTACACAAGGATGAAGGATGACAGGTACAGCAGGGATTACACATAACAAACTGCAGTCTCACCTTTTTACATAGCTATCAACAGACACTCAGGGTCTGAATTTTGACAGAAACCATAATAGTTACCATGAAAGATTTCCCTGCTGCCCTCCGCCACAATGTGAAACCAAAGGGTCTTTTAGAATGCTGTGAATCTATTCCTGTGCCAATTTGTAGTAACTTTTGCTAAGAATTATTTAACCTCTTGATTCAGAACAGTTTTAAAATAAATATATATTTCAATAATTGATGAACTCATTACATCCCTTTGTCAGCTCATTCTTGTGCATGCTGTTGTGTCCTTGTTAAAGCTGGAGTATCTCAACTTTTTATTCTTACTTAAGGACTTTTTGTATTTATGAAAGAACATACTGTCTTTATTTAGAAAACTTTTTTTTTTTAATTCTGAGAGCTGATCATCTGTGCCCAAGAGTCAAGTGCTTGGAACATCTTGTATCTATTGTTTTACAACCGGAGATGGTGTGTTTTGACAAATTAAACAGTACTAAGTGAGCCTTTTCTTTCCAGAGTGACTCTCCTTGAACTTCTGCTAGCTCAGTTGAGAGAGGAGGACTCGGAGTGTGGCGTTCCTCCAGCTGTGGGCTCTTTCCTGGCCTCTTCTTTTCAAAGCGGCTGCAGCACAGTTCTGACTCTGGCCACAGGTTCTGTGTCCAGCACTGAGGTACAAGGTGGAGCTCTGTTTTCATTTATTGATACCCTAATATAACATGTTCTTGCAATCTGCCTTAGGTCCTGCAGGAGGCGCTGACAGTGATTAGCTTGTTGGATGTCCTATGTGAGATGTCCTCTGATCATAGAGAGTTCATGTTTTTACAAGACCACCCAGACCTCCTCGCTAATACAACAGGTTATCATTTAATGTGCTTTTAAGTTTCTATTTTCACTTTTCTTGGCCACGATCAGGAACCCTCTTTCTGAGGTTTTGAGACAGGCCCCCTACCTTGACTATGTTTAATACAAGGTTGAAGATATACTATACAAGTTTACATGCCCTAACATAAATGTACCTTTTTGGCTTATTTCAGAGATATTCAATAATGACTCAAAAGCGTTTTATTAGGAATCGTGGTTGTGTGTTGCCATATATTGTCTAATAAAGATATTTCTATTTTCAATTATGCCATAAATTAAAAAATCTGCTGAGATGCTACGGTTTACATTTACAAGTATTGGATGCTTTTTGCCAAGAAGAATAAGCAGTGGCTGTAAAGTGCCAAACTGCCGTTGAATCCTTAGGCAAGACACTTCTGCTTTATTTTTTGTGTGTTTTAATTGCTCTCAAGTTTAATTTTCAATTCCCTTGTACACAAGCTATGCTCTACAAACACATTTTAATTAAATTATTATAAATTCTTATGTGTTTAAGACCCAAATGTACAAAAATCAGTTATTAGTGTTGCTGATTTCTGCTATTTCTTCTGCAGATCTCCTGGCACAGGTGCACACCATAGGGAAGTCTAGTAAGAATATTTTCAGTGCGTCTCAAAACTTCTCCGCCTTCAGTGGAGACGCAGGTTCCTCTCATAACTCTCCAGTCGTCAGCTTCAAAGCCCACCTCATCAGGCTGATCGGGAATCTTTGCCACAATAACAAACTCAACCAGGACAAGGTAGGGTTACAATGTTATGTCTGTTCTAATGACTGGTCTATGATTACTACTAAGCAGAGATGAATGTATGTTTCCATCTGCTTAAACGTAAAAACAATATAATGGGACATGTTTTTTGTCATGATTCCTGTGCTTATTTTTTACTGTTTTGGAGGTTTTCTCTGTAATGTGTTTCATGTGACGTCAAAACATCTCAAAAAGCCTAGTTACATTTTACACACATGAGAGTAATATGGTGGGTTTATGAATCTAATCGCTGTCAATTAATGATCTGGGGAAAAAAAATATTTTAAAGATGGCTTCTTTCCCAGAGTTGTATTGGCACCTGCCCTCCTGAAACAGAATCTAGAAAATGAACACAAATGATTGAAAAAGAAATCCATTGCTTTCTGAAGTTGACCTACAAGTTGGCTTTTCTGATGCTTGGTCCATTTTTTTAATCTGTTATCATTTTTGTAACTGTTTTGTGGTCTTGTTATGATTAGAGAATCATAACGAGACCTTTTTCAGTGGACATATGTTACTTTACCAGTGAGATTAGCTCGACGCGGTGAGTTCTGGCAACCCGGCTCAGACTTTCTAATTGGTGAAACGGTGGAGGACGGGACATCAACATTTCAGCAATAACGAGATATAGGGGCTCTAAAACTAATTTTGAAATCCAAATATCTTGGCTGAACTACTGCTGTCAGTTACTGAAGTATTGGAAAAGAGCATGGTTTATTAATGCCTTAGGACAGATTAGGGCCATTTAATGATGGCTTTGCACCAATCTTATATATTGCTACTTTTAACTGAGGGCTCTTTGGAATGTTGTGATGTCACACAATCACAACCTATTCAGGAGCTCATGTTGCAAATCTTTGTCGCCTAATGGGTTAATTAATGTTTTTATGGAGGAAACGATGTGATAGGACCATCTTTACATTTGTATACATGGACCCTTTAACAGAATGTGGCCTCATGAGGGCGGCACGGTGGCTGAGTGGATAGCACTCTCGCCTCTCAGCAAGAAGGTCCTGGGTTCGAATCCCGGCCAGACCAGGGCCTTTCTGAGTGGAGTTTGCATGTTCTCCCCGTGTCTGCGTAGGTTTCCTCCGGGTACTCCGGTTTCCCCTACCACTAAAAATATGTCCAATAGTTCTGGCATGTGCCTCCTGTACTGGCCCCGCTCCCATCTCTGTGTGGAGTGAGAGACAAATGCCCAAAAATTAACGATTGTAAACCGCTTTGAGACTCAGATCTGCAGTGAAAAGGCGGTATATAAATAAAAACTTACTTACTTACTTACTTACTCTTTCCTAATGCTACAGAAGGGGCCACTCAATCTCAAATCAAACTACCGGTAATGGCAGAAACGGGCCATCCAAAATTATTGTGGTAATATTATTTGCAAATAATGACTTCGGGTGTTGTGGGAACAGAAAGAGAAATTGGGTCGGATGAGTGAGAATTTTCACTGTTTGATGCTTGGTCTCGAGTGCTCTTACTGGAATTGTGCTGTAAAATGTGCAGATGTGGTTACAATGTATACAGTATATATATGCAAGCAGCTTTCAACAAAACAATGAAAACAGCGCGCACACCCAACCCTGCCCTGACTCCTCCTGATTTTTATCAATCGTCTCATCTGTCAGCGTCACCCTAATACCAAAAGCATGTATAGATAATAAATAGGGGGATGGGAAACAGTGGGTTGTGGCATGACATGTACACAGGCCTTCCCAGTAGAAGCAGATCTGAGAGAATGCCTGTGGGATGTCCACCCCGGGCCGGCCCCTGTAATATCCACGGACAGTGCTCTGTGGTCTGTCAGTGGTCAAAACTCACCCCGTATCTGTTTCCACCGCGAGCTCTTCCAGTAAACCCAATGTCATAGTGTTCACCTTTGGGAGAGATGGTAATTTAAGATGTGCACATGAAAATAAAGAGCTTTGGGCTGCGATATCGTCATGTGTTTTAGAGGTTTGGAGAGACAGAGAGAGAGGCGCAGAGAGAGAGGCGCAGAGAGAGAGGCGCAGAGAGAGAGGCGCAGAGAGAGAGGCGCAGAGAGAGAGGCGCAGAGAGAGAGGCGCAGAGAGAGTGAGATTCACAGAGAGAGAGGCACAGAGAGAGAGGCACAGAGAGAGTGAGATTCACAGAGAGGCACAGAGAGAAAGCGAGACATAGACACGGTCCTTCTTTAGTTCTAAAGACTCCCCCTTTTAAAATCAAGCATTGAGCATCTTACTATTGTGATGATAATAATGTATTCAAAATGGTCTCTCTTGACATAACTACGGCCAGTAAGATTTTCTGGAATCTGCATGGTCTTATAAGTGCTAGTCTTCAATAAGTCTCTCACTTTCTTCATTATTTGAGAACTAACTGAAGTTTATTTAAAAGTTATTGTAATTTTGGGTATATTTATTGTTTTGCTCCCTCTTTGTCTGTAATAATACTGAGCGTCTCTACCATGGAAGGAGTGTTGTACATTAGGTGCAGAGAGTTTCCAGTTGCCGTCAACATATTAGAGCAATTTTAGGTTAAGTTAACAAAGTCCTGCCGTTTATGTTCTTTTGATTCCAAAAGTAGGACAACATACCCCAGCACTGGTGTCCTGTTTAAGATTTGATGACAGAAGTAGAAAAGTGTAGTGGAAAATGGAAGCAATGACATTTTTTTTATTCTACTGAGTGAGAAGTAGCCTGGTTCCAGATCTTACATTTGGTACTAGGGTCTGGATGTGATCCATTGAGCTCCGTTTACAGATAGAAGGGGTTAACTTCTTTTGCAGATGGAAACGATTGGATCTGAGTTTACCGTGACGTATGCAATGAGCCCCTGTCTGTCGTTAGCATTTAGCCATCTCCTTTGCCGCTAACGGAGCCCGTGGGGAGTAGTGCCACAATTTTTCCAGCGATTACATTTGCTAAACATTCCTCCTGCTTCGGCTTCAGTTTCTTGATAGAACCAGACCGGATTACTTTACTATCGCATTTTTTGCCATTACCAAACTACAACCTGCCTGTTCGACGCAAACTCTTGACGTCACCCACAACTAACTACAACACTCTCCTTCCGCGCTCTCTGAATGGTTTGCCGAAATTCAACCGATTGTAATCCCTAACACAGGGACTAGACCCAGACGTTACATGCAGTGAAATGATGATTGAGCGGAGTGTACGGATGGCTAAGGCCAGGCTAAGTGATAAGTAAAACCGATCACTCTCTGGTCTCATTGTTGTTGATTTGGATTTTTTTCCACATGTATTGCCATTCAATAACAATTACCCTCTGCCCTGTGTCTTAAACAGGTGAGAGAACTTGACGGAATCCCTCTCATCTTGGACAACTGCAACATAGACAGCAATAACCCTTGTATCCTTCTATCAACAACTGGCCTTTTTGTGTTTTTAAATTTGTTATTTTGTATTTATTTCAAACTTTTTTTCAGACTTTTTCACATACCATACTTTTTTTGAATAACAGGATACAAAATAAACAGTTTGAAACAATTTTGGACAAAGCGACACTTGTATGGCTCCACCCTCTCCCCTGTAATGCCAAACTCTGATAATATGACATTAACATATTCGGCCCCTAGCCTTTGCATTCAGTTTAACAATGAGGGATGCAAAGGCTTTTTTCAATGACAAAAAAAAAAGCATAAAACAAAATTATGCATTTTTAAATTAATTCCAGAAAAGCATCTCTTTGCTTATTTGCATATTTTTTTACGTTTTGAACTGTAAGAAGTATACATATACAACATATTCCAATCAAAGAAAAACTATTAATGTTTTATTATTTCTACATACTGCCATAACTGCAGCTTCAGGCCTTTAAATTAACGTCTCCAAATATTAATCGCCCTCTATGTCTTTGTTTATTGAGCCGTCAAGCAGAGGAACGTCTGTATTCAACCTAATGAGAATAAACAAAAGGTGGCATTTTTTGATATTCTTTGACACCTTGTTGAAAGGTGTCAAAGAAAGGTTGAAAATGTTTGTGCAAGCATTTTTCACCATAATCAGTCTTGTAGAGTTTTAGATTTTGCTTAATCTTACATTTGTTACAAGCCATATGATCTTAAAAGATTGCCCTGTTCATAATGATATGAGTGATAAGGTTATATCAGGGGGAATTGTGCCCTTGAGCACATGGGTTATGTACTAGATTTGCTTTGTGACATGGAACAGTTATAAATAATTTTTATGTTGTTTATCCATGTTAATAAAAAAAACTGATTCCCCTTAACAGTTTAAATAGTCATCAACCAATGGGCTATTTTTGCAATCCGAAACCTTCTGGAGAACAACCAGGTGAATCAGACGGTGGTGGCGTCACTGGAGCAGCGTGGTGCAGCGGACTACTCTGCTCTGAGGGAGCTGGGCTTTGAGGTGGAGCAGAGGGACGGAGGTCTGCTGCTCAAAACTGTGCGGAAAGACACATGAAGTGCAAATGCAAAGTAATCTCCAAAACAGGTTTACGCTGACAATGGTATTTAGACTGCTATAAACTGGCTGATGCTTTATTAGCTTTAAATAGAACTTTGACAGATCTCTTCAACTGTGCTAATAACTGGTATTTAATATTAAGCCTACAAAATTTAAGTGATAGAGAGAATTACCTTTTTGTAGGGGTTTCCAGCATTTTGGAAATTTGCATCTACTCCTTTAGTGGTTCAAAAGTTAATAATGATCTATGCATAACGGTCACATGCCTTGGATTGCTTTATGGGTATCTAACTGTAACCCATCGTCAATCCATTGGTGCACAAAGTTCAATATTTACCATTAACATGTTATGTAGGCATGGCAAACATAATGCCAACAGGTTGGGGACCCCTGCTCTGATACATTTCCAAATCTCGCCATTGGTTTCACTATACTACTCCAGTAAATCTTACTGTTGTTGGTTATAAAAACCTAATTTACCCAATCTTACCCAAAATGGCACGCTTTACACAAATTCTAGCAAATGAATAGTCCTCACTGATCAAAAATACAAATTATGGGTGTCAGTGATGGATCCAAAAGAAATCCAGAATCTTCTCTTTATTATACAATTGTATTTGAAACAACAATACATGTAGACTTTATAACAGTCAACCAGTATATCTATCCCTTAAATAACGCTGCTACTTTTTGAAGCTGAAAACAAAGTTGGTTTTTGGCATAGCTTCCATGTTGCGGTCGCGATCCAACGACCTTAACTAACTTTGTACCACAGCCCGTAGGATGTAACAGGCTCATCCATTCTCATTAAACACAAGTATGCACAAGAAGTATTTACGCACTTCCACTTATTTGTCTCAAAATGAAAATACTACACTCTCAATAGATGGCAGCTTAACCTACTATTAAAGGCAAAATAAACATGGGCTCAAAGACTTGGCATATTTCACAATCATATTAAACAGTGGCATAAGCAAAAATGTACGTTTAGTTTCTTGACTTCATCCATCTTGCTTTTGGCCACATTACAGGCACATGATTAAAGTATTGCGGGAAGGCATGTTTACTATATTACAAATGAATAGTCGTCCATCTATATAATCGGTAACACACCATCTCTGAATATCGGCGAACTTACAGGACAATCTATAGGTTTTAATACGATGATTATAGATAGTAAAATGTACCAATCTTTACTTTTACTTTCCCCAAACCACTTTGTTTCTGCTCCTGATTTAGTTTAGAACGCATTTAGTGCTTTAGTAATTGTTTTTGGTGCTGTTTTTGATGAGTAAATAATTGATGATCTTTAGTATCCTCCTTTTTCGCCCACAAACCCAATTCAATGTTATTTATTCCAGTTCTCCCATACATTGTAACTGTGTACGTACCTTTGTGACATTTTGAAAAAAAGACACCCCTGGAAGCTATGCAAAGCTCCTAGATGGGGCCCAGTGTTGAAAAAAACAAATCATTAGGAATTATGCCTCAACTGCTGTGAATTTTATTGTTAATATTGTGCAAAACATTGTCTAAGCGTTTGTAGTATTTGAGGGTGGTTTTGTTCTAAAGAGCACAGATAGTTGTGATTTAGAAGCAGGATCCTGATGAGAGAGTGAGAGAATGAACCGGAGCAGAAGCATTAGTTTGCAGAATGACACCCCTGGGTGCTCCTCGCGTTGCTGGACAAGCTGAATGCTCTTGACACCCTAACAAAGGCGTGCTTTACAGGCAGGCCCATACACAGCTCCACCCTGTTTTTTCTGCCTCCGATTTTTAATGACAAAATGTATTGAAACAATCGGCTGGACTCTGGGCTCAATCCACCAGCACAGTGAAGGGAGCTTATGTGGTTCCGGTCCCCAGGATTTCAGACAGCTAACAAAACAGCTGTTACTCGCGCTCCACTGGCTGGCTGCAATGCTTTTCAGGCCCACAGGAAAGAGCCTGTGTCGGCTGAATGAGGTGGCCGGGCCCTGGTCTGGTCACCTACTCATGTATTAGAGCCACATCAGGCAGGGGCCAAATTCACTTGTTCCCATATAAGAGGCTTGAACAGGCTCCAGTCTCCTCAAGCTGCATGGCGTATGCTAATCACACGGCTTCAGTTGGGCCTTGGATATGGCGGTTTGTCATTGTGTGAGATGAAGAAGGAGCCACATGTTTCTTTGTAAAAAGACAACACTGCTGACCAGGTTTATTTAGTAAACACACATTTTACCACATAGAAATGACTAAAGCCAATTTGCAGGCTTGGAGGACACCAAAAAAATCCTGATTTGAAAAGAACATTAGTATACACAAACTAAGACTGCAGTATTTGTTTGGCCTTTTGCATACTAGTTTGATATTACTTAATTACAACTACATTTGCAGTAGTCCGTGGTTACTGTAAACACTGGGTAAATTAAGGTTGGCTATGTTGAAACATTCGATAAGGTAAAACATTTACAATGTACATTTTAAGACATTGGCTTACATACAATAATTTATTGTTTCTCTGAAAATGCTAACAATAATAAACAATTGTAAATAATGACTCTTTTTCATCTTTAAATGACATAAAGTGCCACGTTCCTCAATATAAAAATATACTCTTCAGCTTGTTTTGAACGTCACATGAAAGCTAAATAAACATTAGTGAATACATTAAGGGTTCTGTCCAGAAATAGCTTCAGGCCTTTGATCCTCATCCCCTTGTGTGGTGGCTGGGGCAGATGCCTAAACTGCTGGAGCCTTGTGTAAGCACAGGCCCATGTGAAATTCCTCTTTCGCTGGAATGTCCAATGTATCTGAACCTGAGTTCACCTTTATAGAGCGTCAATGAAGCCTGAATTCTTCTCTCCAAAATCAGGAGGCTTTCTCTAATCAAACGACAAAATGTTGAGATGGCAAGTCCCATACAAGTTGATAAGATGGAAGTTTAAGATAATGAGTGGGTATTTCAGCCTGGCTCTTCCTGTTGCAAGGACCTGGGCCCCTGGGGGACAAATGAGGAGAAAAAAAACTGAACTATTTACATTGGCCATTGTCAGTGTTCAAGTGCAAAGGAAAAAATGTTATAGATCAACAAGACACTAACAGATTCTTGAGCTTCAGCAGCTGCTATTATAGAAAACAAAAACATTATTTTAAGCTGTTATTTGTCCTGTATAACTAGCTTCTTTACCATAAATAGTTTTATTTTCAGTGTTCAAACATTCAGTGTGTTTGTGGTTGCTGCGTGAGCTACAATTTGCAGTAGTTAGTGGCAGTCGGAAGCCTTTTCAGTTCATGCTTCAATTTCAACCATCACTTGTCACCTATCTTCCAAAGGTTTGTCCTCCACATTGTGCTTTTCCAAGCGCCAAGCCCAGCGTCTCGCATTTAATATTTGTATTTCCCTCAGTAAAATCCCAAGGAAGCCAAAATGTGCAAAATATTGAATAAATACTTCCACGGTCTTCACTTCAAATTGAACGTCTGTGATATCCTCCCTCATTTGCATGTGAAGACCTCCGATCTCTCGCTGCACGTGTTGCACTTGACAAAGCAGCACCAGTGGAACTTGCAGTTGCATTGCCACACTCTGGTGTACTGGTGGCTGTTGAACCCTCGCCCGCAGCAGATAGCGTTGCAGCCGTCGGCGGAAGGGGAAGTCCCGTTACAGAGCCTTCCACGTGTGCCTGTGCTCCCTGTGATTTTGTCCTCTTCACAGTAGTTGGGCGAGCGCTCCAGGTACACCAGGTCTCTGTCTGTGGGCTTCTGGTAGCCCCTTGCCATTTTTAAACGCAAGAATGAGGGCTGTCTGAGGCGAGACGCACGCACCGGCTCCACCTGCACGGCCTCGCTGTAGCGTTCTTTCAACAAGTAGCCAATCTCCCTGAACTTGGGCAGTGTGATCCAGCACGTCTTTGTGGTGCAGGAGCCCGACACGCCATGACATTTACACTCCAGCTTCATGTGCTCCTCCAGGACCTGAACAGAGGGGGGTGGCAGGTCAGCGATACATCCTGGGCATTACTCTGAGTGTTAAAGTGAAAGTCAGTTACTTTTAGAAGGTTGAAGATGGAGACACATTTTTTAAAGGCAAGCGTCTGTCAGACCCGCCCCCGCTGCTTCCCGATTGGAGGCAATGAATTCAAATCCTTGATAGACAACTGAGGCCCATCACCATTGGTCTAACTATTCTCCTCCAGCACATATAATTAGTGGTGGTTATGTCAAGAGGAGGGACTGCTTTTAAAACACTATTTATGAAAAATACTTCATTTGAATGACACCACAGGATCATTCAAATCAATGTGACAAAAATATGTATTCCTATAAAAATTAAATACAATTGAAGTTGCAGATATCACTCAAATATCCAAATGAGGTCAAACAGACTTAACAGGCAGCATGTCATGCTACATACATAATACTAATACTAATTCAACTAAACATTTGCAATAAAGTTTATGTCCTAGTGGCTTGTGGATTTCTATAGCCATTTTATTTGTAGCAGGAATGGTAAAAATTGCCGTAAAGTAAACTTAAGACACCCAGGGCTAGTACCTAGGAAAATACAATTAACTGTAAGGCACACAGGTAAAGCTGCTTTCACACCGCCAACGGTGGAACGCTGATGCCGCGCACCAGACGCACATTCTCTAATTTTCAGACACAGGGGTCTTCAGACCAGAAGTCCTGGCCTGCGGTGGCGCGTGGCGGAGGTAGCCGGCGGGCTTTGATGCCAACAGAGTTAAGCTCGTGGCTTTTTGTGTAAAGTTCTTCTCCAATAATGCAGCTCTACAGCGTCTGTGTCCAGAGCATAGACTATATATATTAATGGACAGAGTCACGCCTATCTCCGCCGTTCTAACTAATGGGCCAAAAAATGTGCTCTACTGGAGCAATCCAAAATGGCCGCGAGTGGTCCCGCCCACAAGAAGCATCTGCGCAGCTCCATTCTTTTGAACGAGAGACTTAAAAAATTCACAGCAAGTAAACTAGAGTGGACCAAAAAAATCCACCCCCCTCAGCATTGACACACATGTGGAACGGAGCTTTGGGCCAAGAGCCAACTTTTGGTCCATCCTGTAAAGACGTTTTTGAGAGGTCTGCCAATGCTATATGTTAGCATTGGCTAATTCTACTTCTGGGTCCACCCCCATCGGCCCGGGGTGGTATTGCAAGCATGTCGGCGCACGTCATTTTGGCCACTTTTGAGCTGGGACCCTCCCCCACTGGTCCAGAGACCTTCCAGAAACTTTATATAACAGTAGTATGGTGCACCTCCGTGAACACATACGTTTATTTTAATATTAAACGGTACTTCCGCATTGGCAAACACGCTCGAAGCAGTTACATCGGGTCACGGGAGCATGAAAACTAATATGTTCACAAGCGCCATGTCCCCCATTGTCAAACCTGGTTTAGTACTGGTGTAGCTCCTGTTTTGGTTGTTTACGAGTATATTCAGTCTGCTCTCTCAGACCGCTAATGTCCCCGTGACCACTTTGCGACTCTCTGATTGGTTGCTGCACGAGCGTCCGAGGAAAAGCTCAGCAAAATGTATCTCCTGCAAGCCTCAATTTTCCGCTGCTGCACCTCCCCCGCGACTTCGCCGCACAGTCCGAGCGTCTCTGCCGAGTAGTCCGTGCCCGCCGTGAGACGCACATGCATTTCGACCCTCGAACGCGCGTCACCATTGACTTTGCATCTAAAGCATGATCCAGTTTGAACGCGTAATAAGTCTTACTGAAGAGGCAGGGATTTTCCAATTCAATATTACAAGAAGGTTTATTTTTAATTGAACTAGCTAATTTAAAAATGGTTATAATAAGATGTAAACATTCAGTATCAAGCACCCAGCCAATGTATAGTTATTTTGTTAACAAAGCTTTCGTCCAATGTAAAATGTATTCAATTCACCTTTCAAATCTTCCTCCATTATTGGTGCAGCATCTCTGAATCAGAATGTATTTGCCATGAATAGACTTACCATGGGTCAAACATGATTATTCTATGCAGATTTTTTTTTAATATTTTTATGTTTTGTAAACTTAAAAAAAGTACCATATGCATTTTTGTTGTATACCATCTATCATTGGGCTTTCTAGTCTACTCTGAGAATGTTGGCCATTGTAGGACAGATTCATCAGTTTTCACCAGGCCCAACGTTGCATATGCTTTCTTGTTTCCATCTATATGTATTGATAATGTATTTTTTCATACCTTTCTTCCTGCTTCATTGTTGTGTAAGTTCATGAGTCTCCGAGCGTTCTTCTTGATCTCCCGTGCATCCACAAACCTCCGGGAGAATTCCACGCCATATTTAACATCTGCTGAGCAGCCTCCCCACTTCCAGCCTTCCTCCTGGTCATGGTATCCCTGCTTGTCTCTGTCACAGCCACATTGGCTGAGATTGCCCTGGCTGCAGGCAGCGGTCACTGCATGGGCCACTCCAGCCGCTGTAATGGCATAGGTGAAGGCTGCCTCACGGCTGCCTGGACACAATAGCAGGTTATACAACATTAGTGCAACCTCCATCAGGGGACATCTTTTTCACCAGGGTTTGGTAGTTAAAACCAAAATACATATATTTAATGAAATAGGACTAGAAACAAGATTTTAGCACAGAGAGACTGTGCCTCTACGCATAGCTGAAAGGTTTGAAATGTCATCAGATTTTACAGTAAAGCAGACACGTCACTCCTTCAGCTCGGGTAATGACACTCTTTCCTTTCTTTCCTCTGTATCTATTGTGTTGCTCTGGCTCTTGTCCAGTCTGACAAACGAACATGGAAAACCTATTGGGTTTGTGGTTCTCTTGGTTCATAATTCATAACAAACTCTCAACTCTTCTCTCATCAGGCCCAATCCACGACTCTTTCCATTATGTTGTACAGGCAGCGTTTTGAGCGTTTGGCATGACTGCAGCCAAGCAGCCATCTCCTGACACTGGGATTTATTTTGATTGTTGGGTCTGTGCACGCAGGGCTTCATTGTTGCCATCCAGCTGCTGTAGCTGACTTCAATTAGTGGTTAACATGAGGATCTCTGGCCTTTCTCTCCTCCTAATAACTTCACTGGCCCAGCAGGTCAATCAGGACGGAATTGTTTGCCACACAGGGGTTGGTTAATGTTAAAGAAAGACAGGACTCAAGTATTTTAACCACCAAGACCCCCGACTGACATGTTGAATCTTCAAAATCTAAACAGTTTGTGACTCCAAGTTATTTTTCCTAAAATTATCTTGAAATATTGTAATGTTAAACTGCCAACACTGTATAACCCCATCTTTTAAAATGGTTTGCCTGTAAAGCTATGGCCCCGACAACAATGCTATGACCCAGCTTGTGTCTTTTAATACAAAGTCTCCGTCTTGCTTTAATAAATGCATTGTTTTTGAATGTTTACTCTTCATTTTAATTGTGGCAGTAAAAGGCTTTTTCCTGTATGTTCTTTTGAGGCAGTAATATGTCCCTCGATGTTAGAGATATTCCCTTTTGACATAAGAAACAAACGCATCCAGACATCTGTCTGCTTCCCTCCCCTGTAGAAGAAAGTGATTGGTTCCAGAGCTGTGAGATTAAAGACTAATTCAACGCCACAGAAACACCATAACAAAATATTTTGAACTCTAATGTAATTTATGTAAGTGGTTCTTCAATGAGAGAAAAGTCTTGGTTTATAAATGTAGGATTTATGTAGATTTGTTCAGGACTAAAAGCCCCATATCCCCCTTTGTTTTCTCATAATGCAGTGCAACTGCAGTGATATTATGACAACAAAAGGAGCTAATGACTTTCCTTGCAATACAGACAAATGACATGCATGTTATGCTCTGATTGAAGCCAGCGACATCTGTGGCCCTTCTGGAGAAACCAAACAACCTGAGTTTACACCTGAATAACTATAGAATTCCTTTGTACAGTCTTTTTGGATACTGATTCTCTGTAATGTGTATACATTGAACATGAAAGGGCTTGTGGCCAGCAGACTCACCTACTCTGAGCTCTTGTCCGAACACCGTTCTCTCCCCCAGAGCAGAGCAGTTCCAGCGGCCGTATCTGAACTGGTACTGGCACTCATTGATGCCCAGCTGTGCCCCCTCCCCAATCACGATGATGGCGTCCGGTCGGCTCTGGCACAGGGCTCTCTGTCGTGGGGCCAGTCCTGGGATCTTATTACATATAATGTTGGCCCCTAGAGCCACCACCGAGGACAGCGCTCTGCGGACACAACACAAGTCCAGTATGTTATGGCCCAATTGTTCTCAAGGCCCTCTATTTGTGAATTTGTGAACAAACCCTCACAAATGCTTACTAGGCTATAGATGGAGATGTATAGTTTTACTCATGGGCACATGCAGTCATGGGTAAGTGTGTTTCTCAAAACTGCACATTTTAAGGACACTTAAAATGAAAAATTCTGCTTTGAATTCCCCACTTGCATTTTACATTCTGGGGACATTATTTTTGTCAGAATAGTAATACAATAATTTAATGTAAAAGGTAATTGTGGCATTTTTTACAGTTACCTCATGATAGATGTATCATATATGAAGGAAAAAGCACAATAAGATCTTTTAGGAAAATCTATGCCAATTTTTTACCCTTTTGCAACAGGTTTGAGAAGCGCAGCTTTTTTCAAATTGAAGGCATGTCTTTATGAGTGCTGCAGCAATCATTGAGGCTAATGTAATTCCATGGGCGCTCATTACATAGAACCGTGGACATGAAATAGTCCAAAATCACAGTTTTCCATATGGCTCACTACATTACTACAGCTTTTTGTCTAACGAGGTGCGCCTTTGACAAAGTGCTCTGGCCGTAACGTGTAAATCCATCAGAGTAGGTTATCTCATCAGCTTTTACAAAGAGTGAAATCATTTTGACAATTTAATATTGCCTTTGCTCACTCTCTCCGATCAGTTTTTTTAAGTCCGCTTATGAGTAACAAAGACGAAATGTGGGAAAAATCCATACCACGTGTTGGGAGTCTAAACCCATTGTGAAATACACGGCTAATAAAATACGTTGAAGTCACGCCATTGTTAAACTTATACGCTTGGACTTGTTTTGTTTCCCAACCAATATAAAAGTCTATACGTTGAATTTCGCTTTTTTTGCACTGGTGAAATATGCTTTATAAAGAAAGAGAGCTAAAAGACTGTATTTTTCAAATCTTTTTTGGATATATCCTCATGATGCACACATTACGCACATCCAACTTTTGAACTTTTGAACTTGCGCGTAAAGCTCCTATAGTGCCAACGATGAGTCTATAACTAGTAGGGTACCATACTACTCATACTCATACTCCTACTACTAATACTAATGCTCTTAATAATAATACTGAGACATTGCAGTAGTGAAACGCACAGGTAGCTACCACTGGTGAGAATGAGGAAGATCTGTGGATAGTAGACGGACAGCAGTGCGCTGCGAGACGAGATGATGAGCATGGTTGCGCATTGAACACGCTGGATTTCTCTCGCTGTTTTAAAAATACAACAAAAGGAAAACTCTGAATACGAAATCCCTTTTACGAAGATGAGGATTGTCCGCTCGGAGATGCTGCGGCTGCTCCTGACTCCGCTGCCCATGTGCCGGACACCAGTGGCTGCTTCATCCCTCAGGCCAAAGCACGTTCTGTCACCTGGATGCACAGACCAGGGCTGGTCCAGACAGAAGCAGAGGGGTGGGCGCGCTGAGGGGAGGTGGGTGATTTAGTCTGTTTGTGGTCATATAGCCGTCCCGCTCACAATCACATCCCCAAAAGAGCCGTACGCGCTCACAGGCAGTAGACCTCCGTTACCAGACACAAGATCCAGTTTCTTGTCTTCTTTCTCCATGGTGGTGACACATACTTGACCAGGCTTTTTTTTTTTCAATCGGAACCACCCATCCCGTTATGTTATAGTTAATGTCATTCATTCATTCATTCATTCCGCCTGCGTTTGCACGACAGCGCGCCCCCCAGCGGTGCGTAAAGGAATTGATCACAACTGGCACGACCGTTTTCCAATATGCATTTAGTTGTTTTTTATCCTATATTTTCTATTTGAACAATGTACGTGTGTTGTTACAGAATGGTGTAAAGGTTAGTATTGTATCCTGTCCAGCGTCATTCCTGATTACCGTCACATCTTGTAACTAACAATAACTTCTTTGTGTCAAAAATAATTGAATGGATTGTATGTGTCTCTATAGAAAGAGACATGTGAGAGTAACATTCTGTGAACCAATTAGAACAAACCACCATTTGACATTAGAGCTGATTGGCTGAGTGAGGGTGGTCCAGCTGTTTCACAGAGAAAAGTGAAAAAGAGAGATCTAAGATATGACAGAGGGCAAAAAAACAACAACTGTGAAACTGTGATAGAACCAAACTGTTTATCTGGTTAATAAAAAACAAGCTAATGTTTTAAAAAAAAATCTTGTTTCTCCTGCTTTCTCCTGTTGACACCAGAAGCCTGAAATCAGATCATAATAACCTTGTATTCTGTTGTTTGTGCGGCACATACCATTACACAGAGATAAAGCCAATTTTGTCCCACAGTGAATTATCAATCACTTGAACAAAGCCGGGCTAGAGCTGGGCGGCACCTTCTCATTTGGGACCTTTAAAGCTGCCAGCAAAGAATTCAAGTAAGAAGTTCAGTGTGTGGTTTTATTAATGACAAAGACTGGAAATATTCATCGGCTCAGGAATGAAGAAACACATTCTGCTTGATTTCTGTAGATGTTTGCTTTATTCACTAACTTTCTGTAAATGAATGTCCATATTTTCCATCATTTTCTCCTTTTTGACAGATTATTGGCTTTACTCATCTCCCTCATTGTACTATTCCATCTATTTTGTTCAGAGTCCTTGTTCCTGATTTTGTCACTATTTTCAAATGGGGGTGGGGGGTGGCAAAAGTAATAGTTTTAGGTACTGGAGTGAAAGTATAAATGCCAGTATTCAACTCTGGTTAAAGTGACAACATTGTATAAGCTCAAAAAAAAGTGCTTTTTTGGTAATAAAAAAAATATTATGAATTTTTGTTTTAATTTTGTCATTCCATGTTTTAGAATGTGAAATAATATCTTCAGTAGAAAATGTATGGTTAAACAAGTATGAAGGATAAACAATCCTATCAGCTTGCCCTATCCCTATGCTACCACCAGAGGGCGGAATAAAGTTAGTATTCTATTTCACTCGAATTGCCAAAATTGTTTTAGGGACATATTTGTTTTAAAAGGCAGAGATCTGTTCTGAGCATGATGTCATAGCGGTACAATGACATTATACATACAGGACTGAAACAAGAGTCAGTTTGTGCCGTAAGTTCCTGAAATTGGCGTGGATGGATCTAACGACAACTGTTAGTTTTGTTAAGGAGCAATATCTTAACATGGTTGAAATTGCAAAGAAAGTTGATTTTGCATGATAAATCTCCTTTAAGTTACACACAAGGTTGTACTTTAGTTAAAGTGTCTCCAATCGCAGATGGAGACATTGTCCATTCAGAAATGTTTCATTCTAGCTGAGAATATGATTTAAAACAAAGTATGAAGAAGCAGAATAGAATTCAGAATTCAGAAGCTCCGCTAACCACTTCAAACAAGTAAAGTACCATGAAAATACCAAAAGACTTTGTTACACATTCAAAGAGCACTTTCTATCATTATTTTATAGTATTTAGCCATGGTGGCTGAGTGGATAGCACTCTCGCTTCTCAGCAAGAAGGTCCTGAGTTCGAATCCTGGTCGGACCAGGGCCTTTCTGAGTGGAGTTTGCATGTTCTCCCCGTGTCTGCGTAGGTTTCCTAACATGTACAATAGGTCTGGCATGCACCTCCTGGTCGGCGACCCGACTCCCATCTCTGTGTGGAGTGAGAGACAAACGCCCAAAAAATAACAATTGTAAACCGACTCTAGTCTGTGAAAGGCAGTATATAAATAAAGATTACTTACTTACTACTTACTTACCATGATGTACAGCGGGTTGCAAAAAAGCCAATACAACTTTAGCACATTTTGTCATGTTTGCAACCGATAAAGTAGAGCTTTTATTTTTTCCTGAAAGACCAGTACAAAGCACTTTGCTGAGGTCTGTAAGAAAAAAATAAAATTGTAATCATGAGAAAATGTGCAAGTGTTCAAGTTGTATTTGCACTTTTGTAACCTAGTGTTCCTTTGCTTGTATAATTCATCTATTTGTGAAAATAACATTAAACTTATAAAACTATGGAGAGAGTGGGAAACCTTTTGAAGACTGCATTGGTTACCCCTGTGGTCTCCTGATTGGTCAAAATTAATTCAAAAGCTTGTGGCCTCTCGCCTTTTACCCTCCTGCAAAACCGGCTGTAGTTATTCAATAATATATTATTGTTGAAAAATACATAATACAGTGTATCATGGTTAGAAATATACAATATAAAAAAGGTTAAATCACAGAATTCATGACAAACAGAAGCTGGAGTACCTCAACCCCAAAATAATACGCTTTAACTTGAGAATATCCAATGGAAAGAGGGTCAGACTTTATATACAGAAGTTATTAATTGTTTATTTAGTATGGAGTGCTTGGCTCCCGGTCAGCAGGGTCCCGCCCGTTTGTCTGTCTCTCCTCACTCTGTCCAAGTACACCTCCTCCTGACCACACTTCCAACGCCAGCACAGCACTTAGGCGGCCTGCACTCTCTGTCCTCGTTCTGGCTGCCTTCTATGCTCTGCTTCTTTTCATATTTTTTTTACGAAAGATGAGGCGAGTGAGTTGGAGATGGGAGACGTTGGGCCTGTGCGATCCTCCAGACTGTTTGACATGATTATTCTGAGTTTGGGGTGTGTTACTGGAGCACAAAGCCCGAGCAAGTTGTCAAAGTTTTGATTGATTACTGTTTGTCACGGTAGTGTTTTGATATTTGTCTAGAACAGCTGTCTGAACATGTAGCATTGTTTTGGTTAATCCTTTTTATGAATTTAGAAAAAAAACTTTTCTATTCAAGACCCAGCGAAGACAGGTTTAGACACGGTTTAAGAACGTTTTTTTTAAAGTGGCAAACCATATGGTGGTTACAAATAGTGGTAGGACACAACAACAAATCATGAGATATGCTCATCCAGTACTTTGCGTGAAAAATGATAACTACTGTTGAGGGTTGTCACTATTGAAATGGTTAGATTCAATTTTAATAGCCACATCAAATCAGTAACATCAGCAGCTTTTTACCACCTAAAAAACATTGCCAGGATCAAAAACATAGTGTCTAGAGCAGACTTGGAGATTCTTATCCATGCATTTGTCTCCAGTAGGTTAGACTACTGCAATGGCCTGCTCACAGGTCTGTCCAAACAGGCTGTAAAACTGCAGTACTGTGAGACAGGCCTCCTCTCTGACAATGTTTAAAACCAGGTCAAAGACAGTTCTGTTTAGCTGTGCATACAACTGAGGGATTTTATATTTTTAGCTTTCTTTTTAATGTTCTGTGATTATTTATGATTTTAATGCTTTCTTATTTTGTTCAGCACTTTGAGTTGCCTTGTGTATGAATTGTGCTATATAAATAAACTTGCCTTGCCTTGCCTTGCCTTACATTCAAAATGCAGCAGCTCGAGTCCTGACTAGAACCAGGAAGTACGACCACATTAGTCCAGTTCTCAGGTCTCTGCACTGGCTTCCTGTGGCTCAGAGAATAGACTTTAAAACAGCTCTGCTTGTGTACAAGTCTCTCCATGGCCTCGCTCCAAAATATACAGTAAAGTATTCGGCCCCCTTGAACCTTTCAACATTTCTCCACATTTCAGGCTTCAAACATAAAGATATAAAATTTAATTTTTTTGTCATGAATCAACAAGTGGGACACAATCGTGAAGTGGAACGAAATTTATTGGATAATTTAAACTTTTTTAACAAATAAAAAACTGAAAAGTGGGGCGTGCAATATTATTCGGCCCCTTTAATTTCAGTGCAGCAAACTCACTCCAGAAGTTTAGTGAGGATCTTTGAATGATCCAATGTTGTCCTAAATGACTGATGATGATAAATAGAATGCACCTGTGTGTAATCAAGTCTCCGTATAAATGCACCTGCTCTTTGATAGTCTCAGGGTTCTGTTTAAAGCGCAGAGAGAACCATGAAGACAAAGGAACACACCAGGCAGGTCCGAAATACTGTTGTGGAGAAGTTTAAAGCCAGATTTGGATACAAAAAGATTTCCCACTGCAAATCTACCAAGACCCGGCCGTCCCTCCAAACTTTCATCTCAAACAAGATGAAGACTGATCAGAGATGCAGCCAAGAGGCCCATGATCACTCTGGATGAACTGCAGATAACTACAGCTGAGGTGGGAGAGTCTGTCCATAGGACAACAATCAGTCGTGCACTGCACAAATCTGGCCTTTATGGAAGAGTGGCAAGAAGAAAGCCATTTCTCAAAGATATCCATAAAAAGTCGCCAAAGGCCACCTGGGAGACACACCAAACATGTGGAAGAAGATGCTCTGGTCAGATGAAACCAAAATTGAACTTTTTGGCCACAATGCAAAACGATATGTTTGGCGTAAAAGCAACACAGCTCATCACCCTGAACACACCATCCCCACTGTCAAACATGGTGGTGCAGCATCATGGTTTGGGCCTGCTTTTCTTCAGCAGGGACAGGGAAGATGGCTAAAATTGATGGGAAGATGGATGGAGCCAAAGACAGGACCATTCTGGAAGAAAACCTGTTGGAGTCTGCAAAAGACCTGAGACTGGGACGGAGATTTATCTTCCAACAGGACAATGATCCAAAACATAAAGCCAAATCTACAATGGAATGGTTCACAAATAGACGTATCCAGGTGTTGGAATGGCCAAGTCAAAGTCCAGACCTGAATCCAATCGAGAATCTGTGGAAAGAGCTGAAGACTGCTGTTCACAAACGCTCTCCATCCAACCTCACTGAGATCGAGCTATTTTGCAAGGAAGAATGGGCAAGAATTCCAGTCTCTCGATGTGCAAAACTGATAGAGACATACCCCAAGCGACTTGCAGCTGTAATTGCAGCAAAAGGTGGCGCTACAAAGTATTAGCGCAAGGGGGCCGAATAATATTGCACGCCCCACTTTTCAGTTTTTTATTTGTTAAAAAAGTTTAAATTATCCAATAAATTTCGTTCCACTTCACGATTGTGTGCCACTTGTTGTTGATTCTTAAAAAAAAATTAAATTTTTATATCCTTATGTTTGAAGCCTGAAATGTGGCGAAATGTTGAAAGGTTCAAGTGGGCCGAATACTTTCGCAAGGCACTGTATTAGTGACATGTTAGTCCCATATGAACCAGCTCGGACTCTGAGGAGCACAGGGACTGGACTCCTGTTAGTGCCCAGAGTCAGAACTAAACATGGGGAGGCTGCTTTTCAGATTCATGCTGCTAAAATCTGGAACAATCTTCCTGAAGATGTGAGACAGGCCTCCTCTCTGACAATGTTTAAAACCAGGTTAAAGACAGTTCTGTTTAGCTGTGCATACAACTGAGGGATTTTATATCTTTCTTTTTAATGTTCTGTGATTATTTATGATTTAAATGCTATCTTATTTTGTTCAGCACTTTGAGTTTCCTTGTGTATGAATTGTGTTATATAAATAAACTTGCCTTGCCTATATTATCTTTATTTTTGATATTTAGATAAAACTTTTGTTTTCTTTTTTTTACATTTTTTGAAATATAAACCCACCAATAATAGTATAGTAATGTACTTCTGTTCAAATGGCTTTGATCGTTTGATAAAGAGGCAAAAGCCTTTATTTTGTATGGAATTGTATAGAATTGTTTGGCAATACATCATATTAAATTATATTGAATGGAAACATATGTAAAATATGTTGTGGCTTATGAATCAAGGTACGGATTGTATCGATAAACTCTCCATTGTCTGTATTGTCTGGCTACTGATTATAAACTAATGTATATTGAATCTAAGCACGGGAACCTTCTGTATGTACCATTATTTTTCCATCACTACAAAATATATCAAGAAATGGTTGTGCTTGAAGTGAGCGAGATTACTGCCTGAACAAAAGATTTTTCCATAGAACCAACATAGAACTGTTTGTTTTAATAACAATATTTATTTATACATTTTTGTTTTGTTATTGTGAGCTATTCTGATCAAACCAAACTTTAGAGAGGGAATGAGTGAGATGGGACATTAGACTTATTTATATACATTGTATTTATTTATTTAAGGATTCAGAATCAGAATCAAAATCCTTTTTATTGCCACGTAAAAAACTAAATAGATTTAGTTTTTGTTCTAAACTCACCACCTCACAATTAAGTCTGGACTGTTATATCATTATATGCCCACCGAACAACGTCGACATTCCTTTTAAAATAACCCCACTTGATTAAAGATGTGCAAGAATGCAGAATCCACCAGGGGGCAGGCTTGCAGAGGAAAACGCTGCATTCATCGTATAAACACGTTATCTTTTGCACTCTAAAGAAAAATGAGTCTTTATTTGATGCTTTGGCCTGAGTGCTGATTGGCTGAGTGAGGGTGGTCCTCTCTTTTTCTTTTTCTCTGTTTGAGAAAGTGATCAAAAGATGTGACAGGGGCCAAAAATGCATGAATGTGAAAACACATCAATATAGGTCAAGTGTTTTTAGAGCATGCGTGGATTTTATGACGGTTAATTTTTTTGTAACTTGAAAGTTAGGGAGCTGAGCTTTAACTGCACTGATTCTGTTTTGATTTTAACTCTTTGGTTTTAACCCATGCTATCTGTATGAGACGATACAAACTATTATTACAGTACAATTCAATATGTGTTCTGAAAGGAGTCTGAACTGTGTGAATAAGGTGACGTGTGTTCTAAATATATATTAAATCTATGTTTCTATGTGTCCCTAGATAACAGGTGCAAACCCCTTTTTTTCTGATTTCCTCTCTTTTTAACTTTTCTATATAAAAAGAGTAAATCAAGTCAGCGTCCTGAGCATTCGTCACATAGATGTGTTCGCAACTGCACCACTTTTTACTGATGCGCATCCAAGACTTTTGTAAACACGAGCAAAAGATAATTTAATATACCTTTTAGCTTCAGAGGGGGAAGGCTGATAACTACACACGTAAACAATGTCCATCATCGACCCTCTCACCGAAGTTTACTTTTGCCGTGCAATTTTGGAGAACACAGACTTGAGCTGTAATAACAGATGGACTAACTTGATACATTTCTGTTACATAACTGTGTTTAGAGCTTGACTTTACATGTGCGAAAGTAGAATCCTCCATCTCTGGTATTTCTGACCCAGGCGAGCATCAGCATCTGGAGATGGGTCCCATAGAGGCCATAGAAGCTTTGCAGGATGGGTCAAATGCAGAGGACAAATTGGCCTAAGGGGATAAATAAAATGTACCTAAACTTACAGGTGAAACTCGGAACATAGTATTTCATTCAAAAGTATATTTACTTTTGTACTTCAACTTAAAATGTGAAACTAAGACTCATTACACACAAAGAGAGACATTTGTTACATTGTGGATAATTGGCTCACAACTTGTAAACCACCCACCCCCAAAAAACACACTTTACTTTGATGTTTCCCATTTTAAATTTAATTAAATAAATATTGTTTTCTTTTGCATATGTGTATATTTTTCTACAT